TTTGGGTGGATCTTCCATGGCTCTGTTTGGGAGAGTTGGTGGTGGCATCTATACCAAAGCTGCTGATGTTGGTGCTGACCTGGTAGGAAAAGTTGAAAGAAATATCCCAGAGGATGATCCAAGGAACCCAGCTGTAAGTTATATTTGCTCCTTTTCCCCTGCACCCCAATCATTGTTTCAGGCTTTTTCAGATTTTGTTTTCTGAATTTGTAGTATTGTGCTTTTTCCATGTACTTTTCAGGTCATTGCTGACAATGTTGGTGATAATGTTGGAGATATTGCTGGGATGGGTTCTGATCTTTTTGGTTCATATGCTGAATCATCCTGTGCTGCCCTAGTTGTGGCTTCAATTTCCTCATTTGGAATCAACCATGATTTCACTGCCATGTTGTATCCCTTACTTGTCAGTTCTATGGGCATTCTTGTCTGTTTGATCACTGCTCTCTTTGCAACTGATTTCTTTGAGATCAAGGCTGTCAAGGAAATTGAACCAGCATTAAAGAAACAGCTTATCATCTCAACTGTTCTCATGACTGTTGGAGTTGCAATTATTAGTTGGATTGCTCTTCCATCATCCTTCACAATTTTCAACTTTGGTGCTCAGAAAGAAGTGAAGAGCTGGTAAGACATTTTCATTTACCAAAATAAAACACATTTGCATGCCTTTTCTTTTACGTGTGTTTCTGACCCATGTGTCATTGTAGTCTAGATTCTTTTATAATTCAATATTTTATTATTATTATTATTATTTTTAAATCTTGATAATATTGTATTTTTGGAAAATGTGTCATTTGATGTTGATCAACTAATACTTTAGTTTGTTTTCACTGAAATCCAACTACCAATGTGTTTTAAATTTCCAGGCAGCTGTTCCTATGTGTGGGTGTCGGTCTCTGGGCTGGACTTATTATTGGGTTTGTGACTGAATATTATACAAGCAATGCTTACAGGTATCTGAATGTTGAAATTGTGCAATTTTCCCTTTCTCTTTCTATTGGCCTTGACATGTATCATTGACTGCTTTTCAGCCCTGTACAAGATGTTGCTGATTCTTGCCGGACTGGAGCTGCAACCAATGTCATCTTTGGCCTTGCTCTGGGATACAAGTCTGTTATTATTCCTATTTTTGCCATTGCTATCAGCATTTTTGTGAGTTTCAGTTTTGCAGCAATGTATGGTATTGCTGTGGCTGCTCTGGGGATGCTGAGCACCATTGCTACTGGGTTGGCTATAGATGCTTATGGGCCTATTAGTGACAATGCTGGGGGTATTGCTGAGATGGCAGGCATGAGCCATCGAATCCGTGAAAGAACTGATGCCCTTGATGCTGCTGGCAACACTACAGCTGCCATCGGCAAGGTATGTGATATTCCACTGCAGGGTTGCTTGCTTACCCTTTCTGTCTGAGCAGCCTGTTCTGTTTTCTGGTTCATACTGTGTAGTGTTTGGATTGGATATTTTGTAAAGATTATAATCTGCTTCCTTTAAAAACTATGTATAATCTTGTTTTGCTTGTTTGTTAACATTGGTAAAAATTATATCATAATCTTATATTTTTTTATTACAGGGGTTTTTTCTTCCAAATAAGCAAGATTTTGGATATTGGAGCTTATGACTAGCAACTATTGGATTATTTTTTTAGTTAACTTTAATTTTCCCATTTTATAGTTTAAATACAAAATCAACTTTTACCGATAATTTCATACTTCTTTTGTAATTTTATTCAATAAAGATTAGACAGTCAAAATGGAATAGATTATCTTAAAATCAATTGTTATGTAACATTTCCAAACATAAATTTATTTCACATAATCAATTACTGAAATAACCTCTGAAAGCAATTCAATCCAAACACAGTCACATAGATTGTCTGTGCCAGAGTATTATATTAATGCTGGAAAAGATTTAAGAGCTTCACAAACTCAGATTTAGTCTTACTTTCTGTTAAAATGGGCAAAGCATCAAATAATATTGGTTTTGTTCGTTCCTGTTTCCCTTTTCACCTTGTTATACTTTACTTTTGTGTAACTATTACTGAACTTAACTCCAACTTGTACTAGGGATTTGCTATCGGATCTGCTGCTCTAGTGTCTTTGGCCTTGTTTGGTGCCTTTGTCAGCCGGGCTGGAATTTCAACAGTGGATGTCTTGACACCCAAGGTCTTCATTGGACTCATAGTTGGTGCCATGCTTCCTTACTGGTTTTCTGCCATGACGATGAAGAGTGTGGGAAGTGCTGCTTTAAAGATGGTTGAGGAGGTTCGTAGGCAGTTCAACACCATTCCAGGACTCATGGAGGGTCATGCCAAGCCTGATTATGCTACCTGTGTCAAGATTTCTACTGATGCATCAATTAAGGAGATGATTCCTCCAGGAGCCCTTGTCATGCTTACACCACTCATCGTTGGTATCTTTTTTGGCGTAGAAACTCTTTCAGGCGTTCTTGCCGGCTCTCTAGTTTCTGGGGTGCAGGTAATGCCGCTACTCTGATAGTTAGTGTTTGATTGAAATTTATAGCTTTATGTGAAGTTTGCTTAGCTTGTGCTCGGTTTTTCATTAGATCGCAATATCAGCATCCAACACCGGTGGTGCCTGGGATAATGCTAAGAAGTACATCGAGGTAATAGTTTAGTAAAATTACGACTCATTTCAAAGACTATTATACTGTAGGATTTTTGGTTGGTAATGAAATTGCTTGTGGGCTTCAAATTTCAGGCCGGCGCTTCTGAGCATGCCCGGGCATTGGGTCCAAAAGGATCTGAACCACATAAAGCAGCTGTTATTGGTGACACCATTGGAGACCCTCTTAAGGATACTTCGGGCCCTTCGCTCAACATCCTTATTAAGCTTATGGCAGTTGAGTCGCTTGTTTTCGCTCCATTTTTCGCTACCCATGGCGGTTTGCTTTTTAAGATCTTTTAAGAACAGGAGGCGTTCTAAAGCAAACCTATTTTCTTTGGAGCTGAATAGGTTTGCCGTTGACATGCCATTTTTTCTTGTTCTTTCCTTTGTAATTTTACCAAATAGTGTCTCCACCACCTTTAGGTAGCTCTTCTATCACGAGAACGTGAAATGTTACAAAACTGCTTTTTGCCAATGTGAATTTTCAATTTTCCATGTTTGTGATGTTTACTTTGAGGGTTCCGGAAAATGGCGAGTTTTATAATTCATTTTATAAATTTACATAGATGTAAAATCGAGATTTATTATTTTTTTATGATTTCATATAAAATAAAGGCATATGTATCTTTAATAGGAAACAGTTTAGAAGGCAGTCTACAAGGCTTTTACAAATCCTCAAATTTGCAATTGAGGCAGTCTAACTGGCTCTTGCAAATCAGATTATTCAAGTATGTCCAGTTAGGACCTTTTTCTAATCATATAACCTGAAAATAAAGCAGTTAATTTTACCCAATACAATAAGCAATTAATTCACACAATGTTTTTCTTAAAAAGTCATTTAATCAATTTTTCCTGGTTTTAACTTTTATAATTTAATTAATTTGGTGTTAAATTTTTTTATATAATCTGATTTAATTTAAAGAAATTTGAATTTAAATTTCAACAGTTTATATTTTAAAGAATATATAAATTATTAAATATAATAATTATGTTAAAATATATATAAATGAAAATTTGTTAGTTAAAATAGTAATTAAATTTTTAAGAATGGAAGTTTAATAAATAAATTACATTACATGTACACATAAATTTAGTTTAATTTTGTTTGGTTTTTATGATTGAAATTGAAGATTGATTTGGTCTAATTAAAACAATTATCTTATTTAGTTTTCAATTTTTAAGATTTATAATGAATGAAGTGATATAATAATACTTACAAACTATATATCGCTTTTGGGAAATGTTTTTTAGACAATTTTTTTAAAATTCAATAAACAAAAATTATGATGCATTTTATATTAAATAAATAAAATACTAATTTCAGTCTTTAGAGTTGAATTTAAAAACTCAAATAATATTTTTATTAAAAATATATATAATATTTTTCTAATTTTAATATAATAAATATATATTTTTTCAATAAAAATTTACTATTTAACATATTTAAACTGAGCCCTAAAACAAAAACCTTAAATAAAAACGAATTACTGTTATTTGGGACCAGACGTATTTAAGAACAGTCAACAGTCTTTTAAGTCTTTGAACTTACAAAAACAAGCCTGCTGGGACCACATGCATTAATAAGGTGTCGCTGCCAGCGTAAAACGCTACTAGGCATTTGTTTCGTACAGTCCGAACCAAATCTTTAGTTCTGACTATTGAAGACAAACAAATATGCATCCTTTGATCAAAAAGATGGACAGCATTTTTTACCGACACGTTTGAATCTCATGAGTCATGAGACAATACGCTATTCTTGAAAATCAGAAATTAAAAGGTTCACATATTGTATTTAATAAGAATATCAATACGATAACCTAATGTGTTGTTTATCCTCGCAGTGCATGCACAAAAACACACTAAAGTGACTAAACACACCAACCAAAAAACAAAAAAATAAAACACTAAATACACAGGCCATAGCATCTACTGGTTTATAACTGTGATCTCATACTTTTGCTACATGCATGGATTGCCCTCATTCCTCGTTGGTAGTATGTCCAATGTGTATCAGCATAATCTTTCACTTTCTTGAACATCTCTGGATGTTCTTCATTCACCAAACCTTGTTCTGGTCCTATCTATTTGTTTGGCTCAGGCGTATAGAACATTGCGACGGATATCCTTTCCTTCTTGGAGTTCGCTAGTACCCTATGCACCGGACTCTTGAAAGTTCCATTAGTCATTATCTGCAACATCAGAAAGGAATATTTGGATGACGCTTCATATGATTTTTTGTCACTTCACTTTTATATATGATTCCCGGCATACACTCCTCACGTTGATAGCTAAGCTAAATGTAATAATTTGAGAGGATACTCCAGAAAATCGAAATTCGGAAAAAGTAACAACATATGTTGATTCAGCTGTTAAAAGTCGTAATATTAGTTGAAATATTGATGAAAATGTTAAGTTATATGGAAAAGACAGCTTACCAGGATTTGTTTTAGATTTAAATTGCTAAATATGCAACAGAGAACAAAAGTTGTATGGTTATAGGCAAAATTGTGTGGAGTGCATGATGTATTCTATTTCTATCGAGATGTTGCCATATAAACATAATAACAACACGCATATATATAATATATCTCCATTTGATCACCCATGAGGACTAAAAGGGCACGAGAAATTGTTGGAACGGTGAACCATTTTCCATGGTGGAATTGGAGGCCTTCAACATCATCTTGCAGTATAATGGTGTACCCTGATCCATCTGCATGGGGTTTAAGTCCAAGCACAAGATCATGCCGAGTACAACAAGAGTAGTAGTTGAACCTCGCTTGCAGAACTGCTTGTTCACCAAATTAATTCAGGGAGCAGTTTTCTTCTAAATCCAGTGACCTTGCAATGGCTCTATAGGAATAAGCTGTGTTGTTTCTCTCATCCTTGCAGTGTGTTCTTCCAAAACATCCCTGCACAAGTTTGACTTTGACTTACTAATATACTTTCAATTCTCGAGAAGCCAACCTCAAATAACACAAATAAAGCAGCTATCATCCTTCAATTAACTTTGAACATTTTTGTTTGCACAATTAGCATTAAGAAGGTCCTTAGTCTAATATTTTGTTTTAATTTACCTAAAGGATGATGGATTTTCTGGCCACAGGCCTGGCTTCCTTCTAACTTGAGGGTATACATCAAGGAACAAACGATCTGACCAGTCTAAAGACTGGCCTTCTTCAGGAACTGGATCACCACCATACCCTTCAAATTCTTTCACCCTTTTGGAAATTATCTTTTCTTGTTCCATTGGCAGCTCAAAGAATTCCCTTGCAACTTGAAGAACCTTATCTAAAAGTAGGCTTAATATTCCGTGGTTTATTGCCTGAAATTCAAGAGATAAAGTACACCAGAAAAAGAAGGTTATTTTGCATGTGGGGTATCTCGGAAGTGACAATAATTTCAACATGGTAGTTTATGCATGTACCTGAAAGCATCCCCAGCAAGAGAGAGCTGCTTGTAGCTTTTGAAGCTCTTGTTTTTGTTTAGTTGGTGGCGTTGGTGAAGAGAGGAGCCCAAAATCAATGATGGTTACGTAGTGAAGATGATGCAGAAGGCACATTTTGTGTGTAGCCATCATCTCTGCAAACATAAGGTGGAGGTGGTTCCTCACCATTTAGCACCATTTCTTGTACACACTTGGATAGTAGTGCTTCCACCTCCACTATATAATTTTTTTTCCATATTACTATACATTATTTTACTTGGATATGTTCCTCTTTATCATTCTCTCTAACTCTACTGCTTCGCTCAGTTTTTCAGCTGCTCTTGATTTTTATCTCCGTCCCAAGTTTGTCAAACATGTACGTCAATGAATGGGTAGAATGGACAGACCTCATGCGTCAGTGAGAATGATGGATGTGGGGGCTGAAAGAGTAAAAGAGAAGAAACAAAAATAAGGAATAGAAAGTGATAAATCGTGCAAAAGAAAAGAAAGAAATAACCGGAGAAAAAAAAATATTCATATTAGTCTCTTAATTTATAAATACTTATTATTTTAATTTTATAAAAATTTCACACGATATATATTATTTCAAATTAATCATGATCATATGTGAATGTAAATAACAACCTGCAATTAAATTTATTTTATAAATATACAAAATATTGTAATTTAAAATACAGGTCAAATAATTTTTTTATACTGTCCAATCTACTCACACAAAATCCATTTTGGTTAAACCTAATTGTACTGCCAAACTTTCATAATCACCTGAGAACTTTTGCACCTTAAGACCATCCCTCCCATAATCTTTGCTTGTCATTGATCATATCTTCTCAGCTGAATGAAAATGGACCTTCATTTCTACCTGGAGGCCCAAAGTATAGTCCATTGATGAAGGCCCAAATAAAATGGCATCGTTGACGTTTCGGCAATCCATTGATGAGATCCAACGGCCACCACGGTGCCACCTCCGACGTGCTTCTCTTACACTACGCCATTCACTTCACCTTCTCTTGTTTCTCTCTCTCTGCGATCTGTTTCCTCTCTTGCTAGCTCCTCCAAAATGCTGGCGCGCCTCGCCGCGAATCGCTTCAACGAGATCCGTCAAATTTTCCGTCAGGTTCTGTCTCTATTTTTCTAACTTCCTTTACTGATTTCTTATTTTCAACCATTTTTTTTTTTGTTTTCCCCTTTCTCAGCCTTCGAGAGCCTTCTCGACCGCACTGAACTATGTAAGTGCTCTTCGCTTTCGCTTCGATTTTCATCTGTTTCCCGTTTCGTGATTGTGATTGTTGTTGTATCCATTTTTGACTGAGGCAGCACCTTGACACACCGAACAACAACCCTAACCTTCACTGGGAATTCACCGATGGCAATAAAGAGAAGGTAATGTTTCATCGCACTCTAACTTGGAATGTGAGTACTCCTACCTTGATTAATATGTGATCGATTATCATTATATATTTCACCGGCAATATCAAAATCCAAAAGTGTTGCGGCAATCACTGCTGAGGATTACTAATCCATTTGTCTTGCCTTTATAATTGTACTGGCGTGCATTAATGATATTTCACGCTTAATCGCTACAAACGTACTGTTTTAGCGATTTTAGCTTTAGTCTAATATATTCAACATTAGATTATTGCTCAACCAAATGAATATTATATATTCTGTTATAGTGAGTTTGTTTTTTGTTTGGACCTAAAAATAATCAGTGTACAAGAAAACTCTTGGAGGATGGGTAGCATTTTGCAACTGGTTGCAGTCTTCATTTTGCACCACTGTTACACTTTTTGCCTCACTAGCTTCATTCTCTAATCTGATTACTTGATTAGTTCAGTTCAACTTGCAGAGTAAAAAGCTGCTTGTTAAAGCAGAAAATGGTCTGTGAAAATGTAGAATGACATGAATCGATGTCTTACTGATTAATTCTTTCATAATGTTTCTAAGGTCTGTTTGGTGAGCATGATATGATAGGAAAGTTAGATGAGAACAGGATAGGATACAAGCAAAATCGACTCTTACTTTATTTTACATTTGATGTATATCAGAATAACAATAAATTAGATACATTGTTTTATTCTATTCTTTTTATTTCTAACTCATCCCTCTATAAGATAAACTTTACACTAGAGAGAATGATAGGATAAGGTTACAGGATAGACTTGTATAGTCTATTGGTTAACAAATGTCAGAAATAGAATATGATAGGAAAAGATATCTTATCATGTCCACCAAACGGGTCCTGAGAGATATGGATCTTTAATTCAATATTGATATTGTGTCTTTTTGGTGCCAAGCCCATATTTTAAAAAAAAAATTTTTTAATATGTCCACATTACAGGTTAAGGAGATTCTATCTCACTATCCATCCAACTATAAGCAATCTGCAGTGATCCCTCTTTTGGATCTTGCCCAGCAGCAACATGGGGGATGGCTCCCTGTTTCTGCAATGAATGCGGTATGTTGGCTTCCTGCTTAAAGTATTCTTCTTAGTATGTCTAGAAACATATCAAAGGACCATGTCTGATTCTCTGATCTGTTATCCCTGTTGGATGGAAAAGGTGATCCTCATTGGTTTGCAAGTCAATGAACTGGGTTTTATTTTGCATGATATAATGTCTATTAAGTACTAAGTAGAATAAGACCCTTGATAATTCCTATGAAAGTCTTGAAATTCTTGTAAATGGCCTACAATGCTATTGCAAAATAAATTTGTGAGAAAATGGTTCATCTGAAATTATTGCTAAGATTGTCAGGCTGAAGCATTTTGTGTTTGTGATAGTTGTCATGTACAATGTTTGAATATCGATTTTCAGAATATTCTTCATCTATGTATATACTCATCATATTTCATTGAATTTTACTTGTAGCTTCTTGTTGCTACGATGCTACAGTGAAAATCCCAATTTAACATAATGTTTGCAAACTGAATTAAAATTCTTAATAACAATAAAAGCTATTCAAATCCTTTAATGATAAATAGTTTTGTGAATTATTCAGGTGGCTAAAATTATAGAGGTTGCTCCTATACGGGTCTATGAGGTTGCCACATTTTACTCAATGTTCAATCGAGCTAAGGTGAAAGCATGTTATGCTTTAATGCTTTCAATTTTGTATCCACATTAATACAGGCCAAAGCTTATCTGGATCAACTTGCTTTAAATTTCCAGGTTGGGAAATACCATCTCTTGGTTTGTGGAACAACACCTTGTATGATTCGAGGTTCACGAGGAATTGAAGAAGCCTTATTGAAACACTTGGGAGTGAAGCGTAATGGTTAGTTAATCAGTCTTGATTTCTGTCAGTACCTATCAGGCTATCACTGAACCTGATCTTATTCATGACAAACTGGAACTATTGCATTTTCTAATAATTAGTTTTCTTTCTCCTCTCGGTTGCAGAAGTGACGCCAGATGGTTTGTTTTCTGTTGGAGAAATGGAATGCATGGTGAGTCTTTTATTTGAATCTTATCTTCATTTCATGATGTTCCTTGTTTTTAGAGTTGTAGTTTTGCTTGATTTGTGCTGTCTGAACGATTATATTTAGTGGAAAAAATTACTTGAAGAACAAACTGGACCTTTTAGTGAAACATTGTGTTTACTTTTTTTTTTAATGAAATAGTTGTGATAAACTTGGATGTTTCTGATAACAAATATGAACTTTATAACTTAATGTTTACCTTTTTCAGTATCATTGAGTCATCCAATAACTCCCCTGGATTGTTAGCTTGAAAAAATTAGAACAAACTTTATGGGACATTGATATCTAACTGTTAGAAAAAAGAATCACCTATTGTGATGGACAGCTTTTGTTATTTAGAGGAAAAAAATCCAAGAGGTGAAAGAGTTGCGTACTTGTTTTCTTTGATAACTAGATATTCTTTGGTGTTTTTGTTGATTAACCAATGAGAGTGCATGATTGAAGTTGTTAATGTTATGCAGGGATGCTGTGTGAATGCACCTATGATTACTGTGGCTGATTATTCGAATGGATCAGAAGGATATACTTATAATTATTACGTCTGTCTTAAAGCGCTCTATTTTATTTTATTTTATATTTTTTGGGGAGGGGGGTTTTGTTGTTGTACCTGTGCTTCTGAGACACTCTTAACGTGATATTGATGTCGATTCCAGGAAGATGTAACCCCAGAGAGAGTAGTTCAGATAGTAGAAATGCTGAAAAGGGGTGAGAAGCTACCGGTAAGGATATTGTCCATGATCTATTTTGTTATCGCCCATGTTTTAGTACCTTGGATTATGAATCTCGTTTCTTTTTTTATTCAGCCTGGCACACAGAATCCACGACGGATTATGAGTGGACCAGAAGGAGGGAATACGACTTTGTTAAGCGAGCCCAAGCCTCCTCCATGCCGTGACCTGGATGCCTGCTGAAGTATGATGCTTTTTGCCTTCAATAATGTGAGGCTTGCATCTGTTCGAGCTTGCCTTAATTGGAACATTGTCAAATTGTTAGATGCTCAACCAATTTTTGAATTAACCAGCCTTGATGGCTTCCGTTTAAAAAACATCTGTTCCATAAACGCCATAAATTTCTTGGCTTGTTTGTTACTTATCAATGCTTTTCTGTACTCTGTACATTAATTATCATGAATGAAAATTGAGAGATTACGATGGTTTATATTTATTTAGTTAATAAATTAATTCCGTTAGGATGCATTTACCCGTATGGGTGGATAGGATGGAGTTATCTACAATGGTAGAGGAGAGCAATCGTATTTAATGTAACATGCGCTTCCTTCATAGTTCCTGGCAGAGTTTGAAAATTGAACTTAATGACCAAAATAATTGTTTAAGGAATATAAAAAAGTTGACAATTAGGGAAAGTCTTTGGCGGGAACAAATCACTCTATAAACCGATTTCTTATATCTTTCCAACAAAACCGATTTCCTTGGTTATTGGATTTCACGAAGGACGCAGACCTAATTCCATTGTAGTTATCATGTGACTCTGATGTTAACCGCTTCAAGCAATCTTCAGTTTTCTACTTTAGGAAGGAGAGATCAAGCATTGAATTGCTCTGTTGTTTTGCTAAATATTTAAATTTAAATTTGGTCTTGGATATTGTTTTATTGAAAAAATTATTTGTTTGTTTCACGTTAAACCAAATTATTAAAAATATAATAGAACTCGGGTTTTTGAAATTTTTCGTCAAGTTATAATGGGAGGAAGTTTATTAAAAATTTCAAAACATAATTTATAGACTATTTAATATTGAAAAGTTTGATTAAAAATATATAAATAGCGTATTGGCTTTAGAAATGATTAGGAAATTAAATTTTAAAAGAAAGAAACTAATTGGGGGATAATCATCAAAGTATCCGTCGCGGGTAGTTGCGGGTTGCGACGCAACAGAGCATTTTCTGCGCTTCGACGGAGTCGATGATGACAAGGCAACCCACGTGTGTATATATTGGCAGGTAAAGTCCTATGTGGTCTGAACCGTCCCTAATTTGGTGCGTGCAAGTCTTCTCTCTCTCCCCTTTCACATCTGCTGAAAATTGAAAATTCTTTTACTATTACTTCATTAATTTTTTGGGGAATTGGGGAGCAGAAAGCAAAGGTACCATTTTTATTCATTTATTCTGTTACTATAAATGTTAATGTTTATTATACTCGAGTCATGTAATGGATGGTGGTTCAGATTTTGCTTTGAAGCCTGAAAGTAGTGATGGGGAGTGCGTCATCTATGCTAACTCAATACGACATCGAAGAAGTTCAAGAACACTGCAACAATTTATGTGGGCCCTTTCTCTCTTCCTCTTCCTTTATTTGCATCCATTGTTTTCTGTTTAAGATCTGATTTCGGCTGTCAAACTCAGTTTCCCAGCAGGAAATAGTGTCTTTGTACCAAAGGTTTTGCCAACTTGACCGCAATGCAAAGGGATTCATTTCAGCTGATGAGTTCTTGTCCGTCCCGGAATTTGCTATGAATCCACTTTCTCAGGTACAGACTTTCGGGAATTTCCACCCTAAGATTCTTGTTTATTTTGGAGCTTATGCGCTTTCTTTTGTGATCACTTGGTTTGGTGTGTGATCTATTTTCCCTTAGTTTATGATTTATATGCTTATTTGCAGAGGCTGCTCAAGATGGTGGACGGTTTGAATTTTAAAGACTTTGTGGCCTTCTTGTCTGCATTCAGTGCCAAGGCTAGTGCAAATAAAAAAATAGAGCGTATGTTTTAGTTTTATTATACAGCAGAGTTGTTTTATGTTCTCAGATTTTTTTTTTATCAATTATAGCAAACTTTGGGAGTTAGAACTTGGAAGATGCAATTATAACTTATAAGTAGTGAAGTGATTTTGCTTTCTCAATGTTCACTCAAGGTTCTTAAGTTCTGTTCTTGGTCTCAAGGGAAGGCCTTAATCAATTTCTAGGGAGTACAATGGGTGAAGATGTCTGTCTCCTTTGCTCAACCCTCACATATAGTCGGAGAGTGGAATTTACCATTCCCCAGATGAGGGTCAGTTTTGGTCAAATATTCGGTTTATGGGGTAATGCTGATGTGGTTCTTTCGTGCCTGCCATGTTTAGCAGTTTTCTACATACCGTCTTTTGGTCAGGAAGAGTTGGACCTCTCCAATATGATCCAATTATGATGATTTGGTTGGATATAACCTGGGGAGAGAGAGAGAGAGAGAGGGGGGGGGGGGGGAGAGAACACCTTGCCAATGCCATACAGGTTACACAGATTTTGGGCTGACTCATGTAATTTTACTCTATCTATCCCCAATGTAAAATTTGAATGCTACAAGTCTGCCATCATACATAAAGTTAAGCATAATGTCCAGCCAATTATTACTACCAAACAACCAATTATGGTCACGTACTTGGTCGTGGTTCATGGTTGTGTATGAGGGAATGCCAATGAGGTTGTTTCATGCCTGCCATGTATAGCAGTTGTTTGCATACCGTCTTTCAGTTAGGAATGGTCAAACTACTCAAATATGACTGGATTAGGATGATTCCAGGAGGGAACACTTACTGTGCCGAATAGGTTACCCATACTTAGGCTGATCCATCTAACTTCATTCTATCCATCTAGTCCAAATGTAAACTTGAGTGCTATCTTGTCCATCATCATGTATAAAAGCTATGCATAACTTCCTACCTATCAATTATTACCACTGACCAACCAATTATGGTCATTATATTAAAATAATTTCAGCACACCGATCTGATATTCATTCAGGAGTCAGGACCATTGTAAACCCATCTTTATAAGGACTCCTAAGGCTGAATAAGAGGCAATGTAACAAAAGAATCAAAGGATTTCCTAAAAGAAGAGAATTGACCTTTAGGCTGGTTGGTGAGACACAAGCATGAACATTTACGAACGCTGAATTTGCTCAAATTTATATGCAAAGACTCAAAGACCGTACTTGTCAAGTTGTTATATTTCCATTAATTCAAAGTTTATTCTTCAAGAGCCTCATGTGTGGCATTTGGATGAATTAGATGTCTCTGCATCTCACAGTCATTTGAAGAAATGTAGTAGATGTTACTAGCTGTGGAGTAGAATGAGAAAAATTAAACAGGGTTATGGAATTTATAAATACAAAGGGGGTGAGAAGTAAGAGCTCATTTGTAAATGATAACATGTGGAATTGTCTGTGTCACGTGTAGTCATGTTACTTTGAATATACTTCGTATGATATAATTAGATTTATTTGAGCAGTATCCAACCCTGGGTTATGGAATTTATGAATTAGCAGATTTCAGCACATATATAGTCTCCAGGATTTTTGTTTGTATTTCAGAGAGCTGATAGCTGCAGCAAGGAAGTTAATTAAGCAGTTAAAAATTGCTTATGCAAATATGGAGTTCAGATTATATGAATTATTCAATGATTAACATCCTTGAAATGCTTCATTGGAAGGTTGGGGGCGGGGGATATTTTGTTAAATTTTTCCTTAATAAATTATGATACTATTTTCTACTGGCATTGTGTGGTTGTTTTTCATAAGGGTACTTATAGTTACTAGTTTTTCTCTGTCGCAGTTATTTTCAAAGTATATGATTCAGACCGTAATGGAAAGGTGTCTTTCAAAGATATGTTGGAAGTGCTAAAAGATTTGTCAGGTTCATTCATGTCTGATGACCAGAGAGAGGTATCACCAACAATCTGTATGCTTCCCTGTATTGCTTAATTATGTAGTTACTTCACTGGGAGTTACTAGATAGGAAAGTGGGTCTGCATTAAGGTGCATCAAATATCAATTATTACTGTTTTGACATCCCTATTACAAGTTTGGTATGCTGAAGTCAAAACAGTAATAATCATGTCTGATAAATCCATTTGGTTTATGCTTTTTGAATTATCAATTTTTTTCCCTCCATACACCTTTTTAATTGTGCTTGTATTGGTATATGTAGACTTAACTAGAGATTGGCTAATTTTGTTCTCTGTTTTTTGATTTGCAGGAAGTCCTCAGCCAAGTTCTGAGAGAAGCAGGATACTCAAAAGACTCTTACTTGACATTGGATGACTTCATTAAGGTCTGTACAATATGATATATATTTCCTATGGACAATTCTTAAATGGATATCACAGAAAGAAGTGTCAAAGAATTGCTAAATCTTACTCTTTTTTATTTTTTCCTTCCCCATTTGATCTACTGTTGACCTGTCAAACCAGTGAGCCACATAAAAATCTTTATTATTAAGTCATTTGATTTTATTGACCTTGATACTTCTTTTACCACAAAGGGGGGAGTGGGCCAGCGGGGCTTATGGGAAATGGTTTCCTATTGGATGGAGCAAAAGCAGTAGAGAAAAGAATGATGTCTTGCACGGAGGGACTTTAACTAGGTTTAAAGCATAATCAACTTGTCTGGTGCTTTCTTTATCCATAAAGTTGGCCTGATTGGATATCACTTTGTGCAAATGATGAGATCTTTCAACACAGACAACATTATTTGATATTTCATTTTTTTTTTCTAAATCTATTATAAGAATTTATTACTTGCATATCAAACTCTACAGTTTGTTTAACATTTGTGCTTCAAGTGCATTGAAAGAGTCAGTTTATTAGGTACCCACAACGAAAATTAAAATAAAAGTAAAGAAAGACTCATCACCTCAGTCATGCACAAAATCCGATTGTGTCTCTTATCTGAAAACTTCTGTATTACAAGACTTTTTTTTGCCCTTTTCTTTCTATTTCTGGACATGTTTGATTTTTGTTTCTATTTCAATTTGTCACAGGTTCTTGGCCAATCTGACCTAAAAATGGATGTTGAAGTCCCTGTTGATTGAAACTTCCTGCAGTTTTGGTTGTTCTCTTGAAACATAAAAATTGTAAACTTATTCATGAGATTCTTGTAATATAGTTCATGTGGAAATGAGAAAGTGCTCAAATACTGTTGTCCCCTTTCTTCTTGGGATTCTTGTAAAACTGTTGCTTCCAGCCACTAGTTGTTTTGGAGCCAATTTGAGTAGCTTTTGAGCTTGATTCAGTTTTTCACACTCCTTGACATGTTTTACGACCTTTTGGGTCTCTTGAATTCAAATTTGAGGTAATTCTTTCCATTTTAAGCTTCAAAGTTTCGTTGATGAATTTGCCAACTCAAAAGTTTCATACTCATCATGCATATTTCTAGTTGTTTGCTGAGTGTCACTCCAGCTACCTTGAAAAGCTGAGCCGTTTGATTTTGTCAGTGTTAGAGTATTAGGATTCTTATCATGATACTGCTCTCATTAATTATATCTGTATATTAAATTTGAATTTCTCATTTCTAAACAAAAGTATTTTTAGAGACTATTATCTTTCGTATTTTATCATCGAACTTCTCTGGCATTCAACATTTATTTATTTTTTGTTAATTTTTATTTTATCAAATAATATTTCTTTATTTTAATTCTATGTATTTTAAATTGTAAAATACTGTATCAAATTGAGTATATCTTTATTTTTAAAATAAATTAGACTATCAATAATCTGGAATATGACTAACTTTTTGTTAGGCCCTACTTCCGGTGACAAAATGAAGGTAAGTTTTAAAACACAGACGGATAAATTGTACTTATATAATTAATAAAATTTGATCAAAGAAGAAAAATTTGGACTTTTTTACTTAAATAATATCTTTTAAAAATAATTTCTTAAAATAATTTTTTTAAAACTAATTCTTTATCTGATTTTTTTTCAATATTGTCTATATATAAACAATAATAAATTTTTATTATTATTTTAATAAATTATTGTTTCAGTATTTCTGATATTATACTAAAAATTAAGAATTCAAGATGAAACAAAAATAAATTTTTATTATTATTTTAATATATTATTTTTTTATATAATTTTTTATCGTTATTTTAATATTATTATTACAGAATAATTGATACTTATTTTTTTTTTTTTATTTTAAAAATCTATCTTACCATGTGATCCTATATTCATATTTTTTATTTTAAGCAAATGGTGCAGTTGCGTCACAGGGAGGGATTGTTCCCACGAAAGGAGTAGCCAGCAATTCTTCAACCATACAGAGAGACCCATGTGAAGGGAGAATTAAATGTGGAAGTCAAACACAAGAAATCAGGCATCTGGAAATTAGGCATCGCCACCAGTGTCTCCCCCATGGCTGTGACCTAACCAGCATGAAAAACGCGAACACGTGGAACAGGGGCAGCGGGAACAACGACGCCGGATGCGGCTCCTCGTCAAAATAAAAAATGAGTATCGATGATTTGAAACAATTTTATTTTAAAAAATTGTTTTCAAAAATGTATTATTTAAATAAAAAAAGTCGAAAATTTGATCAAAACTAACAAAGGTTTGTTTTCAGTTATCATCGGAGAAGAAATTAGGGATCACCATAGCAACAAGGTTTACTAACGAATTGAAAAGTTCATAAAAATGAGGTTGCATTATGGAAGGTGAAGAATGTCATTTTTCCACCTACAAAACTGCTTGTGGTTCCTTCACTCAAGTTATGAAATTATTGTCATGATGCTCGTGTTGTCGGCTTCTTTGTTTTTTTATTTCTTTTCACAAATGATGTGTCATTCCAAAATGCATGTCTGAAAGAGAGAAAAGAAGGCATGAAACTTATATATGTGATAGATAATCTACCATATTTGCAATAGACAAAGATGAAATTTTACAAAATTTTATCATTTCAATTGTTGTATCGGTTTTGGATTAAATCACGTTCGTTTAAAAAGCAAAATATATCTATGGTTTCAGTTCGTTGGGTAGTCCATTTCATTGGTCAATTCAAAAATCAATCTTTAGCCCAACAAAGTAAGACATTGAATAATATACTATTTTAAGTCTTTGATATTATAAGTATTCATCATGTTCATAAAATTTTTAAAAATAAATTATTTTATTTTTTAAAGTTATAAGCATCTATCAATTAATCCTTAAAATTATAAAATAAATTTTAGTTTCTTAACAAATCAATTATTTTAGTTCCTAAAATTGTATACATATGTTGATTTAGCCTTTGGAATTATGATAAATACATATCTTTTTTGGTCAACGTAAAATATATTGGTTTAAATTATAAAAAAACAATTTCATTTTCATAGGAAGAATGAAAAACCCGTACGTAAAAGAAAGCAGAATGTCATAGTATATGCAACGTTGTGGTCCTCTTTTTGAGAATAGTTAGTTAAAGGGAGCCTAAAAAAAAAGCGTGACTCACAGGAATAGTTGCTGGCAAGTGGGAAATAGCAATAGCAATAGCAATAGCCAACACCATTGCCATTTTTGCATTTCTTTCTTTTCTGGTGTTACTGTCACCCTCCTCAGTTCCTCATCTTCCCATGCTGTATGCAGCACCATGTTAGAAGGGTGCGTTTCTTCTTCTTTTTTCTCTCAAAATATTTACGAAAGTATGGACTTCGGACTTGTTTATTGTATTATTTTCATTCTTAATCTTAAATTAATGTGTAGTAGTAGGGATAGTTATGGGGTAATGAATTACTCTACTTTTCTTGTTTTCTGCTGATTGCTTACAGCTACTACTGTGACATGTTTCCTCTTTGCAGAGGATTTTACCGAACATGTTGCAAAAGAGGGAGTTTTAAACGGTTCAGACGTTGGAGGATACCTTGTCATTTAGCAAACGGACAAGAATGTTCATCCTTGTTGAATTTGTGCATCCACCGAATCACTCAGGTGCTTTACTGCTCCACTTTCCACTACAATTTTCAACATCTGATCTAACCACTTACCGCAACTGCATTCCACTCAATGTTTCTTGACAGGACATTGGTGAATTTAACACATTTTCTGCACTCCCAAGGGACTTGAGTCAGCGAATTTTCAACAATTTCGTTTGCTCTTGCCGTCTCACACCCGCTTCCCTCCAAGCCTTTCGAGATTGTGACCTCAATGTTAGAATTATTTGTCAATTCCCAGTTATTTACATTTTCCTGATCTATTTTATTGAAGGTCTTAATCTTATCGATTATTATCACTTTGTTGTTGTTTTAAAGGATATTTACTTGGGAGAATATGGTGGTCTTGCTGTCAGTGATGGTTGGATGGATGTCATCTCATCACAGGGATCATCTTTGCTTCATCTGGATCTTTCTGGCTCTGATGTCACTGATCATGGCCTCACCTATCTTAGAGACTGCAAAAATATCATCTCTTTAAATCTTAATCACTGTCATCAAATTTCAGATCGTGGGTTGGAGTTCATCAGTGGTATTCTTGTCTGCACCTGAGATAGTCTTTTTTCTCTGCATCTTCACTGCTTCATGGATTTTCTATATCTTTACTTGAAGAATGTTAGCAACATACTCTTTAACACAATCTTAGTTGTTGGTTAAAATTTATTAAAATCTACAAGTATGAGAGATAAATATTAAATCAAGAGTGAGAAAGATAGAAACCTATTTAATTTTTATAGTTTTCAATAAATTTTAGCCAATGACTAAGAGTGTGTTAGAAAGAGTGTATTAGAGACTCTATTGCTAGCATTTCTCATTTGTATTTTGGTTTTTTATTCCTTGGCAATGGGATCTATCCTATGAATCTTATTCATCTGGAGCAAAGAATAAAAAACTCATCCAATAATAGTAGCTTCCATCCTTAATTTTCACTTGACTGAATAACTCACTAAAAATTAGTACACCGTACTAAAAAATTAGAAGCAATCGAAAAATATACATATGGAAACCTTAGAAATTTTGTACGTAACACTTTCCAAATTTTCATCATCTTTGTGTCTTTATGCATTTGCTGAGATTCATGGGACGTTACATTTGCTAGAAGCTTTGTCCATAATCAATCTTTCAGGTCTCTCAAACTTAACGAGTTTGAGTTTTAGAAGAAACAATGCAATATCTGCTCAGGGATTGAGTACATTTCCTGGTCTTGTTAACTTGGTCAAGTTGGATTTGGAGAGATGTCTTGCGATTCATGGAGGCGTTGTGCATCTTCAAGGTTGGACCTTATATGCAATGTTGTCTGAAAGCTTAAGTAACTACAGTTCTTTGGTGCACTTAATAACCCGACTACAGTCTGAAATCTTGTATGCAACATTTAAAGATTATTTTGCTTGTATGCTTTGTTCCCTCACTTGATGGAGATATATCAAGCAGTTAATCTCGTTGAACTCCTTTCAAATCTTTGCCAATTGATAAAAAGTCTTCTTTATATAGAGTTCAATTTTGTAACTAAAATCTGAACAGAAATTGGTGACAGGACAAGTTGGATTCAGATCCTAAGGATCTTGTATACAGTTTAGTAATTGGTTTTTGGTTTGTTGCAGGCCATGCATGCATTTAATACTCATAATCTTGATCAATTGTTTTTTGATCTATGGAAAACCAAATTGCAAATGAATGCATGTAAAGCAAAGCTTCTTTGTTGATACATTGAATTTGCCAAATGGTACTAACCTCCTTTATCTCTCTTCTGTATGAGATGCTCTTGTATGGCTATAAATGGGGGGATTTGATAGTATCAATAATGCTCGAGTGACTGTAAAACTGAAAGTGGGGGCATATAATTGCAATGATTAGGGCTGTGTGAGTGTGGCCTGAAGTTTACATGCCTCATAGTAATGATGTACAGTTGTGAAATATATATATGATTCAATGACATGGTCCATATTTTCAGGTCTAACCAGGTTGGAATCTCTCAATATGAAGTGGTGTAATTGCATAGAAGATGCTGATATCGAGCCTCTATCAGGTTAGTTGCATTTTTCTTCCTTTTGACTACTTTAACTGAAAATTTCACCAGAGTTTAATTGTCTGCGCTTATTTTATGCAGTTAGCGTGTTTTCAACCATGTAGTAGTATCTGGTAAAATTATTGGTATCCCCTCTAAATTTAGAGCAATAAGTCTAGTGTACTCCTCTCTGATGCCCTATAAGGAAATAGAAATCTCTAAACTATAATTATGCAAAAGGTGTGTCAAATGTTTATAATTATGGTCTATTTATGGACCCAACACAAGCAAACACTATTAAGATAACCTTGATTCTATATTGGAGTGAGATAATCCAACAAAGGATAAAACCTCTAAAGGAATAATCTGAAAAAAAAAAAAAAAACTTAATTTCAAAATTAAAATCCTAAAACTACTACCTAATTTTAACAGCACCTCTATTAGGAACTATGCATAACCTAATAACCTATTACAATATTTTCTAAACAAGTGAAGTGAAATGTATTATACTCATGGATAAAGTTTCCGTCAAATAATGGCTTATTTGCATTATAACAAATGTTGGTTTTATAAAGAAAGGATGCCTTATACTAAGGGTATCTGTAGATGGGTTAATTAGTTTCTGTTGATCTGATTTATTTATTGTTATTTACTATTTGGGGGTTTGATTTTCTTTTATATTATTTCATTCCAGCTTAGAATATGAATAGCTTATTAGGGTGTTTGGTTATATTTGGTCTATAAAATAGGCCTTCAATGTAAAACATTTGAGACTTTTTCTAGTATCATATGATATTGAGTCTTCATTCAAAGAGTATTACTATGCTACTTTTGAAGCTCTTTTGCCTTCGTATGGTGTTTAAAACTTGAAGGGAATAAATAACATATCTCATCCGCCGAAAGGGATACTTGGTTCAATGACTAATGGCCCAATTTATTTAATTTACTTCCAGCGCTTACAAACTTGAAAAGCCTAGAGATTTCCTTTAGTAAAGTCACAGATGTTGGCATCAGTTTTCTAAAAGGTATTTTGCCTTCCATTATCTTATTCTGGTGTTTCAGAGCATTAGGGAATATATGATGATCTTCTGAGTTATGGTACTCTTACATGTTTTGTGTTCAGAAAGCTTTGTGTTGTTCAGTAACTAAAAATGCCAAATTTGATATTTTCATTTTTTTAAGTTCAGTTTGATATTCTATCTCAATTGTTTTAAAACATTTAGTTTCTATTTGTGTAAAAGCTAGAGTTCAGTTGAGGAAAAAAAAATCATCTTTGAAATCTATTTCATTAATGATATAAAATTTTGCTACTTATCATTCTAAGTAGACATTACGAAGTTGAATAGTAAACAAGTTGCAGTCTCAACTCTGTCAATGTTTAAAACACATGTTCATTGCCATGATTAATTCCAAAACGCACTGTGGTTTTGTTTTTCCAATATACTAGATTTGTGTTAATGTTGTCCCAGTGTCAAGGTATGAATGTCTTAGATCAACACTTTAAGGAAATTTCAAGTTTCAACATTTAATTTTCATCTTCCTTTCTTCCATTTTCAATAATTTCTCAGCTGATTTCAGGATTAAAAAAGCTTGCTTTGTTAAATTTGGAAGGATGCCATGTAACAGCTGCATGCTTGGATTTTCTTGCAGGTTGAATTACTTTGTGGATTTTTTATGCTGATTCTGTTACTTAATTGATTTTTATGCTGATTCTGTTATTTTTTTTCATGATAATATCAACGCTTACTTGCACTAACTAGTTGTTAGGCTATAATCTTGGTTATTGCCCAATGCCCCGTGAATGCTTTTAAGCTTAAAGCTCAACCTGATAGAAACCCGGAGAAAATGAAATGAAAACTTGAGAGAGAGAGAGAGAGAGAGAGAGAGAGAGAAATAAACAACAGAACTTTATTGAAGAACATAATAGAAAATGGAGAATAGAATTCTCTCCAAAGGTTTCCCCTTCAAAAAGAATCTCTCCTTTCACATACACAGTCTATCAAACTCACAGAATGCCCCCTCCCTTATTAATAATTAATTTTAAGTCCATTCGTATGATTGGTTCATGGTCTATTGAAACAGATCTCCTTGGTGTTTTATCCCCTCGCACCCTAACATAATCTCTTCCAATTAACTAACTAGTCCAAACTAGCTAATCGATTGATTGATGACTACTAACTGTCCTTTTTCACTCTCATTATTTACATCCTAACAGAGCCACATTATGTTTATTGGGTTGCCTTTATCATATGACTCCTAGGAGATTGTGATTTGAGCAAATTGTGGGGTAGAGTAGGGGAGTGTAGTTAGGGTTATATCCAAGAGGAAGGCTAGAAAATTGGTTGCCAGAATCTCTTATATTCAAATATTTATGTAGATTTGTTTGTTTGTTTTAAACTTCTTATGTTAGCGTAGTATTCATCATTTTTCTCTGAGGAAGGGTGTCAACTGAATACTATTATATAAAATGCATTTTATTTTCATTATTATCAGCGAATGTCATTTGTCAATAAGAAGTTTAACTTGATTTCCTCTTTCTACTACATGATGAGGCTGAAATTACCATTGAAGTTTTGATTTGACGATGTTAAGTTTTCTGCCAGAGCTTCCTGCGCTGTCACACTTGAATCTTAGCAGATGTGATTTTTCTAACAATGGATGTGAAAAGTTTTCGCGTAAGTTAACACTTGTACAACCATTTAGTATTTGCTTCTTGAGATTCCATAAGAATTCCTGGGGTACTTGACTTGTAGCATTTTTTTTTTCAGGACTGGAAAATTTGAATGTATTAAACTTGGGATTTAATTACATAACAGATGCATGTTTAGTTCACTTGAAAGGTAACTTGAAATATGAACCCAACTCTCTAATCACAATTTAAGGAGAAATGCTAAATATCTCTAAAGTTGAGCTAAATTATTGTAGCGGATTCACTATCAAGTCATTAATTACAAGATGAAAAGAAAATTATTACTACGGATAAAAAATGAAATGATTTAGTTTAAAATGTTCTTTATTTTTTCTCACATCAATATCTTTTAAATTGATCATATTTTTTAACCAAAATCAAATGAATGAAAACTAAGTTTAAAACGGTTTTTCTAATGTATGTCTGATGGTACATGATAAAAATTAATAAATAAGTTTTTTATTAAAATTGTAGCAGTTAATGTTTTTAAAAAAGATAAACTACTAAAACTAAAATCAAAATGAGGTAAAACTATAAGGACTGATTGTTTCTCTTAACCTTACATTTTTCAAGCAGGATTGACAAAGTTGAAGAGTTTGAACCTGGATTCATGTACGATTTATGATGAAGGATTGATCCACCTGGCGGGTAAATTTTCAATAGGCTCTAATTTTCTGACCCAACATTTTTGTTGTCCAATTATTCGATCTTGTGGTAATTTATGCTTTTACCTTGTAGGCCATCAGCAACTGAAATGCTTGGAACTCTCTGATACAGAAATTGGAAGCAATGGACTACACCATTTATCAGGTTGAATATGCCACGTAATATTATTACTTTTAACCAAAGTTTGTACGCTTTTATAGTTATTTTACCTTCATTGTTAGTACGCTTTTATCCAAGGATTGTAGCATTTATAGTTTTGCTTCTTTTTATCATTATTATTAGTATTAGTACTAATGCTGTTGTTATTCTGGTATTCTATTACTTGTAGGATTGTCTAGTCTGGAGAAAATAAATCTATCATTCACTATGGTTAATGATAGTGGTTTAAGCAAACTGTGTGGCCTGTCATCTCTTAAGTCACTAAATTTGGATGCCCCCCAAATTACTGATACTGGATTGGCATCCTTAACAAGTATGTATTCCTATGTAAATTTACAATTCAAACAATGTTGTTTATCTTCTATTTTGTACATACGCTTCTACATGTTCTATAATTTTATTAATCTCGGGTTTGGAATATTACCATTAATGACATTTATTGAACGCTGATGCAGGTTTGACTGGGCTTACAGACCTGGACTTGTTTGGTGCACGAATAACAGATTCTGGAACAAACTATTTAAAACGTATGAAATATTGTACTAATATTAGTTTCTTGCATTAATCCAAGCAATTTTTGTTTCACTTTACTGAAACCAAAATAGTTTGGATTAGATTAATTTTTGGGAATAATATTTTTAACACAGAAAGTTATTTCAAACCACACTAAATCTCTATTTGGTAGCTGTAATTTTTAATATCTCCATTTTGCCTCCCACTCTTCTAGTCAAGATTTTGTTGGTCTCTCTCGTGTAAAGGTTATGAGATACCTAAGTACATTTGATGAATCTCTTCTATCAAACAATCTTCAAAATCAATATTTATTCCATTTGCGGTCATCTGTATTTAGTAGAATTAACTCCATTTTAGTGTTAGTTCTTTGACTGAACCCCTTTCAACTATAATTTGAATTAACTGTGTTCATGGCAAAACAGACTTCAAGAACCTGAGGTTGCTGGAAATATGCGGTGGAGGGTTAACTGATGATGGTGTGAAAAATATCAAAGAGCTTTCATCTTTGACTTGCTTAAATTTATCACAAAACTGCAGCCTTACAGACACTACCCTGGAGTTAATTTCTGGTATATTTCCTGACCTTTGTTTTGTATGAAAATCACATGGTACCATTTTGTTTACTTTTGTTTTCCTTATGATAAAGCGGAAAGCCAAAATAATCACTTGAACAGATAAAAATCAAAACAGAAGTTATAGGCTTTGGATTATAGATTTAACTTGAACAAGTGTTTATAAGTATATATGAATTCTAGTGATTATAGACTATATTTATAACAATATAAATAAGAATAATAAAAATATTAATATAACAATAATATATATATATAACCGGTACAAATAGTAAATCGAGATACTTATTCTATGATAAACTTACCTTTTATTTTTGTGCCTTTAGTAGGCCTATTATTTCTGGCAATTGCAATGGCTTTAGTGGATAAAAGTTACTTCATAAATAAAGAAAAAGAAATTGGTTAGGGATTGATTTTTTACCCAATCCTAATATTATATATATATATATATATATATATATATATGAAAATTAAAATTGGATTTTAAATCCAAAATGCATTCATTCGCAAATTCAAGAGGTTAATCATGAATATGAATATAGTTTTGCGATCAAAACAAATACCGATATATCGTGTTTATATTTTTCTACAGTTTTCTTGTGAAAATCCTAAATGCATTAGTTGCTACTCGCAGTTCTTGTAGTTGTAAGATATATAATGGATCATGTGATCTCGTAGTTAGGACTTTTAAGTAATTACATGAAATAAGTGTTCATGATTTCCGATTATGTCAAGCAGGGTTGGTCCATGATTGTCTTTATTTCTTTCTGATGAATCTTTGATAATCATCATGCACACCTTGATCATGATTTATGAGTGAATGGTACATAACACATAAAAAATGCAATGCTGTAGCCGAGTGGTTGGGCAACTCAAGCCTCCATCTTGATCCTGCATTATTTATTTTGTATCAATCTCCCAGTGAGCTGTTACCTGCTTTATTTTATGCTTTTGTGTTCCCTTTCCTTAGCTCCACTAAGTTTATTTTTGCTCATTGTCCCATTTCATTTGCCAAAGAGAAAAGATTGCATTCAGTTCTTTTACGATCAAGTTGTATTATTTAATTTACTGGCTTATGCATGCAATTTCAGGGCTTACTGGTTTGATTTCTTTGAATGTTTCAAATTCTGGTATAACCATTGATGGGCTGCGGCATTTGAAAAGACTAGAGAACTTAAGGTCTCTTTCATTGGAGTCCTGTAAAGTGACAGCAAATGACATTAAGAAACTTCAATCAACACACCTCCCGAATCTTGCAAGCTTTCGACCCCAGTAATTGGGGAGCTATTTCAATATGTACTATATTTTGAAGCTGTACTAGCACTGCCATACGTTACATGAGTAAGGAAAGACAACATTAAATTCAACGGCTTCAAAGGGGATTCTTTTATTTTATTATTAAGGTGTGTGTAGAAAATTTGTATCTCATGTGGATCTGGGTAGGAAAGTGTTCACTGTAATGGTGTAAAGTATGCAATCAATAATGGTTTTAATATTTTAAAACTGATTATTGAACCTGTATAATGGTTAGAGGGAGTGGCTATTCTGATATATCTCCAAAACTACAAAACCATCTTTATTAGGAAAAAAAAAACTGTTGATCTTTCTTCTTGAACTTCAATGTAGATCTGCTAGTATGGAGACTGTTCTAACATAATTCACATTGATCCTATTTAACTAGACTCGGATTAATGAGCTATAAATTAGTAATTCAATCAATTGTCAGAAGCGTCATAACCTAGTCTATCAGCTTCGTATTTAATCCAATTGTTTTGCAAAGGAAAAATATATGGACATTTGTTTTAATTTGTCAACTCATGTATATCTAATTATTACATTTATTCACCACTTTAATGTTGTTTGGTTCGTTATATTTTGATCTTGTTTTATTAAGTCCTTACATTCTAATTTACTAAATTTAGTCCTTTATTTATTAACTATATGCAATATTACCCATAATATATTAATTAATTTAATTGTTTTAAAAACTAACTTCAACCTAAACTTATAAAGTTTTTTTGTAATTTAAAATTCTAATGAGTTTTGGAAGTGACATATAAACATATTCATTAACATAATAACACTTTAAGTATTTATTAATCTTTTAGTATATCTCTTTTAAATGAATTATATATTAAATCTTATAATGTTAAGTAATTTTTAATACTTTTTGATATTTAAAATTTTTACCCTTATTCAAAAGTTTTTATATAAAAAATACTAACACATTCTATTTAATACACTTCGTTACATGGAATACTCACTTTAATGTATTTTTTACTAAATCACATTAAAAACACATTAAAGAAACACTAACATATATACATTATAGTTTCTAAAAAAAATATTCTTTACCTAGGCTCCTAAGATTAAAGCAGTTGTTAACATTAAAATTTTCCATTTTAAATAATATTTAGTTGTAGTCAAATGTATGGATCCGTCGATTAAATTATAAACTATTATTTTTTCAAACATTAAAAAGAAAATAGTTACCACCAAAGGTTCAAACATGGATCAACGAGCATTTACGTACGCATCTCGATCGAGATCGGCAAAGAGACGTCACCGTATAACTACTCTGCCTTCACTAAAATAACATCAAAAGGTATTCGAGACAGTATCATTGTCAAATTTACAGTTAAAAAACATCAACATGTTTCTTGAATTTTTCTTGTACAGCAAGTACTGGAAAACATTTTGAAGGAGCCACATGCATTACCGTGTGCAACTGCGCAAACGAGAAACCTTTGGTATTAAAATTCTAAATCCAAACACTTGGGTCCTAAATTAATTGGAAAAAACAAATCAACAACTTAGCACTTTGAATTCTTCAGGTTACTAATTACATATCATGAACCACAAACTACACCGTTTAAAAAATTATACATTTATATATGAATAAGATGTGAGCGATGAAGACAAGAATGTCCTTGGTGAGTTACATGCAAACTCGATGAGATTACAAAAGAGAAGTTAGGATTAACCAATCTAAACTAAATAGCCAGAAAAAGCTTATACTCGAGAACTTCTACACTGTAGCATTAGACTTGATGGAAATTTTCACATATGTTGGCAGTTACATGTGTTTAGGTTTTGGGTTGATCCACTGCTCTGGTAAGTGATGGTGCACACAACACAATTGATCATCTAATTCAGAGAGTAGCCTGCATTAACTTAAGTACATTCCTAGTTTCTTGAAATGGCCAGCAATCCAAGTATGTAAAAGAAACTTGTCTTTGGCTGACATGGATCATCTCTGGGCTTCATCAGAAGAAGCTCCAACTGAAGTAGCTGCCACATTGCTTGTTGAGCCATTCTCAATGGGTGGAGGCACACCCCACTTGCCTTCAGAATCAAGGGGCTCAAAGACATGAACTCCACCATCCGACAGTCCTACAGCAAGCTGATTTGGCTCTTGAGGATGTGCAGCAATAACCAGAGGTTGTACATTAGAACTGCTGTATAAAAACAAAGGTTGCTTAGTATTCAACAAGTACTGCACAAAAGATTGTCAGTTACTAACATAAAACTAGTAAATCTAAATTTAGAATACTCCAGAATAAACTTCATAAAGAACGAATTATTTGCAATGTTAATGATTATATTCACTTCAGACCAACTCCCTTCTTCATTTTATAGAGAAACAATAAAGTAAGACATACAGGACATTTTCCTTTAAAGTCGCCCATGTTATATACAAGTAGTGATTTCTGCATAAACCTAAAATGTCGAAGTGTAAAGAGAAAATTAGAATTTATTCAGCGCTAAAGTTTGAAGAACTTATATTTCCAAAGGATAGAAGTAGTGACAAACAAATTAAAATGTTCCCAATTTCAGTGAAGTTTGGAAATGAAAAACAGAGTAGCTAAATGAGAGAAGAAAGAATACAGGTTAAAGGACAACTGTTTTGGACTTTCAAGCTTCCAAAAGAAAATGAAAAACCATCACAAATTCACAATTGAATATCCAATTTCTATCAAGTAAGTTAAAAATGTTTAGTACCTTATGAAATATTAAAATTGAGAAAACAGAAAACCATTAATAACTTGGAACAAGTGTCATTACAAAGTGTAACAGAAGTCTGTCAAACAAGGTATTACCTGACACTCGCAGAAAGATAAGCAGACGGATTGATTCGACAACATAATCGAAGGTTTGAAGCACTAAATACACAGACTGTTGCATCTAAAAAACTGGCATATATGAGCTGGCTATCACATGAGAAAGTTGCATGTGATATTGGTGCAGCAGAATCTCGTGGGAACCACTGCAGTTCAAGCTTCATACATCAGGCAAAAGACAAAATCTATTATATACAGTCAACGTAAAACTGAACTGAATGGACTAACCTGCTTTAAACATTCTAGTTTTGTTGCTTCATAAATGGCAAGCTGAGTTTCATGTACAACCAAGAAGCGGAACTGATCCTGATGAAATTGTACCCGGGTATCTGCCTGTGAAGGTGTCCTCCCAGCAGGAAGTTGCAAGAATCTAGACTTCTGCTTTTCCCATCCATCAATATTCCACACACAAAGCTACATAAAAGACATACAGATAACTCTCTATATCATAAATAAGGAACAATGCATTGACAACACAGCATGCTCAAAGGAAGCCATAATTGATGAAAAGTAAAAAAGATACAAAACTACGACCTTTTATTTCAATTTATATCATAGAAAAATGACAGATTCCAGAGACAGATCTACACCAGACAATTATTACCTGAGCATCTGCTCCAGATGAAACTAGCACATTCAATGCATGAGAAAAAGCAAGACCAGTTATTCTTTTAGTATGACCTTTGAGTTTACTTTTAACCTGTAACAGGGAAAAAAAACCTGCATAAGCATCTTGTTACTCAAATCACAAGTAAGCAGGAAATGTTTAAGGACAGCAATGATACCTCATCTACACGAACATTATATATCTGAATAGAAGAATCATCCATGCCTATAGCAATAATATTGTTATCTTGAGGATGGAAAGCAAGAAAGGTTGCTGCAGGTGGTGGAGGCATGAATGTTGTCATTGTCTGCACATAGCCAAGAAGATTGAAATTACTCAGTTGCAAACCAAATTCAATCTAGAATGATGACTAAGGATCATAGCTCACCTTAAAAGTCATCATATTGAACAGAGAAATCTTCCCTCCCGATGCTGACATTACATAAGAATCATTTTTAGACAGAGCAAAGCAGGGAACAGCATCCTCAGTATTGCCATCAGTAATGTCATTAGTCATCAGGATGCCACTGGAAGGTTGCCACAATTGGGGTTGCACATTGGCAGTGGCCTACAATAACGAATATCAACATCAGAGAACAATACGAGTCCTATTCCCAATTTTACTGATTAAAGAGTGGTAGTCTGACAAAAATAATTGCATATTCTCACACCTTGCCAGATGAATTTCGGTCACTGCGCTGCCATTTCCAGAGCAGATGAATGGCATTGGAAGCTAATGCGAGAATGGCACTACCTGAATTAGTATATATCAACCTTGATATCTGCCATGACAAGGATGTAGATAATCAGAACAATTTCAATTTTGCAGTGGTAAGGGGTTACAAGCAGGAAATTCAAGGGTGGTCTTAATATAGTATTTATGAGCATATAGAAAAATAAAAGTCATGCTTCTCCAATGCATCTAAGAGGCAATGTAATGTGAAATAAGGATGAGAATTTTTTATAATTTGATGCTAAACACATCTAAGAAGAAATGTAGTGTGACAATGGCATAAATGATTATAATAAATTATAAACAAGACAGAAAAATTAAGAGAAAATGGCATGCTAATTGAATACTTAACTCTTCTGCTCACTTTTTTTAAGGACCAAGTGCCTAACCCTATGCATCTAAGTGTTAATACAAATGTGTACCAAGACCTATTAGTTGTGCCAGAGATTTTACACTGGACAGGACAGTTTTTTTTTTTCTGAGGAAGTACATAAACAGAAGCATGGAAATATTTTATTAACATTTGCAAAAATTATTTTGCAGATAGAAGAGTTCCTAGTCCACAAAGTCACAAAAATCAAAGGCATATGATAAAAGGTAATACACACAGGAGATATACCCAACTCCTTTGTTGTCCAATTAAAACTGAGTTCATTGAAAAAGGCTAAACTCAATGAAATAAAAATTTCATGGAAAGGGTATTTGATATAATTAATCATGTGAACGTTTATAAAAGAATACAGTTAGTAAGTAATTAATAAAGTTATAGCCAATATGTTTAAAATCAGCTAAACAAGAGAGTATTAATATCATGAGGAATGAATTAAAAAGAAATATAGACTTGAAATTCTGAATTCTATTATTTTAATATACATTATAATTTACATGTATATATAGGAGTTTAATTCTAATATTTACATGAGATAATATCCTAGGTTATCTTCTAATAATCTTAGAGATAATGACAAATAATTACAAAGATAATGACAATAAACAAGTACAGTAAATCATACTAATTAGACGATATTCTCAACAGAATGACATACCTTGTTCACTCTTACACTCTCTGGTAGCTTCAAGGATCTACATTGAGATGGTTCATTGATTTCAGTGAGCTTCCATATCTTTGATTTATCATTGGATTCTTCACTTATTCTAGGTTTAACATCACCCAAGTTTCGGGCATCCCCATTCTGATGAGTTGAAAATTGACATAGTTAAATTATGAATAATAACAACAATAGCAATGATGGTAAATATGTTAAAACAATCATAGTGAGATGCTTAGTCCACTTTTCCACTAGGACACAAGCATCTAACAAATAAGAGTTGCATGATGAGCAACAAAATAAAATCATCAAAAGGAAAAAGTCACATTCCAGTAAATAACAAGTCCTACTAATACAAAGACAAGATAAACAGACCACTCCAGTAATAGCTACCACAGATGAGGCCCTCTCTGCAAGCGCAGCACTAGTTGCAGCTACAGCAGCAGCTGAAATTGGATTTATTGTAGGCTGTCACAAACATCATATGTCAGACTAAGTTTTATAAATAAGCAAGGACACTAGGAAAGTATAACATCTAGAAGTATACCTTCGTCATGGCTTCCGGCGTTCTTGATGTATCAAATAAAGAATTCTCAAATGTACGCAATAAACGAATACCATCTGCATTGGCTAAGATTTTAATTCCATTCTCATTTGCAGAGACAGCTAAAAGAGCTCCATCCTTATTAAAACGGATCCGTGGGCTTGCCTAGAATTAAGATTTAAGATAAAGTAACAATTAGCAGCTACTATTTCCACAGACCAGCTATTCCATTTGCATAAAATAATGAACTTACAGGGAGAGCACCATCAGCATCGACAGCTGTCAAAAGCTGAATATTGTCCATATCCCAGAATTTAATGGAGAAATCATCACCAGCAGCCAAATATCGATTTTTGGTTGTATCAAATTGTACAACACCCAAAGATCGTTTCCGAAATCCTTGATAAGTCCTTTTCACAGCTCCTTCACTTTCATTCCACTCAACAATAGAGGATTCCCCATCCTTACTTGTCCCACATGAAAAGAGTCTGTAATATACATTCAAGCAAAAATATGTTTGAATAGATTGTGATCAACATGCAACACACAAAGTATAAAACTATAAATTGAATAATTCAACCATAAAATAAGATTCCAAATTCAAGTAGTTATGGTTGAGAAGCTGCACCTAGCTCCATCAGCACTATAAGCCATGGTTGTACACCAATGGCCAGGAGCATCATAATCAACACGAGATCCCAAATTGTCATACAACCATGCTTTTATCTTTCCATCTAATGCCGTTGAAAAGATGAACTATAGCATAAAAAAGAGTATCAACAAGAAAACCAACTAGGAAAATAGTCAAAGGATTTTCTTTGGGGAACTACCAATACAGCTAAAAGAATCATAGCAATAAACTCAACCAACATTTCCCATAGCTATCAAAGTCAATTTTTACCTGAATGTTTTCTTTATAATGTGGGCAGACTGAATAAACTGGAGCCTCATGACCTTCAAAAGTATACAGCTTTGCCCCCGTAGCAGCATCCCAAACCTGAAGTTAACATAACCTAGTTAGCAACACGTTATCTTCACTTCAGAAAACCAAGTTTGTGCTTTGACAAACCTACCTTAATGGTCTTATCATCACCGCAGGTTATCACACATAGCTGCTTATTTGGGTGGGAAAATGCTAGATCATTTACTCCACCAACATGAGCATCAATCTAGAAAAGAAGTTCATAGGTAAACAATTAGAGAAATGTAAACATAAAACCTCAAGTAAGCAGAATGAACTCTCCATCATTTGAGTGTTTGCAAGCATGCGTGTGTACCTCCAAATGCTGTCGAACATCATCCCCACCATGGTAAGAATATATCTGAACAATGTGCCTTGAGTAAGCAACTCCTGTTTAGCAAAAAAACTCAGATAAGTAATTTGTTCAGTTTACTTACGAAAGTACCCATTACTCAGATCTATACATTAAATTTGAAGAGTTTGAAAACTCTAAACATACCGAATAAAGCCCCATCAGGACTCCAAATCACACGGTTGACAGAAACTCCTGGATCTTTGACAAGAGCAGCCTGAATTGATTATGATTAATTTTATTTTCAGTCAGTGAAAACTTATGAGTTTTATGGTTTGGTACAAATATTCATCAAGAACATCAGTGGACAAAGTGAGAAAGGACAACCTGAAATGGCATGGAACAAGCACTAAGATCCCAAACTTTGAAATTCCTCAAGAGCAACTGCTCCCTAGAGCCCACTTCCCACAAAGCAATGTCCCCCACATTTGTACCAACTGACACATTGCATCGAGAAAAAAATTCAGTCAGTTGCCAGAATGATTAGTAAACACATGCAACTAAAAGACAGGTCAGCATTGCTATTAAAAGGCCTTAGAAGAGTAGCAGACCAAGAAGTAATGTCTGTTGAACTGGATGAAAGTCCATGCTCATAGGAGATGAGCCTTGGTTCAGAGTTCGCATGACAGTCTTTGGCAAGTCATCAGGTGCATTAAAAGCCTGACCATGACCATGGCCTTGGAATGTTGCCGACAAGACATTGACAGGTAGATTTACCTGTACAAAATGATGAAAGATTGATAGCAGAAGCGTGAGAGGTAATAACTTGCATTGGTACAAGTGAAGAACATATGAGATGTTTCCATAAATGAAGATTACCTCATCTGACATTCCCATTGGTCTTGTTCTCTTAGAAACATGATCTGAATCTCCAGATGGATAGTCAACAGAAGGATTTGCTGGAGGGGTTCTAGGGTGCTTCAAAGCAGCTTAAAAGGGCAAGGAAACATCAAATTTCAAAGATTGTACGTACTAAACATAGCCTATGAAATCTTAGTACCACAGCATTAAGAGTTGGAAAATAACAGAAAGCAAAAGAACACAGTACCAGGGATTGATGGTGCACCAAGACCTATAGCTCCTCCTCCACAAACTGCAGGATGTGCTACAGTGGTAGGATTTGACATCCAACCAGCTAGGGGTGTTGGCACAGGTGTTGGAGTAGGTTGAAAAGGCTATACACATGAATCACAGCAGAGTCCAGCACAATAATAAGAACCAAAAGGAAACAACATACTATGCAATTTTTATGAAACCAAATCAGTTTAGTAGCCCACCCCATGTGCACCAAGAGGAGGAAATCCTCCACCCTTTGGTAATGATCCTAATAGCGGACTATTAGCAGGTGAAGGGGCCCGTGCACCATTTGGTTGTCCACATGAGTGATCAACAAAAAGTGTTTTTATATCTGGATTTGGCCGTGGATTCTTACAAAGCTGATGCTGCCAATTCAAGCTGTAATTTAATTTTAAAAAGGGGAAATGAAATTCATTTATCCATCAGTTGTTTAAACTTTAAAGAGCATCTTCAGTGCAAAAGTGTATGCAGTAGCTCTGCCACATACAAATGGTTTACTGAAAGGAAGCATCAAAGCAGGCACTGTACAGGCAAGTATTGGTAGATGGATAATCAAAACATTCTACAATTAAATTTACGAACCCTCTCATTGCTGAAAAATTAATTAGGAGTTCAATGGTTGGAATCTAGGATGAAAAACATAAACCACGCATTTGTCAAAGCAGAAATGTAAATATGGCAGATGAGCTCCTACAATTATAAGTAAAGATACCAAAAGCAATCTCCTGGCCATAGTGTACCAAAAAGTTATTACATACAGTGCACAAATCACTGTTGTGCATGGTTTGACAATATCTTGGACTTTGAAAGAAATACCTTTGATTGATGAGAGTCCGTAACCTTGAGTTTTTAAGGTTGGGAAATTGCAATTTGTCACGAAATAAGGGATTTGCCTCAATCAATTTTTTGAGTTCAACCAACATGATAGCTCTAGCAGACTTCGTATCACCATACTTAGACAACTGTTCGTTTTCCCTATAACACCAGAAATTATTGTCCATATCTAACAGAAACTTTACACCAAGTAAAAAATTATAGTGGTACCTAAAATTCTCCAAGGTCAAAAGCTGTGTGATTTCCTTGAACAGTTCTTCATTAAACGTGGCAAAGACTTTCAAATCTTTCACTAATATTTCTACAGCCTTGGACCGGTCGTGCCTACCAAAATAATTATTAAAACAGCCGAAGTTCAATACTTGTACTACAATGTTGAGTGTCAACAGAATATATAAGTGAACTGGTTGTGAGCTTACTTATCCAATGCCTCCAGGTACTTCTGCTTCCTTATCTCGAAAAATATCTTCATAGAATACCTATTATCATCTACTTTTGTGAAACCAGAGAGGTACTTCTCAACTTCATCCCAATTGCCATTGTGCACTTCATCCTCAAAATATTTCATGTTAAAGAAAAACCCAGACTCCTGCTCAAGCCTTTTTTTGAAAAAGAAAAAACTAATTAATCAATTAATGTGCTAAAAAATAATAAAAATACTAGAGACGACCAATAATAATAACAAGGACAACAACAAAAAACTCAAATGGAACAAGCCCCACTTGTGAACAGTCTCTTTGAACTTTTCTTCATCCAAAAACTGCAAGATCAAGAACACCAACTCCCTACTGAGAGATGACATGGTAACCGCCTCGTCTTGGATTAGACAAGCACCAAAATGAGCAAGTATGAACTAGATCTGCGGAAAACAATATTATTATACTAAATGACAAGTTTGAGAAATAGCACACCGACCAGTTACGAAAAGTCCAAAAACAAAATTCCACACCGACAATGAAATGGTTTAACTAGCCCCAGCGAAGCATTTATGGAAGAAAACCTTCCATGCCTGAAAAATTAACTAAAATAGATCGATTCAGTCGATTTATTAATGTTTTAGGGGCAAAAACAAAAGGTAAAAACAAATTGAGTCTATTCCAGACGATCAAAGGGAAACAAAGAAAGCAGCTTTAATCCCATAAGGGAATCCAAGATGCAACACCATAAATAAATATAAGTCTTTATAAAAGGAAACAAACCAGCCAAAGTCGAAATTAAAATACGCATAAAAGCTTCAGACTTTAAAGTAACAGATTCGGAAACTAGAGAGAGAAAGAGAGAGAAAGGGTTTCGAGAAGCTCTCACCTTCAAAGCTCACACATGGGAAGAAAGGTAGCCGAATATAGAACCCAACAACAAGAACAAGAACAACAAAGCCACCCCTACCAGAACAAGAGACACCCAAACACCAAACCTCTCTCTCTCCTATTCCACTTTCTCTCTCTTGGCCTAATATACTCACTCTCTTTGTCTCTAAATTACTTCTCTTTCTCTCTCTCTCTCTCTTTCAATATATATATATATATATCGGACACATGAACTTGCTGAAATAGGTGTATTTTATATAAGAGGCGACAGTGAAGGGAGATGATAAGCAGATGCACTTATTAAGTGGGTTATCAGTCTCAATGATAAGCAACAAGAGAACCGCACCAGCTTATAATTAAGAGCAGTTAAATGCGGGGACCACTGAGCCGGCTTCATTTTTTCTACATTAATCGGCTCGGAATCTTGAGCTGACAGCTGTCTTCGGCTTGGAGTAAAACTAGAAGTGGGATAGTATTCGTCTACTGCCACATTGTAGAGTATTCTCTGATCTGAACTGTTGGTTAGGATTTTCACTGAGCAGGGACGATGGTTGACGGATCGTAGGGGTGAGAAACAAGGAAGAAAAATTGAGAGAAGGAGAGGATAATAGCTGAGAAAGCGAGTTGTACTGGGTTTTGATCCCCCGGGTAACGACAAACTTTGTGGGACGGGTCCCCAAAGAGTTTGGCCTCAAAGTTTGGGGAATATTACGGTGTCTACCATTCGGAGATGGCACTCATTGTATCACGTGATACAGTTCATGATTGCGATACGATATGAGATAAAGAATCGCGATATGAGAGTTAATAAAGAAAGTGAAGAAGTGATTTGAATGAGTGGTCAGAGCGTGTGTAGGTTATTGTCCCTGTCAGGTCTGTACGTTTCCCTCTTTCCCCAAAGGGGCCATAAAATGCGCTAATGCAGTTTCATACTTTTTATTTATCTTTTCCCTTCTTCTTTTTTTTATATCAAAATTAAGATAAGATTTTAATTACACAAGTCCTAAAATTAATAAGTCAAAATAATAATAATATTATAAACAATACATTAATATGTTATTTTAGTATATGGAAATCAAAATTATCATTAAAAAAGAGGAAGAATAAAAACCCTGGCAAATGCTCATGGCAGCCAACTCATCCACGAGAAGAGTGTGAGGCATTTTAATATATTATTCTAGTATAAAAATGTTATTTTGAATTCTGAAAATGATGAATTTTGAATATAGAAGTAGAACAAGAATTTAACTTTTCCATATATTTAAAACTGGGCCAGTACCTAGTCAAAGAACAAAACTAGCTGACAAGAGATGGCAAGTTTTTTACTGTGTCTTGCATGTCTATCGCGCATTGTGTGGATATTGAGACAGCTGAAGCCTGAACAAGTGACACGTAGATAAAATAGTCAAGTGCAAGGATTAGCTTAAAATAATGTTATGCATGCATTCAAGCGGTAATTAATACAGTAAGTCGATGTTAAGCAATGATAACAATATGTTTAAACTAAAGGCATTACCGAGAAACAAACAGCATTATCATTTACAATTCTTGTAAGAGAGAGATAATTTGCAGCAATCTATATAAGATGGCCCCTCCAAAATCGTGAACACGAAGAATGCATAAAATAATTATGACACAAGGGTGGAACTCATTGATGCTAAGCAAATTGAAATGGCTTCCCCACCATACTGTGTTGCTTTCTTCCTTCCTACTAAATAAAGCAACAAAATAAGTGCTTTTGCTTTATATATTTATTGTTATTATACTGTTTTTCAATATTATATATCAAAGATGTAAGACAGTTGGGCAGTACATGGAAATGGGACGCATCAATGGTTCTGCAAATGGGAAGAAACGGAAGAAAATGGAAAAGGTGAAGAAAAAAGCTCAAAGATTCTACTGACATTTTAACAAAGAAGAGGCAAAACACATTCATCAACTGCTTGAGAAAATAATCTAAACGTTGTACGTAAGATGGGGAAATAAAAACAAAAACTACGTGCCTTAATTAATTTAAAAGAATTTTAATTATAAAAATTGCCATTTAATTGAATTGATTAGTATCGTCCGAAAATATTATGAAGCATGAATATTATAGGCGAGAGGAAGGTGGCACCCACGAAGCACTGAGGAGTGAGGAATGACATTGACAAAGTACACATCAAAGCGGGTCGTGCAACATGGGTCGGGTGGGCCCCACACATTCCGTAGGTTCCTTTAGTTTTGGGTAAGATAAGGGTATTTATATTAGAATAATAATAATAACAATAATAACACAATTTTTAATATATTTTTTTATTATTCATTAAAATTTATTAAAAATTATAAAATTACATGACTCTTATTTTAATTTTTAATTAATTTTATTAAATAATAAAAAATATATTATTATATATTTTAAAATTTATTTTGTATTAAAAATTACAAAATTATTAAAAATTTAAATATTTTATATTATTTATTTTGGTGAACAGATATGAATATATGATCGATCCACATTTGGCTTGGGGGAACAACTTCTCTGTGGCACATGACTATCTGTCCAGGGCAAAATGGAAACGCCAGACTGCAGTTATTTTTTAAAAAGAAATTAAACTTTTTAATTAATATGTTTAACATATTAATTAATATTTATTATATATTATAGTTTTCATGATATTTTTGTTTTTAAAATTTTATAAACATAAAAAAGTCCTTTCCGTGGTGGTCTTGGAGGACAGATATATGTCACAATCATTCCTACCCATGTAAAACAAATCAATGGTGTCAAAATTGGGATGGACCACTGCTGCATGAAAACATAGTTGCATCTTCTTTTTCTTTTTGTTTTGGTTATTTATAAGCTATATACATAAATTTTATTTCAGAATAAATGTTTTAAGCTCAGGTTAAAACGAAAACACTAAATTTAGTAAGTTAAGTTAACACCCTATGAGAGGGGTTAAGATTTAATTGAAACAGCTGACAAACTGCTCAATATTTTTTATTTATTTATATATTTCTCGTGGGTCCCAGACTGAGAACATTCTTTTGTTCCGATGGTAGATAAATTGATTTTGGAGTAAACTTTATCATTTTTCAAAATGAAATAAATGCAAATAACTTTATATACAAATGCTTGTATTTATACATATTATGAAACTCTATCTTTGTAGTTAAGAGATGATTCTATTATCAAAATGTTGAAAAGCGGCAGCAACAAAACAAGATGAGTGGATTGTATTTGAGAATAGAATCAACTCTGTTAAGTGAATGTCTGTAATGGGCCTCCAATTCTGTTATTTGATAATTGGGCTTTTACTTATTAACAGTGGCATTGATTGGGTCTACACTCTACACTCTATCCCATTACATCACACCATTGGACAAAAGCTCTGAATCTGTCAGGTGTTCAAAACAGACTTGTTTTTGTAAATATTTGGAAAGTATTTTAATTGAATAAAGTTTTGTTTTTAATAAAAAAAATTGAAAAATTACAAGTGTTTAGTTTTAAAAAATAGTTTATTTACAAAGTAAAGTTTTTATATTAATTTGTCAATATTAAGTTACATTTAGTGGGGAATAAATGAGGATTTAAATTTATAACATATTAATTTTATATTGCATAAAATTGAATAAATAAAGTAAAAGTCAAAGTAGAAAAATAAATGAGTCCAGTAGGAAACTGGAAGGAACAGCGCAACGACCGTGCTTTCCCCAGGAAATGGCGTAGCATTCGTTTGTTGAGGTTATTCTATCTAAGTTTTGAAATAGAAACGGAGAGATTATCCAATCCAATATCCATTAACCCAGAGATCTAGCTTTTCTCTGCAAAACCAAAACAAAAAACCATTCTTCATCTCTAATCGTTTGATTCCATTGCCTTCAAATCTGTAAGTTTTTCGTTTTATATTTTTCAAAGATCTACAAATTCATTCTTCAATTCCCAATTGCTTTTGATCTGGCGAATCATGTCTCACAGAAACGATTCTAATTATTCTTCATTACCCGTTAGCTCATATCTAGAATTGCAGCCTCAAAATGATTCCCCAAAATCCTCACGAAGGATGTCTTTTGATGAAAAAGGGGGGTATTTGGGATCCAAGGTTGTGGACGACGATGATGATTTTGAAATCGACATCGATGATTATCCACTTGTTGTTGGGGGAACCAATCACGGTTCGGGGGTACCTGGGGCTGTGTTCAATTTGACCACCACGATAATTGGGGCAGGGATCATGGCTCTCCCTGCAACAATGAAAGTTCTTGGTGTGGTTTTGGGGATTATATTGATAATTCTTATGGGGGTTTTGTCTGAAATTAGTGTGGAATTGTTAGTGCGGTTTTCGGTTTTGTGTAAAGCATCCTCTTATGGGGAGGTTGTTCAACATGCTATGGGAAGGCCTGCAAGGATTTTGTCTGAAATTTGTATTATAGTCAACAATGCTGGTGTTTTGGTGGTTTACTTGATAATCATGGGGGATGTTATGTCTGGTTCAGTTCACCATTTGGGGGTTTTTGATCAGTTAATGGGGAATGGGGTGTGGGATCAGAGAAAGCTTGTGGTTTTGGTTGTCATGGTGGTTTTTCTGGCACCGCTTTGTTCCCTTGAAAAAATTGATTCTTTGAGCTTGACCTCAGCTGCATCAGTTGCTCTTGCTGTCTTGTTTGTTGTAGTTGCTTTTGCTGTTGCTTTCATCAAGCTTGTGGAAGGAAAGATTGATGCTCCTAGGATGGTTCCTGATTTTAGCTCGAAAACGGCCATCTTGGATTTGCTTGTTGTGATTCCTATAATGACCAATGCATATGTTTGCCATTTTAATGTGCAGCCAATATACAATGAACTTGGAAATCGGTCTCCTCAGAAGATGAACCGAGTTGGAAGGATCACCACCATGTTGTGCATCCTAGTTTATGCTTCAACGGCAACATCAGGTTACCTACTCTTTGGGAGAGACACGGAGTCTGATGTGCTGACTAATTTTGATAAGGATCTTGGAATTCGGTTTAGCTCGGCCATAAACTATATTGTCCGGGTTGGCTACATTCTTCATTTGATACTTGTTTTCCCTGTTATTCATTTCTCACTACGCCAAACAGTGGATGCATTGGTGTTTGAGAGATCACCTCCTCTATTAGAAAGTAGGAAGAGATCTCTAGGATTGACTCTCGTTCTGTTGGTACTCATATATATCGGATCTACTATGATTCCAAACATTTGGACAGCTTTTAAGTTCACTGGGGCAACAACGGCTGTTTCATTGGGTTTTATATTTCCGTCTCTTGTTGCATTGAGATTAAGTCATCAGGGTGATTTAAGCCGGGGAGAATGGGTTTTATCATGGCTGATGTTGGTATTGGCCATCACTGTTAGCATAGTTGGAGTAATTGGCAATGTCTATAGCATTCAGAGTAAGTCTTAATCACACGTTTTGCTTTCTTTTTCATAGGAACCAGGTGATAATTTTAAGTACAAGGCATAGGAGGGATTTGTTCATTAGCTCTGCTGCAATTTCATTCAAACAGCAGTAGATAAGTGGTCAGAGGATTCTTCTGCCATGTGCGATAAATATTTTTGCCTTGGCTAAGATATATAGGATATGAGATGCAGGTAAAGCTTCAGAAGGCCTTTAATTTTCAGAAATGATGATGAGTTGATTCAGTACGAGAGGATTTTTGTGGCTGATTAGTTAGTCACGGACACAGCTACTATACTGTTCTGTTGGTTCCGTATGTCAGTTTTCTTTTTGTTCATTGATTTTACAGAGGAATGGTGTTGTAAAACATTTTGTAACAAATTCATACAATTTCTTAACAGGTACATTTCTAATGTTTATTTTCATTTTCCAGCAGAAAATATCTGTTTTAGTAGTTTTGCTTCTACCAATTTTTCCTTTGAAAAGTGTGCTTTTAATACTTGAGTTACTCTTGCATATTACTTGAAACATTTAATTTTTATCACTAAGTTCCAACCTAAAGCACTTGTTGGCTTGTTATATAAATGTGTGGTTTTGTGAATCGAGTTTATATTTAATCAGGGAAATTATTCAAACCCATCTTCGCTGCAATATCAATTTTCACTGATCTGGCTTATCCGAGGAGATAAGCATCATCATGAGATTGAGATAAGCATCCCTTCCTTAAAATGCTCCTGGTAACGACCCACATGCGAAGAAAACCAAAAAACGTTTTAAAAGTTTTGCGATTAGACTTGTGGATAATACAGTGAAAGCTTGACCAGTCAAATAATGTCATTCATAATTCATGAGACTCACATACGCAAACGTATTATTTTGTGATAATAATAACACAAGTTGATCGTTATCTCTTGCTTTTTCCTTTAAATTGGGCTTGGGCATGAAAATAACGGGACCCTGAACATCCGATCCATCAAAGGTAGTTCAACCTAAGCCTAGAGAGGTCAAGTGTAGTCCAGGTTTCTTGAATAAACTGGAAATGCTGATGATTGGAGGTAAAAAGGAAAGTGTGGTTGCAACCTGAAGGAAAAATGATGTATGATTATTTATGGCACCTCCCTTGATTACAAGGAACTCTAAATTGAAGGTGAGAGGTTCGACTTCCTACATCCTATTTTCTAATATCCCACTTAAATCCTATCATAGAAAATTTTAAAAATTGATGTCCTACTTAGCCATTCAAAGACATTATCTAACCTCCAAACACAGCTGAGAGGACGGTAATAAAGGTATTATTTTGTAAGCTTTCTGATACACATGATACTCAAAGACATTATCTAACCATCAAGCACCGAACACAACTACTCTTGTCTATGCACAGGATCCTAATTCAATTTCCCACTTAAATCCTGTAATAATCCATAACTAGAACGGCAATGTTGAATGTTTTTTTATGACTAAAGTAATGTCACCTGAATATTTGAGAAGTGAGAACTAAAATGAGAATTAACTAAATCCTAATACAATATCCTCTCTTTAAACAAGGTAAGAAAAGAAAAGGTGATGCAATCCTGAAAAAAGCAGTTTTCCTTTTCTTTGATGGGTTGGATACAAAACAGCAATTAACTTGTATGCTTATATGCTTATTTTCCCCTCAATTAAATATTGTAATATTGGACAACAGTGTGACTACATATTAAGGACAACTTCATATTACTATTCGGGTATCGAGAATGCATCTACTTATCTCTTTTAAATGCAGTAACATGGGTTTATCTTTATCTCATTTAATGTTATGAAAGTTAGCACTGGTAATTAAAGATGAGTTCTCTCACACATATGACATGGTCCATATTTTAGAGTCATATGAGATGCCTTGTCAGAGATGAGGGACATATATAATATGGAATAATTCTAAATCTTGCTTTATACTCTGTTACTAAATGAAAAACAATAAAATAAATTTTATATTTCTATAATATAAAATATTTTATTTTTATTTAATATTTATTTTATAAAATATTAAGAACGTTAATAATAAGATATAATAAAATGATATGGCATTACTCATGGATCTCTTTGCGCATTACCAACTATTTTGTAGTTTTTAACTTGATGGAAATCCTTTTATGCGTCATTATCAGACTAATTATTCATCAAAAGTGGATATTCTCATTTACTTAAGCAGTTTGCACTGTGCTCAAATGATACCGTGCGCACAATAATGACTATTTTTTCATTAGAATATGGCTTTTCATAAAATTAAACTTTGTACGTAATGGTCTTGTCCTTTGGCACCATTAATTAAGTTGATCAACATAATTATATTTAATTTGGGTGGTCCTTTTAACCAAGCCAATGAAGCTAACCAATCCGCTGTTTCCATTAGCAGCAAATGCCCCCTAAGTAACATGGAGTGTTGTGAGATCTAAACATTGATTAATTTTATGCCGTTTAATTCATGCACTAGTTCTTATTTGCATCACAACTTCCAACTTTATTAACTTGTATGGTTGAACATTATAGCAATAGAAAAATATTAGCAGCATACTTTCTTGTTGGTTAAAATTTATTAAAAAAATATAAAAAGTTTGTAGATTAAGAATGAAAAAAATAAAATCTACATAATTTTTATAATTTTTAATAAACTTTCATCAATAAAATTTGCATTCTGATCAATAGTTTGACTGAGGAAAATGTTAAGTGCATTTGAGAGTATCATCATTTCACATTGAATTTTGCCATACTACCAAAAAGGGGTTATATCAAATTCACATGCGAATAGTACTATGATATTTTATTTGTGCTCGTGATTCGAGAAGCTGCATGGATCCAAATTCTAACATGATAGGAGCATGTTCGTGAAGGTAAAACTAAGACACGAACGCAACTATTGGGAGACAATGGTTAGTGTTTGAGTAATTTATTAAGCATAGGGACAAACTGTTACGATTTAGAGAAAAAGTAACTTGTCATGGACTCAACACAATTAGGATTACTTTTTGTTCTTACATTCAGCTGCACTTTTGTTTTGGAGAAAGAAGCATTCAATTTTGGAAGTAAATGAATTACCATATGATTTTGAAAAAGAAATAAAGGAAGAAGAAGAAATAATCTCAGATGACAATGATAAAATACAGTAATTTATGTTTTAAAATTTTTATTTTAAAATTAAACGTATAATAAAATAATAGTATAAAATTTTCAACGTTCTTGAAAAAGCAGACTCCAATACTGATATCAAGGAAAACTTTTCTAAATGATCAATACAAAAGCAATAAATTCTTAGTAGTTAGTGCTTCCTTAACCTACCGAAAGAATTGTTTTTGCCCACTTCATTAATTTAGTATTGCCACAAATGTTATCTTTTTCTCTCCTATACCTTTTCAATTAGCAATATTCAATTGGACCAAACAATCTTTAGGGTCAACTGTTAATGCTTTGAAATTGGAATGGTTCTCTCTCTACTCTTATTTCTCACTACCCCTATATAGGATTCAATCCGACTACTAAGTTGTGCAAAGCAAAATCGTGAAATTGAACAAGACTCAAAAGTGTTATCCACTACGGAAAGTGCAATAGAAAAGGCAAATGAAGGCCCCATGAATACTTGGGGTAGGGTTCAAACTTGAGATTAAGTAATGGGAGATCAATCACATTTAATTTATAAAATTAGTGGCAGAGGAATATAATGCCTTACTTTCAGTTTAACCGAACCCCAAACCTACGGAATGCCTGAATGGATTTTTTTCCAATTAGATCACTGTTATCTTCCCCTTGAGACAATTCTCCTTGGAGTTTCCAAAAACCAAGTTTGAAAACTCTAACTTTGCTACTTTCCTCTCAAATACATATGCCAAAAAGACGGATTATTGTCCTAACCTTGATTGACGGAATAAAATTTCCACAAAAAATTCTTTGGTTTCACTCCTTAAAATAGTATGGGTCACGACTTGGCCTAGTTTTGGCGGAAACAATGAACATGGGTTACATGTCCCACATGGCCATATACTGACACAATCTCAAGATTCAACGAAATAACCCTTGTTTTTCTTTTCCTGTTTTTTTTTTTGACAAAAAGCATAGCACCCTTTACAAAGTCTCTGTCACTCCTCAAACTTCAAACTTGCCCCTTTCTCTTCAGTTCCTCTTTACCATCCAACCATCCCTTCCATTCTATATATAGATTATCAATATTGAATTGAGGGTCATACCTAGTACACACCCACACTTCACATAATCCTTAAACTTAGTAGGCATGGACTGGTTCTCATGGCTTTCAAAAACTGGCCTTGAGCCATCCTTAGTGTATGAGTATGGCCTTACCTTGGCTCACAATGAGCTTGAAGAAGAAGACATGTTTTTCTTCAACCACGAGTTTCTCCAAAGCATGGGAATCTCCATAGCAAAGCACAGACTAGAAATTCTCAAGCTTGCAAGAAAGGAGAAGGGAAACAGCCCACGCTCGGTGACAAGGCTCATGGTGGCAATCAAGAGGACAAAGAGGAACCTAGCTAACTATGTAAGAACATTGATTCACCGTGAAGAATCATCAGCGCTTGTTGTGTTGCCATCATCAAGGCCTAGTGGTTTAGGGACAAGGTGGAAGAGTGCTTTGATGAAGAGGAGCAAAAAGTTGATGGTGGCTAAACAAGAGAGACTCTATCTCACAAATGGAAGTCCTGCAATAGTTCCTTCTCAGCCTGTGCTCGATGGTTTTTTTAGCCCTGTGGTGTACCATTTCCAAAAGGAGGAGAAGATGGATGGAGATGATGATGATGGGTATTGGTCTGCTGCTGTTGAAGAGATCAAGTGGGATACCATGTTCCAGGATCTAAAGCCAAACTGAAAGTTATCTTTTTTTTTCTTTGGGGGTTTACTCTATCCCTGATTTCCAATTAACTGCATAGAGGGGGTGTTTTTGGGTTCTTCCTCCGGAGAGATATGAACGTGTTTCTTCTTAAGGATACAGATGGGTAAGTTTAGCACCCTGTCTGTTCTGTTCCATAGTATTGAGCATGTCTTTTTTGCTTTTATAATTATATGTTCATGAATCATGTCCTTTAGATTTGGTAGGGGAAAATTTGTATCAGATTAGTGTCTTCAAGAGCAGAGAAATAGTGAGATAGATATTTAGTTTTTATGGCAAGAAGTATATAATTTGAAATTTGAAGAACAAATACTTGGGCTTGAGTGTGCCTGACTTGACTTCATGCATTTTACTATATCTAATGGTGACAATGATATTAACAAAGAGTATATTTGATACTATATTGGCATTCGTGTCTCTGAATTTTTTAGCCTTCTCTCAATTATCACATGATTATTTTAACCCTGAAACATGGAGAAGAAGGGGAGAAGAGATGGATCTCGTGACGTGAACATGTGATGTCTATAGTATATGCTTAAGGTCGACTTCAGAATCCGAGTTGATGGCACTTAACTAGTAGCCGATTTCTTTTTGTTTAGCAGTGTCGGAGATTGAACGGTGGGGAACTCAATTTTTATTCGACTTCATTACCAGTCTAGCATCCCTTCCATTTATTTAATAAAAAAAAGATTTAGCATAACTATTTTTTGTTTTAAATATTAATTTTTTTGGTAATTATATCATTTTATTCTATTTTATTTATTTATATCTATCTTTGAGGAATATGTATTCAATTAATCCCCAAGTTGAGGTAGAGGTTTCCAACTGCTTCAATAGATTTCTATACGTGTAATTTGAAAAGTTAAAGTTCAATTAGTTGAAGCATTGATCACTTCGAAGTGCAAACCGAGCTATATCTATCTATGGGTATGCGATCGAAGTTTTGAGGTTGATGAAATTATGCTGTACGCCATGTGATAAATTTTATTGCATCCCAATTTGTCTAGTACCTGAAAAACAAGAAATTTCTTGTAAGGTAAAAAGGGACTTGGGGAATGATGTAAAGCATCACCAAAACCTTACATGATCACATTGTGAGAATCACAAAAGAACAATTCCAATGGCAATCAAATTCAAGGACTGCTTAAGGCTCCGAAATTTTCATGAGTAAAACATGAAAGACAAATATGCTTAGGGTAGTTAATATGAGCTTATTGAAGAATGGCTCCAGAAAATTGATACATCTCTCAGTGAGTTGAAGCCATAGATAGACGAAATGAACCCTCAGCATACAGCATTTGATACACTGATCGTACTCTAAGTGTCAAAATTATACTAAAGATGGTAGCAAGTCCACAGACACCAGCCAAAACCAGAAAAGCGAGCCTGAAGCAATTTGCACCATAGCAAGTGGAGTTTCCTTGCTTTGCAGCTTCTATATCATATACATTGCCAGCAAGGAAAACAGAAAAAATAAGGGCACCAATTGGATTGCCTAGCATCACGAAGCCACTAATAACACCAAAATGTTTCAAACCAAAAAGCTCAGAGACAGTTGGAAACATTACTGAATATTGAACCCCATAGCAGATCCCAAGCAAAGCCGTTGCAACATAAAGAGTGCCATCAAGAGCAGAAGCATAAAGAAAAAATGCTAAGACCATAATTATTTGTGCACTTGCCATCCAAAATGTTCGAGGCAGTTTTACCAACCTGTCATGATGATAACCTCATATCATAAATATATGCTTAAACCAAGTACAAGATGATCACAACAACCACAAGACAAGACAATTCAAATTCTACTAAGAAGCTAACATCATAACATATTCGCTATTCTTGCACAATTAGAAAACTATTCTAATTAATGGGGATGCCATACAAGGTCAATACTAAGTCAGGAACTGATTTATAAATTAGTAATATTTTGTCTCGTTTAGGGTGTGTTGCGAAGAGTTGGTAAAAATAGCTTATAATTCTGGTAAGCTCTTTTCAATTTATTCCAAGAAGTATCTTCATATAGCTTATCGAAATAAACTCTTTAGTGTATACCAATAAATTTTATGGTCAAATTTTTTATGATATAGAACTCTTATGAAATAAAAACTAAATAAGTTCTTAATTAAGCTGTTCTCGTATGACTCTGTATTTAAATAGATTGAATACCTAACAAAGTGTTCAGAAACTGCACCAGCACCGAGACGCCCCATAAAATTGCAATAGCTGAAGACTGACAGCAATATGGTTGTATCTTGTACACCTAAAGCAACTGCAATTTGAGCCAAATTATTGAGAACTGTTACTCCTGAACCAACACCAAGGAAATAAGCAAACCAAAGAAGCCAGAAATCAGCCTTGATTAAAGCTTCTTGGAACTTGAAATCGTCTCCCCTTTTTGGTCTTCTTTTCTTCCTTATGGCTCCCTCCCCCTCTGCAATAAGTGTATCAACATCTGAAGCATCCTCACTTTCATGAAAACTTCCAAGATATGCAGCTGAGGAAGATGGTGTCAGCAATGGACTTGTCTGCATTGAAACATCATCACGATCTGAAGAACCAACCGGTGGAACGTTGTTCTTAGAATTGGCAGGAAATAGTGTCATCTTAGCAGGAATTGCAAGGGGAGTCATAAGAAGTATAATCATTATGGCAACTAAGATGTGGGAAACAGCATCATTTATAGAAACCAAGTCGTCGACAATTGCGATGATTACAAGATAGGAGGCAAGTAAAATGCTTGCAACTTGGGTAAAAACAAAATGAACATGCACTGAAGAGTCTTCCCCAGAAGGGGGAGTACAAGGGCGAATAAAGTACATCATAAGTAAACACACAACAGAAACTCCAAATGACAGGAACAAGATTAATTTAGAAGCAGATTCTTTGAGCAGCATGCTATATATTAACGTATAGACTTCAGCACTAATCCCAACATAACCTTTAAGAATGCCAGAGATGGTGCCTCTACTGAGTGGAAAGTTTCTCATGTTGGTAACAAGCACAGCTGTGCCAAACCATGCACTGCTATTGGAGGCAACACAAAGGGCAAGCCATAACTGTTAAGTCAGAGAGATATTAGAAAATGATGCAAAAGATGATGAAGAGATAATCGAAATGAGGAATGAGGATGGTAGCAGTACCATGACATAGGGGAATGGGGAAACAGTTTGGCTAACAACAAGCCAGATAAGGCCATAACCGAAGAAACAAAGGAAAGAACCAAGCAGAAGCAATGCCCAAGGGGGGAACTTGTTGGAAGCAATACCAGGAAGGAAACTACTGTTCTCACCAACATCATTGGCCACTCCCAGAATAGTAACCTGCTTCTGGTTCAGACCCAACACGGATTTGAGAGCAGAAGAGTAGAGGGGGAAGTTGTATGCATTGCCAGCTCCTATTTGGACCCAAACTGCAGCTGCAAGACCCACCCATGGAGGTCTGCTTCCAGCTTTCAGAACCATCTCTGCTTTGCTAAATGCAGCCAACTGTTTTGTTTGGGAGAAGTTTGGAATTGATGGTCCGAAATCTATTAAGGTTAAGGCCAAAACAAGAAACTCTTAACACTTATAAATTACATAGCAAATAGTGTGTGAGTTGCATTCCAGTTCTATCATCCTCCAGACAAATTCTCGTTTATTTGTCGGTGTTACCAAACGGTCAAAACCTAACTGCCCAGTGTATTTCAATTATTGTTATTATGGGTAATAAAGCTTTTTACTGCTACAAGAATGCTGGATGTCCGATACCTTGTAAGAGAGTTAGGGCACACAAGACATAAACTGCTCTTGATAGCTTGAAAAATGCAGAACCACACATGCTCTTAGTCGTAGTAAAATTGTGCACTGTATAGGATAGTAAATTATTTATTCTTTCATTTAAATAAATAATTATCTATCTTATATTAAATTTGACCTTCGAAATTTATTTTTGCACACCAAACATAACATAATCAATACGAGTTGGTGTGATAAAATAATGCATCCTGACCATTAGATCAGTGTGGCCTAATCATCTGTCGCAGTTGCCCTAGTTGCATGTATTTGTTTTCTTGTTATTATGCCCTATAATTTTAAATTATGATTTATTTATATTATCATTTTGCATTGATAATTTATGAATTTAATTATGCTAATAGTTGTATAAATTTTCAAATTTAGTAAACATCATGACAACATATTAGATATAAATATGCATGAAAGCATGCCTGAATAAAGCTATTAGTTTTTTTTTTTTTGTTTCAAAAAATACGATCAAACTAGCTAATTGATTTTAGAACGAAATGAAACGCACAAGTGTCTCTTTAGTTAGAGTTTGATAAAATAAAATATAATTATATTAATTTTAAATCATCAAATGTAATTAAGAAGTACCATTAAAATTAATTTTAATCACATATTTATGTTGAAAAGTATTTTTTTTTTTTACTAAAAAGTAAAAACATAAGAATTAATTTTTAAACTTTCAAGTAAATAAAGACTAAGTTACAAATATAAAACGTGGAAATAATAGAAAATTACTTTTTTCTATTAAAGAAAAATCTTATCTTATTAATTTAAAGATACACAAATAGAACCTAATATAATTTGAGGAATAATTTCTTTTTCTACTTTTCAGAAATAAAAATCAAATCCAAATCATGACAATGAAAAAGTAAATTTGTGAAGAAAAAAAAAGGCAAACGTTTAGACGGAAACCACAATTTTGCTAAGAATTGAATAATTCTTTGGCCTAAAAAGCTAGTCCAGTTATTCATTTGTTCTCTGCTATCAATTGCCACATTTGCAACTTGTCAATCACGCAAAACCCTAACTGTAACTATACAGATAGCAGTGTTGTATTAATTTTCCGCTGCGAAGAAAAAAGAAAAGAAAAAGGTCCTCAGTTCGTTTCCACTGTTCTAAGGAATCACACATAACACTGAAAGAACGAGGGAACCTAATATTCACGAGTCTTGAGCTTTGGACATGAGGGAGAGCCGACTCGGCCTCGGCTCAAAAGCTTCACGCCGGCGCAAGTGGTGCGACGACGGTCTAATCAGAGTAGTTAAAGTTCTCCTCACTAGTTCACCTTCCACTCCTCCGATTCGCACCACCGAGTTCTTCATCGCCGATCTTAGAAGGTTCAGTTTTCTACCTTTCGACGACGCAGTTTTCTGCCTTTGCCGCTCCGCCAGTTGTTTGTGGTACGCGCACCGAAACGACCCAGGGTGCATGGTCGGGGAACACGCGCACGTCCTCTTCTCACTCGATGTCGACGACACCGCATTGCTGTTCCTCTGCTTCTTCGATGTCACCGTCATCGACCGCCGCCCAGGAGACTTCGGCCTTTGCTCCACGGAGAACCTCACGGAGGAAGAGGGCGACGAACGATGGCCGTGCGGTCTAACGTGCGCCGCTGGTAAGGAGAAATACGCCTGGGAAGAGAAATTCGCCGCCGATGTGGATGCGAACGCCGAGGAATACGAACGCGGCGACGTTTGGCTTCTTGAAGAAGGAGAAGCCACCTCCATTGTTGAAGCAGTAGAGAGAGAGAGTGGTGTGTGTCTGTGTGTGAGAGTGGTTTGTTAGAGACGGTTGGCTACAGAAGCGTTGTTTCGGGAATCGGTTACAGAAACAGGGGGATGGTCGAGTGGGGTTTATATAGGAAGGGAATGAAGGGGTAAAACGGTAATTATGCCATCTGCCCCGTATATATCTTGTGCAAAAATATAATAATATAATTAAAATTTATGTTATCGTCCCGCTTCTGCTAAGCTAAAGCTTTGTTGACATGACGCTGAAATGCAGATTAAAAAAATGTACAGTTGGAGAATGTTATTTTCAAAACAGACTATGATCATTTAAATTTTTTAAATTACTTGTTTATTTGGAAAAATACGTTGGAAACAAGATTTTTGTTACAGGGAAACCTCAGGTCAGAGAAAAGAGAAGAATAAAAAAAATTATAAGAAAGAGTATCTATTGAAACTCGTATATATTATTTTTATGATTAATTTAATTAAAAAGGAAAATGCCATATACACATTTTTCTTTTTTTCTTGAACCAAACTTGTGCATGAAAGTAATGATAATTGAGTTTATTACAATAATTATCACAAATAATTTTGGAATTTACGAAATTTCTAAATACATGATAACTAAAGAAAGTATGTATTTTAAAATAATTTTTTAATATTTTACTAACTAGAATATTAAAATAGTAGGTTTTTTAATTATGTTAAAATGAAAATAAGTATAATTTTACATTTTGTAATATTTTTTTATTTCTGATTCATTAAGCAGTACCTTAGCATTTTTCAATTTTTGAAGTTACAATTGAATGAATGCAAGAATATACTGTCTTTTCTATTTACGTGACAAGTGAATAAAATAAATAGTACAGTATGTTTTAATTTAATAAATGAAGAAACAGGAAGCAATTATTTACCTTTTTTTTTTTTTTTTTTGGGTCGGGGGTTTAAAGTTTGATTTATGGTGTGACAGCAAAGCGTTATTTTTAAAATTTCTTCCATTGGGCGGTCGAGCGGCCCATCGTTTGTTTTCGTTAGGATTGAGAATATTGTGGGCTGCTTAGATAAATAAGCTGTAATATGAATAATACTAATAAAAAACGATAAACAAGCTGTAAGTTGAAGAATAAAATACAAAGATAAACAAGCAGTAAAATAAAGAATAACAAAAAAAATCTTCGTAATGATTTTTTTTAATAATAACAGTATAATATTTTTAAGTTATTTTATTATGATTTTTATCATAGTTACACAATTTATTTTGACTTGACAAACTGGTATACAAATTCTTGCATTCGGCTGCCAGTAAAGATAGATTATTCGATAAGGGACTCTGACCTCTTTAAAGTCTAATTCACCTTAACTTATTTAAATAATATATTTAATTAAATAAGTTAAATTTAAACTTAAAAAAATTATTAAATTTATTAAAATGATTTATTTAAAATTTATAAAATTTATAGTAATATATAAAATAATTTTATATAAAAATATAATAATATATTATATTAAATAAAATAAAATAATTTAAAATAAATAAAATTTTAAATTAAAAATTTTAATTTTTTTTATTTGAGTTAAGAAATATTCTTATTATATATTCTACGAGAAAGTTTTATTTGTTAAAATCTCTTGTATTATTGTTACTTAATCTATATTATACACAATATTAATTTGCTATTTCAATTATATTTATTGTTAGTTCATTTGATCCATTGTCTTATTACATACTTAGTTATATTATATATAACTCTGTTTTTATTTTTAAATTAACAAAATATTTACTCTAATTAAAAATAATAAAATAAACTATTGAAAAGACTAATAAATTAAAGCAGATATTTATAAAATTTAAACTTAGACTTAATAAAAAATTTATAAAAAATAATAGATAATGCTTAAATTTTAAAATTTTTAAGCGAAACCTATTTAATCCAAAACTAGTTCAGTCAAAACTATTTTCATCCCCATCAGTGCCACGCGTTACTATTTTTGAGGTGCGTATATCTTTCCTTGCTGTTATAATACTCATATCCATCGTCTTTTAAAGTAGATAAGTTGAGTCCAATTATTTTTTACACAACCTGGCCCGTACAAGGTGATATTGAAGTTGAACTGAATGCGTTGACCTAGAAAAAAAAAACCAATTTATTTTGATCTCTGAAAAGTTCATAAATTTTTATTTAGACTCTCAATTTTAATTTTTTCTATATAATTTTTTCATAGAAGATTCTTATTATTTAATACTCCTTCCAATTATCTTTCATTTATTTTTAATTTATCATTTAATTCTTTTAAATATAACATTTTTTTTTTCATTTACTCTTTCATTTTAAAGAAACCAATAAAAAAATGCATGATATCTGAAGAATTAAATAAAAATTTTGTTACATTTAAAGAGACCAAAAGAAAAACAAAAATTACACCTAATGAAGAAATTAATATAAGACTAAAAAAAATACTTATAAAAACCCATTTCAAATATCAACGTGAAACCAGATGGAAAAGTTATTATTTTTTTTAGGATAATAAGAACTTAATTAATCTACTTATAATAAATCGAAAATTTGATCATCAAGTGATTAATCTTGAGGGTACTTGCCGTCAACTTCTAAGTCTAAAAAACATGAAAAAGTTATAAAAACTATTTATAATTTTCATAATTAAACATTTAATAACATCAATTTAGGTCTAAATGAAAAGGTTATATAATAAAGTTAGCGAGCATAATAAGCTCCCCACACACAAAATTTAACATCACGACCTTCTCATTTCTTCAGCAGAAATTGTAAGACTAACTGTTGAGCTAACCAAATTAGTTATGAACAAGGCCTTGACGAAGGCCAAATTAGTTACAGAAATCTACTACATCGAGCATCTTAGGCAGCAGCACACATCACAACTTGTGATGCAAATAACAAGAAAATGGATATACTCAAAACACAGTAATGCATCAAACAATTCCACTAAAACGGAACGAGTTAGATATCATACACTTACTGCACCCAAAAACTTCGCATCCAACGATTGACATAAGCTTTGGCAAGTTTTAGAGGAAATGAAAAACGTTTGCATGGAACGGCAAGGATCATCATGTGGTCAAGCAATTCTCCCAGGTTCCATATTTAGAGCTGAAACTCCCACCGCCGCTCTGCTGCGCATGCTCAGAAATAACTGTACGAGCACAAACATCCCAAGTCCTCGCTATCTCCCCAAGAGACATAGGTTGTGATAGACTTCGCAAGCATATGCTAAACCTTGACTTTGCTTTCACCGAAAGATCTTCATTCTCCTTGCTGAAAGAAACATCCAATACCACTTCTTTTTATTAGAAACACAAGAATTCTCGACAAATCTATGAAAAATTACGTAGAAAAGGAAAGGCGAGACTCGCATTCTATTAAGCATATATTGTTAATAGAGACCAATAATTGTCAGTCTCGTTAGCCCATCAGAGTTAGATGTGTCTTTCAGGCAAAACTTTTCATATTTTTCCAGGTTAGATTTGAAGTCAAATCTGCTATTTAAAGAGATAAGTAGTTTTCAGCAGTAGAGGATGAATTTGAGGCATAAATAAAAGATATGTTTGCTAAAACCACACATATTCACTTTGATACATAATAAAAAAACAAGACTAACAGGTAAAATAGCCTTGGGCTTAGCACTAAAGGTTTTGTAAGGTAGTTTAGGATGGGTAGCATCTATTGAGGAAAATATGGTAAAATCTTGTTAAGGTAGTTTAGCACATGAGAAGTAGACTAACACTAACAGAAACCCCAATAAGATACCCCAACAATGAACAGCCAAAGGTAAGGAAGACCATGATAAACTTCAGGTAAAACCATCAAAAAGGACTTCAGATCTATATGATTTGTGAAGACTTGGCCTGTGAAAACAAAATGATGTAGATTGACCTGCATAACTGACTCTCTCCAGTGAAAAAAGACTTCTGTTATAGTTATTGTATTATATGAGGTAGGTTATTTTGATCTTTACATATGTTTTCTAAGTCTTATAATTTTAATCAATACAATCATAAGAAATAATAAGAAGCACCCTTCAGCGTTACCTTATGTTATCAGTCTGATACAATAAAGCAAGCCAATGTTTCATGAACAAAAAAAAGTCAAAAGAAGTCATAATCATCAAAAAAATGTTTTACAAGATGTGAACATTATATTTCTCCTCGTTGATAAAAGCAATCAAAGAACATATCAGTCATGATAATTCATTGTTTGGTGAGAATACAGATATTTTATTTAAAATGAAAATAACACACTTAAGTGATGCCAAAACGCTCATTCTCTCACCTGGATTCAACAGGGAACTTGTCGAGGAGTATGGGAGAACAATTAGGATAATTTGTAGGAACAAGCAAGCGTAGGGGCTGAATCGGTGACTGCATGGTAGTAAAAGACATATGAGGACAATATTCTAAAACAAAAAGGATCAACAAAAGCTTAATATGCATATAGTTTTAAGCGTTCTGAAGCCCACCATCTGTGCTGAAGCATATTGGGATTTTAAGCTCGGACTGAGGGCCACAGCACTGAAAGAACATTTGACAATGGTCCCTTCTGTCCCTTCAGCAGCAGCAGCAGCTGCCGTTGGATCCACTTCTTCATCACTTATGTCTACTACTGTGTCAATAAGTCGTTGATTGACCTCCCTAATTTCCTCCAAAAGGGAATGATTAGCCTGCCATACAAGTCATATAGATTCCTTATCAGTAATCAAAGGCTGTGTAGAGCAAATTCATAAATTATAAAGTGATTTCCATACCAATTAATAATCAAAATAATTGCAGACAGACAACAAGTCAACAACATGAGTCAGCCTAACCACTAATATATTCTTATTGTTGCATGTTACAAACTATTACGACAGTAATTGTTTCTTGAGGACAAAACTTCGGTGCATTTTGTTAGCTGCAAATAACTTATGCTTCCATAAAATACGTAAAATAAGAGAGAACAGTTCAAATATCTCACCATATGTTTATTCCTCTCCCCTTGTGATAGAACACCAATGAGAAACATAAAAATATATTACTAAATACAGAAATCACATACAAAGCAACAATACACATGTCGCATGAGAAATAAAAATCTCCTAAAGAGAGTATTCTCTATCCACAAACTGCAAACAATAACCCATTTCCCATAACTACACACCCTACTATCAGAAATAACCAACTAGAAAACTGCCATCAATTATTTTCTATGAATAACTTTCATCAAGGCAGTTTATAATTCTAATACAGAACAACTAATGTAGGATAAGTTATTTTCTATCACATACTCTAATACATTACTTCTCCTAATTTCTACCCGTAACTGCCAACATGACAGTTAATGTTACATTTATATGTTGTTGAGATTAATGTAAATAGTGTAATACTGTAAATAGGATAACTATGCTAGATAACTGTAAATCATGTATTTATTATGACTTATTAATATACATAGATGAGTCCTCTGTGTATTCAAAACACACAGATTCATCCTATGCCTTCTTAATCATAATTATCATTTCCCATCACCCTGTCCCATCTGGAACATTGTTGTTCATTGGGCTAATTTTCATGAAATCTACAGTGCATTTTGATATACAGCCTCTAAATGATATATTTCACCATCTATACGAGAACATGAAGTTGCACCTTTCTACAGGCTTCTATATTGAAATAGCAGCAGTGTTTTGAGTCTGAAATAATTGTAGTCTGAAAGGGTGAAAAAAAAATGTACACAATGCATTGGTGCATATACGATCCATGATGGTGCTCATTAAATAAATTGCAACAGCAAGCCCAAAAAATAAGACATTCACAGTAAAAGGTATGAATTATACAATAAAACGTAACAATAAAAAAGCTGGTAATTTATTACCTCAATCCTCGGCCTCTTGATTCTAGATGTTGCAGTTGAATCCAAATCAGAAGCCTCAGAAGCAGTTAATTGCTTGATACTGTCATTCATGCTACCAGCAGAAGACACAACATTCAAGGGAGTAGCATTTGTGTAGCGTTTCATCCTCCTAGTTCCATTGGCACCATCTTGGGTGATGAAATTTCTAGCCTGAAGACGACAATTAGTCATGGCAACCAAATCTTCACCAACAGCTGCTCTGGATCCATTACCTGGAGCAGAACCTGCTATCCTATCGTTCATGCTGACAACTGAACCAATATCACTGACAGCAGAATTTAATGCTTTTGAAGACATTGATTTCACCTGGAATCATGATTAGACATAAAATTTCAATCTACAACTCTAAAATTAAAACAGTCAAATAACTACAGAAACTTGTATCAAATTTATTGGTTGAATTCATAAAAGCCTAAAGGTCAAAACCAATGATCAGGCCAGCTTGAGATTAATTAGACTAACCACTTTAATTAGGCGCTCAATAGGCTGCTCAGTAACAGTTGACTTTCCAGAAGTGGGAGCTAGAACATTACCATGAGCACCATCTGAACCAGTGAACTCTGCAAGTAAAGGAGAGGCTGATATTCCAGGAGTTCCAATGGCAAGGGATTGAGCAGGTGCTGCTGCACCAGCTGTTTGCTGATATCCAATAGTTGCAGCATTTGAGAGAGATGAAACACCAGAAATGGGCTTTTCCGACTCTCCTGGCATAGGAGATGGAGCCAAGGGAGGAGAAGGAGTTGGGACTACAAAAGGTGAGTTAGCAGGTTGCAGAGGGGTAGCAACTTTTGTTAGAGATGGAAGGTGGTTTTGTTGGTCAACCTGGGGAGATGAATGTTGTGGAATCTGAGGAGAAGTAGCTTGAAGGAGTTGGGGTGAAGAAACAGGGAAAGGACTCCCTTGTTTCAACTGTTGATGGGGATAAGATGACCGTTGACTGGAAGTAAGATGCTGCTGAAAGACCCCTGGCTTAACACCAATTCCTTGCCTCATCTTTATGTCATTTGCATCATTCATTTGGTGAAGTTGAGGCATTTGATGTGTCTGCAATTGTGTAGGCAGCTGCTGCTTTGGTGGCTGGTGCAGCTGCTGTGGCTGTTGCTGCTGTTGCTGCGGTAAGAGCTGCTTCCTCTGCATCATTTGCCGCTGATATTGTTGTTTTAGTTGTTGACTTTGTAACATCTGTTGTTCCTGCTGTTGTTTAAGTTGCTGGTGTTGAAGCATACTAGAACCAGGCTGCAGGGGATTAAGATTTGGTTGGATCACATTTACCCCAGCTTGTGAAGATAACGAGTTAACGTTTGTTTGTTGAGGGGCACTGACAGGGTTTTGTTGAAGGGAGCTCACCGGAACCTGTTGCAGGTTCACAGCATTTCCTTGTCCTGAATCTAAACTGGAACTTGGTTGCATTGAATTCATCATACCCTGCTGTCCCGTAGATACAGCAGACAGAGAATTATGCTGCATGCTTGTCATATTATTCTGCTGCATTGTTGCTACAGAGGCTTGCATATTTGTTGTTTGCAACTGAGAGTTCATTTGGTTATCATGAGACTGCACTTGAGTAACTTGGGGTTGTGACTGTGACATGGAGTGCATATGAGGCGGGGGAAGCTGTCCCGGTTGCAGTGAAGACATGGTTTTCCTAGGTCTATTTGTATTTATGAAATTTATGATCTGCTTCTCATAAGAACCCAGTTTCTCCTTGAAATTAGCTGTGATGTTGCTCTTGGAAACCTGAAGGAATGTTATAATACGCTCCAGCATCATTTTAAATACCTTCAGTTTTTCAAGCTGATCTGACTTTGGTTGTTGGGGAAGAGACTCGTGCTGATAAAGAAAAGACACCAGGTAAACCACAGAAACAATAAGTTATGAAGATAGTGTGCACACACTGCAATATCCAGAGTTTACCATAATAATGGAAAAGACTTCTTCATCCATATAGAAACTATTAAAAGGCTGCTTAACAACATACCTGTTGAAGTTTAGAAGCAATTTTATGGTACATCTCATTCAGCTCTGGCAAGTAACTTTCTTTCATGGATTTAATCTGTCAGTTAAAATCAACAGAATCAAATAATAAATGCATTAGAAAACTTGAAATCTCTTGTGCAAGAAGATCAGTACCACTGTTGCATTTAGAAAGGATAAGACATTTTTCTCCTTTTGTATGATATATCATAAATTGCAAGTTTCACTTTCTTGCTTTAAATTGCAAAGAAGTTAACCATTCATGCATGCACCTACGAGTCTTTCTTGATTCCAACAACTAATAGAAGATATAAATATAGTGGATGAGTAGTCTAACAAGAAAAGACAAAATAAGAAATCATAGTATATATGAGAATATTGGAGTAACACAAATAATGGAAAAGATGACTAAAAACTTTCTAAGATAGTTTAGTCAATTACAGAGAAAATCTTTGGAGACATAAGTGAGAAAAGTGGATTACATGATTTTTAAACTGATAAAAAAGGATAGAGAGATACTAAAAAGAATCTTAGAAGAAGTTATTATAAGAGCCTCTAATCAGATTTATGAATTTTTTTATTTTTGACTAAGTTTATGACTTCGTGTGATCCATGTAGCAAAAATTACCGAGTGGGATAAGGCTTGATTGTTATTGTTGTATTAAGTGAAGGTTGCGTCTCATCCACATAAACATTGAACAGTAAGGATTTTAGAAAAGTTTCCATCATTTTTCCTCCTCCCAGACCAGCAAAGAGTTTCATGTTCTTACAGAAAATTCCTCAAAAGAAAACCATCAATCTTTCATTATTTTATTTTTAGGATTCATTGACAAATTTCTCTCATTCAACCCAATTTATTAAAGGAAAAAAGATGATAAGAAAATAGCATATAACCTTTTGATACACTTCTTCTTGCCAATCACCCCCACTTGGCTGTCCAGTCTGTGCAGTTGAATCCAGAGAAGCTACAAAATATATTTCAGACACACATGAGCATACAAGGCAAAAAAATACATATATTTGTAATTTTTCTTTTAAAGACAAAGAGAGCGAGCTACAAAAGATATTTCAGACACGAGCATACACAGCCAAAAAAATACAGATATTTGTAGTTTTTCTTTTTGAACAGAGAGAGAGAACAGATGACGCAATTGCAAACTAACTTATAGAACAGTTTACTATCAATTACAAAAGATACATTGATGAGATATTATGATATCCTATGTTTTCACAATTCACACCGATACTTTCACAAATTGGGGCTTATCCTACAGAACACTGATTTATAGGCTGAAAAGTAAACCCCTTATGATAAATAGCAGGGGCATCACAACGGAATTTCAGACTGCCCGTGAACATTCAGATGAAGCAAAAATTTTATGAAGGAAGATGATTATCACACTTTACAGAAACAGGAAGCACAAAAACACAGGTTTTGTATTCAAATACCGCAAAGCACAAAAGTATGCCAAATTCTTGTCTTCTTTTCTTTTTTTTTTTTCATTTTTCCATTCCTTCAAAAATTGTTTGACAAGAACTGATGACAGCAAAAGAGAGTTCCCCAAGGCTTCCAAAACTTTGCTCCTAATCATATGATTCATTGTGCCCCAGAACATGGAATAATTGAGATTATGCAATCTCAGCAGTCCTGGGTTTTGTATCACTTTGGCTGATAAAACCAAGCCCAAACCCACAAACGACCCAGAACTATCACATATTGCAAAACCCTCTTATCTGCTACGTCAAACTGAAATCGTGAGTTTATCAACTGAAACTTGAGACTTTCATTGCAACAGTCATTCTACCTTGCCTATGTTTTGGCCTGCCCATGTGATATGGTTCTGACGGGGTAGTCCTCTTCTGTACTTGCCCTAAACCTATAGAGTGTGGTGTCATGAATTGGTCTATTATTTTATATTTTACCATCCAGTCCTTGCTCTGCTTTTGTAATATTTCATTTAATGTTTGTGATCTGTAACTGATAAGAACTTTGGGAGAACTACACCATAAAAGCTAGCCATTGTATTTGAGAAAGCTCATTGTCTTATAAACCCTACATTAGAATCTCACTTACAACATGAAATTTAAGTCGCATACCTTGCAATGGATTCCTAACATCCCACAACACTTCACAGCCCCAACACCCATGTGGGCTAACTATGAACTAGCTCCTTTGACTAGTCTCAGAAAAACATCACAATACTGATGTCACCATCCGCACTGCTCATTTGCAACTGGAAGATATGGTGGAAAGCTTTAATTCAGTTGATAAGAACCACCAAAGTTAGTCGTCGTAGTTGAAGAACTTAAGGCCATATAAACTCCACATTAGAATCTCATACTTCTAATGTGGAACCTAAATCTCATTCCTTACAATTGGATCCTAACAGTAACTTTTAACTAATGACCTTTGTTCTGTTAGAGGGCTTGGACCTTCTTTTTTTGGGCAGACAGGACTTGGGCATACTTATAGACTTACATCTATCATGTGATTTGAACAAGAGTTCATTCCAATGTTAGTAATGATTTCAAAGTTATTCAGCCTGTTTATGTAATACCTACGAGGTGGATCTTTCATTCCTTGAGACAATCACACGATTGTTTCTACCCCTATATGACATTTGGGTAGCCAGTAGGATCAACAAGTTTGGCCACCTCAGAGCCATCAACTGAAAAAAATAAATGACACAAGAAGAATGCATAGTTAGAGTTTTACATACTTGATGAAGTTTCTGGAAGGGGTCTTTGTGATTGATATAACTGCTTTTGTTGATCAAGAACACTTGGTTGTTGAAGTAAGGGACCTGACTGCTGAAGTCTTTGCTGCATATCTCGTTGCAAGGGATTAGGCTGCTGTTGCAAACCCAATTGTTGTTGCAATTGTGCAGGCTGAGATTGAATCTGAGGCATCATTTGCTGCTGTGGAGCCTGTGGCTGTGACTGCTGTGCTTGAGGTGGTAACAAATTTGATGCATTCTGCTGTGATTGTTGTTGAATTGAGACCTTTGATTGTTGTAGCACATGTGCAGAGTGCTGGCTTGTTTGCATGCCAGAGTTGCCAGATTGAGGTCCAAGGACCTGCTGTGGCTGTAACCCAGGGACATTATTGCCCAACTGCTGGTGTATATTTGATAGGTTGCTTTGCTGATTTATTAACTGTTGCTGTTGCAGGCTTGAAAGATTATTCTGCTGTGCAAGTAACCTCTGTGGTTGCTGCAGATCACCAACATTAGTCTGTGGCCCAAGCATCTGCGTATGTGGCATGTTTGTCGCATTTGCCTGTGACCCCATAAGCTGTTGCTGCTGCTGCTGCTGTGGAGGTAATATTGACTGTTGAGTCATTTGTGTTTGTTGCTGATGAATGATAGAAGTCTGTTGTTGCTGTTGCCTGATAACTTGGGGGTGTTGCTGAAGCATGGATTGTGTTGATTGCTGAACATTATTAGATTGCTGATTGTGCTGAATGCTAGGTAGAGAAGATGTTTGCATCATGGAAGGCTGCTGCATAACAGATGATGTTTGGATGACAGGCTGCTGAGAAGATTGCAGCTGATTTGATTGTAGAAGATTCTGTTGTTGCTGCTGTTGCTGTTGTTGTTGTTGCTGCTGCTGCTGCTGCTGTTGCTGCTGCTGCTGCTGAAGCTTCTGCCTCAAAAGCTGATGTTGAATTTGTTGTTGGTACAGATACTGCTGTGGATTTTGTGATTGCTGCTGTTGCTGCTGGGGAACAACCTGCTGCCTTCCTTGCATTTGTCTCTGGGAACTAGCAAACATATTTTGCATGTTGGAATTCTGGCCAATAGTGCTACCCATTGTATTCTGTCCAGGTATATTCTGCATGTTTGGATTCTGGCCAACATTTTGTATAGGAGTCTGGGCTAGACTTGATACAGGTGGCAAGTTAGGTTGAGATGCAATATTATTTTGAATGTTCTGAGATAGAAGCTGTTGGCGTGACTGAGGTTGATTGGGCAAAGAAATAGCATGTTGCTGCCCGGGATTGTGAACTTGAGGCATAACAAGTCCTATTAATTAAATAAATAATGATTGACCAAGTCCGAGGAGCACCGCCAAAAAAATTACAATATAACATCAGAATCCAAATTAATTGTTAACAATACAAGAACGACGTCAATGTAAAAATTCAAAAGAAAGAAAGATTGAAGATAAAGCGCAAGCATCATATGTAAGACCAGCAGAGGAAAAACTTAGGTTAATGATATTTCAAATCAATTGGACACAATACATCCCAACAACTTAAGCTGAGAGACATGAAACAACTCAGATAGTCAGATCCCATCAGAATGAGAATACTATCACTATGTCAATGCTCTTAAATGCTAACCTGGATCAGGAGGTTTATTGCTAGGACCACCTTGATTTGGAGGTATGTTGTTGGCCATGGTGCCCTGGGATTTTGTCTCCATTGTAAGCATCTTCAAAGATATTTTCCGTAGATAATCAGACTGAAATTAGGAAATACAACATTAAATCATCAATCTCCCAAATTGTAAGTTTTCATATATGTAATCTAAAATTGATAATTCTGAGGCTCCTAATTAGGGATGTACCTGGCTTGTTGCTGCAGTAAAAATCTTCTCTTCAAACCTTTGAGCAATCTTCCTAAGTTCATGCAACCCCTCTTGACCAGAAAGTGGAAGATGTCTTTTTAAAGTGTCCATTCTACAAAAAGAAAAACAGTAGTGTAATAATTCAATAATAAAAGCAGTTCAGATTTTGTGGTCACTAGACAATCCTCAAGTGATAGAATAGTGTTAACATGTAAGAAGAACCCATTGAAATCATCAAGACATATTAAAAGAGACAACGGATGTCAGAAATGGATTTCAGACTGCAGAGATAGTCTTGGTAACTTCTTAGATAGTCAACTTTCTTGATATAAAACATATGCAAAAGAAATCCTACTAATACTATTATGGTTTCCACTCAACATCCATTCTGCCACAAATCCCATGAAGAGAAGATAAGTAAAAAATCACACAGGCGAAATACACAATCCTAAATCAGTATGCAGAAAGCACGGATTTGTCTTCAAAATTCAGTAACCTCCAACCAAACACACGAAATGCTTGCAAAGATAGCTTGAAAAAAATAAACATTTCTCCTACCCCTTTGAGACCTCTAAAAGGAATAGGCAAATGCGCCATATTCTAATTACATACCCACAATGACAAAAGCTGATGCCAACATCTTGTGCAATACAACACCAAATGATTAAAAAATTAAAACTGTATATGGTGCTGACTTGTTTTTTATCACCCATCTAATAAGTGGGTGCAATGCTGACATGCAAAAGCTCATGCGTACACTTTCAATATAAACTGAAAAAAATCAAGGTTCAGTGCGGATTCAAATAGAAATTTGTTTGGAGAAAAAATGAACAGATCCAATTACTGTTTTCCACCTATGACCTATCAAATAGAAATTTGAGCACAAGTTTCTTAATTTATATGCATCAGACAAACACACAGTATTGTGCTGTGTATTTGTTTATGTTCTTCCACATACATTTATTTTTCTTCTCTTAGAGGAAAAAAAAAAAAAAAAAAGCCTGAAACCTCGTGCAACTTTTGCCAATCTGTGGAATCAATGATTTGAATTTTATTGTTCTTCTGATGTGCAACTATAATAAAAACTTATCAATGACATCAGTGACACAATATTAAAACTGAAGCTTACATTTTGTTGACAATTCGTTGGCGTGAATCAGGCTGGAGTTGACCTCTCCAATCACCATTATCCATATTAGGTTCAGTTCCTTGATTAGGTCTCCAATTATTGGTGTCCATCAGATTTAAATTTACTGAAACACCAAAAGTAGAACACTCATGTCAAATCAAAGTTTGAAAGAAATGTATAAAGGATGAATAAATGTACAAATTATGAAATATCAAGAAGATGATAAATAGAGTAACAACAAGGGGAAGGAGAAACCAGCGTTTTAGTCAAAATGGAGTGATGGACAAAGGAGTGAGAAGGATAAAACATTCTATGCTTAGAAAGGCTTGTGGTTTATTACGAGCTTCACAGAAAATCTTTAATTCACAAAAAGAAGTCCACCATAAAAGAAGAAAAATAAATTATACGAAGTCTTCCTAGAAACTTCAGCAGATTTCACAGACGGAAATCAAATCAATAAGAACTGCTTCAATTAAAAACTTATGACATAAATTGTGAAACCAACATGCTCTAAAATTAATCGAGTATTTTGAAAAGAAACAACTAGAGAAGATTCCATAAATTGTAGTCAGAGCAATAGCTAACAAATCAAATATTCCTTAAATCAACACACGAGGATTTCTATGACTTAGAGTTAGACGCAAATAAAATAATAATTCTGTAACGAAGAACAAAATGGCAGCGCAAACTAAGCTATTATCTAGTAATTAATTTCTATGGCGAAGAACGAATTTCCAATACATATAAAGTATTCCGTCATTTGTCTTCCAATTTGAGTTAATCCACCTCTTAATCCATTATTCTCGAAATTTGGTTTCAATTAACGGTTTTCCTTTCCAATTTTCCTCAAAGATCTCGAGTCTTATTACATCCCGATGATTCGAAACACGCCTCTTTCAATTAAAACATTACCAATCACGGTGAATCCAAGTCTAAGCTATTCCTGAAACGAGGAATTTTATTCATGCAATAAATAAACGTAAAGCGATGAGAGAGAGTAATAAAAACCTAACGATGGCAGACGGCGAAGGCAACTATTACGATGGTGGCGTGAGTAGTAGTTCCGGTTGCGTGTCTGACTCGCGGTGCTTCGAGGTGAAATGAAATAACGCTTCCTTCTCAACAACAACGACTTATATAAAGCCTTAAATTATGTGAAAATATTAAATATCAAAGAAATTGATAAAGTGGAATTCTTACACTGCGCCTTGGCCCTTAAATTTTAACCCAACCAAGATGCCAACTATCCATTGTTACCGATTTTTCTTGTTTCATATCATATCGGCTTTAATTCGGATCCGCTCCTAGATACAGGGGTGGGTAAATTTATTATTAAAATTTTTTAATATATATAAATATTTAAAAATTAAAATTTTACTTAAATAATATCAAACTATTTTTAATTAGATCAATTTTTTTCTATTTTACTTTCAAGTCCACTGCTATTCAGATACGTATTTTAAAGGTTAAACTAATTCAAATTAAGTAGGATTTTTTATTTATTTTTTAAATAAAATAACTAGTTGTTATGGGCTGTTTGAGCCTCATTTGTGAAAAAAAAAAAACTAGTTATTCTTATGTTTTGTCCCTATTATTATGAATAGAAATATTATTTATATTTTTTATTATAATAATAATTATAATAAAATTCTTTATTATTTAAAATGTTTCATAATTTCTTACCATTTTTCTTAATGAATAATAAACTAAAAAATTGTTTCACTTTATTATAAAATATATAAATGGTGATTAAAACAATCATATTTTAAGCACAAATATTTTTCTTGCATGTGATTAATATCAAAGTACAACTTAATAATCAAAATTTTAAAAAATAAATATACCTTTGTCTAACAAATAATTTTATCTTTCAAATATTATAATATCAAATAAGAATATTAAACATTACAGAAAAAAAAAAACTTCTATGTTTTTAAATTGTTAATTTAATACTTTATTTTTAAAAAGGTTAAAGTATTAAGCTATGTATTTTTTATGTATGTTATGCTTATTTATTGTTGTAATGGATAAGGCACCACTCGGCCATTATGGCAAAAAAAAAATCTAAATACCTATTGGCACAAGGACAAATACCCGATTAGGTTAAAATAAATTAGAAATATTAGAACAAATTAAGGTAAATAATTATTAATTATGTACTTAAACAAAAAGTTTAAGACATATTTGACTCATGAAACTCATTAGCACAAAATATTGCCTATAAAAGAAAAGTAAGAAGTATAGTTAAAATGTTAACTTTCAATTATTTAACAATATCTACTGTCTATACCGATACCTAATTTTATCATTAGAGTATGTTTTGTAGGTACATCCCTCAACGTCATCATATAGAAGGGAGTTAGAGATACTTGCAGAGACATCATCGTACAAAATGAAAGAAAAGCTTCTGGAAGACTAGTGTATTCTCCACAAGAACAATTGTAATTTATAATATGAATGTACTGATATTTAAATAAAAATTAATTAATTAAAATATAATTGTGCAAATTTTTTAATGTGTACAAATACTTAATAATTATGTTTTCAAATTTTATTTAATAATATTATTTTATAAGGTGTATTAAACGATAGCATTCTTATCTTAATACTATTTGTTTAATTATTTTACTTTTTTTATTTTAAAAGTGATATAATTATTTAGTCATAATAATTTGTAAAGATTTTAAAGTTATAGCTAGGCATGTTATATGTAATATTATTCAACATTGTTTAATTTTTTTAATTAACATTATTCCATTTGATTGTTAATTTGGCCTATGTTAAAATTTCAATCAATTTATGCAAATATGTGCGTTAGGAGATTAAGAATATAAATCCAGTAATCCAAACATAAATCCGCTATCTCAAATAAGATGTCCAAATAAGAACATCTATACATCTAGATTGATAAACTATTCGTACCAATAGGATTATATTTATTAATAAGTTGTAAAAAATTTAACTACAGAAAATCTCTTAACTATCTCATTAAACAGGTGGAAGATTCATTAAATTATAAAACATTATCTGAAACAATTAAAATCATGGACATTGTTATATAATCTTAGAAATACGCATATAATAGTAACAAATGATAAAATAATAAAAAATAACACTACCATATTATGCAAACAGTAACATAATGTATTATTTTCATTTTTATATTAAAAATAATTTTATCGTTATTTTATGTAAAAAATAACATTTATTGCGAACAAAAATTATAGATGCTTGTTGCAAATAACAATAATAATAATAATTGCCGTCGTAATCTATGAGACAACTTCGTTTTTAAGTATTATATAATTATGTTTTATACGTTCAATAAGATTATTCTATTCGTACATATGATATCTTTTAATGTTAATTGGATCGGTGAATATTTATTTTAAACACTCTTTCATTACCATTCAATTTCTCGAGACACCTTTATTTTATAATGCTATATTAATTATCATGACATATTGTTATGGTTATTTTGCTTTTTGACTATTTAATTTTCTATTTTTTTCACAATCGTATTGGTTTTACTTGTGATAAAACAGTTTTTGTTTGTAAATTTTGTAATTTTACTGTATTAACAACTTTTATTTTGTTCTATTGTAGAACTGTTCTACCTTTTGTACTTTTTATTACACACGTTTCTAACTATCTATTTATCTGCGTATCTCTCCCTACATTATTCTCATTATTGACAAATTTATATAATATAAAATGTGATTTTTTCTTCATGAGAAAAGTAAAGTTTAATTAAAAAAGATGCTGTAATAACATAACTGTGACATGATTTATAATTTTTTTCGTAAGAAAAACAAATTAAAATTAAGCTCTGTAAGCAAAGTACAAACTTATTAAGATGTTTGAATTCAACTTAATTTATTCGTTGAATTAAATAAATTAACTAGTCAAATTAAATTAAAATATACGAACATATTACACTAATTAGTTCAGATTTTGTTTTCTTTTGTGATAACACTGACCTAAAAGATTTGCTCTCATCACAATGTAAACTTGCAAGTTACGAATTTCCCTTAGAATACAAGTGCAAGAAGCTATTCGGACAAATCCGAGGCTCACACGGTCACAGGAAAAAGAAAGAAAGAAAGAAAGAAAGATACAAGAGAGGTGCACAGAAGAAGCTGCAAAATAATGGTAAAAAAATTCGAAAACAGGCTAAAATTAAACACCTCCAATATGAGTCTTTAGCTCCTTTTTACGAGTCTAAGGTGAATGATGATATATAAATTGAGTTTCTCTCCTTGGCTTGTAGATGTAGGACTTGTTCCCTAAGAAACTTTTGAAATACCCCAATACACACCACAGGAAAACCTCTTAAATGCTAACCTGGATTGGCCGATTCATTGTCATGGCCAAATTAATTTGACGGTTGTCCAAGGTTTTGCTGGGGTTTAGTCTCCAATTTCAAGCATCTTCAAAGATATTGACCATAAATAATCAGATTAAAAAGGGGAATAACACTCCTCATCAGAAAATCTTCTATATCATATACAAAAACTGGGAACTCAGAGTCTGATCATATACAGAAAGGGGGTGGGGGATAGACTGATTTCTGATTCTGAGCTAAGTGGTTAAAAGGAGGAGAGGAGGGAAGAAGAAAAATGGGGTCTTAATGTTAGGATTCAAAGAAAGATTATTTCAAGTAATGTTGTCGTATGCAAGCCTCTGAACTTCAATTCTACTCTTGGGCGTATGTAAGCTATTCATCAGCAGATTCTCCTCCCAACAGCTTTGTCCCCAACTCTCTCCTGGGCTTAGGAGAAAGTCCTTTAACCAACATCTCTTCATCGTACTTCCTAGCCATATCTATCAACCCCTTGTCCACAAGAGCATCTATCAAAGCATTGTAAGCAGACGCATCAGGACTACACCCAAGTTGTTCCATTCTATTCCAAACTATAAAAACCAGCCGAAGAAACCCCCACCTCCCAAACTTCTTCAGAAGCATGACATAGGTGTCCATGCTGGGTCGAATTCCACCGCCAATCATGCCATCAAACAAGCCAATTATCTGTTTAGGCTTCTCCATGGAAGCAAAAAAACAATGATAAGAAACAGCATTAGGGTGGCAACCATTGTGACGCATGGTATGAAGCAATGCAAGTGCCTCCTTGTGTCTATAGCTATCGCACAAAAGCCTTATCATGGTGTTATAGGTAACAACACTGGGATTGATCCCTGACTCCTTCATTTCACGGAAAACCCTAATCGAACAATCAACCCCTTGGGAAAGACCAACGGCTCGAATAACAATGTTGTATACCACCACATCTAATTGGATACCTTTTCCCTTCATCTCCTTGAACAATTTCACAGCCTTCCAAGGTTTTCCCCCTTTGCATAAAATATCCATATATATTGAATAAGAGTGCAAATCCTTATGAACCCCTTTTCTATCCATCTCCTCCCAAAACTCCTTGCACTTACCCCACCACCCTAATTTATACCAACCACGAAGAACCATGTTGTGGATCTTGGTGTTGCCAACCCCATCAACGTCAAAACTATTGTTGCTGCCAAAAACCAAATCTTGAGCCTCCAGAACGTGCTTGTACTCGCAGAGGGCGTCGACGAGGTTGGAGAAGGAAGTGGGGTCCTTCAAATTGAACTCCCGGAGGCGGTTGAAAGTGTGAATGGCATCGTCGACGGCGTGAGCTGAGACGTAGCGTTTGAACATGACGCGGAAGGTGGCATGGTTGGGGGGAGAAGAGGGGCGCGTGTGCATTCGGTGAATCAAGTCCCAACATAGGGGGAACTCGAAGAACTTGCCGAGAATGTCGAGCATGAGGTTGTAGGTGTCGGTGGAGTGGTGGAAGTGACAGTGGGACTCTACCCAGTTGAAGAAATCGAGGGCGCGCTTCCAATCATTGTTGAATGAGAGTAGCGTTTCGCGAACGGTGGAATGATCGAGTTCGTGTTCCAGAACAGGGCGAGGCTTTTCTGTAATTGTGGTTGTGCAAAGATAGCATTGAAGGGTTTGGGTTTGAAAGGGTGCAAGTCGAAGGAGAGTTGAAGGTGAGAATGAGATCAACATCAACCGTCGCATTCTGCCTTTCCTTCTGTCTTCTCTGTTTCTCTGCAAAACCTCAAAGCACTTCCCTGTGCCTCCTTTTAATTTTTTATATTGTTGATGTTGAAAAAAATAATAATTTAACGAGAGTTTCAATTAGGCGTGAAAAATAAATAAATTTCATGTTCAGTGTAAAATACAATAGTTTTGAGTACTGGTTAAAGAAATTAAAGAAGCTAAAATTCTCTTTTAACTAGATAACTAATTAAGGAAATATTATTGGTTTCTTTGATATAAAAAGCCACAAATATATATTACAGGATTAAAAATAAATTAGGTGTTTGATGTCAACAAAAAATTGTTTATAAAATTAAAGATTATATTGTATTCAACAAAAAATTACACATACGAGAGACTAAAAATAAATTATTATTAGTTAATATTAAAATAAAATATTTTAAGAAAAATACAATATGTGTCTATTGTTAATGTTTAATAATGAGAATTATGTTTTATAAGTGAATGTTATTATTTTAAAAGTCATGGAAAAAGTGTTTATTCTCATGTTAAAAAATATCAACCAGTCAATGATTGTTTTACAAGCCAGTCTTTAAAGGGTTTTTTTTTTTTTGTTAGTGATTAATTTTATCATTTTTTGTATTAAAAATATTGAAATGTGTTATTATTATTATTATTCTATATATTTAATGATAAGTGAAATAGAATAGAATAAAAATAATTAAATTACTATTTAAATAATTTTTATGATGAAAAAAATACTAATTTCATTTTAAAGTATAAAAAAAGAAGTTGTCTAATTTTGAAGTTTTTTTTTTCAGACTAAGAAAACGGTGTTTGGGCAATAATTTGAGAAGCAAACAAGGATCTTACAAAAATCACACTAAAAAGGGAATAAACAAAGCAAAGGTAGAAGATTTCATCCCTTGACTCAGTTCACTGTGCTGTGACAGAGTTGTTCTAAATCTCAAGAATGGCACTTTCAATGCAACTCTTCCATGTGAAACCAGGGAGCCCCTTTCACTCTTTTTCGTTGCGGAGGCCAACTCCTCTCAGGTGTTCTGCGGCGCCCCCTCTTTCCAAGTCGAAGCGCTCTTACACCATTACTCTCCTTCCTGGAGATGGCATCGGTCCCGAAGTCATCGCCGTCGCCAAAGACGTTCTTCTCCTCGCCGGTTCTCTCGAAGGTATTCCTCTCTCTCCCTTCAAATACCGACACTGCCTTCAAAATCGCAACTTTTCAACTGGGTAGTTGATTTGTTACTTCAGGGATCAATTACGAGTTCCGAGAGATGCTTCTTGGTGGAGCTGCGTTGGATGCCACGGGACTCCCGTTACCTCAAGAGACCCTTTCTGTCGCTAAGCAATCTGATGCTGTTCTTCTTGGTGCCATTGGAGGGTACTTAATTTCCTTGCCCTTTTCAATAGTTATTATGACTTGTGACTCTCCTCTGCTATTTGTGCTATTTGTGCTCATTTTGTTTGTTTAATTTACTTAAAGCTACAAATGGGATAAAAACGAAAAACATCTCAAGCCAGAGACTGGCTTGCTTCAGCTCCGAGAAGGGCTTCAAGTATTTGCAAATCTGAGACCAGCGACTGTATTCCCTCAGGTAACAATTCTTTCATACTTTATTTTCCCATTCATGATAGCGAAAGTGAAATACTGTTAAGAGCAAAGGTAAGTGAAATACATCTTGTAATAGATGACAACTCAGGGAAATCTTAGGGATAGACTTTATGGTATGACAATAGTATGATAGAGATTTTGTTGTTTCCTTGCTGTTTAGCAATTGTTTTTAATCCGTGTTAATTCTTCTGTAGTTAGTGGATGCTTCGACTTTGAAGAGAGACGTTGCTGAAGGTGTTGATCTCATGGTTGTAAGGGAACTCACTGGAGGTCTGTGGTGTTCTGATTCTGGTTTCCGTGCAGTGGATTTAATTTTTAAATAAGCACAATGTCTCAATGTTCCTATAATATTTAATATTTGAAATGTCAATTCTTCATTCATTTCCCTTAACTATGGATATGTGCAGCTACTTCACAGGACTAAGTCTTCTTGCCATTCTGTTGTTATTCAGGAATCTATTTTGGAAAACCAAGGGGCTTTGGTACCAACGAAAATGGTGAAGAAATTGGCTTTAATACTGAGGTTTATGCTGCACATGAGGTATCTTACTATTATAAAGTGGTCTATAGATAACAATGCATGCCCAAAGAATGAGCCATAAAAAGTATATGAATTACAAGATATTTAAAGAATGTAGATGACCTTGGTTGAATATTTCTGTGAATGATTTAAGTACAGTTTTTAGTTTTTTGTTATACAATCATCACAAATGATTGATTGAGTATTGACTAGTCAAATACCTATACTTTGACTAAAAATTGTAGTAGCAGGAGCTGGGGTTTCCATAAAATCTTTAGTTAAAAAATGTGACTTTGTCTAGGAGGAAGGATGAAGGATCAACTCTGCAGATTTCACTTTCTTCTTCCCCTCTGAGGGAACTATTAGGATTTTAATTTTCTTCCGGACTTGTTCCATTCTTGCTCTATCATTATTTCTGTATTATCTCTGGATCTATGATTGTCTGACTAATAATAATGTGTATACCAGATTGATCGCATAGCTCGATTTGCATTTAAGATTGCTCAGAAGAGACACGGGAAACTTTGCTCTGTTGACAAGGCCAATGTGCTAGAGGTACTTATTGCTGGAATAAGCTATGAAACTTCTTCAGGAATTTCATGAAGTTTTTGCTGTTGTATATTTGTACAGAAAATAAAGTTCATGAAAGATGGCATGAGCTTGGCCTTGTTTGATATACCAAGAATGTTAGCGCTGATCTCATTTTCATAGCATTAGAATTGAGCTGATTGCTTTAACTTCAAATTGGGAAGATTCATTCATGCTGCTAGGAAAATACCTTACTTATTCTGTCATTTTTCAAATTCTGTTTAGAATAGGTGTTGCAAAGACCTTCTGAGATAACTTTCTGTTAATATTTTTAATTTTTATGTTTCACCAAGAAATACAATTTGCTGTGGACCTATATTTGTAAATAGTATATAAACATGTAAACATTATAGCTAACTTTGATTTTGTTTGTCTTTTTTGTAACTTGATAACCACTTGTTTCTGAGATCAAGTGGCATCTTTTCTCAAGCATAATAAGATATATTTAAAATAATATAATTTCTGCTGCTTTGCATGTTAAAATCCATCAATAATATTATTGATTAGCTATATCTGTTAATTCAATAAAATTTAACAATACTTGACGAAAATCTTTGTAGATTATGTGCTGTGATACGTATTAGTTGCTTCTGAAGTATTTTTACAATGAAATTAAGAATTAATTAATGGAATTTCCTGGTTCACTGAATAATTAAAACCTGTGGATGTTTTGGGTTACATAGGGAAATGAACATGAAAACACTTGTGACAGATTTAGGTCCAGTTCCAGCATACTAACAATATTTGAATTCTCCAGGCATCAATGTTCTGGAGAAAAAGAGTTATTGCGTTAGCCCAAGAATATCCTGATGTTGAGCTCTCACACATGTATGTTGATAATGCCTCAATGCAACTCATTCGCTATCCAAAACAGGTTTGCTTGTGGAATAAATTAGTGTACTCTGTCTTTCATTTTATTTATGGCCATGCAAATTTATATTCACAAAATTTTATAAAAAAAAAAAAGTAATTGTCAGTGATACTTCAAGGATTACAATATCTAACACTGAATTTTGCAGTTTGACACAATTGTGACAAACAACATTTTTGGCGATATATTATCAGATGAGGCTTCAATGATCACTGGAAGCATTGGGATGCTTCCTTCTGCTAGCTTAGGGGATTCGGTATGAAAAAAAATTCATAATCAATTATGATATCATGAACATGTTTCTCAAGTTTATCCTGCAATGATTTGTGCTATGTTAGAGGATGTAAGATTATCAATTTCACTTTGTCTATTGGATTTTAATTGGATCAGGGACCTGGACTTTTTGAACCCATACATGGTTCTGCACCTGATATTGCTGGACAGGTTGGTTTCTTCTCATACTTTCGTTCTTTATTTGCTTCAACCAACATGCTTAACAACAACATAAAATATGTACAGGACAAGGCAAACCCATTTGCTACTGTTCTTAGTGCTGCTATGCTTTTGAGATATGGCCTAGGAGAAGAGAAAGCCGCTGAAAGAATAGAGAATGCAGTTCTGGACACTTTGAACAGGGGATTTCGAACTGCTGACATATATTCTGATGGAACTGTAAGCATCTCTTTCATTATCTCATTATGCTGAAAAGACTTGGGTATATTCTACACTGAATAATGGGTGTTCTGCATAAGGGGCGTATTGAAAATTCAATTGGTGTATTTTGCTGAATAAACTTTTGATGTTTGGGTTGTGTGCTAATGCAGAAGCTTGTAGGATGCAAACAGCTTGGTGAAGAGATACTGAAGTCAGTGGAGTCTGACGTTCCTGCTGCTGCAGTTTGATTTGAAACCAACACTGCTTAAAATTGTTTCATCTCAAAGGTCACTATGAGTGTCAAAGCTTAAAATATCTCTCCATCTCCCTAGCCTGGAGAGTTCCAGCTTCCTTCTGCCTGAATGTTTGGTTTTACGTTAATTCATGAAGTGCGTTTTTCCATACACCACAAAGAATAACTTTCAATGAATTGAACGCTCGTTCTCAAACTTCTGACACGTATCCAAACACATGCTGCATTGTTTGTTTTGGTTTCAAATCCAGTGCCATGTATAATTGGACTTTTGAAAGTGACAAGGTTGTTGTTTTGTACCAGGCATCATCTAGTTTCTCTTGCATGCGAAGCCGCTTGTAATAGTGGAATAATGATTAATGGAGGTTCAAATTTTTATAGCCATTCTGCTAACTGAAAAATTGCCTTTACCTATTACGCTGTTGGAGCACGCGCACAATGCAAGCATGGATACACCAAAGTCTAAAATTGTCTCTAATGTTCATTAAAAAAGAAAAATTTGTCTTGTATGATTGGGAGGTTTGGAGGAGGAAGGAAAAAATGTTTCAAAAGGGAAGGGAATTGATAGGAGGGGAATGGAGGTTAGATTTATCCTCTCCAAAATGAGAAAATTCGAAAAATACAAAGGAAGGAAAGTTTTGAAAGGTATTTAAAGATGTTTAAATCTCAAAAAATCTCTTAGAAGCCTTTCTTTCTTTCCTTTTTTTTTTTAACAGATTAAACTTGGTAACATGGTCAAAGTGTATAATATGCATATAAATTGAAAGGTAAGGGAAAAGAGAAGAGAAAAATAAAAGAAAGGAGAAAGGAACTGTTTGGCTATTCCCTTGTTTATACATTAAAACTTCTCAAAATGGAAAAAACTTTAAAATACAAAGGAATTATAAGTTTTAGAGGGTACTTAAAGATCCTCAAATATGGAAAGGTCTCTTGAAGCCTTGCTTTTTTATAATTTAAACTTGCAAACATAGCTAAGTATGCATGTAATTTGAATAACCCTTTTCTTTAAAGAGTGATTAAGTATTAACAATTCTCTTTATCTTATTTGTAATGCCAAAATATTATCATACTAATTTTTTATATTACTTTAAGCAGTTTGTTGCAAGTTAAGTTAAAAACTTGATGAATGATAGGAAATTTGAGAGCTGATAAAGCATGAATGTATTTTTAAGGTATGTTTGGAAGAAAGTTTTTGGAGGAAAAAAAAAATTATTTTAAATTTTAAATTAAAAAAATTATATACTATTTATGATGTTATTAATATATTAAATTTTATTTAATATATTAATTTATATATTTTATTTTTAAAAAATATTAATTTTAAACATGTTTATTTAAAATATAAATATATGCCTTTTTCTCTCTTTCAAGACCTTTCTTTCCAAATAATCCCTTAATAAATTATAAGGAAAATATATTTTTCTTTACAAAATTTTCTTATATATATATATATATATATATATATATATATATATTCATTTCATGTGAAAAAAAATTCTCTCATATTTAAAATCGAACATTAAAGTCATTTTTGTGTATTTTTATATATTTATTTAAGCGAATAAAATTTTACTTAAATAAAATTATAAAAATATACGAATATGACCATCATATTGAATTTTATATATGAGAGAATTCTATCTTTTCCTAGACTATTTTCAGTATTATAAAATTGTTAATTTTTAAACGCCTAACGTGGATTTGCATTAATGATTAAAATAAATAATAAAATAATGGTAATATAGAATTAGGGGGAAGTTAATTAGGAAAGAGCGAGCTTAGTTATGGGAAATGTATATGAGCAAAGAAGCCAAATCCGTCCCTGTCCCAAGTCCCCAAGTCCCAACCCGCTATAGTTTAGTTTAGGGGAGCGATGTGGAGTTCGAGCACAGCGATAACAGTAGCACCAGCAGGCTCCTCAGAAGAGGAGCACACTGAATGGTCTTCCTCTTCCTTCTTCAAATTCTCTTCTGGAAACCCTAGAATCGAAGAGACACGTGGCCTCATGCATCTCTTCCCCGACGACACTCCTTCTCCTCTTCCCGTATCCTTTTCTTCTTTCCACTTTTCTCTCTTCCCTCTTCCCTCTTCCCTCTTCCCTCTTCCCTCTTCCATTCGTAGCAATTACCAATTCTCTCTTCTCTTCTGTTAGGTTGGACGCAAACCTCTCGTCTGCGTTGTCGGCGTACCCAATCACATGACCTATGCCGATTTCTGCCAATTCTGTGGTTCATTCATTCAGCACATGCTCGAGATGCGCATCGTTAGGTATCCTCATTCCGATCTCAAAAACATCGCGTTGCTTTTCATCGTGTTCCTCACTTTCTTCTTTTCCTTTTCTGTCTCAGGATGGATGGGATGGAGGATCAGTACAGTGTCTTAATTCGGTTCGATGACCAAGACTCCACCGACAGCTTCTACAAGCACTACAATGGCCGTCTTTTCTCATCTCTCGAGGTCCCTCTCTCTTTTGTTTTATATTAATAGTAGTCATAGTATTCTCAGTAGCTTTGATGGTTGCTTCATGATATGAATTTGCTTTGCTATGAATCGTAGGTTGAGGTTTGCCGTGTTCTTTTCACATTAGATGTGCAGTACACTGGCTCCATTGAACATGCACAGCAGCCATCCAATGCTAGTTCTACTGAACAGCCTACCTGTCCTGTGTGCCTTGGTATATTCTTCATCATATCATTGTTGTTATTGTTTGTTTTGCAAGTATGGAACGTACTTAACTCAATTATTTATCAGGATGTGTTGGTGTGCAAGTCATTGCTCCTGAATGTCTTTTTTTATGATCATATTGCAGAGCGGTTAGATCAAGACACCAGTGGAATTCTTACAACCATATGCAATCATTCTTTCCACTGTTCCTGCATTTCAAAATGGGCAGATTCTTCTTGTCCTGTGAGTGGCTCCATTGGCTCTGTCTCTGTGTGCATGCATTAGAGGATGTTATCTGGGGTGTCTGAATGAATTGTATGCTTTCTAATTTATAATTAACTTTGGTTGGGGTTTCTTGATTTATTATTTCAGGTATGCCGCTATTGCCAGCAGCAAGCTGAAAAATCCATATGTTTTGTTTGTCAAACCACTGAAAACCTTTGGATATGCGTTATATGTGGGTTTGTTGGCTGTGGAAGGTGAGGCTGAGATTTTTGTCCATCATCCCTTTCTTTTGTTGCATTTTATTCTTTCTTTTTCTATGTTTAATTGTAGTTGATTGCTAGCATATGTATCTTCTGGAATTCCTAAGAAAATATTGATTCAGATATAAAGGAGGACATGCTATAATACACTGGAAAGAGACACAGCATTGCTATTCCCTAGAAGTAGAGACCAAACGCGTGTGGGATTATGTGGGAGACAATTATGTTCATAGACTTATTCAGTCCAAAACGGATGGGAAATTAGTTGAGCTTAACTCTCACTGTTCGCACACGGACAGTGGATGTGGAAGTTGCAGCTGTGAAGATAATGGCATGAGCGAGGCTATACTTAATAGTAAAGTTGAAGCTGTAATGCTGCAAGACTATTTCAATAATTTGCTCAAATTTTTAGATTTATGTATCTTCAGGATGAATTTTAACTTTTCTTACACTATCCAAATATATTTTCTTTTACAGATTGTCAATGAGTACAATGAATTGCTTGCCACTCAACTTGAAAACCAAAAATTAGTAAGTGTACTCCTTTTGTCATTTGCAATGAATCTGCCAACATTTCCTCCTGTCCGGTATAAACATATTAAAATTTTAAAACTTGTATTAATTTATCTTTTTCTGTTTTAATTATTTGTAGTATTTTGAATCCTTACTACAAGAAGTAAAAGAAGAAACTGAAAGAAAAATTTCCAAAGCCGTTCAGAAGGCTGTTAGTCTTAAACAGCAGAAGATTCAGTCCAAGATTGACAGATGTGTCAAAGAGAAAAAGTTTTTGGATGATGTAAGTTGTAATCCATAGGCTTCTCTTATGTCTCGTTCATATATCACACGGACAGGAAATCTTTTTGTTGTGATTGCTTATGTTGTATCCGTGTGCAGCTTAATGAGAATCTTGTGAAAAATGAGGAGATTTGGAAAACAAAGGTTCTTGAGATTGAAGAGAGGTATCCTTTCTTTATTTCTAATGGGTGATTTGATTTTACAAAATAGCGTATATTATATAAAGATGTCTTGTTCCAATTCCAAATATCTATTTTTGTTGCTTTAATGTGTGCTTGGCATTTTATGGGATAATCCTGTTCTCGACATTGTAATTACTATGAATTTCCATTTGAACTCTTAAGTAGTTGCAAATTTGGTCCAAAGATTTGTGATCTGATGCGTGATGTGCTCTTTTCCAGGGAGAAAAAAGCTCTGAGACTGATGGAAGATAGAGTAGCGGACCTAGAAGTGCAGGTGGGAGAATACCGTTTTCCTTATTTCTTTTTCGTTGTGGGTTATAACGTGCATTCATCAAATTAATCGAACTGATGTTTGATACATTCTCAACCTCTGCAGCTTAGCGATCTCATGGTTTGTCTTGAGGGTGGGAAGACAGTAGAACAGCTGCCCGTTTCAAATGAAACTAAAGAAGGGATTCTCTCTGACAATCCAAAAGAATCCTCGTCAACTGGTAGCTCGGAGCTGGGAAGAAAAGCATAACCATGTCTTCTTTTTGTGTAGTGAGTTGTCGGACTGACCTATACCATGCCCTTTTTTTTTGGTCGAAATACCATGTCTATATTCACAAGTATATAGAAACTACACACGTGCATCCACGAATTGAGATGCTTCCACCTGATTTTTGTCTGTGTAAACCTCAAATGGTACTGTTCAGACTTGTAAATGAAAAGACTTCTATCGGTCACCATTCGTAAGATTGATTCCGAATAAATGCAAGTATCGGGCTGGAATTGAAGATATCCAAATGGGCAAATTCTATTCCAAAGAACACACCTATACTTGGACAAAAAAAGGGGTAAAATCTGAAACTATTTGTTAAGGACATCTTGTGCTTAAACTAAAAAAGGGGATAATCTTATTCAAGTCAATATAGATTAATTATCAGATGAAAAAGCTCTAATTGGATAACTTAGCTTATAAATGTAATTAATTTTTAATTTTTAATTAATTAATTTTTAATATATTTTAATATCTTATTGCAGAATTTAATATATTAATAATATTAATTGCTATAATTTTTAATTAAGATACATTATTTATTAATTTTTTTATTATGTCTTTAAATATCTATTAAAAATTATAAATAAATTACACTTTATTTTCTTATTGTTTCAATTAGCTGAGTAAAAAAGGTCAAAATATGTATGCCAAGGGATTGAGAACTGAGAAGGTACCCGGCATTAACTCTTATTTGGGCTGGCATTAATAAGGTCAGCACTTCATTTGCACGAAAGTTGGAGAAATTGTAAGACAATCATGCTTTTCAGAAAAAAAAAAACAAACGCCATGGCTAATGCAAGAATATAGTATAAATTTGAAAAAATGTTAATATCATTCCCTAAGCCTAAGTTTAAGTAATAAAATGATAATAAAATTTTATTAAAAAGTATATATTTATTATTAAAAATATAAAAACTTTTTTTTATTAAGAACTTATTATTTTGACAAGTTTAAAATGTTAATAAAATCTTAAATGTTTAGCCAGCAAAAGTAAACATATGAAATGCAATAAGTAATACTTGTTTAATTGGGGTGTTAACGGGAAATATGGGATAATTATAATAAAATTTAATTGGTTTGGTTTGATGGTCGGGTTAGAATTAAAATACAGATACTTTATATTTTAAGTTTTTATCCATATTTATTATCTTTTTTAATATCTATAATTTTTTTTTTAAACTATATTATAAGCTAAAATACTGATTTATTACCTTTTCATGATTCAAGACAGTAATCAAATTAATTCTAAATGTTAATATATTTTACAAACATTTTTTTCGGTGTAATAATGGGGCAAAAGCCCAAAACAAAGCACCTAACTAAAGGACCCTTTTGAAAACAGTAGTCTTTAGACCAAAAAGAAAAGTAGAGACTGCATCATATAGTTTCTTTTATCCAAAATCCGACGATAAACTTATATAACAGACGCAATCAAAGACGTATTGGTTTGAGCTTCAGACAAAGATGTTAGAATGAATGAGGAGTAATGCAAAATGATAAGACCTTGTGACTAAATTTAAAAATTCAGTGCTTTGAAAAGCATATAGAAATTTATATATATGAAAAAAAGTTGATAGGGAGTGACAGGCTTGGGATATGATCCTCATCCAAGATGAGATATTATAATAAAAAAGCGTGCGATATATTCACTCGTAAACATAATTGCCTTTTACTGATTCGAAATACGAAAACAGAATAGCAAATTGTAGAGCAACGGCTTTGAAAACTTCTCAAGTCCTTAAACTACAAAATTACTGGACTTGTTTGATAAGCTAGCTCACAAAATCATTGTTGCACATCGCATAACTTCAACATAGCTACTTGTCTCAACTCTTTCACTAGATCCTTCACTACCAAGTTGTATTTGTCACCCATCTGCATTATATATGTATATATAGATACTATGCAGTATCAATATAAAACAGTTTGAATGACACTTATTATAGTACCGTGACAATAATTAAATTTTTGGATAGCAAACTTGAGTTGGAATTTTGCTTCTTAATTTTCTTTGATATATAAATTGATATGCAGTGTTATTTACCTGAGCAATAATGGTGATGTCAAGAGTGTTACCAAATGGCAAGACATTGCTAGTTGATATGTTGAGATGAAGACGTTCAAGCTGGGACATTAGTTTGATCAGAATGCCCTTTTGTTTTCCACAGTGAATTTTGATTAACACTTCCTTCCCTAAGATTCTGGCTTCAACTTCAGGAAATCCTTCATTGTGCCCATTGCATTCGTCAGTGTTCATTTCATCATCGATGCAGAGATGAGATCTCGTTATTGTTATCACTGATTCTACACCGTTCTTCTGCACATCTTCTTCTAGCTCTTTTACACGTTCTTGAAGTTGTTTCACATAATTTATTGCTTCTCTTAGTACGTGGGCCTTGTCCATCTACACGTATCAGATACCTTTTTTATTACTAACTTGTAGAACACATTTGTAAGATTATATTCTTTTTATTATTATTTTCCCTCCTAAATTTGGATTTGGCTATTAAAATTTTGATTAGAGGTGTCTCGTTGAGTCAATGAGTTGATTATTTAAAAGGTAAATCGTGATTACTAAATGATTCAGCCTAGTACACCACAATTATTGAATGTCAAAAAATATGATTCTTTATTATAAATGATTAAACATAGATTAAACTAACCTTTGTTGGCTCGAATGGTTTCTGTGTCAACTATAAATTATTGTTCTCTAATCGATCCACACCTCTCTTCTGCACATGGTATTCACACACGTACGGAACGAATCGTTTGTGAATCATTATACCATTTTTTGGCTTTTCCTCCCGTAATCACGACTATAATTTATTTCTCCACAAAACCTTATGATTGTTTTGTGGGTTCTAGCTACTTTTCAATTTTAGTAACTTGTTTGGTCTTAAGCTAAATATATGTTTCCGATCTCATTTCACGAGTTGGTCTTTCTCACAACAGGGCTAACTTTACTTCTTTGTAGATTAATGGTATGTTTAACTTGTAGTTAAATTCATTTAAGCGAAAATCCATTTTAACGTTCCAAGTTATAAATTTTATAATAAAACATGATTGAACATGATAAGGGTTAAGAACGCAGCCACCCATGTTAATCCACCTTGCTTAATGATATGATAACATTATTAGCAGTTAGTTGGGAGTTTGTTCTACCTCATTATACACTTGCTCGATTTATCGTCATTCCTTGTTCCATACACTATACAACTGTTTTCTACGTCATTCGTTACATCAAAGGTGCACCTTTTTGTGGTCATTACTTTTCTAACTTTACAAGCTTATTTAAATATGGATTCAGGTATATTGATTATTTGGAATGGGTCATAAAATATGCCTGTTTTAGTCCTATATTTAGTCCAAAAATTTGATTTTTAGTCATTCATTTAGACCCGAACTTAATAAAACCTAGTAATATGTGAGATAGAAATTAATCAATTGTGATTGTTGACATCATATATCAATCTAAATTTAATATATAATTAAATTATAAAAATAAAAATAAAGATATATTTAATATTTTTTTTTCAAAATAAATAATATCAATATAAATATAACATTAAGTTATGCACAATATTATTCAATATGTAAAAAAAAAAAATCATTAATTTTAATTGTTAGAAAAGTATGGATTATAAAACCATTATTTTCTTGACATATATAATATTATACAGGATTATATATAGCAAATTTTTATTAAAAATTATAAAATTTAATGTAATTAAATATATTAATATTATTAAATATTATAATTTTAAATAAAAAAATTATCATACATAAAATGTTGCATATGTTAAAAAATTGTAAAATAATATAGGGTATTAAAGGGTTAGGAGGATTTGAAGTATAATTCAAACTCAGCCTCAAAATCATTGAATATAATTTTTTCAAAATTGAAATTCGTGAAAATTAAGTTGAATTAGCAAGATAACATCTTTACTAATTATCATTCTACTATTTTCGATTATATCTTCCTTGGGATTGTTTTATAACTTTTGGTGTAGTAAACACTCTTGCTACTCATTTTAAAACTGAAGCTTAACATGATCATATGTTGGTGCTATTAAGGAGATCCTGTAGACTCACTGGCTTTGTGAAGACCTAAGTTTTGCTTAGCTATTTCCTGTAGACTCGTATTACCACTTCATTTATCAACACACACATTCTTTGTGGGTTTGTCCATCTCGTTTCCTTTGACATTCTTGATCAGTAGTTATTCACCAAAGTTCATTGCTTCTCGCATTTCTATACCATGGTTCCCAAACTCTATTTGGTTCCTTTTATACTTGAGTTTGAGGACGTGATAATAACATGTTTAGAATATTCTCCATTATTATTAAATTATTTGGTTGACCCTATATAATTGATTGTCTTCTCCCCTAAGTCATGGTGATTTCTCCTAATTTCCTCTTTGCTGTATTTATTCTGAGTAGTTCTCGAGTTATATCTATAATCAGTCTCGTATACTACACTGTTGTTATATATAGCTTTCCTCCGTTTATTCTATATGATGCATATGCATGTACAATAACATCCTTACTCTCTCTCTCTTTCTCTCGTTAGACGAATAATTAACAAGTTAACGCACATAATTTAAGGAAAAAGAGAGACGAACCTTCTTAAGGCCAGGGATGGTGGCTGAAAGTGCTATGAACTTCCTAGTGAGTTCCTGTCTCCGATTTCTCTCAGACATTATGTGATCTAGTGACTCGGAAGCGCTTCGAGTCTTCTTCATTCCTTGGTTGGTCTTTGATGAGGACAAGGGCAAAGTGTCCTTGGAGCGATTTCCCAGTTGGGATTCGGAAACCTCTTTCAAAGGATAAGAAGAATCATGATCATTTGGTAACAATGTAGCGGATTTGTCGAAAGACAGTATAAAACTTGTTGGAGATGAGGTTGCCTTGTCTCCAGCATGTTGAGACACAATCGAAGGGTCATATTTCATCATCAAGTTCCCACAACTAGCTGGCCTCGCCATACTTGTTTGCCCAAATAATGAAGTTCCACTATCAAGGATGGGAGTAGTGCTAACAATTGCATGCTGTGGTTGCTGCAAGATATCTCTGAGGAACTCTTCATCAAAAGGGTTGGTGTGGCACAAACGTTTATTTGCCTCATCATCCATTTCCTAACATGCAATTGACACAAAAACTAATCAAACTAAAGTTATATAGTCGTGGAGATCGTGTATATATATATTTATTTTTTATCGATGTATACACAGATATAGATAACCATCACAGTCTAAAGAAATAATGAAATTATACTATATATGGATGATAATTATTTTGTGATCGTAACCTGTTACCCCATCGGAAGACCAATTCCCCCACGGGTTCTCCACCATTATTGGGATAAGGAGACTTGTTAATAGAGGGAGAGAATTACTCTATGCACTGGAAACTTCTTTTCTGTTTACATGCGTCTTTGAAGTTAACTTTTGACGCATGATGTCGACCTTTTTTAGGCAACTTACCAGTAATATTTTCATGAAATTAATTAAATTTACCTTATATTCAAGAATGCCTATGTAATAGTTGGAAAGATTACTGTGCGAAAGAAAGAAATAAAAATAAAATAAAATAAAATTATAAAAACTATAATCCTCCTAGACCAATTAAACATACCCTAAAGTTTCATAAAATTAAGATGAGTAAATATTAAATAAGTATTAAAATAAATTCGCATATTGATTGGAATAAAGTGAGTGGCGATTTTGAGACCATAACTCTCTGAAGTCTGGCCATCCATGGAGGCCACTTTCATACTTTCATTCTCTGGCCATCTATTTTTTTATTCACTGAACCAAATAACGGGTAATTAATTAGTTTGACAGCTGCAGTTGACTCCGTAATGCCCAAAAGAGCAAGAGTTAAAAATGCTTTGCTTTTTGTTCTTTCATCAGTTTCCCACATGCACCTGAACAGCAGAGTAGTCATGAACAGTGAGAACTAATTAATATGAAAAGATATCTATATCTTACAAATTTATGACAAAAATATAAAAATAATGTAATTTAGTTTCTATCTTACCAAAACATAGCTTGGAATTAATATACTTGGAAACAGACAAGTTGAGGGGCAGACTGGGATAATTTCTTTTCAATATGTATATAGAATATTGTAATAAGAATAATAAAATTAAAATGTCAGAAAATATTTTTAGAATAAAAACATTTTTTAAAAAATCTTTTAAAAAAAAAACAGATTTTAATAGAAATGATCCCTTCCACAGGACAGGGACGCATGGAACGATGAGTTGTTGCTGTTGGCATCTCTGTGTTTTATAGGCACATTGCAGTTTGTATTTCTTTTTTGTTCCTCACATAAATAGATGATCACTGTAAAACGATCGAGCAATCTAACGGTAGATATTCAACTTGCATGTTCAACGAGTATTAAATTATTTAAATATTATATATATATATGGACACATTCAAGCGACCAAACGAATTATTGCGATTGACGTTAAATTTAGTTTTTTTTTTTTAAATAAAACATTATCAGCTTTTAAAATTAATTTTTAATCCTTAAGTGTTGTCGTGTTGACACATTGTTGTAAAATTTTGATCCATTATTACTCAATTTAAGCATTGAGTTAATTGTTTATAATATATATCAATGTTGTGCATACTAAAAAAAATGGCGGTCATGTGTCTTCTCTTATGTACCACGTCCAGCGTTTCATTCTTGTTTTATTTAAAATAATTATTTAAAAAATAATGTATTATTTTATGTTTTAAAAAATAAATCCACATTACACATGATCTAAGTAATGCAACTATACATAAATATTTTTACCATTTTTATAATGCATATAAGTAAATAATTTGTATGTTAATATTATAAGTTGTGTTGATTTTATTTGTCTGAAAATTGTTATTTAATTTCAAAATGATGTATAAATTCACACTTAATAAATGATAGTGTGATTATGTATGCATCCTTGTGATTTTTTAATGCGTGAAGATAGATAACCTAAAATATCAATATTATTGTTTGTTGCGTAGATTTTAGAGTAAAATATTTAATTTTTGTGAAAAATTAAAATACACAATATAGTGGGTTAACAAGGCAAGGAATAATAAATTATTCAAAACATATACGTTAAGAATAACACAAAATATATTAATTATATTAAAACCTAATAAAAAAGTTGTTATCTTTATTTTAATTGTTTTAACAAATGAAAGTTGTTTTCTAATTTTCCTTCTCCTGTTACTATTCTTAATCCTATTTAATATTCCTTTCCAAAAATAAGTTTTCTTTAGGCAAAGTTTTATCGAACTTTTAGTTCATATGATTCGAGTTATTTACAAATTTGGTATTTTATTATTATTTTTAGTTGACTAAGCCCTTTTATTTTTAAAATTATCCAAATTATTTTTTTTAACAATATTTTTTCTATCTAAAGCTTTTAAATCTTATTTTATTACTTAAAAATTTTTCAAATTGTATTAATTAAATGACCATCCTCTTCAAAATTAACTAACTAGAATATCAAATTCAATTCTAGAAAAAAATCTTAAATTTTCTCCTTCAAACCGTAACTTCATATTATAAAATCTTTTAAATTTTATTAATCATTCAATGAAATTTTTACTTTTGAACTTCTAAAATCAAATAATGTTCCAATAGAATTGTAAACCCTAAAAAAATTGAATACAAAGTTTTTTAAAATGAGTTTTACTGGAAGAAAATTAATGAGTGCTAAATTTGCACAGTTTTAAAAAAACAGAAGAATTTAACTAACACAGCAAAAATTGAGAAACCAAAATTATACATAGTTCAAATTAAAAGGATTAAAAATATAAGCAAACTTTTAAGTAATCTATCTTTTAATTTTCATAACAGAATTTTCATTTTTTGTTCTTTTTAGACGTTTGCGTCGCTTTAAAAGTAAAAAATAAAACTTATGCCAACACTCTTGGTCCAGAAGCTATGCTAGCATTCTTGATCTTTTGTATTTATTTTTTTAACAAAATTTGATCTTTTATTTTTTTTAATTGATTTATTGTTGTTTTCTAAAAAAGCTTGTAACATTCAAGTGATGTTATATTGGGCCCAAATAATATTTACGACCCAGATAGTCTGGGCCGAACACAGTAAAATCTAACGGAAGAACGAGATTTAACATAAGTTAGGTGTAGTTCTTTAATTCTTTTAGCTCCAACTCATAAATTAGAGAGTAAATAACTAATATTAATAAAATTAAATTAAAAGATATGTATTATATTTTTACAATTTCAATACAATAAATATTTTTTATTTTAAAATACTATAAAAAAAACTTAAAAATATAAGTATAATTTTATTTATTTATTAATATATAATTTGATATAATTTAGTAAAAAAAAAAAATTTGAATGGCACGTGTGTGCATATTATATGGCGGGGTACGCTTGGGAATGATTGAAGCTTAGGATGACAAATTAAGATTGCAGTGAATGAAATAAATGCACTGTCAAATGCCAATTGCAATATCAATACATTTCCCATTACACACTGCTTTTTTCTGGTCATTCTTCTCCTACTTTCCACCCTTGTTCTTGCATATTATATCATTATTTTACGCCTTTTCTCGAAACCGATTAATTTTAAACTTAAATATAAATTTTCCTCGTATTTAAACAAAATTTGAAATTTAATCTTTTCAAATAATCTTTTACACTTAAATATATTTTTTTACTTACTTAATAAACTCACTTGTAAAATGTCTCACATTAATTAAGTGTTCTTTTTTATTAGTTTAACTTTTATTCATGATATGTGAAATTAATTTTAAGTAACGAAACAAACACCAAATCTATTATGTATTGGCGCAAAATTAAAACTTTTTTAAATTTTAATAGAAATATTTTGAAAACAGACAACGCTAAAAAAAGCGTTTTGTATATCGAAGTAAATTTTCTTTTAAAATTTAAAAGATTCTTACATTTCCATTTCCTGCGTGTGAAATAGTGATTTTTTTCTTACACATTAAATATAAAGTTGCATGAAAATTTGTTAATAAACAATTTTTAGTACATTCTTTTATATTTTTTTTTATTATTAACTCAAAATTATAAAAAATTTATGTTTAACAATTTTTACTCGTACTCTCGTATATACTGTGTTCCCCTGGTCCCTTCTCTTTTTTCAGTCTGACTAAGAATCTGTTCCTTGAACAAAAAATCAACCAAGAAAGCTATATCCATTTCCTTCACTCTCTAAAATGGAGGAGTGGTGGAACGATTGGTTCTCTGACTCGGTAATTAGTCATTTCATAATGTTAATATGTTTATCCATAACTCTCATTTATCATAAATTTGACATTTTTCGCTGTGATATTAGGATATGAATGGCTATAACTCCTTTTTCAATAAATGCCAAACAAATAGTTTTGTTAACAGTGAAGAGGGTCGTAGGGATCGAGCAACAAGCCTTGTATTCACAAACTCACGACTCTATGAATTCTTCTTCTTCGTTGGGGAACATAAACTTTGAACTCACGACAACCCAAGGAACGAAGAGGGTCAGAACCTCCTCGGAAACACAGGATCACATAATGTCGGAGAGAAGAAGGAGACAGCAAATGGCAGAGAGATTCATAGCACTTTCAGCAATTATTCCTGGCTTGAAGAAGGTTAGTGCTTCTTCTTTCTCGCTTAAATGTGAAGCTTGCCGTTATAAATTATTTTTAACTATTTTCACCACCAATAATTAACATTTCATCAACCAAAATCTTTCAAGGATGGATAATAATGCAAGCACAATTTTTACAATTTTTTTTTCAGTATCGTACGTCTATTTTGTATATTATATTTTAAAAATTTAAAAGATTTAATAAGATGTATATTATTAATTTTTATTGAAAATTCTGTACACGTAACAATAGACTGTTTTGATTGGATGGAAATTGAAAAAAAGTAATGAAAAGAATGATTAAAAAAACTTGGAAAATATTTTCTTTACTTTTTAAACAATTCCCATACGGTCCTATCAAATAATGTAAGTGGTGCATTTCCAGCTCATTTCAATCCTAAGCATTTCTTTCCATCCTACGTCATCACAATCTAACACTTGAGGGATAAATTCAAACTTTAACCCTATGTTTGGTTTAGAAAAGATAAAAAAGAAGGTTTATATCTTACATTATCGTTTGTTTGACTTCCGGGTCAATATATATTCGCGTATAGATAGACAAGGCCTCTGTCTGTATTTGGGAAGCTATTAATTACGTGAAACAACTTGAAGGAAGCGTAGCAGTGTTGGAGCAAGAGAGTAAGCAGAAAAATACTCTTTGTTAAGCGATATAAATCTCATAATCGTTCCGCATCATGTGAGAAAAACTCAAATGATTGCTTGGTCCCTGAAGTGGAAGCAATAGACTTAGAGAAGGAACTACTTATTAAAATCTTTTCTGATAAATAAAAGGACATCTTGCTTACAGTACTGACCCTTCTTAAAAATATATATCTCTCTATTGTCAGGAGCAGTGTAATATTTGAAAAAAATACTCTCAACATTATCATCATTCTAAGGTAAAAAAACAATCCATTTAATTAAAATCTGATTGTGTATTTAAACTCTGACATGTCGCTGGCAATATATATATTGCAGATGGGTGTGGAATACAATAGGACAGGGAATGAATTAGTGAAAGAATTGACACAGAATTTTGTCAAATTATGAGACATGCCCCTATGATCAATGCTAGTGTATCAAACATGTTACAATTATTTTGGCATGGGATGTGCATGGACCCAGCGAAATTGCCCAAACTATATTATTATTCTTATTGGATGGGCCTGAGTCGTGGCTAGCGTTGAGTTTGTTTTCGTGTGTCACCTCACAAAAACATTGTGTTGATTTTGCCTCGACAAAAGATACGTATGTTGTTGCTGCAAGTCTTCAAGTCTCCCCATGTTTCAGCATCACCCTATGTTTTTTAGATTCTTCTCACGTGTATATATAATTTTAAAAATATAGATTTTTTAATAAAAAATTAGAGTACTAATATTATTCATATATTAAATTTTGTAATATTTTATTATTTTAATAAAAAGTTATCATGTATAAATTTTATTATGTGTTGCTAAATACACATATAGAAAAATTAATATGTTTTTCATTTAATACATCGTATAGGAAATTATTAGACGTAATCGATTGGGGATTCTTCTATTTTCTGTCAGCTGAACTTTGATTGCTGGAATTGTGTTTACTGGTTGATGAGTGGATGATTCTCGATTTATGACGCAATGAAAATTGAATTACACTGTAGAATTGTTACTTCTCACCATCATTGTTGTAACTATTTTTATTATTAATTTTTATATTATGACGATATTTTAACTTATTATTATCATCCCTTCCCTTCTTATCAATATTTTTATCACTGTCATGATGGATTGTTACTATCACTGTTATCAGTTCATTGCTCTGTTGATTATTGCCGTCTATGTCATTAACATCACTATTTTTCTTCTTATTATTATTATCATTATTATCATGACTATTATTTTTGTTGGTGCTACCACTAATTATCACAGTTGCTATTATCATTTTTTGTGCTTACTACTATGCTCACCAACTTAGGTGTAGTTGACAAAAAAATCGTTTTTTAGAAAATTAAAATGAAAATAGGGAAAATATTACAGATTTGGGCTCAATATATTTTATTTCTATGTAATCATTTTTGAGATATTTTTAATAATATTTTAAATTAAAGATTACTTAAAATCAAGGAATTAATACGTATATTTAGTTTTTACTAAGTTATTAAAAAAAACAAAAAAGAAAAAAAAGAAAAAGACAGTAATGTTGTCCTTGGTGACGATGTGGAATTTATGTGGTCACCAAATTTCACTCTGAAAATGGAGAGGCTGTGGTACCTTAAACAAAAGAAAGGAAAAGGCTGTCTGATTCACAAGTTTTGGAACAGAGGGAGGGATTGGTTCTTTCTTGCTCAAGAAAAGCTCTCATTTCTGGTTTAAATAACCCTTCCGTTCCCCTTTCTTACGCTCTCGTTTATTAAGGGAGACATCTTCTATACCTTGATCTGTTCTTCACTTTCCTAACGGGACAAACTTTTAGGTGTACCTTTTTTTTCAACATTTTTTATTTTAATTTTAACTATAAATATTTTATACTATTATTCTTTCTGTTAAAGATGTTATTCCTATCAAGGATACACTTATTTAGGATAATTTTGTCTCTCCCTGTCTTTATATTCTACAATGTTACAAGCTCTTTTTTATCTGTAAGAGTAACACTCAAACAATTAAATAAATATTTAATATAAAATAATAAATATTATTAAATATTTTAAAATTAACCCTTTTTATTTTATTTTTTATTTTTTTTATAAGCACTATATTAGATTAATGGGCTTGGGGAGTTAATCCTAAATTAACTTTCTAATAATTTATATAATTAAATTTTTTTATTGATTATTTGATTTAATCATGATATTAATTTTACTGTGATCGAATAGTTAATTCGATGACTTAGGGCAAAGTCGAAAGAGTTATTTAATACCTCTTATCTAAAGGTAAGGTAAAAAAATACTTAATTTCTCTTTTTTATTATAGAAAATAACCAAATAAGATATATTATATTTTTCGTCTTAAGACGAGACTAAAGAAGTAGTTGATACCATTTGACTAAGGTAAAGATTGAAGGGATACTCAATTCTCTTCATTAGTATGAGAGATGAATGGATAGTACTTTATTAAGTATAATTATCTTATTGAATTTATTAATTTTAATAATTACTTTAAAATTTATATTTAAATTTTTAATTAATTGAAATATAAAATTTTTTATACTAACATTATATTAAAATTAAACTCATAATTTATATAAAAATAAATAAATACCAATACTCCGTACTGATTATTAAAGCAATCTCTACTTTTAATTAAAATAATATAAAGCATTTAAATATTACCCCTGAACTGTATCATTCTCTAATTCTTGGGATCTTTTTACGTTAGATTTTATTCCATTCCTTTGTATGCTTCTACTGTTCCAACAACAGTCAAACAGATTTGTTATGGTACTTCTGTTCCCTCATTTTTCACCAAAGAAAAAAACGTGCGGAGGTTATAAAATATAAGCAATGTTCATAAGCGTATTCATTACAAACAACATCATTTTAAATATTTAAATTTTATATACATGTAAAATCATTATAAAAAACTTAAGTTTCACAGGAATTATCATACATACAAAAAGGTAAAATAAATAAATAAATAAATAATGCAAGCAGGTGAGAATAATATGAGAAAAAGTATAGAAATGAGCAAATAAATCAATGGAACAGGAGAAAAAGGCATGCAAATGGATTAGAGAAAAGGATAGAAAATAGGTAATGAAAATGAAAAAAAAAAAAAAGTAGTACAGAAAATCTTTAAATGAGTGGGAAGAACGACAAAGACGGATGAAAAACAAGCGGAAAAGTCATTCAGGAAGAAAAATATGTGAATGAATACGAAAACGAGCCATATAACAATGTAAAAATTGGCACAAAAAAATCTAAAAGGACATAAAATAGTGAAATGAAGATAAAGAGTATTTTAACATTTTTGAAAAATTATTACGAGAATATTAGTTTATAATTAATTATATGGAACTAGCAAATGCTTGTTGAAAAATATGGAACTAACATTTTATATTTAATCATGTGTCCTAAACAAACACTAAAAAAACTATATAAATGTATAATACGGAGAATTAGAAAAAATTAATAACATAAAAAAAAAATAACATTATAAAAAAAGTATGTAAAAGAATTATAAACTAATTAATCCTTAATTTGTACGAATAATTTCTTCTACAAATTATATCATAAATATCTGATTGTTAGATAAAATTATCTGTTTATTTTTCTTCTACCCATTTTACACCTCGAGAAACATAACTTTCCTTCAAATCCAGCAAAGAGGTGTATGAATGGCAACGTTTCCTTCTTCAACTCCATTCGAAGCACATTTTGGGAATCTTTTCAACCTATAATTCATTCAAATTTCGTCATAAAACATTATATATTCAAGATGTATTTTTTATATTCAGTATGTATCTAACCTGTTATGTATATATTTTAAAATTTATTATATGAATTTTTTTTTTTTTTTAAAAAGTGTAGGTTCATGTACGTGACCGGGGCTTAATGTGAAGGTATTTCCATTTTCCTCTGCAGGAGGCCCCACGGGATGGAGTTGGTATGAGTGGGTACCACTGATCCCATATGTCTTTCTTTCGGCACATCATTAGATCATTTTGCTTTCACATACACTAAGTCAGAGATCCAACGGCTCAAATAAAGCGGCATGATAAACGAATATGCTTCCCGTCTGTTCTCTCCCTCACCGTCCACTATCTACATCAGCGCTTAAATCATTTTATCTATAATTAATTTTTATTCAAAAATAATTATTTTCCTCTTCGAAGCGTTTCTAAACTCGTTAATGTTTAAGTCAAAAATTATAATGATTGTTTTACAAAAAATAATTGATATTTTTGAATTAAATTACCAACAAATGCATCTTAATTTTTTTATATTAGCAAAACGTGTTTAGTTGAAAAGTTTCATATATTATTTATGCTCAAATGGATAGCATTGGATCGGTTGTTACATATCAATCTATAAATAATTGAGATTTCAAATCTAATTCCTTTTTATGCAGAACTAATTATTAAAGCTATAAACTGTTAAGCATTTATATTATATTTGCAAATTGCAATCGTGAAAAGTATTTGGCATCGATATTATTTTCGTTACCTTTATCAATCGTACAAAAGTAATTGAATCAATCAATTTATTAAAGAATATTTTGATTGGTGCTATAATTGTTTCATTCTCTTTCGTCTTTACATATAGGCTCTACTTTTCTGATATCACCGTAAAAAATGAACTTAAGGAAAAAAAGAAAAAAGAAAAAAGATAAAAAGGAAGCAAATCTTCTTATTTAATGTCCTTCCCTTGGCGTTCATTGACTCGGGACTCTTGTGCTGGTGAGGAAGACCGAAATCATCGAAGAACCCATTATCTGGTAGCTTCTAATGGAGCAATCATGGGAGAATTGGCCTTTTCACATGGTAATAAAAGTAGCTATCATATTCTTAAATTTTAACAATGATAATAATATGTTGGATGATGGTATGGTCTTATTATCTATGGTGTTGACGAGTTATAGGAATTAGACGATGAGAAGGATCCATTAGAGTTGGAGGAGTGCCACACTGAGGACGAGGAGTTTCTGAGAGATATCTTGCAGCAGCCAGCGGTGTCTTCTGAAAGTGAAAGTCAACCTTTTGTGCAGTTGACCGCTGCCGCAGTTACAGACGGTGGTAGCAGTTTATCTTCAGATGAGATGGTTGGGTCGGAAAGGCCTGGGAAAAGGACTCGTCTATCTTCGTCTCCTCAACCAAGGGCGTACATTTTATCTTTCGATAACTCTACCATAATACCAGCTACCCCTCAACCTCAACCTCAACCTCATGCTCGCTCTTCTAAATCTAATGCCCCTTCCTCCAAAAAACGGGCCCTCCAAAATCTCACCTTTCAATCAAAGCCCAAGCCCAAGCCCACCCATGGACCAAAGAAGAATAGAACCGATTCCCAGACTCTCGATCACATTATGGCCGAGAGAAAACGGAGACAGGAACTCACTGAGAGATTCATCGCCCTTTCCGCCACTATTCCCGCCTTGAAGAAGGTAATCAGCTCCTTCCCCCTTTCACTTAATCTTTAATATTTATCTCCCAAATCATTCATTGCGCGTTTGTTAGTTCTCATTTAATTGTTTTCAAAACTAAAATCTCAAGTTAATGTGTGGGTTTTAAGCCTTTGAGATACAATTTTAGTAAAATATATATAAATCACTATTTTCAGGACAAAACTGTTACAGATGGCTTCCATTTCATGCCTGCCACTGGAACCCTATCTCAACTTGAGGATTAGTATTTTGTTCTTATACCCTTTTCTGCATCGGTTATTTTTTTAGAGATATTATATATTCGATTAAAAATTAATGGTTCGTAATCTTGATAAGTATCGACGAGCAGAGGTGCAGCGAAGACGACGGAATCTTGACATTTTCGAGACTAAACAGGGAAGAATTAAATAACATAAAAATACGTACAACAAATCCAAAAACGATATCTGTAATAATAGTATCAAATAGTGACGACACATGCTAGATGCCCCCGGACACAGGCACTGCTCAGGGCGCTACCCATGAACAATGCTTTTTTTTTTTTTCTGTGTTGACAAAAAATAGAAGAGAAAATAAAATCACTTTCATTTATTTAGCTGTTAATGAATAATAAATGAAAGTGCTTTTAAGGTAATTTTTTTATTTTAATTGCGAAAGAATTACCCTATAATATAATTACAAAAAGGTTTAAAGTTATTTGTAGTAATTGGTTTTGTCTTTGAAATAATTATTTGATCACTTTGATTGTTTGATCAAACATATATTAAATGTGTTGTAATAATTTATAGACGGACAAGAGTTCCATACTTCGCGAAGCAATTAATTACGTAAAACAACTTCAAGAACGGGTGACGGAGCTAGAACAGCAAAACAAGAGAGGCAAAGACTCCATAATAATCCTCAAGAGGACTGATTTGTATGCAAATAATGAAGATAACACTTCAAGTGAAACAAATTCTGAGGATTGTTGTAGAACCAGCGAAATGCTCCCTGATATTGAAGCAAGAATGATGGAGAATGAGGTACTCATTGAAATCCATTGTGAGAAGGAAGATGGGGTAGAGCTCAAAATACTGGAACAGCTTGAAAATCTTCATCTTAGTGTCACTGGCAGCAGTGTATTACCCTTTGGGAATTCAACTCTTGGCATTACTATTATCGCTCAGGTACGCATCTTCATGTAATTTACTTTAACAACTAACAGTTAATTATCAAATATATTTTTACAACTAATTCAAACCATTTATCTCTTCTTTACCTCCTTTAACTAAACATGTTTTAACGAAACACATTCTATGTGTGTTGCACATATTGTATGGAAGTTGATGCATTGAATTGCGATTATTTTGTCTCGTCTTGCAGATGGGTGACGCCTACAGAACGACGGTGAATGATCTGGTGAAAAATCTAAGGCACGTGCTGTCGAATCACATGACTATGAATCCTGATCCGTACTAGTGTATCAAACATGTCGTGTATGAACATAGTTTTGGGTCCAATCGTATGTGGACTTGGAAACTTTAAAGTTTCAACAACTTAGTTGGGATTTATGAGTTCAGTTCCTTTTTGAAACTTTCTGCTTTTAGGAGTTTATTACGATTCATAACTTTGTGTGTGACTTGTCAGGAATAACATCGATGAAAACGCGGATGTAAGTGTTTGGATTAATTTATGTTCCAGTTTTATTTTAATTACAAGGTTTATTCCCATGCCATCGAAGAAAAGGAGAAGACTGTACTGATGAAATAAAAGAGAGTACGATGAAATCCTGTTGACAATTCTTTTTATTTCTTGGTGACTGACGATAGATATCAGAGGAGACAAACAACAAACAAACAAACAGTATCTATCTCTTTGATTTGGATTTTGATAAAATTTAATTTAATTTCATAATTGAATAGAACGTGAGGTACCTGGGATGATTGATGATTCTAACACCTTTCGTATATTTGTATTATGTTTTCAGTTAGATTAACATTCTTAATTTGTTAGTTAATTAAAAATATTTTATTTTCTCTAATTTATTTAAACAAATTAAATTAATTTTTTGAAATGATAAAATGTTTACAAATCACTATTTGAATACAAATTTATTACGACATTATATAATTATATATAATTTTTGTTCCAGTTCACAACACGTGGGATTTTTATTAGTTTTGTCAACCTCGGGTGCCTGTTCGGCTATAAAATTGGTTTTAAACTAATAGTTTTTTTTTATGTACTGCATAAGCATTATTGTATTAAATTTTTTAAAATAAAGAATAAATATTTTTATATGACTATTTATAAATTTTAAAAATAAATATTATAGTTCTTACTAACTACTCTATTATATTAAATAAAATTAAAATAAATTATTAAAATTTTAAATTTAAATGAATATTTAATAAATACATAATAATGAGAAGATCACTTGGCACAGTGAAAAAAAATGTGAAAACGCTCTCGTGTTTAGAATTCTTTTAAAAAATATTTTTGTTCAATAATGAATACACAGGTTAATATTTAAAAATGATAAAGTTTCATTAAAAAAATATTTATTATATAAAAAGATAAAATTATACTTGTTGAATAAAATTTATTACAATTAGGATGGGTGTTAACAAAATTAGGTATATTTTCATTAAAATATATGTTTTTATTTAAGAGTGGAAGATTATATTTTGCAACTTACCAATGGGACTCTCCCAAGCATATTGGAGGCCAATATGTCATAGGCTTCTGTGGCCCAACTGAAAAAATTGAATGTAAACTCATTTAAAGAAGTTAAACTAACAATAATGCATATTAGATATTTGTAATATTTAATAATTTTTATAAAATAAAAAAGGAAATAATTAAATTTTGTAAAATTTTATACAAAATAAATAAATTAATATTCCATTAATGTTTATTTTAATAACGATTGTATTTTTAAAATATAAATAAATATGAAATTTAAGAGAATTTAATAATTAAATTGATGGATTATACATTTTATAAATAGATATTAAAGAATATAAATATCCAAAATGAAGAGAGAGTCTCGCATAACAAATTGTTTTGGGTAGCACAAAGGAAATATCAATGGTTGAATTAACAAAAAAATCTGTTGACCAAAAAAACAAAAATATCTAATACATCGCTATCTATCTTCATTCATTGAATCATTGGCATATGCAAACGGCTCTTCTTTCGTTCCTTCGTCAGCGATTCGCGTTCTGAAGAAAAGGTAGGTAATGTATTCCATACATCAATTCCTTCTTTCTTCTCTCAACACATCCAATTACCCTAATTTCCCATTTCCTTATTGTTTCCTCTTCCGCTCACATGCTTTCTTCAATCCCAATTCAATTCACCGTCACAAATGAATTAGTTATCCGTTATCAAATTTCGCTCAGATCTGATTGATTTATTACATTTTTTAAAAAAAATTATGTTTCTTCTTTTGACGAAAAGTAACCGACAGAACAACAGGCGCCTGATGTGGTTTTAAAAGAAATAAGTTTCTATCTTATGTTGGATTATTCGAATTTTAATTTGCTGTCATTATTAATATTTATTATGATGAGAAGAGGATATTTTCGTTGTTATTTTCTGCAGAGGAGAATAGTTGATGGATAACATACCAGAGCATATAGTATGGGAGATATTGAGTAGAATAAAGAAAACAAGTGAAAGAAATGCTATTTCCCTCGCTTGTAAACGGCTTTATTATTTAGATAATGCACAGAGGAATTCTCTAAGGGTAGGATGTGGAATGGATCCTGCAGATGAAGCTTTAACCTGCTTATGCACGAGGTTTCTGAACTTGTCCAAAGTGGAGATTACATACTCTGGTTGGATGTCTAAACTAGGAAAACAGTTAGATGACAAGGGTCTTCTGATTCTTGCAGATCACTGCCCTTTACTCACTGATCTCTCCTTGAGCTATTGCACATTTATCACTGATGTTGGTCTTCGTTACCTGGCTTCTTCTTCCAAGCTTTCATCATTGAGGTTGAATTTCACGCAAAGGATAACGGGTTGTGGCATTCTGTCTCTTGTTGTTGGTTGCAAGAACCTTTCCAGGCTTCACCTTATTAGTTGCCTCAATGTGAGCAGTGTGGAGTGGCTTGAGTACCTTGGCAAGCTTGGAACACTTGAGGATCTCTCCATTAAGAATTGCAGGGCAATTGGTGAAGGTGACTTGATTAGGCTTGGCCCTGGTTGGCAAAACCTTAAAAGGTTGCAATTTGAAGTGGATGCTAATTACCGGTACATGAAGGTTTATGATCGGTTGTCTGTAGATAGGTGGCAAAAGCAACATGTCCCGTGTGAGAATATGCTTGAACTTAGCCTGGTGAATTGCATCATCAGTCCTGGGAGAGGGCTTGCTTGTGTGTTGGGCAAGTGCAAGAACTTGGAAAAAATTCACCTTGACATGTGTGTTGGAGTGAGGGACTTTGATATTATTTGTTTGTCTCAAAGATCTAGTGACCTTCAATCGGTTTCGTTTAGAGTTCCATCGGATTTTTCGCTTCCCTCCTTGGTGAATAATCCATTGAGATTAACGGATGAGAGCCTGATAGCATTGGCTCAAAACTGCTCAAAGCTTGAATCGGTGAGGATCTCTTTTTCTGATGGGGAGTTCCCCTCATCCTCTTCATTCACATTAAGTGGGATACTTTGTTTGATTCAAAAGTGCCCAGTTCGCCGGCTTGCTCTGGATCATGTTTATTCCTTCAATGATGTCGGAATGGAAGCTCTTTGCTCGGCAGAGTATCTTGAATCTCTTGAACTTGTGAGGTGCCAAGAGATTAGTGATGAAGGGCTACAGCTTGTGAGTCAGTTTCCCAGGCTGTGCATTTTGCGGTTAAGCAAGTGTTTGGGGGTCTCTGATGATGGATTAAAGCCACTTGTTGGATCACTGAAGTTGGATTTCTTGGCCGTTGAAGATTGTCCTCAAATTTCTGAAAGAGGTGTCCAAGGAGCAGCAAAGTCTGTGTCTTTCAGGCAAGACTTATCTTGGATGTACTGATCCCGTTCGTCGGGTTTTAGGCACATCAAGTCTTTGCTCATTCATTTTCTTCAATCTTACTTCCCATTCTTGAATATCCACCATGCTTCTGTATATCTATATGTCGTATATCACATCACACATACATAAGATTATTCTGTTGTATTTATATTGTACATCTTGTTATCAAATAAATTGATTTCTAGCATTATATGATATATATACTATCCGGCCAAATCTCTCACTACAATTTTGAAATGAGAAATTGTAAGTACAAAAAGAATTATACATCCGCATTGGAGTTTGGAACTTTTAATTATCTCTTTACTTTTTAAATATATTTTTGGTATTTATTTAATATAAAAATGAGTGAAAATAAAAATAACTATATACCATATTAATAGCTGTTCTTCAAATACCACACACGCACCCACGGGTATACGCCACTTGTGTCCAAACTAAGTGTACGTGTTCTAAGGTTGACTTAGCTAAACAACTGGATTATGCACACGTGGTAGGATATCTTTGTGGTTCAACTAAAACATGGATATCACTGTGCAAAGTAAATAATATTACCGAAAGGGGTTTTAATACACACACAGGCTGTGGTATGGCGCAATTCCAATGGAAAATACCATTTCCATTAAAAAATGGTCTAAAGGAGCTTGCTGCTTTTATTAGATGCACGTGCCCCACAGAGGCATTATATATATAATCTCACGATCATAATGCACAAGATAAAACAAGGTTCAGCGAGAAACGAGAATCAGATAACGCTATCTTCTTCCACGAATCATGATGTGCTTTTAAGAGAATCAACAAGTAACCAAATCATAGTACGGACAACCTGACTACAAGAACCAAAATTCTTGAATTATCTATAGAACACGTAATTACATTTATCAGAAAATATTTCTATGATAAAGGAGGATAGAGGGTTGCCACAAATAATTTTGGACAATGTAGAAACCTGTGAAGAAAAAAAGAATGGAACTAAGCTTGGTGTGTTAGGATTTCTACACTACCCTCAGTACCTTGGTGAATCAAAAAACAATTTCCTCATCAGTTTTGACCGAGTTGGAAAAGTGAATGGGGTTTAACATCTACAATTACATTAGCAAAACCTAGTTTGTTAGGACTGACGTTCTATACCTTATACTATTACTATTACGCATACTTGCAAGATGATGTGGAACTAATCAGTATGCAGAATATCACTGGAGATCTTATCCTTTATTGGCTAATTCAATGCATGTTCCATGCATTGGGGCTGAAATCCTCCTCCACAGGCAAATTTAGATCAGGAAGATCGAATGTAGATTCTTGATTACCAATATCTTGTGCTTTGGGAGAAGCATTTGCTGCATTAACAGGTGAATTGTCATCAAGAACCTGATGTGTAACAGTTTTAGGACAAACTGAATCAGATGGTAGACACTCTGCCTTTACAAACTGAGATTGGCCATAGACAGCTTTCCCAGACACCTCAGAGGTCGTACCTGCACTGGAGTTCTGCCGTGACTCCAAATCAAGCTGTTACAAAAGGTTAGAACATTTTCATGCGCCGTAACTTTCTCAATACATATATTTATTCATCATTCAATAAGTTTAAATACAGAATGCAACAGTAGTTGAGAGACTACTGCTTCCTATGTCTGGCATGTCAACTAGAAAGATCGAGAGGATTTTGAAAAAGGTAGAAGAAAATGGGAAACCTTCATTTTCTTTAAGCTTTCATTTGTGGCTCTATGTTTATCAACAGTGAGGCGCAAAGATGCCAGCTCCTGTTAATATTAATAAACAAACCATAAAAAAGATATCTCCAAACAGAAGGGTTGTTGACACTCGTGAAGCAAAAAAATAAAGAAAACAAGTACAAAAACATACATTTTTCAAACTTCTTCTTTCTTTCAACAACAAATTCTCCTCTTCTCTTAGCTCAGCCAAAGTCTGCAGACACGATAAGTTAAGCACAGCAGGTAGCCAAAAACAGGAGGGAAAAAGACACCTATGCACAAGGAGAAATGTGACCACGACAAAACATGCAAAACACTGGGCCATAGTTTAACTTGTTATATTTTCCATTTGTGTTTGCTGATAATATTAAAATTGCCATATGAACTTTAAAGTTAACAATTGCAGTAAAAACTAATTATATTATAACTATACAAGAGTTCAAACCACAAAATATAAAATCACTAGATGCAGATCTTTTTTTGACAACATCTAACACACCAACAACCAATTTAGTCACTGTCTTTAAAGTAGGAGTGGCTGAAAACACAAGCAAACTTGTCTAGTAAGCAAAAAGGACAAAAACAATAAGCTATATATTGGCCATCCAATCCTTAGTTGTTGGCTAAATCAAACTGAGTTTTTTAACCCCAATCATTTGCACTTTGCGTTCAATGTAATCAATGAAAACATGTAAACTAGTTTATTAGTTCATTCAATTAACAATAACACACCAACTACGTTTAGATCATACAGTTTTAAGCTCTTCCTTCATCTCTACTCTCAATCATTGGTCCTCTCTCTCTCTCTCTCTCTCTCTCTCCGACCCACAGCATCAGTTCTCCTATGCAATATGTAAATATATGGTCATAGGCAAAATCCTATTTACTCAAGTCGGGCAGTTCATAGAAGTATCTATCTTTGTGATAGGCAATCTTCTGTCTCTATCCTTGATTTCATATTCATATAATTCTTACGAAACACAAATATTTACTCTTTTTTATCACATCACAGTTCATATAATTAGGTGTTCCCCAAGAAAAGTTAGTTTTATAAAACGCTTCAATTATTGAAATATTCGAGAGTATATACACCAGTAAAAAGTTCATATTTACCTTTTTTCTTCTTGACTTTTTGGTAGTGGCTGTTTCACTTGATTTAGCAACCTGCAAAATATCAAATACGGGATAATTTAGGGGTCGCGACATTTTAACATATAAAACAAATTCTTCTTAAAAAGATACGGACTTATGGAGTGAGTGAAATAACATACATTGTAATACGATTAACTTTCAAGGCAAAGAACGCACTAAGGAAAAGGGCAAATATTTAGGAAGTGTTAGTTCCAACTACGCTTTTTTTCTCCTTAAAAATGGAAGCTGCTCTGATTAGCTTCTGTGAAAGCTCCTCTTTTGGGCTTTTATTCTTTAGAAAAGAGTTGCTTTTATTTTTAACAGCTTTTCAAAAAGAGTTTATTTTTTATATATACTATATTAGCTAAAGATTTTCACATTACTAACCAATTAAAAATCACTGTAAATATAATTTTTAAGTAATTATTATAAAAATATACAATTCTAAATGATATGACAATCTACCATTAGATGATATCCATAATTTCATATCAATAAGTTAAATGAAAAGAAAAATAATATAAAAAATAAATAAAACATTTTTCATAAATTAAAAATAACTTACTTTTTTTAAAAGTTTTAGAAAAATTAAACAAAATAACTTTTAAAAAATAGAATAACATAAATTAATTTTAATTCATAAGAAGAGTTAAATTCATTTTACTACTTATTTTTTTAACCCTCGTAAATTCTTATCGAAAAACTTATCTTAAAAATGGGCATAAGTATCGAAGAAATAATGATGCATCTTATCGTATCGTAATTGCTTTTGTGTCTTCTTATAATATTACAGAGGCTAACATGACGCAATCCAAAACCCTTTTTTAATAATAATTGTTACACTAAGGGAGGCCCAAGAAAGAGAAAAATGGCAGGATTACCTTTCACCATGCTTGCTCTAAGCGGCAAAGCAGATTAGGTACTTAAAGTTTAATTAATTTAGGTGTACTGCATTCAATCTAAGGAAATGAAGAAAGGACGGCCATATTGGCGTTGGGAAGAGGAACAAATCCCTCTCTTCACTTGCAATCTGCTGCTGATCAACATATAAATGTGAATAGCCATATCCTAATTGCTACATGCTTTACATGCAGCAGGATGCAGTCCCAAACTCTGAACCCAAATAATAATAAATAAAAAAAATTTGAAAAATAAAAGCAATGGGTAGAGATAAATGCACAGAGCAGGGACATAACTAACGAGGCAGCCTGAGTAAGTAGCTAGGTTTCTTCCCAGTCGCACCCATTTAGTGACAACGTGGTCCCCATTTTCGTCTGGGAGCTACCAAAATGGCTATATTCGTTGGTGGCATTTATCACACCACAAGCAACCCCTTTCTTTTATTTCCAACTTTCTTGTCCTTTTCTTATTCTTCCTTCATCTTTTTTTTTTTAATTTCTATTTATATTTATTTTGAACCAAAAAACAACAAGAGACCACATAGGTTACTAATACTATGCAGCTAAAGACCATATTGGTCTCCGTCCCAAATGACCACAGATTCTCACATTTCGGATCCGACCCCACCAACCATCAAAAGACTAATATAACAGCCTGTTCTTCTATGGGATAACAGTTCCCAATCAAAAACTCCCATTATATATGTTTTTTAAAAATGGCACTCCTAATTTTGACTTTTGTTATGCACTATCTTGTCTTATTATTTGACATTCAGCAAGGAGGTTTGCGTTCAAGCTGTGATGCAGATACCAAAACTGACATTTCTCATATTTAACCTACATGTGAAACGACGACGCACACACCCAAACGGGGTGGGATTAGTTAATAATTATTAATTATTAACTACCCAAAGCTTTTCACACTTGGCAGCATTGCAATTGCAAGACCACACCCACTACCTCCTACCCCCTACCATACATCACGCAGTGCCAGAGTACCCAACCTATTTTTTTTTGCCACCAAAAACCGAACGTGGCGCCCCAACTATAATTACCCAAATACCCCTCGCGAGGAATCTTCCGCATCGCGTTATCCCCATCACCAAGCCCACACAGCAGTTCACACCCAACCAAAAAAAAAAAAACACCCTCCGACAAGAGCGGAACACAGATATATATATATATATAGATATATATATATATAGAGAGAGAGAGAGAGAAGGAACTGCCCTCGGAAGGGTGTTTCCGTCATTGGGGGGGGGGGGTTGGGAGAAGTGGCGAGGAAAAAACGTGATAAGAAAGAAGAAGAAGAGTCACTCAAGCCTCTGACTCCACGCGTTGAATCAAAGTCACTCCTCTTACCCGAATTATTAAATTCATTTTTAAAATTTAATTTTATAGCTAAAATAATTATAATAAAGAGTATCGAAGACGAAAAGAGAGAAACAAAACCGGCGACACGGCAGCTCCGGCCACCGCAGATAAGCTAATTTTTGAAGGGTAGAATTGTAAATCTGGTGAATCGAGACAATTGCCCGCAGCCCAAAGGCCGTTCGTTGAGCTAATAGGGTAACTCGCGGATGGCATTTTGGTCCATTCGCGATTGGAACAGAAACTGTCACACGAACATACCTCCATAGTTATAGTTACAGAGAGTCACACACACACACACTCTCGCGCGCGCAAACACAAAACAGAAACAGTTTCCTGCACGGTGTTCAACTCACACACCACCACGCGTTAAGTGAATGCATCAGACACGCCCTCGGCGGAACCAAAAACTCAACAGCCAAAGAGAGAGAGAGAGAGAGAGAGAGAGAGGGATCGAACCTTAGATCTCGAGGTTTGGGGGAGTTTGGTTGGGAGGCTGGACTCCTCGTAGCCATCGACGGCGCCGCCGCTTGCCGACGTGGCACCGCTCCAGGAGAGGGGGGTGGTGGGGCTGGCCCTGGTGGAGTCGGGTTTGTTGCGAGGGGCGGAGCGGCGCTGACGCACGGTCCAGTGAAGGTGGAGAGAGGGTGGGGGCGGAGGGCGGTGGAGGCGGAGGAGGAGGTGGACGACGAGGGAATCGTCGGCCATGGCGACCTTGACCCAGTCATCGTGGCACATGTCGTTGGAATGTTGAATAAATGAATGGAACGAATAGGAAAGAATGATGGAGTGGAAGGTTTATATATCTCTCTCTGCCTTCGCTGCAAACAGTGAGTCTCACTCTCTCTCCTCTTGCACGTGTCAAACCTCAACTCTTTTTTCTTTTATCCAAATTAATCTAATAATCAATTTCAAAGCCACCGCTTCTCTTATCGCCATCCATACAATTATGCCCCATTTTGTTTTCATGTATTGGGTTAGGTTCCCCTTGTCGCCATATTCACTATTCACACATCCATTTTCTTTTTTCTTTTTTTACTTCAAGAAACTCTGATTGTCGTCAATAGATTTGTACAAGTATTTATGTAACTATAACGAAATGAGCTGCGTAGGGTTCATAATGGGTACCAACAAACCGAAAGAAACTTCTTGGAAAATCCATAATTGAGCATGAATTAACATTTATAATGGGTACCACTCCCATGGGGTTCCACTTTCAAGGACGGACAACACTCTCACCTTTTCTCTTCTCTACCCTACCAACTCATCACTCATGTCTTATATGTTTGCTTCAAACTTTTGTCAATATCACATTCTTCTTCAATAAACTTCAACTTTTAGTGCTTCAGTTATCAAAGTCAAATTTCTTTAAGTGATGCTCATAACGATTGATGAAGAGTTATATTGTGTTGTCTTCTGCAATGATCCTCATAACAAAACCTTACTATTACGTGTGATAGTAAGGTTTTGTTAGTTTGATTGGCGCAGACATTATTTTCTTGAAATGATCAGTAATTTCAGCGTGGCTGTATTAACTTATATTGATAGTAAGTAGTGCTTATCGATGTTCGTTGGTGTTTAGTTTCGATAACAATGGATTTCAATGAACCCAAATAATAGTTTGTGAAATATTGATAATTTTTTTTTTGTAAATATATAATTATTACTAAAAATTTGACAATCCTATATATCCCCAAGTCCATGTGTAATGTATAACTTAGAAACCTTTGAGGGGGCAAAAGGATTATAAAGTTAAAGAGCTTAAAGTTCATAATGTGAAAAAAAAAAGGGTTGTTACTTTGAAATGTCTCCCTTCCGAAGATAAGAATCTAAGTAGAATTTGAAATTTGAAAGCTAATTTATCTCCATATTATGACACATACTTCATCTTTTTCTCTAATACTGTTCAATGAATTATCAATCATTTTTAGCTTCAACAATCAATCGTACCAATGCATCAAGTGTTAACAAAATATGCTCTCAGCAATGCAATATTCGAATTTGGGCTTTCCATTCTCATTCTCACCATTACACCACTCCTCACAAGACCTGGACTCGTTAATAACGTTCTTTAAGGCACTTGTTACTAATGTTATGTATTTAATTAACATCAACTATACCTGAAGATGATGTTAAAAATTTGAACCCTTTTATGTTATCGCGTAATGTGATATAGGCTTAATTTGTTTAAATTTATGGAAAAGTGTTTATGGAGATAAACAAATAAAGAGTGTAATAATTAAAATCTTTATTATATGTTAAATCATATTTTAAATAAATTGATTTAAAAAAATAAAAGAGCATAAGTTTGAGTAGGCCCAACACTCTTATAGTTTGGTGCATACATAACATAATGAACATTTGTTTCTAGCTATTAGATTTTGAGGGCCTACCCTCATGTGCTGTCTCTACGAACACAAGCCCAACGTACTAAAAAACAAATACGACAATGTATTAGTGGAATATTATTTTATGTTCACAATAACTTATAAACAAATTCTATTGGGAGAATTTTTGGGAAAAAAAGATTTAGTAAAATTATTTACTTTTAATCAATTGATATAGAAGATAGGAGATTTTGATTGAGTATTATGGAAAAATTACTCAAAATGTGGGGTAGAATAAGCAGCATTTGTAATTTTACTGTGAGTTTCTACTTTGGTTGAATCTCACATTTAACCTAAGGGATGATATTCTTATTCTACATTTTTGAAGTCTAGAGATTAAAATGTGTACCAAAGTTTCAGGTGGTAATTTTTTTTCTTTGCTTTTTTTTCACTGTATATTATCAAATCATTAAATTAATTTGACTATAAATAATTCTTATTTTTAACTTATTTTCTGACGCATTATTTGTAACTCACCTTTTATGATTGATAAAAAATTGTTAAAAATTATAAAAAAAATGTAAATTTCACTTTTTTTTTCCTCCTAAATTAATGTTTCTCTTTTATATATTTTTATTTTTAATAAATTTTAAACAATAATAAATAGTGTATTAGAGATTTTATTACTAGTATTTCTTTAATTACCAATCAAATAATTGTTTAATTTTTTCCATTGCGTATATAATTTTTTCTCACTATATTAATAATTAGGAAGCATTTTACGTATTGTAAGGATATTTTCCAAATTTAAGTAAAAATATACAACTAACTTAGATTTAGAGGGAAAAGAAAAAACTAAACTAATTTTAAAATTTAATTTCAAAATATAACTAATCAATATTCGAGGCAAAAAAATTAATACAAACATTTAAAAGTAATTTTAAAATGTGTCGAGAATTTGAAATTACTTGAGAAAATTTAATATAAAAGTAAATAATATAATAAATAAATAGTTAGTAATTGCGAATTTGAAATCTTAACATTAATTTTTTTTAATTTACAAAAGAAATCTTAAAGCTGACTAACAATTTAATTTTTTTAAATATACATTTAAGCATTAAATAATAGTAAAACTACGTGTCACAAAAAGACAAAAAAAATATAACATATCTCGTTTAAGAAGACAAATTCTTATTTATTATACAATAATAAATTAGTGTGATTGTCGGAGGATTACTATTACACCTCAATGTAACTGCAAATTTTACTCACAATATATAAACTAAAACTTTCAAACTATATGTTAATACGGTATTTATTGATAATAGAAAAATCTTTAACTTAGAGTGAATAAAGTTAAAAAACTTAAGTAGTACAATTAAGTTAAATAATTGAATATTGGGTGATTAACTATAGCAAGCGAATAATCATTTGACGAACCTAAGCACATATATCGACAAAGAAAACATAAGCGTATTTGAGCCACGGCAGAAGTGAATCTAAACTTACCAATTTGGTTATTTTGTTCATCGCTTTTTTCCACTCCTGATTGGATGGTTTATATATCAAAGAGTTCACGTGACATTTGTGATGTTATCACGCGTCCCACGAATTTTCCTGGACAAAAGTAATTATACAATATGCGCTACATGACTATAATTATGGCTAACTTTCTATCTTATTTTGTGAAAGTTACACCTGACATTGCGACAATCTTAATGTTAGCAAAATGCTAATGTTGTCTGGTCACCAAGATTGAGTACATGCCCACCTCTGTTAATGTTGTTCTCTTAATTCGTCATGTTCTGTTGACTTTGAAGCATGGTTTCAAGTTTCAATTTCTATGTAATAATAAAAGAAATAGTAGTAATACACGTCCCACTCTATCTTCCAAATTGAGTAATCCACATGTATATATATGTATATATGCATTAAAAATTGAGAGATACTTGCTGACTAAGCAAACACACGAATACGAATCCAATCACAAATGACAAAATACAAGGTGTTGTTCAAGAATCACGATCATCAATCGCCATTCTACTTTAATAACAATTTCCCAAACATGGGGACCCTGAAAGAGTTAAGAGGACATGCAAGTGTATTATTTGAAAGAAAGAAGAGGTAAATAGCTAGAGAGAAAGCTTGGAGGTGTAGGCCATCATGTTCCAAAAGTTGGCAAAGGGTAAAGAACCTTAGATCCTTCCATTAATTTTTCTTGGTGTAACATAAATAGTGATGACCCACATGCAGGTCCACCCTCAGTATCCGGCTCCACACTCTACATCTCACAAACCCTGTGTCCCAATAACTTTTGAACTCTCCCCTCACCTTTAGATAACTGCCACGTGATTCCAGGTTCCATATTGCTTTATGCCTCTCAATCTCTCTCATCATCGTTCATCAATCATCATTCATCAAATTAAAAATGGATTAAAAAGTGCTTTCTCGGTTTCCTTGAAAGAAAGAACCTTTGTCCATTTGTGCAGAGTCCATTACTGCCAAAAATGTTTCAAAATTGAACAAGAAAAGAAAGTAACTTCTCTTGACAACAAGTTATTCCACTCAGTCACTCACATAATCACACTCTGTCTCATTCTCCTTGAATAAGGACACCCCAAATGAATCTTCTTCTTCTTCTGTTCCTGCCTATTTGGCTGCTCAGCATTTCTCTTTCCTCACCAATTCTTCATGCTGCTTCATCCCCCATTTCTGTTTCTCAATCTTCTGCAAATGCACAAGCTGAATCTCCAGGTACTCTCTACCAACAAATCCTGAGTTTCTTTTTAGCCTTATTTGAGTTTCTGCTTGCTTCATGCTTGATAGTGTTTATTTATTGATTTTGAGTTTACAATGGTTCGAAACCTTAAAAAGCTGTGAACTTGAAGCCCCAAACTACAGAGGCTCTCTGTTTGTACTTCCTATTTTCTCTCTTGCCGTGATTTTTCCTTGAACTATGGCGGGTGTGACCATTTTCTTGATGTATACAAGCGTGGTTTCTAAAAATGCTATCTTACAATTTGAAGAATAGTAAGTTTTGCATTTTTTGCTACTTGAGTCCCTGGAAAATCATAGACCCTTCATTGCTGGCCTTAAATTTTTTGGTCAAACAGGATTGTTTCCCTAGATTTGTTTACTTAATAAACATCAGCATGTTACTTGTGACTTTGGAGATCTCGGACCAACTTGTTCATATTAGGTTTGATTTCAAGAGCTTCAATTCCCCATCAGCATTTTGTATGATGTGAAATTCTCTATAAATTCAGTATAAGCTACTTAATGAGTTGTAGTGTTGTCTTATTCTGAAACAGGAATTCAGGAGGTTAGAGTAGTGCGCCATCAGAATTTGAATAAGAGAATTCTAATAGCACTAATTGCTTGTTCTGCTCTTCTTGGAGGAGTTTTCCTATCCTTATCATATGTCTGGTTCCGTCGACATAGAAACTTAAGATGCTCAAGTAGAAAAGGGCAAGAAAGGATCGGTATGATGACTATTTTCTCTTGTGAAGCTTTTGGGATCTTCTTTTCACTTTTGCACAGAAAAATTCTTTTCCGTTGCTCATTCATTTATTTATTGAACTTGTAGAGACTGCAAAAGGTGAAACCTTAAGCTCAGTTAATGCTAAACTTAGCTACTCAAGGATGGCAGATAAAAAGAGTTCGGTTGCTATTTTTGACTTTCAGCTGTTAGTGGCTGCCACAAACAGCTTTGCCACAAGTAATATTATGGGAGAGAGTGGTTCTAGAACTGTTTACAGAGCTCGTTTTGATGAACATTTTCAGGCAGCTGTGAAGAAAGCAGATAGTGATGCTGATAGAGAATTTGAGGTGATGGTCCTTTAGAATTTACTTGAGTATGCATTTCCAGGGATATGATATTTCCCTTTACTGAATTTGCCTTTAGTTGCTGCACTGAATTTCAGAATGAAGTGAGTTGGTTGAGCAAGATGCGGCATCAGAATATCATAAAACTTCTGGGTTACTGTATTCATGGTGAATCAAGGTTTCTTGTTTATGAATTGATGGAAAATGGATCTTTGGAAACTCAATTGCATGGTACATTTTTCATTAAAATTAATTAGGGAAAGAGAAAAAAAATCATACATTGGGAACTCAAGTATCATATGTTGCTCATTGGTATTAACATTTGTAGGGCCTAATCGGGGATCATCTTTAACTTGGCATCTCAGATTAAGAATTGCAATCGATGTTGCCAGGTGAGTATTCTAAATACTATGTTAATATCCCATGTCTTATCTATGTTGTCTAATACATATTTTATCTGTTAGAGCATTAGAATATCTCCACGAGCATTCCAATCCTCCTGTGGTTCATAGAGACCTAAAGTCTTCTAATGTTCTTCTAGATTCAGACTTTAATGCCAAGGTTAGATCGTGCATGCCCTATTAATCTTACATGCTTGTCAAATAGTTAATTATATTATTCGCTTTCCTTTACTTAGTTTTGTGATTCAGTTATCAGATTTTGGACTTGCCATGGTTTCTGGAGTGCAACACAAGAACTTGAAGATGTCAGGAACTTTGGGATATGTGGCACCTGAGTACATATCACATGGTATACAAGAATATCTATTATCATTAAGAAAACATAACATAATATGGAGCTTGATCTTTTTCCTTTTTAAACAAATATAACAACAGGTGTGCTTTTCAGGTAAACTAACGGATAAGAGCGATGTTTATGCTTTTGGGGTTGTCCTTCTAGAACTTCTAACCGGAAGAAAACCCATGGAGAACATGTCCTCACACCAATATCAATCCCTGGTATCATGGGTATGTTTTCTCTCATACATTGTTATTGGAGAAATATAGATGAAAACTCCAGATGATTAAATTTTCAACTTGCAGGCCATGCCTCAGCTAACTGATAGATCCAAGCTTCCAAGTATTCTGGATCCTGTTATCCGAGACACAATGGATTTGAAACATTTATATCAGGTTCATTGAATAGAAGCATTGTAATCACAGATTTTCTTGCTTAGTTATAAATGCTGCTTCTTAAGGTCATGTTAACATTCTACAGGTTGCTGCTGTGGCTGTACTCTGCGTGCAAGCAGAACCAAGTTATAGGCCACTAATAACAGATGTGTTACACTCTCTCATCCCTTTGGTACCCGTTGAGCTTGGAGGGTCACTCAGAGTTACAGAACCAATTCGCTCAGAGAACTCTCAATGATGTTGGAAAATAATAGTATTTTCAACTATGGTATTTGTGCACTTTTTTTAAAACACATTATTATTTATTACTACAAAGAGGAATATCCAATTGTAACTATTCATGATTGCGATTTGATTATTTGTTTTAGTCGTAGGTCATGGTGATTTTACCATCGTTACAAGCTATGAGGACACTAAGGTTAAATTGGTGGCTGTCTAGCTGAAAGGTGCCTTTTTGAATTGTTTGCGGGTATGCAGGAAGAATGCAACTGCAATATAATATAGATAAATCATTAATCTTTAAAAAATTAAACTAACATATACGGCTTTTCATCATCCATGACCTCTATTCTAGCCTTCTTTCCTGTTATTTAAACATCAAACATCAAAACGATGTTCGAGCTTATTACATACTCTTTGCGGTGGTTCGATATTTAGAGTTACGGGATCCTACAAATTAGATGTTTTGGATATCATATGACTAAACCAAAGTTGAAATTCTCATACAACGCTGGAACTAACAAACAATCATTTTCTTAATGCTGATTTGTGACATGAGACATGGGAGTATTAGACTGATATAATTATGTGTATGTTTAGATTAGCTTAAAACATTGGCTATTCTTGTTTCCAAACATATAAGGCTTTTGATCATTTTTGAGCTTACAAATCAAAAGAAAAAATGGTAAAATAAGAGAAATCCCTGATCTCCATTCAACTTACAAAATTGCCTTTAATAGGAATCACATTGGCTTTTAACACTTCCTACTTTTTCTCATTGCAAAGTAAGAGAGGTCTCTAATCTACACTCAACTTCTTTGCATCACAATTCTTTCCACTCAATCCATAGAAACAAACAAAGGAACATGTTCTTCCCATCAGGGGTATTTGAAACACAGTCAGTTTGACGTTGTGGCTAACAACAAGCAATTAATATAAACAGGGCATGCAAATATGTTTTCAAGTCAAAATTATGGAAGACAATAATGGGCTATAAAAGAGAGAAAAATAATCCAAGATGTTACATTCTTAACATTTTTTTTAATTAACCTCAAACTCACCTTTGGAATTGAGTTTAAGTATCTAAAAATACTTTTTTTTTAAAAATAAAAACATTTTATTCTATTAAAAATATAATAAACATTTTTTATAATGAAAAACTTTAATATTATGTGGTTAAACTTAACTTTAAATACGAAGTTAATATAATATATATAGGTGTCTACATAATTTATCGAGACACCCAATTTTGAATAAGTGCAGAGTTCCATAAATAAATCTGAATACTCAATCGTTGGTTTGGTTTCCACAGATACAAACGCACAGAGGATGTAAAATTCCTCCTACCATCTTCGTAAGAATCTCGTTCTTTTTAATTATGTTGATTCGAATGCAGATTCGAAGAAACAAATGCTACTCCAAATATGCTATTCGTAATCATCAATCTCAAGGAAATTTGGCCACTTCCCAACAGACAATTGCTTGCTCAGCTTGAGCATATACTTTGTAACCTCTAAATGGATCTGATTGGAATATTTTGTGATATTGGTCATCGTGTACAATTGACAGAGATTGTCTTAATTGGTAAAAAAAAAAGTCCTCACTGCCACCATTGAAGCATTCAGATAGTTTTCACTAGTACATCTAAATTTCTATTTTCTACCAGAATACAGACCACTAGTCATGATCCCTATTTTATATATGCCTCTGACGCTATAATCGTTTCGCATTCCAAATCATTTCAACTATTTAAAACTGGGATGAGTGGATATGATGGGGTCTCCAGCAAGTCAAAAGTTCAGACGAAGTAGAAATCATCTTATATGAAAATTATTTAGTTCCAATGTGAAAAAAATAATACATTATAAAACGTCTGTCTAGTATAGTAGAAGACAAATGCATTCTCGTTAATTAAAACGAGAAAAATATGCATACTACAAATCCAATCTACAATGCCTCCATGTGAAACAATGGTTACGATACTATCAATGAATGAGATCACAAAACAGCCTAGAAAAGCTTACACATTTGGTGATGACAAGGTAAACTGCATGTCTTGTATTCTATTTTATTTTATTTTTAGTTGACCATGATGAGCTACTCATATACTCTTTAAATATTCCCAATGAGGTTGCAACAGCTAGTTCCCATTTCTACCTCCCCCCCGCCCCACCCTGCACTCCCAAGACACAAAGTGACAATGCCATTTTCAAGCTGGAATTGTATTAATAATTCAAAGACCATGCCTCTCCGGATTGTCTACCCTGGTGGTCACGTTGAACTCCATGACAGACCTGTGACTGCAGCTGAGATTATGTGCCGCAATCCAAGATGCTGTGTTGCATATCCGTATGTCTTCCAGCAACCATGGGCAATTGTTGAGCCAGACACAATTCTCATGCTTGGACAAAGGTTCTATGTAGTACCAAAGAGCACAATAAGAAAGCTTCAAAGGCTTTCTCCAAGTCCAAGGCACTCTCCTTCTCCTGCTCGTGAAATTCCAATCAGTCCTTCAGTTGATGAAATTAGATACACCCAATCCAGCCAAGAGGATGAAGATGATCGTATGCTCTTCACTTTTTGTGTCTTCAGGAATAAAAGCATTGCAAAACAATCTAATAACTACAAGCAACATTCCAAAAATAGAAGCCAGAAATCAGAAATCCGATCAAATGTTAGAAGTTCGAGTCAATATGTTGATGATAAAAATGGTGGTTCATCATACGATAGTTGCTTTGCAAGCCTGTTCAATGGAGTTGCTACTAAAGAAAATGCTGGTGATGTGACAAAAGAAACAATAATATCATCAAGCAGTGCTCACCACTGTGACAGCGATGTACCAACCAGGAAGAGAACACAAGATTTAACAGGGACTGGATTAAGAGGCTCTCCAAAGAATGTATGGTCTTCAGAGCATTGGCAACCAAGTCTAGAGAGCATCACTGAAGAATGAAATAAATTTGGAGGCAGTAAAAGCCTTGGCAGTTGATTATATCCAATAATCTACTATTTATTTATCGGTTCTTCAAAACACATCCTAAATGCCTTAGGTACCATAATGCTCCCTCAGCTGCGTGGTCTGCCGCTGCTTTCTTTTTTTGATGAGGGGCACCATAGCACTCTATTATATTTCTTGATGTTTCTTCTATCTCAATGATAGCCTTGAATGTGAACCTGTGAATAGCATCAAATAGTCACTAATAACATCAAAAAGATAATTTATGATTCTGTTTCCTTTAGTTTAGGAATGTCATGCATTTTCTATCATAAATTATATAAGGCTACTTGTTTCGAGTTTATTCCAATCTTGGATGATGAGTGGAACAAGACAAATTCTGTAACAGTTGCTGTGAAACATAGCATGCATAGTAAATATCAGCTGGATACCATCGTGAGATAGAGTAAATCTTGCGAGCAAGAATGAAAAGAAAAAAACAAATATCACATCAAGTAGCTGGTAGACATACATTCTTTGATGACTAGGGCCTTCCTCTTTGCAACATTCAAATGTTGGGGGCTTCCAATGTTTTGCAGCACAAGTCTCGTACAAATTTGACCTAGCAATTCCTTTCTTCATGCCTAATAATCAAATGAGTAATAATTTTGAGAGAACCATTTTTTGAAGAAGGAGTAGAATAGAACTGAAGAGGAAAATAAGACATTCTCCAATCCAAAGAGACAAAACTAAGTCAAAAACTAAGAAAGATTTTAAAGAACAAACTCAATATTACAAAGGTTCTCCATTGTACCTTGATGTGCAGAGTGTGTCTGAGTTGGAGGGATTTTGTTCCCACAAGTCTCATTCTTTTTGTTAGATGAAATCGAAGATGCCTCTTCAACGACAACGTTTCCCAAGATGGGAATTTTATCGAAGCCTTTATCAGAATGAAGCAGCTCTATTTCCTGATTGGGGCTTGGCTTAACGAATTTGGGAGGAGCTCTGGTACAAGATTTGTTCAACTTACCCTGTAGAGGGAAACAGAAAGGGTTTATTGCAACCCATTGAAAAAGAAGTAAAATTTGCACATACCCAATTAAGGAAAAGAAAAGAAAATTGATTACCTTGGAGACAGAGTTGGTGATTCGAAATGGGTCGATAGGTGGAAGGTGTTTGAGATTAACAGCAATTTTAGGGGGATGGGAGCATTTGTTCTCCATGTTTGTTTGTGGATTTGTGCAATGCAATTTTGCAGACAATACAACACAACAGAGTGAAGGGTATGCCAATTGCCAGAGTGCTGAATTGAGGGATTGAAAACCAAACCAATGAACCAAGCTTCATGAACTTTCTATATTTATTTCCCAATTAATTTCAAGTCCTCATCATTTTCATGGGAATTAAAAGCATTTTACTAAAACATAACTGTATTTAAATAATATATCTTATATTAAAATATTATGTTCTCATTAATGTATTCTCTCATCAGGGAAAACATAAAAAATATATATTTTGAAAAACATTAATGGCATTTATTTCTTAAAATAACAGTTGCAATAAAAATATCTTTGATTGTCTGGAAAATATATGTTTCGAAAGTATATTAACTTTACCTTTTTTAAAAATATTTATTTCTATCATTATCCTTATCCTATATCAAATATTAATATGTGATACCCTTATTGAACAGTTTTTGAAGTAAAATCTTAAACAAGGTGCAAAACAAAATACATCGCCTAGGACGATAGCTTTTTCAACCGTTCCCGCCGAGTAGATTAGTGAAATTTTTTCATTTTTTATATTCCTCATTGTCTTAATTATTTGAAATTTATTTTCTTAATGTTCTTTTTTAACTTCAATGTTAGTTGACAATGACACTATTGCACTTCGTTGCTAAGGTAATAAATTTTATACTTTTTTTTCTGTGATGGATGCTGATCCTCATGTTTGAGACGGCCCAACATGCTTATCATTTTTACATAAAACCGAAAAAATAAAATAAAATCAGAATTACTATAAAACACCTTCTGACAAATGGATAGCGTATCATGATATTTTGAAGATGTTCACACAGGGTTCTTATTTTCCGTTGAGAAAACAACATAATAGCACTACTTTGGATACCACTAAGAATGCATAAGGCAAAGAGAGGAAATCTTCGTAGAAAATGAAATCAATTTATTCTATTGCTTTGATAGGTAATAACATCGGGCAAAAAAAAGAGAACAAAAACAACTGTTCCCCAGACCCCAACCTCGGATTGTGTTCCACTTGCACAATCTCTTAGTATTGGATTATTTCCTGATCCCCTGACTTATTCTAAATTCATAATAGAGATGACAAGGGTAATACATGGAATTGTCTTCTTCTTTTCTTTTTTTTTTCTATTTTCTCTTCTAAATCTATCTTCAAAATGGACTTGGGTGTCCCTCAAACGGTGTAGTGCTGCTGAATTGTCTCAATGTCAAGTCCCTTGAGTTTTACCACAGACTCGACATGCCCCTTAAGTGTGTGAAGCTCCCTTAACCTGAAAACCATACGAAACATTAGTTTCAGATTTAAGCCTTTAACTAAGTAAAATAAACATATGATTGTATATTACCTTGCAACTTCAGCACGTTTCCTGGCCTGTTCTGCAAGTTCGGATAGTTCCCTGTAGTTGTTCTTTTCATTCAAGATTTGTTCAGTTTCCGGAGGATTGAGGCCATGCAATGTGCGTTGAGCTGCAGCCCACTGTGCTTCTCTCTCTCCCTTTCCATAATCTGTCTTTGAGGTGAAAGCAATCTGCATGCATGGATGCATGGAAGCACAGAAAACACTCATTCATATCGTTCCATTTATATAACAACAACATTGAGATTGAGATAGAGATAGAGAGACAGAGACAGCGATAGAGATGTTACCCTGTTGTCAGTTATGTTGTTCCATGCCTTGCCACTCAATGCATATCGGATGATAAACTTAAGGATATCCAAGGGGACATAGAAAACGATGCTGTAGAGCCAAATAACACCAGCCCAACCCCATCCAATGCCTTTGATTTTTGCAAAGCTCCAGTTTGCATACACAGCTATGATCGTGGCAATCTAAGACATTGTTATCCATAAGAAGAAATATCAGCACTATCATTCATTTGTTGCATTATCCATAAGAATAGAATTTGATTTGATTTGATCACAACTCACTCACCAGCTGTGCTATGAGAAAGGCGACAACAAGCAAAATGCCAGGACGTTCAATATAAGACCAGCTCCTTGACCGTGTAACAAAGATAAGAGCCTGACTCACAATACTCACTTGAAGGTAAACAGCTGCTGTAAGCTCGTGGTGATTGTCCCTGATTGATCTCACGCCGAATTTATCCTGTCAATATTTTAAGATTCCGGTTAAGATTGCAACGTATATTTTATTTTTATTTATTGTTTTGAAGAAAATGTATTGTTCATCTTACAGAGAAGAAATTAGATGCATGAGCAGCCCAGAAGAAGACAACAGTCATAACAGCGAGGTAGGCACCAAGCACAACGCCAGTGGCAAAAATCTCTCTCAGCTTCCACGAATCTGGAACTGGAGATGGCTTCACCCTGTCCTTGGAAATGGTCATGATTGTCCCATCATTCAGCACCGCAATGATCAAAACCATAAAGGGTGAGAAATCAAACTTCCAGATGAGAGCAATGAGCATGAATCCCAACACAATTCGGATTGTTATAGAAACAGCATAGATGGTGTAGTTCTTCATTCTCTGGAAAATGGCCCTGCTTGTCAACACCGCACTCACAATCACACTCAAACCAGGCTCTGTCAGCACTATGTCAGATGCACTTCGTGCTGCATCAGTTGCGTCAGCCACAGCAATTCCAATGTCTGCTCTTTTGAGTGCAGGAGCATCGTTCACACCATCTCCTGTCATCCCACATATGTGTTTCCTGTCTTGAAGTCTCTTCACAATCTCGTACTTATGTTCTGAATTTCACACAATTCAAACATAAATCAATCACTGTTGAGTTCAACCTTCAAGAAAAATATCACTTGTTGTTAAACATGTTATTTACCAGGGAAGACCCCAGCAAATCCATCAGCTTTCTCAATGAGCTCATCAATTGGAAGGCCAGCAATGGATTCATCTTTGTGTTCACCAAGGAGAGAGGATGAAGGATACATGTTGCATCCCATGCCAAGCCTGCGACCTGTTTCTTTCCCAATAGCCAGTTGATCACCAGTTATCATCTTAACGTTCACTCCAAGATGGAGAGCACGCCTTATGGTCTCTGCACTGTCATGCCTTGGTGGATCAAACAGTGGCAACAGACCCACAAATTGCCATGGTCCTCCAGCACTTTCCTTGGTCTTTTCTGGCACTTCCTGTTATCAAGACATAATGTGTCACAAAAACTGATTTCCAGCATCATTTGATGAAAAAGAATCACTTCTCACTTGTTTGGAAACAGCAAGGGAACGAAGACCGCGATCAGCAAATTTGTCAATGATGGAATGAGCCTTCTTCTTCACGTCTTCCCGAAGATTGCAAAGCTCGATAATCTAGAAAGAAATTCAATATGGGCTTATATTGTACTGGGAAACAGTAACCAAGCATCAATAATGTGAAGTGCAATGAAAGGTTTAGTTACCTGCTCTGGTGCTCCTTTGCTCACTCTGTGCCAATTGCCATTAGCATCTATGTATGTTATGGCCGTACGTTTGTCCACTGGATTGAAAGGAAGGAAATGAACCTCAGTGATGCCATCCCTTGCCTGTAGCAAGAAGGACAAGTTTGTTATTGTATTTATAAGGAAGAGAGAACTTTATGACTATTGTTATATAGTTTTCTTTGTTCAAATATTTCATAAAACTACTAGGCCAAGATAACGAATTTCAAACCTCTTTTGGATCACCCAACATTCCAACAATGCAAGCATCAATAGCGTCTTGGTTCTCAACCCTGGAGGCCCTTGCACCAAGCAAGATGACCGTATCCTTGTCAGTATCTCTTGAAAAAACCTGCATTATGGATATATAGCTTCCATGATTAGTAAATATGTAAATAATGATAAGTCGAATAATGATTTGTCTGTCATGTTCTTACCTCAATCAAACTCTTATCCACAGTAAGCTTGTTCAGTGTTAAAGTGCCGGTCTTGTCACTGCATAGAACATCCATTCCGGCCATTTCCTCAATGGCTGTCATCCTCTTGGTGATAGCACCTTGCTCGGATAGCCTATGAGAACCAATAGCCATTGTCACTGACAACACTGTTGGCATGGCAATAGGAATCCCTCCAATGAGAAGCACCAAGAGATTGTCAATTCCACTCCTATACTTGCGACGCTGAATCGGGTACATGACCACAATCTCAATGATCATACCCACAGCAATTGAGCAAATGCAGAAGTTTCCAATGGCTGTCAATACCTGATGGTAACCACAAAAGCAAAGATGAGTGAAGTTCAAATCAAAGCCAAAAAAGCTCACATTACCTTGATTGATATAGTGCAAATAATTCATAACCATAGGAAGAGATAATAGTACCTTTTGGAAATGGCCGACTTGGTTAGTGCTGTCCACTAAGTGAGCAGCCTTACCAAAGAAGGTGTGGACACCAGTGGCAATGACAACAGCCTCTATCTCTCCTTGCTTAACAGTGGAGCCAGAGAAGACTTCATCACCAGGGTGCTTGGTAACAGGCAAAGACTCACCGGTGAGTGCAGACTGATCAATCTTGAGGGGATCTCCTTGCAATAGACGAGCATCAGCTGGAACAATGTCTCCTAATTTGATGCTCACTATATCACCTGGTACCAGTATAGCAGCTTCCTGCTCAGTCCACCTTCCATCTCTCAGAACCTGCCAAAATGTTCAAATACAACAAATGAAAGCAACAAACACGTTAAAGTTAAACACATGTTGGCTTGCAACACCTTCTTGCCTTTGGTAATCATTTGTGTTATTAATATACCTTGGTTTTGGGAGCAAGGCCAGCCATAAGTGCTGCAGCAGCGTTGCCTGCATTGTTTTCTTCTATGAAACTAATGGTTGAGTTGATAATCAGCAATGCCACAATTCCAACAAAGTCTTGCCAATCCGGTGGCTCGCCCTGGATGTTTCAAGAGAATGAGATGAGAATGCAAAAGGCAAAAACATGAGCAAATAGTATTCAATGAAAAGGGTGCATGCAGATTGCAGAAGGTACCCCTCCGTTGGCCAATGCAATGGCCATGATGGCAGCAGCTTCCATGACCCAAGAGAGAGGATTCCACATAAATCCGAGGAATTTGAGAAACTTGCTTTCCTGTTTGAGAAAACAATGTTTGTGCAAAGCTTGGTGAATAAATATTAATGAAAAATAAGATGTAATGTTCGTGCACAAGGGAATAAATGAATAAATGAATGAATGAATTGATGATTGCCTTCTTTTCTTCCAACTTGTTTGGCCCAAACACTGCCAACCTCTTTTCACCTTCCTCATTGGTGAGACCTTCCTTGGAGCAGTTCAATTCTCTGAACACTTCATCAACCGGAATCCTCTCCTACAAGACAAGCACGTTGCATTTTGATAACAGCATACAATAATAGAAAGAAACGAAGGAAAAAACAGGAGAGGAAACAAGGACTAACGAGATCAACAGCCTCCTTCTTGATGTCTTCGAGACCTCCCATGTTGTTTTCTTATTATTTATTATTAGAGAAAGAGAAGATGTTTTTATTGTGTGTGAAAGAAGTGTCAAAAGTGCATGTATTTATATACGAGGAAGGGAAACACAACAATGACCACACTAGTGATCCTCATTTTTTCTCTCTCACTTGAGGCTATTGGTGTGATAGTTTCTCCTTCCATTTCTCGCTGCAAAGATTACTCTAAAATCACTCATTCCCACTCGTTCACTCTCAACTAAAAATAGCAAGACCGGGCCTCGTGCTGTTCCTTTTGACTCTCATTATTCCCTTGCAGGGATTCTAGCCACGTGTAATTCATTGATCTATTAGATTCTCAAAAAACACAACGTTCATCAGATCATATAAATTATTTTTATCATATGTCATAAATTGCCAATCTAACATATTATGATATAACATCCTACTGTAAGTAAATATGTTCGTTTTTAGAAAATTAAGATAGGAGTACGACAAATATATTGAAAAATTTCTATTTTTTTTAATATCTTATATCCTTTCTCACTCACTAAAAAGCTATTATTTTATGTTTAATTTTTTTAAAATATTATATTCATATTATGATACTAATTTTCAATTATCTAGCAAATATATAATAAAAAGATTTAATGGTAATATAATCAAATTTTTATGCGGAAATAGTTATATGTTACGCGTATCAAGGAATATTCAATATAAGTAAGCACGTTCCAAGCTCCAATGACCACGTTGCAAGACATGGGCCAAAGCCTATATAGAGTTCACTCCAATGCTATGTATGAGAAGTCTATAAAATTGGCCCAAACCTCTAGGACTAACCTTCTGGTCCACGTAAAATTTGTTTTTTTTAATTTTATTTTGAAAGCATTTTTTGTTCTTTTTCCAGAAAACATGTTACACTAATAGTTAGTAAGTCCTTGAGATCATGTGAATTTGAGGGTTTCCATTTTGAATAATTTTTATCTCCCTATGTGCCTATGTTGCTGTAGAGAGAATATAATTCAAATCTAGTTTAGAAGTAAAAATTAATGGGATCACATAAGTATATCCTCAAGGAGCTTAACAAATATAAAACTATTTTCACATACAAATTAGTAAGTCTTTTGATGATTTTTGCATTATTCTCATTAAAGGTTTTCTCCGGGTCTTAGTTTCACACAACTGAAAACATTTGATTCCAGATGTACTCATCATAATTAACTAGATTAATTAGCTTCGAATTTGTCCCATTTTTTACAATTCGGTAGTAGCTGTACCACTGAAATCTTACACCCTTTTGGGTTCAATATTGCTTAACATCTAAATAAACTTAGCCTGAAATATGACCTTGATTTGTGGTATCCTTTTATTTGGAGGGTAAAGAAGAGTGGCTGGTTAAGGCGAAACACACCATCAAAGTTATTATGATTCAGCTACACCGAAAATATGGTTTTCAATTTTCACAGTCATGTCATTAAGATTATCAAGTTTGTGCTTTTAAATCGTTGTGGGAGACAAAATCAATTACCAGATAGATAAATAATCATTAGGCATGAGTTTAGAATAGTGGATTTTACTGTCCCACCCACCTTTACAAAGATTTTAATTTACGAAAGTTAGATCAACATAGTAGTAAAAAATGTTGGTGCAGAAAATTTTAAGATTATAACAGCCATTCTTTTCACCCCCGTGAGCATATTTCGCATGCAAAAAGAGCTCAGGTCACAGTCACAGAGAACACTAACTAAACCCATTTTAGTTTGTATTGGACAATTACAGACAGAATCACATTCAGAATCAATTTCGTTCGGCTTTCCAAAGTGTTAGAGATTAAAATCTTAAAACTGTTTTTTTTCCTCCCTGTTTGTTTCAGCTTTGTAGCTTCGTGTTTTAATTTTGACCTTATTAGTTGATAAATCAGGTACTTTATTAACGCATCAAATTGGTCCAAATTTGATATTTTATTAATACACAAAATTAGTCTTAAAATTATAAGTATTGACCTTATTTCTCATAATTGTAATGATTAAGATAATTGATGATAATAATTTTTAAAACTAAGTTAATGTACCCTTTTTCACAGTGTACAATTGAACTTGTGTGTATTTGAATTCGTGTTAAATCGATTATGGATTAATGTTTAATATTATTAATCACAATTCTTTTGAAACATATTTAAATGTGATTCTAAATATTATGTGCAAATGTTAGACGCTATTCTCTCTTTACTATATCTCTGCAAGCAAAACAAATTAATATTAGATGACTTTGACATGATTGCAACTTCAAGGGACACACTGGTCCGCAGTGTTGGAAACAAACATAGTCTTGAGTGTAAGCATGGAAGACATCCTCCATGCACATAATTAAAGTTGCTGGCCGAAGAATTAATTGCATTACAAAAGTGACAGATAAGGGTACCAATTTGTTTTCTTTTTCTTACTAAAAAAGTAAATTATTTTCATGTTATCTAAATTTTAATAAAAATTTACTTGATATTTTTCTTTTTTATATATTATTACATAAATTACATAAAAATTATGCAAAACTTAAAAATTTATGTAAGTGTAATTTGTAACAGGAAATTGATCTAAGAAATGTAAAAGATATTGTATATTGATTCGTTTGCATCATGTGGGCAAGGCTAGTGTTTCGCCGGGAGAAATGTTCTCCCAAAAGACTGAAAGTTCGATTTTTTATATGAAAATAATGGTAAGAAAAAAATGTGTAGTTTTTTTTAATAATTTTTTAAAATTGTGGGTAATTTTTATTCTATCAATTGATTAAAGTATATGACAAATATACTTTTTAAAATAAGTATTATAAATATCAATAATTCTCATTCTTTTGAATATTGGAAAGGAAAATGACAAAGATAATATGGTAAGGCGCTTCATGAAATGCGGAAAAAAATGAAAAGGGGATGGGGTATGTGGATGGTGGATGGTGGATGGTGGATGGAGGATGGATATGTCTTGTGGTTAGTGAACAAAGATGAGTATGTGGGTCAAAAGTTGTGCTTTTGCAGAAAACAAAGGATCAAGAATCGAAGGATACTTCAAAAGAGAACAGAAAAGGTTGTCCTGTGCGTTATCAACTAGAAAAAGCAAGTGGGAAAACAATTAGAATGTTTATTGTTAAAGAAGTAATGCTTCATCTCGATCTCTTCAATTCCACATCCTTTGTCATTCATATTTGGCATTATTTGTAGACATTTCTCGGATACACACCAAGGATTTGACTTTATGTTTGGAGTTCGGACAATAAATATTGAGTTTGATGACTTTTTGTATTTTTCCACAATGCTGCATGCCCTTGCTCTGTTTCCATCACTCTTCTAATCATGCTTTGTGGTGCTTGTTACTGTTGACTCCAGCGCCTGCTACTGCCAAAATTGTGGCTTTCTGACAACAATGTGCTAACCCTTTGTGAATCATTTGTAAAGACCTCCATAGTGCAATGGTTAACATTAACAAGAGTTGGATGAATTTGACTACTAATATGTTTAGCCCCATTTCTTTCCATTATTTTCATGTGGTGTATTTCTTCCCAAATAATTCGGAGTTTATAATAATAGTTATTAATCAAATAAATAAATAAAAACGAGGCTATAATGTCCAGCGCAGACGGAGGTCCCACATCTATATTGTACTTTTGAAGAATTTTGGGCACCACCTTTAAGTATTACCCATATATAAATAAAAGTAGTAAGTTGCAGTCTTTTGATGTTACTAATGCTATATTATGTAGTCCATCATATGCATGAGTTGGTATTTGTACGATTGATTACAATCCTGGTTCCAGATGCTTGCCCATTAATTGGAGAAGTGATTAAAACTCAAGGTGACTCTCCTATATGGTACTAAATTCACTATAATTTTATTATTACATCGCGCATTAGTAAATAGTACCATATCCCTCTCCCCAAAAAGAGGCTTGCATTGGCCTATGGAGAGTGCTACATTAATTAATATTATGAGAGCTTAAGCTGAGTCTACTGAACTAAGTTCAATTGACCCATAATCAAGCAACTCTTGTATCATCTGTTCTATGTGAGCATCTTCAAGAACTGGCTGAAATTGTTGTTGCTGATCTGCCACGTCAACTTGGCCTTCATCGCCAACCCAGTTCCCTTCTAGCCACTGTCTATTCTCTGGCCATCTAAAGCTAGTGTCTGAGCTTGTTCCCACAATGGCACTGCCTGAGGCATAAGGGTTGGATGAACCTTGTGCTTCCTCAGGCTCTTTCTGTGATGCTTTCTGCTTTGTCATTTGAAGGGAAAGGGAAGCCATGTGACACTTGTGTAGCTTAGCGGTGAGAGCTGCTGAGAGGAGTTTGGATGAAGATGATTGTGGCTCATTGGGATTGTATGGGAAATTGGTGCGTGCTTTTGGACCACACATGAGCCTTGCTGCTTCATCGTACGCTCTTGCTGCATCTTCTGCTGTTTCAAACGTTCCTAGCCATATTCTAGTCTTCCTGTGATCCAAACAACAATGTTCCATCAAAAACTAGAAACCCCAACATGAAGTCGTAGAATGTAGTAATTCACTTTCGTGAAACACTAAAAAAGGTAATTATAAGTAAATCACTGCAAAACATTGTATTAACAAAGAAAAACTCCAGGTTCAAGTTGATGTAAAAATAAATAAAAAAAAGGCTTATTCATGAAGCTGTGAAAAGAAAAAGTGAATATTACAAAAGAGGGTGGCGAATTTCAGAGACCCAAGAGCCCCAATGCCTCTGGCGGACACCTCGATAGCGTTGTTGGGGTCTAGCCATGATGGAGCTTAATTGCTTCAAACTTGTGCGTGAAGAGTCTTTAAGAATAGAAAGTGAATGGAGAAGGAAGTAGCACGCTAGCACTGATTTATATAATCGTCTTTTGCGGCTTTCTCCTCTATGAATCTATAAATGGCCCCACACAACTGTTCTCACCCTTTGTTTCCCAATTCCCTCCTTTTCCAAGTCGGGTAATTTTATAGTTTCATACATATGGGTGCCTCTTATTGGGTTGGATCAATCTTGGTTCTTTCTATTCATGCCATAACTTACAAAGCCTTCAATACATAACTATCAGCCATTCCTTTTTTTATTTTGCTTAGAGTTAAGGGCCATTGTTTTAAAATTAAGTGACTAGCTTGACAACTTCTAAAGGCCTAGCTAGCTCTTCATTGCTTCTTATTAGTCACCAAAGGTTTTGTAAGTTAGATATTATTGGTCACTTAATGTATACAGGTAAGGTATTTTGAGATTATTAGTTAATTATTGGAAAAAGTAGGGCCCTAAACAAAAAATATAGTCAGAGAGAATAAAATAAAATAAATAGCTCCGTCTTTTAATTTATAAATAATCAAAAAAATATTTCTCCCTTGCTATTCCATGCAGTGATATCAAGAGATTCAATTCAATCTTACATGATTGTGAGGTTTTTGAATATATGCGTACGTGCAGGGGAGATGAGGAAATGCTATCAAGACATTGGTCCAGTCAGAGGAAGAGTCCATACTCCACCAACAAATGAACTCAATGATTCTCCACTATTTGGTATGATATCAAGAAAGTACTTTTTGGTATTTCGTACAATATTTAGTAAAATATATACATGAGTTAACTGAAATTTCTTTGCTGCTTTGACTTAATTTAGTGTCACAGACATAAATGTCATGTGTTTGCGTACGCCAGTTATGTTACAAAAAATCAGTAGGCAAATAACTTTGAATATGACAGACAATGATGATGCCTAAATTAAGAAGTATAGCTAGGCAGTGCACTTTAATAATAACCTCACAAGTGGTGTAAATGCATGTCATTCCTTGATTTTCAATGCGACGGCCGGCATGTCTAAAGGAAGTGAGTATGGTCGTACATTATTGTGGACATAGTTACGTGGCTCACATCACAGATTTCTTTACTCAGAAAACCAACCCATATGCCACAACGCAAGGTGATCAAAGACACAAACTCATGTTTGATGAAATTTTCACGCCCATCCTCTGGGTTTGCGTGTTGCGGCCTTGTAGGGTAGTAGGCATAGCTGCTATATTTGACCTCACTTTCTTTGGTACGGCATCAAGCAATCCAAGTTAGAAAACATTGATTTGGACATGAATGTAGCACCCATATTTTTCCCCCTCCTCCTCTCGCATTAGCTAGTTCCGTCTTGGTAAAATATGAGGCTTCCCTACACCATCGAATTCTTCTTCTGTCAAACTTCATATGTTTACTTCATCTCTGCCCACAAGAGCTAGCGTGAGATGGGTATATATCTAATTCTTATGGCAAAAAGTTGTCATATTAACGAAATAAGTATTAAATGTTAGGATTACTTTATTTTAGACAAATCTTAATTAGTGTTTTGAAGACCTGGCTAAAAGATTTTAAAAAAATATATTTTTGCTTTACACTACACTAGTTGAAATTAAATATAAACTGTTTGACTGCAACTCCACTAATATTACGATTCGTCGTACTAATTAACGTTTGATTCCTAAACTGTTTTCCTTAAACTGTTGGTGTTTTTTACCGTGAAAATATAAAATCTCAAACTAGCAGGACGTCTGACACATGACTGTCATAGTTTTTAATGTAGGGAATGTTAAACTTAAGACTCATAGCAAAGTATTTAGTAGAAGATGAGCCAATATGATGATCCAATATTCCTCAGAGTTACGCTTATCCAATTCAGGTTCCTCTGTACATAATTTAAAGGATACATCTTTTTCATGATAACTAGTATTTTGTCCTGATCGATCACCTGCATATTATATAAATGTATATAAATTTATCTATTTATCTATTTAAAGGATACATCTTTTTCATGATAACTAGTATTTCATGCTCCCTTACAGGATGCTCCCTTAAAGTGATTTTATCACACATCTAAAAAATTAATTATTTTTTTTATTAGAAATCATGACACAAATGCCTAATAATATTGAATTTTATACTTTTTAACAAAATTTTTTTTTATCATTTAACTATTATCCTGAGTAAAATTATATTTAAAAATATAAATTAAGGAAAATATGAATTAGTGTTCTTAAATAATGATAAATTTACATGTCTTTAGAAGGAATAAAATATAGTAGGAGATATTCTCATTGTCAAGAATAAATATTTTATTTTATTATATAAAAATAAATTAAAGAGACAAAAAAATTTAAATTGAGAAATAAATTGTTGAATCTACTATTAATTTGATATGGTGTGTCAATATTAAATTAATAAATTTAAATTTTTATACACATTTTTTTTTTGTATTAGTAACCAAATAAATTGAGATTGACTAAATTTTAATAATATTATTTGAAAAAATTTAATTAAAAAAACAGATATTTTCATTTTAATATGATGCACTAAGATTTAGAATTTAAAGTAAGATTAAATAAACTTAAGTAATACTGTTTGAAAGGATTAAAAAATAAAAAAATAAAATAAGATGCATAACAAAAGCAAAACAAAATGACTAATCTTGTTTCTCTAGTTCTAGAGTCTAGATAGCCAAAAAGTGATGAGTGCCAGAATTCAGCAACCAAGCAAAAAAGCAAAAAGATTACGCGTGCCTTTAAAATCATGTATAGAAATCATAAGCAGCGAGTGATGATTTTCAATGAAGAAAGACTTTCCATGGCAATGTATAATATATGTTCCTTTCTTCACATCTACTCAAAGATAACTTTGTTCAAAAAATAAAAGAGGGTTCGACTATCATCCGTCCATGCACACATTACAAACCGTAGAAGGTTTTGCATTCAAGTAGTGGATTTCACTTTCAGCTGCTCAACTTTCCCTTAAAACGTGTGATCGATCTTAATATACATAACGGAACATAAAAATTATTGCAAGATTTTAAGGGGTATACATGTGCAATGTCATTTTCGTTTCTCTTACTGTTTAAAGATCATAAGAGGATTGCTAAATTACCATATGTTATTTTCTTTTTTGTCCAAACATATACAAACACTGCTTCAAAGGTTGTAGCAGTTTGCGAAGGAATGATCACATAAACATGTCAAGTTTCGCAAAACTCCCCACCAACTAAATCTCTTTTGTTTTTCTATACTTGGGAATCCCTGCATATATATGGCAAAAAATTATTGACTTTTCACTTTTTTTATCATAGAGAGGGTGATGGATGACACGGTGATCAAGATATGAACAGGCAAGCCTCCTTCATTATGCAAGAAACAAGAATTCACCAATCATTCGTTGCAAAATAATATCAGACAACCAACTTATCATTGATTAGTTTTATTTCCATTTCCTTCGCTTCCTAGACAATAGAATGAAAATTTTACTCACTTATATCATAAAATATCCAAACGATAATATGATTATTTTGCTTCATTTTATCTTACTTTCCATTCAAAGCATTCTACCTATCCTTGAATATCAAAACATAACCTCAAAGTATGAATTAAATCTTGACCAAAAATTTTGTGACTGAGAGAAAGAAAAAGGTAATTATTGCACCAAAACACACGTGACCTTCAACATGAAATTAACTTTCTACCAGTTGTTTCAACTCTTGGCTTACCTTAAACCTCAGACTCCTGCTCACAATAAAATTGTTTATTCGATCGATCTACCAATTTTATTTTTAAATTTTCATTCAATTTCATCCATCCAAAAGACTTCATATAATATTTTTATAGGAAGAAACTTAAAATCTAATAAGGCATACATGCACACTACGTACCTGTGGTGCAAGAAAATTTAGGCCTTCAATGTAGATGGGTTAAGATTTTCTGCACCCTGATCCATTCCTAGCACACTTGCAAAAGATTTCGGAGCTAAATCATTGCTAATTGAATGGAAGAGTCACATCGACATGTCCCAGCATATAGTAAGCATATTTTGTAGTACAGTAGTTCTTTGGTCTTACACTTAAGTTATTCTATAAGTGAGATAATGATCATGGGGAAAAAAATTGCAAATATCTTGGTTAACTGGCATCAGGAAATTGCAATTCATGTTTCATGTTTTTACTTAATTCGGAGCATGGAAAGTTGGCAACCAATATCAACCTCTTTTGTAAAAATATTTAACAAAGTTGAAAAGAAGAGTGGATGACAGAAACAGGGGAAGAACAGAAAAATGCGAGATGCAGATAAGCTTTCTAAATCTTAGTGACTATAATCCATAGCCTGTCTGGTCCATAATCTTGGGCAATTTTGTTGAATGGGTGCAAGAAAAGCAAAAGTGATTTGATCTCTATCATTCACCTGATTATATGCCGTAAATTGCAAACATTGGCCTACGTAACGTATGTTCAGCAAACTTTCTTTAACCACATTCAAACCATCGCTTTTCTTAGTTTTTGTGGATTTAAAAGTTTCCCTACTAACCTATATATGCACATTGATTTTTAGCTATACTCCCAATCAACTAGAGAAATTGCTAAACAACTAAATCAGATAAAAATGCTTGGTAATGGTGCCTCGTTTATTGTCCTATTTATTCAAAAGAGAAGCAATTTAGGCATATATCCTTATTGATATTCCCAAAAAGAGTTTTTATTGAATTCATCTGTTAAAAAATGGTTACATCAAATCAAGCAACATTTTATGTATTGTTTCTTAATGATGTTATTCCAACATTTGCTTATATCAGCGAAGGTAAATTTGAATATGCACTCAATATCTTACTCAGTTAGTTGAAGTCTAAAGTAAATATCAGGGGGTTAAGGAACAAAATCGTGTATATGATGTCAAATCCTACTATTTGTTTTTTCCATAATACCTCTCAACAAAGCACTCTAATTTTTACCTAAATTTTAGAGAAAACTTCAATGTGTGAATCGGAACTACTGACATATGACACAGACAAATAGTAAAAAGTTCACCTCTCAAACTTGTTGAAATAATGTGTTTTGGTTTCAATCCGTTGAACTTGAGCCAACTAAATTGAGTTTGTACATTATTACAAGAGCATCAAGTTAAAAAACAAAAAAAAAATCTGTTTTGTGAGAAACATCTTAAATATACAACCTTAGTATTTATATTTTAGCCATTTGTTTTTTTAAAGTAAGAATTGCGAGTGTTTCTTCACTGCTGTTGGTCAAAAGTTGTGGTAGTAAGGTATCAACGTCCAACTAGCAAAAGACATAAATCTGAAAGGAACGTTAACGATAGCCAGACACTGACAGAAAATAAATAGATTATAAAAGATAATGTTTGGCAAATGAAAATAACTAAACTTGAAAAATATTTTTTAAAATGTTGAAATAATGAAATAGTCCTTATTTATGATATACCATTTTGATGCACCGTTAATCCGTGTAATGGGCTTAGTAATTTTATTTTCTTATGAAAAATATTAAAGTGAACACGTCCGGCCCAAGCTGTCATTTCCCGAGGAATTATCTAAAGCCCATTCTTGTTTTTAAAAAAAAAGATATTTAATAACACACTTTGGGTATGGTAACAATTCCTAGAAAAGATAAAAATAAAATAAAATTAATGAACAAGGTAGATGGGGGTGGTAAAGTATTTTAATGAAAGGAAAAAAAAGAGGTGGATTTTTAACTTTCTAAATGAGATAGGCGATGAACGTAAGAGGATATGCATTTTGTGTATGTCTATGTCTATGTGTATGTGTATGATCACTTCCATGACCATTATGTCAGATGCCAGGTTTACATATAGATGAACAGTGACTTGTAATGTGTGGTGACCATTCACAACAGATAGCTTTAAAATAGGGCAAACATATAAGGAGCAAACAAAATTATATGTTTGTCCCATTTTTTATTTAAATGAAGTAGAATACGTGTATGATTTATTTTCACTAAAACATCAATTTTGCACTATTAATTAATTTAATTCCTAAAAATAGCAGTAATAATCTGTTTAATTTCTAATTATATAAAATCGGTAAAAATAATTCCTAAATTAGGGAACCATTATTGGTTAATTTGATCCCTTAGAGCCTTACAATAGGAATCAAATAATTTTAAAAGTTAAAAATTAAATTACTTTTTTTATAATGTCAAGAATTAAATTGATTAATAATTATCAAAGTTAAATATTATATTTATTTTTATGTAACGACAAGAATTCAAAGGTGGATAGGGTTAATTGAATGGATTAAATTAATGTTTTATTTATTATTTTTTATACTTTAATTATAAAAGCTGTTAAAAAAAAGATAAAATAATGAAGAAATAATAATACACATCTACTGAAAACACAATTGCAATCATCTCGAATAATTTTATATGGATTTTCTTAACTTGACAGCGTAATTATAATTTTGAGTTTTTTAATTTGTGCAACCATAAATACATTACTTAATTAATGAGAAAAGAGTAAACAATAATTTTTTTAGAAAAATTATAATAAAATAATTAATACAGATTAGTTAAGTGATGTACAAGATTACACAGGTTAGAAAATCTTTAAATTTATAATATAAGGCAGTGATTGGGGAAGTTTGAGTTTGTTGTCAAATAGAATGTCCTTTGAGAGATTACTCACATATTATTGAACTGTCATTTTGCATTATTAAACTTGTCAATACAAGTAATCTGGTAATTAATGAACTCATTAGTGCCGTAGGTATATGCATTAAACAGACTATGGGGACCTTGGTATCCCACAAACTCAACTAGACATAAGCAATAGTTCTGAATTTCATTATATCGTTAATTTAAATTAAAATAATTCACTTCAATCAATTGTAAATTAAATACATTCTTCTTTTACTTTACACGTCTAATTACTTGAAAAAAAGACAAAATCAACAATTTTAAATAGTGCCAAGACAATTAAAAGTACCAGTGAAGTTATTAGTGACTTCTCCAACATGGCAACTGGTCTTGGCATAGTTAATTTGTCTATATATGTAAAAAGAAGCAGTTAGGTGTCGAGTCCACTCAACTACACAAATTATATTTATTCAAATGGTGGAAATCTGGTCCAACATCAATGGAACACTGAAAATGAAAAACTGATTTCAACTACTTGTTAATTTAATTTAATTTTTGTTCAACTAAAAACATTTTTTTTTGTCAAATAAAGACTAAATGTCGATACAAAACTATGTATGAAATCCAATTATTATTATTATTATCTAAGTTTTTTTCTTGTCTACGAGGACATACAATTTTAAGTAAATAAGTTTTTCTAATTTGATTTCTTTTAATTTTAATTTATTATATAATATAATATTAAAACTTATTCATCTAATTATTATCAATGCAATCATAATTAAACTATAACAAAGTTAGAAAAGTATTTAGAAGATCTTATAAAAGTAGCTTATGATTCATATACTTTTTAAAAATTATTTTATTTATTTTTATAATTGACTTAAGGTCACAAACTTTCATGTAATAAAAATTTATTAAATAATACTTAATTAAATTATTTATATAAAACGCTCTAAGTTGTAAACTGATATATTTGCCACTATAACATGGTATGACTAACTTTTTTAATATTTTTTTTCACACACGAATTTAAAACCTTACATAAGAGAAATTAAATATATACTACTTAAACCAATTTTGTTGATAAAAGAATTCATTTAGTTCACTTTATACAGTGACATGTTTAACTTTAAAAAAAAACATTTATTATATGTTTACATATTTTAACACAACAAATATTTTTAATAAAATTTTCTTATTTTTATTAAAAATAAGAAATTTATTTGAATCATTAAAATTAATATCATATGTAAATTATATATAATTATTTTAATATTTTATTCTCTTTTGACCTTTTCATACATACGCATTCTAAATAACCGTAAAATACAAAAAAGAAAAACTTGTAGCGGTACGTACAGCGGTACTGTGGCAATAAATGGCATACATAGAGCGGTACGTAGCAAAGTGAAGAAAGAATAAAGGGAAAGAAGAACTAGCGGACAATTCAGTAGCCTAACTGAGATGTTGATGTCAAATCAAATTAAATTTCTTAGCATTCTTTCATTGATTGTGACCCACAATCTCGAGCTTTGTTATCACATAAGATCTTAGAACAAGACGCAGTTTTTGCTTCAAAATTTAACCTAATCTTACAAAAATTATAGTTCCACGTGTTCATGCTTTGGTGCATTAAAAAGTGTTTCTTTCTTGGTCGAGAGGCAACAAAACTAAAGCTTCTTGGTTCTTAATATTTAAATAAAAAAAATGGTGCGGTGAAGACTGAAGCATGCCACCACAAGCAAAATAGACAGCTCAACTGATGTGCTATGCAACATTTAGCAACGGGATACCACAATCCATGCTTGCGAACATCACGCATATTCCTACTGTCGCTTCAGCATATCCCGTTAGTCTGAGATTACTATGATTATTAACTGTTATAATCACTACATTTTCCGTTATTTCTGCGTCTTAATTCCATCAAAAAACATGTTTCATGATTAATACGAGATTAGGTTGTAAACATCAGGCAGATATGGACCTACAAATTTGTGGGTCCTCCCTAACATATCTTGTAGGTAAGAAATCAAGGCGAAGATGATACAGGATTGTAATTAATTAAATATTTCTTTTAAAATGATGTGAAAGAAGAGCTAAGTGTCATTGTGCGGCTTATTTTCTCATGGCTTTGCCTCACCTACTTCTTTGATCCCAATAGAGAAGGTCTATTTCTTCAACTGCAGGTGGGTCAAAGTAGGAGTCACTAAGACAATCACAACCATTAAATTTATGTACATTTGGTGGACCAATCTTGCATAAGAATTAAGAACAATGACAGTCACTAGCATCCAATTTTCTACATTGTGTGGATCTTTGTCACCCAAAATGTGAGACAGGTATACCTTGATCCAAACAGTCCCAAGTTGACAATAAGTGCACTGTAACATGTAACTACCATCAAAGACAAACCACATTGCATATCTTTATCTTTTTCTTAATGAGACTGAAAAAGGAAACTGCAAAAACCCACAGACAAAGTAAATGATATCTCAATTCTGAGAGTGTAAGATCCCTACAGCATCCAAAAGTAGGATAGCAGAGGCTTGACCAAAATTTATTTAGAATATCAATGGTGAAGTGAAATCAGCTCCTCATATTAAGTTATTTTGAACCTTGCTTGTGTTTCTGGGCCATGCAGACCCTTGACTTGATATCTATGAAACTAAATTTTAAACGGTTAAAAGCAGTGTAGAATTGACTCCACAATTAACTGAGAAAGTTTTTTTTTACCAAACTTTCCTATCCTGAAAAGTATACGAGAGGCCACGAGAGAGATTCAATTGGTTATGCTATTACAAACAAGAAAATTTGAAGCTCGGGGGAAGTGTTAACTTCCATATAAACCCAGGAAGAATCCATTAACAAAAATCAAAGCAAATAATATCAAGACACGAACATTGGTAAGTGAGTGTCTAAAATGCATTTACAGCTATTGTGACTAGAGATACATGACATGAGCGCAAAGAAAGAAAAGAAAGGTAGAAATCTCTTGGTCAATAGACACAATTAATATGGGATATGACATGAAAGATTGCACTTAGAGTTTGAGGGACAAGTCAAGCTTCTGCAACTCCTCTTGTTTAGTCTTCAAATGGGAAATACTACCCAACAAGTAACCTCCAAATCCTTCTGGCACTAACCTGGGAGAAGGCTTCCCTAATCGTTGGATGCCACCAGCCAAGGATGATTCGGTTTCTGTCTCCACATGAAAATTCTCAGATGCAAGACTCTCAATTGCCGCTTTTGAGTACATAGGATGCCTCTGCCACCCTTTTTGGGCATGGGAATGGGACAAACCGAAAATGGGTGTTTGATAAGAGGGTTTGTTGATCATAGAATGCACCTGAATTCCAAGTGACCTGTTATATGAGCCATGCAAAGGAAGAGAAGCCATACTAGAGTACCTTTGTCCAAAATCTATTGAAACTGCACCACCAACTTTATGTCCTCTTTTTGCCAATGTTCTTTCACGCTTATGTGCATTTTGGTGTCCCCCAAGAGCCTGCGAACTATAAAACTTTCTCTGGCAGTAGTTGCACGAGAAAATTTTTGGCTCCACTTCATTACCATGATTACTAGATTCCGAGGAATTCATGGACACATTTGTGTCGAAACAGTTGATGAGATTGAGTTCTGGCTTTGAGTCATCACCTGAATCTTCACTAGGGAGACTTAGATCCAGTAGAAGGCGTGGAGCAGACTCATGTGGGTGTTTTTCATCTTCCTTTTCTCGCTTTGAGCACGGTGGAGTCTCTGAAAATGCGACGATCAACTTTTCAGATGGACGAGGCTGGGCCTCTGACCAAAGAAGGTCCATATAGGAAGAAATCTGCAACGATTTTCTTCCTATTTGTGATCAAAGTTTGGTTTAACAAGAAGAAAGATGAAGCTTATATATGCTGTAACAACAAGAAATGCTGTGTGTTATGTATAGAAGTAACCAATAGGCATCACTATTTTACAGTTACAATGTCTTAATACAGCAAGACCTAAAAACAAGACATTGTTTGTGTTAAGAGAGAGAGAGAGAGAGAGTTGTGTTACTTGATTGGAACTTATGACGAACACCCATGTAAAACTGTTGCTTGCACATATCCCATTGGCTGTTATTTTCTAACTTTTAATTTGTTTGTCTTTCTACTTGTCTTTTAATATTTCTCGTCTCGGGGGTTGTTATTTTCGGTATATTCATGCCTGTAGTTTATAACAGGCTGAAAAATCCAAGATAAGACCAGTGGCTTGCATTTGAAATTCAGAATAAACGTGGTATTGTAGAAGGAAGTACTAATAAAAAAAGTGTGGTGTTTTTAATTTCTTAATTCAGTTGGTGGATTTGCTGTATCTTTACAGAAACTCTTCCATCTTTATCCTGTTTAATAGAGCGTTTACCTCATGATCGAAAATTGAATCGTCCACGTGGTCCCAAAAATTATTTTTAAGAATTTGATATTTTTTCATACCTCATTTTTAGTGTATAATTTATAGTATACTCCACTTCAATCATTGTATAAAAATTAGTCCAGTATTCTTGTCTGTAGATGACTTCCACATATGTGTAGGTAGGTCCTGTGCACAGACTAATTTCTCATAAAAGAAATATACAAAAAGTAAAAATGAATAAAAATTATAACCTTTTTAAAAGTTATTATTATCAACTTGCATAATTGCCTAGAGGTAATCAACTAGAAAAATTCTAGTACCAGCGTGCATGCTTTAGTCCATAAAATGACAAATATAAATGACACTAACCAATAATGGCAGCTTGGTCACTTGATTGCTTAAACAAATACACAATTTCACAATATACTATGGTCGTGTTATCGCCAGCAAATAGTTGCACGGCGTTAAACTTTATCTAATGCTGCATAATGATATATCTTTGTCAGCTTTATACATCTTATTTGTTTTATTTATAAAATAAAATCTCATTATATATAATAACCAAATGATTTTTTTTAAATGTGAATTTGATCTTCAAAATATTATTATATTATCCTTTAATAATAATTTTTTAAAATTAAAATAGTATAAAAGTTATTTTAGTGTGACTAAATATGATATCATTCAGTAACCAAAATTTACCATAGGAGAATCAATTAATTGTCACTAATATTTCTCGAAGACTATTTTGATAATCAAATTAAGAGTTTATTTAATTATTTTTCACCTAATGTGTATACCTCGTATGCGGAATTAAGTAGATGAGTTAAGGTTTCTTCCAAAGCTAACGCTTTTATCGCACTATATAAGTATATATGAGCCATGCATCATCTATATTTTCCTAACATAATTGTTAAACATGTAAAGTTGAATAAAAATAATTTTGATGAATATAATTTAAATTATTGAATGTGATCGAAAAATATATATGTATATATATATATATATATATATATATATATATATATATATTATTAAAACATGTATTTTGTATTAAAGTGCGAGAATTACATTTTTAATTGGTTCCTAACAAGCACCGTATCAATCAATTTTGAGTGTTATATTAACCCTAAAAACGAGATCTACAGGTGTTGCTCACATACACCATTTAAGATATCTACCAATCTCACAAACTATATTCAGACACTTTGACATTTTTTGAAACCTTTCAGAATAAAACTATGTTACAGACTGCACTGAATCGTGATATAAGTTCCAATTGAAATTTGGAATCAATTATACTTCAGAGGTACTTGAAGTTTAAACAGTCTCATATATTACAGTGCTTGCCTTCTGAGTATCATTGTTGATATGATGACATCATAAACGAAGATAAGGTCACTAGTATTTTCAGGGACAAAATTTGTCATAGTGGAGTACGTACGGTCGTTTCTTTTCCTTTTCTCCTCTTCCCAAAAATATTTCTCTTGAGATGATAGTGTTTCTTCCTTAACACTTAATAATTGAAGCCTATTGTAGGAATTTCAGAAGGCAGTTTGATGTCCTTTCTTCGACTAGAAAAGCATGAAATGAAAAATTCCTATCTAGAGACAGCCAATCTCAACTTTTTTCTTAAAGGGCTCCAACTATCATGCATGTTCTATATTATATCACCATGATGCTTCTTCTGTCCCACATCACATGTAGCATATGATTCCATACAGCAATATTCCCAAACACCCTTGATAAAATGGACATTCCCTCTCTCCTCCTCTTCCCTCTTCTCTTTATTATGAGGTTGAATTATTGTTTCTCTTTCAAGTGGAATTGTTACCTGGTTCATAAAGGGTGTGTTAGCTAAATTAGGTGACAGAGTTGAATCTGCTATGGGAAATGTTAGGTAAGTTTCCATAATTATAAAGCTAAACTATTTGTAGCTTTTGTCTCCTAAGTCATATATACTTTTCAATCTTGGCATAAATCATGCAATAGTGAATCTTTAATAATATATAAGTTCTAATCATCTAATAATACTACGAGCAAATAAGGCCTCCTCTTCCCTTTTCTCTCTTCTAACCTTTTTCTATCCCTTTCCCTAGGGTTGGACCATTTTCGCTCCCAACCTCATTTTATTGTCACAACCACCTATACAAAGTGTTTGATACAAGCGACTTAGGCGGAAGGGTTGGCATTGAATTACCCGCGCTGTGATACGTAGAGGAATTCCTTGACATTTGATCGATAAGTTGTAACTTCTAAGATTGTTTATCCCTTGTGCTTGTGTTCATGTTGGCTTGGGATCAAATCCTTGACAAAAAAGGATAGTGACATGAAAAGGGTATCTTTCGTGTCTGCCTCCAATAGGAAAAGATTGAGGGTACATCACGCAGTTAGATATACAAAAACAGAATAGACAACCCACTACAAACTTTTCCTACATACAAAATCTTCCAGGATAGTAGAATATATTGCGGGTGCAAGAAGGTACTTTATATGTTCAATGAATTAGGGAAAGGTCAAAATGCGTATACTTTCAATCTTAATCAATATCATAAACATAAAGATACCCTTCAGTGTCTATGAAATTATTAGTTTTCACCTGGCGACTGAAGCGTGATTAATATTATTAATATGCAGTTTTTTCTCTTTAAAAATATACTTGGGAATTACGACTGATATTACATTTGTAATTTCTTCTTTTCTGACATTATCAAGCTCGCACAATGATATCTAATATGTCAAACTTTATGAGGGTTGCTCTTGAACATAAGGATACTGACGTCATCCAATTAATTAATCAGACACGTGGTGGATGAAGATTGCAGCTTATTCAAACTTTATGTTAACTATAGACACATAATTTAAATCTTGTACATCTATGTGCCTGGCCAACTGATTGCAATGTAACAAATAAAAGTTCTCCACCCAATTCCCTGCGCACATTAAGCCGCGATTGCATCTTATTCTTTAATTTCATGTCACTTTATTTTCGTGTCAGAGATGAAATAACAAAATCATTGACAAATGTCCACATAATTGACTTATACTTTTGAGACGGTTCGTCCAAGTTATCTTAGAAAGTTTTATCTTTAGTAGACTAATAAAATTAAGCTGTTATGTTAGAAATTATATCAATTTTTATTTAATATATTTTATAGACAAACCCATAGAGTAATTTAAACAATCCTAATATAAAAACATTTCTGGTCCTACTTTTGCTTCTCTCTCTCTCTCTCTCTCTCCCCTACAGAGAATTACACACCAGTGGCTTATGCTTAATTGTTAAAGTATTTCCACTTTTAACTATACTTAGAAAGTGACCTTCAAACCCAACAAGGTTATGATGTCTTTGTTACAAGCAGTCATGCAGGATTTAAATATTTTTCTCCACAGTTTGGTATATCTCGGTTTAACGAGTGATAAGTCTGTGTGGTCAAGAAATCAGCTTTAAGAAATTAATAAGACTCAAAACAATAAATTTGAGAGTTCTATTTTGGAAGCTTAATTAAGTGAAATATGTTCTCCCATTTAACTATAGCTTGTTAAGATAAAAAAAAAAGGGGTTAAGTTTGACTAAGATCTCTATATACACTACAAGTATTCAATCAGGAAAAAAGAAAGTCCTTTCCTTCATTAGATTACAATTGAATCACAAAACATTGTTTTGAACAATTCTTATTTTGCACAATTTCCACATTCAGTTGCACTATCATTTTATCTCATTATCTAAACTACAGAATCACAGATACAAAGGCACATCAGTTGAGTAACTAGAGTCGTGACAACAACATTAAGGACGTTTAAATGTTTGCTTAAGATCATTCATTTTTTATTCAACGATTTATTTTTTATCTTATGATTTTTTTCACTTTCTTTTCTATTATATTTTTTATTTTCTTTCTCTTTTTTTCTTTTTTGTCTCTCTTGATCTCTTCCACTTACTTCACACCCTGAAAGGTAGGTGTCAACATATCATTTTATATTTGCTTAGTGCAATATCAAGTTACTATTCACTACTCTCTATGTTTACCAAGCTGCACTAGTTAATTAATTAATAGTGATATGTTTACCCTTTTTTTTTTATTACATAAACTCAGATTTCGGGATGTGTATTAGAAGATGAGTGTTACCTCCGTCAAAGGCGTTTTCCTAAGTTTTGAGGTATGCTAAATGTATAAATTTCCATATCACTATTATAAAGAAAACGAAATTAACTATGTTTGACCCCACCAATGACGCAATCTCAAACCTCACTACCAGATAATCAATTTAAATATTAAACCTAAACATCCCCCACAACTTTTTTAAAACCTCTACTTGTGGGAAGAAGTATTTTTGTCCTGTTGCACAGGCAGAAGCTATGAAGATTGTGACATGTTGCCTATTGGTAGATACATAGCTTGATGTGAATATGACCAAATAAATTGTTACTACTCTGCTGGTCTAACCTCCATGCTTAAAAGTATAACGCGTTCCAAATCCATAAAATTAGATTTTAGGATCTTGTACAGTTTTTACTTTTAAGAGTGGAGTATTCAAATCCATGATTTACAATTTTAAGAGTAGGTGCATGGATTCTTTGTATCTTAAGTTACTCTATTTTCTGGCTGTTTTTAGCCCTCTAGAATAAATAATGGCAAGTACAAATTAACAAATGGCACGCGTTTTGAAGAGCAACAGGAGTTAATAGCAACCAGCAAGTTCCTGAACATATTGTCAACTATAGTTCATTCGATAGCACTGTTAAATTTATAAATAAATATAACGATTTTTATTTAAAAATTTCTTTAAAGTTTTCTTTCCATTTCCATCTCCCAATTTTTCAAATTTTTGTTTTTGATACTGATCTACAACTTGCTGTTAAATAATTACTAAGTTGATTAATTAGATATCTAACTAAATTATCTCATATACCAAATTACCAATTCATAACATGTTAAAAAAGCCACACAAAGTGCTGAATATGAATTGGGAAGAGATGTAAAAACAATTTTTTATGTGGCTTTACGCTAAAAGCTAGATCAACAGAGTGCCTTCTTTTCCTCTCTAATTCTACCGATCAAGATGAGTTTTTTTATTTTTTTTCTAGAACAATAAATTAAAAATGTGTTTACATAAACAACTCAATTAAATATTTTTCAATAAAATTTATCACATAAAAACTTAATAAGTTCATCTGAAAAGTTACTAAAATAAGCCCCCAAAAAAAGGCAGACAAATTAATATATATAATGCGTAACATCATCTTTACAAGGCTTTGCTTCTGTTGAAGGGCCACCATCTACTAAACAATACATTACCCCAAAAAATAAAGTAAAAAACGACTTAACCGAATAGACAAGGAGTATATAATAGCATAAACGTAAGCTACCCAGCACAATAAACAACATCTTCACTTGGTTAGCCAGTAGATGAAAATAAGAAATATGCATATGGACCCAACAAGGGAAAGTATAATAGTATCCATCGACTTTTTTCGCTTTATTGAAGACAGAATGTTATTTACCTGCCAAATGATTAAAAGTAGTACAGTAAACATCAGAACCCCAAAAACATTGTAGACAGATAAACTTGTCAAATGAAATTAATTTTACTCTTGACTTGGACCATATTTTGTTGGAATCACACAATTTGCATATTGAATCACACAATCTGACATAAACTTGTCACATAGAAATGAAATTAATTTTGTCACTTACACCATAGTTGTTAGAATCACACAATTTGCTTATTTGGTTATACCAATGTCTGTTTTCCTTCTTATGAAACATAGGCTTCATGCAATCACATCTATCTCTCATAAGGCAAAGAAGATAAAAGAAAGCAGCAGTTACTTCAGAACATTGTATTGATCTAGATTGAACATCAAATGTAATCATCATCTACAAACAATATGGGGAATAAATTTTGTGCGTACTTAAATATCATATGACTGTGCAGGATCCAAATGACCAGAGAAAATTGATTAGATCACCAAAATCTATGCCAATAACAATCATACCGTTGGGAGGCGGCTGCTCACATTGCTGAGCTTTGAATTGATCCCACCAAAAGTTGATCGCTGGAAGACTAGTGAACCGAGTGTTGCTTGTGCTTGTGAAATAACATTGTCCATCTGCAGCACATGAATAAGTGCAACAGTTCAAAACAGGATAACCCCAGTTAAATTATCAGAGATAGAACTTAAAATAAAAATAAAATACATGTTGAAAAAGTAGTCCACTACAATTGGGATATACCGCAGATGAAAACAAAGAACTACATATGGCATTGGAATGACATCTCAGAAAATTAAAAAACCTATACATAGTTTTATGAGAAAGACGTCAAAGTTTACAAGCCTAAGTAAAGAATTCCACTGGGAAGAAGAGAACAGAACATAACAACAGAAAACCAAGGTAATTGTTTCATCTCACCAACCTGTCCTGTACTTCGGCTGATAGATGCATACTCTCTTAGGAGGGTTTGCTGTTCAGAACCTGCACCCTCTTCCAAATCTAACCCTGTCCTATCAAACTCTTTAAAATCATCGAGTAGTGATGCATGTTCATGCTTAGCTCTTAGACTAGACCGGAGACGATAAAACTCCTGCACTTCAAATACATTTAACAGCAGATTGGTGTCTAACAGTCCAAGCTTAGTGCAAAAATTTTTGAATCCGAAAATAAAATAAATAATGAATCACAATAAACACAAGCAGAGAATTACACAGCAAAGGGATAAGTAGATACAGAAAACTTGTAAAGATATTAATACACAGTTACAGAAATGACGAAGTTTGATATATTCATTTTAAATCCTCCTCAGTAGTCAAATGAAACCTTCATGTCAGGGTGCACAAAGTATATCCCAGGTTCACAAACAGACTTCATTGAAGCAGCACAACAATATCAAAGCTACATTATAGGAATATGCATATACAAAATGAATTTTAGGGGCAGACAGGGATAACTCAAGCTCGTACTATTAAATACCTGGGTGAGATCTTGAAGAATTTCTTGGTGTCTAGTCAGAGTATGAGAAACCATTTCTGATCCACCAGAGGACACCCAAGCTTGCATCTGTGAGTTTACTTGTTGAAGTTGGTTCAGTAAGCGCTCAATCCAGGACACCAGATCACTCTCTGTATCATCACCTTTTGTAGAAACTTTTGCTGATACCAATTTACGATATGAATTCATTTGCTCATCCAACTGAGCTTCAAGTTTTCTTGCCTGCGAAAGATTAAGAGAGAAAACAAGCTTCTGTCAATAATATGGCTGGAAAACAAAATTATCTATAAAATAGGAAGCCTAGAGGAAGACAAAAATAACTAAATGACCACCCCTCGAATGAGAATCTTTTATTGGGAAACATTGTTAAAAAAAACTTTTCTGAAAATGTTAATTTCCTAGGAATATTTTTCAAAATATTCATACCAAATATAAAAGTTTAATATTCCCAACTTAAGATTTCTAGGGACCTTAAAACAATCTACTCATCACCCCGTGCATCCATTTGGTGAACAACCAAAAAAAATATATATATTTGAACACCATCTATGACATCACCTAATTCCTACAGAACTTCTGTTACAAATTACAATACCCTTGAGTGATATCGGGTAAGCAGAAAGAACAAAATGAATTCGTCCGTCTCACCCTTGAAACTGCAAAATATTCATTCCATGTAAATATCACGTATGCAAATTACTGAATTAGGCAGGTTTATAATTCTAATCTGTCTTTCCAGCACATCTAATCACCTAAATCAAGGAACAAAAATAATCCGAAGCATTGCAAATTTACGAGATTTATTTCCAGAGCAGTTTGAAAATGAAAAATAAACCAAGGATTCGGACTTGTCGCCACTATAAAAGTCAAACTACAAAGCAAGCATTGCCCCCAGAAGAACTAAGCAAGAAGATCCATTACCATACAAGTCTAGATTATCCAAAAAAGCTCACCTTGGCAGTTTGCACTCAAAACTATCCTCTTACAGTGGAAAACCTGTAATTCTAAAAACCTAAAGCAGCTTTAAGGTTTAGATGACAAAAGGGCAGAGTCATCACAATAATTCCAATCACCGACATGAAGAAAACCCGATCAACAAAAAAAAATGAACTTTCGGATCAGGGGCCTCAGAATTGCGCATACCCATATCATATATTTGATTGGCACAAAATAGAAACAGAATCTGACAAAAAAACAGAACAGAACGTGAAGAATTGGAACCTGTTTGCGAAGCGAATCCCATGAAGTGGGCACCTCCATGGATGAAAAACAAAACAAAGATGAAAAGAGGAAACTTTGCAGATTGACGTTAGGGTGGGAATGAACGTGGGGTGATTGTTTCTCAATCAAGATACGCTATGCCGTCTGCTCCCACGCCACAGACGACACCGCTTCAATTTTTCTTCCTCTGTTTTTTACCCGTTTCATGTCTCTTTCTTTCATTTTATGTTTTTTTAAAAAAAGGTTGCTTTGTTCCTAATGCACACTATTTAGATCGCATTTGTTGGTTAATAAAAAAGTATGCGGATAAGAAATTAATTAGTTAAACGCATTACATCAAATTGGACATCTGAATCTAATTGCAAAACAAAATGTCACATTAATTAATTAAATAATATAAATTTATCTCATTTTAGAATAAATTTTGCATAAATACAATATTAATAAGAAAAATAATTTGAATACAAGTTATTATTATTATTTGGTTTTGCAGGTATAGTAAGTAATTTGTCAAATTAAAAATTTTGATGATGAAATTGTTTTTGGGATTAAAAAGGGAAAATGAGGAAGGGGAATATTATTCTTGGGTGGGGTGATGGGGATGGGAATGGACGAGAGGGATCCGTGGCTGGGAATAGACAAACTGTACCACCTTTTAATGTGTTTGTGTCTGACACTTGTCTTTTACGCTCTTGCTTCCTTCACTCCTTACCGCCGCCACGCCATTTCCATCGGATCCCTCGCTTCTCTCCTCGCCGGCGCCGCCAAAGAGGCCGCCGATCACCTCGGCTACTTCCGCTCTTCCGGGGCTTCCCTCAAGGACGCCCTCGCCGACATCCTCGGCGTCCTCATCGCTTCCTTCGCTCTTTCTCTCTTCCGATCTCAACCTCACCCTCAGCTCCGCGCCGTGTCGCTTGTTTGAAGACACTCTTTCAAACAATTTCAGATGGAAATTGCCAGTACACTTCTTTTCTTCAATTTAATTCAATTCTTTTTTTTTTAAGTTTTATTTTTCTATTTCATCTCATTGTTATGTGAAAATATAATTCAATTTCATCTTAGTTTTCTATTTCCGAGGTTTTCTGTTTTGGAGATAATAATCAGACTTCTCGTTATTTTTCTTTTACATTTATCAAAAAAGAAAAGAAGAAAAAATTAGTATTGTATTATACAAGTACCAAACATCACTCATTTATGCCTGAATATGATATGATAGATACACAAGGTCACCTGAGCACACATTTTGTATCTCTAGTATGTGCACATACCAAACGGTTCTCACTTTTGTTTGCTTGTTTCTACAATATTTATACCATCAAAGCAGAAAGATTGGATCATGTTGTAGAGTCTAAGATGTTTTATTAGGTGGTCTTGGGGTGATAAGGGATGACATTGGGACAAGTGGAGTCACCTTCTGAAGCTGATGGAAGCCCTTGCCTTGGCGTTATCATCTTCTTGAGGCAGTTTGACAGCAGTGTAAGTGCCTGCCCCACCTAAAGCTCCAAGGATGGGAGCTATGAGATAGATCCATATGCCTTTGTAGTTGTTTGCGGCAATAGCTGGCCCTAATGTTCTTACTGGGTTCATTGACCCTCCTGTTACTGGCCTGCAATACAACAATGTTAAGCTTCTGTTTATCAAAATCTGCTCCAAATTTTAAGCAATAACTCATTAGTTTCAGAAATTTGTGTTTTTGGATTCTTTTTATCAAAGCAATATATGGGACGTACCCTGCTATGAGAATATTGAGCATTACAGTCGCTCCCACCGCGATTCCTGCGAGTTCTCCCACCTGCATAAGCATTATTTTATTTTTTTCAAAATTACAAACCATAACTAGTTTTAGTTAACGTATCTATACATTTAAGAATCTGGTTGAAGTTTTTGCAACTTAAAAATAATCTCTCTTTCCTCAATTTTTTTTATGACGAACTTCATCATTCTTCTACTAATTGTTAATAGAGTTGTATTAATTTAACTTTTTAACACACGATATAATTTTTACACTTTTATGTTAATTTGTGTCAAAAAAATTTTCAAACAACATTTTCATTGTTAAATAGGAACAGATGGAAGGAGAACAAGATGAGTGTCCACTCCTCCTCCTCAATTACATCAAAATTGTTATCGTATAATATATTCACACAGTTGTATATATTAAGATTTATTTATTTATTTATTGCTAATTGTTTTTATATATTTCCCTGATTGTAAATTAAGGCCGGTGCATTAATCAAACTAAGATTCTTGTCTGGTGCAACCAGCTAGATTCCAAATCCTATATATCGTTTTTCAAAGCGCTGACAAAGCGTCACCTCACTGCAAAACATGTTCACGTTGACAATGGTAAAAGGAACAAATTTTGGGTGGATTTACTGGGGCAAAACAAAACAAGGGACACATCTTTTCCTTTGACCCTGATGCTCATAACCTTTTTCTGGATTTGCAGCCAAAATCGCACTGCCCCTCGCCATTGGGCACTGGTTGATTTTTAATGCTCACAGAAACTCCTTATGAATATTACTGCTTTTGTTTTTCTCCAAGTCATTTCATAGAGTAAAAATATTTATTTTAATTAAATAAATGAACTTAAAATATAATATTTACAATTATATTAATTTTATATCTATATTTAAAAATAAAATATTGTTAATTCATTTAAGAATAAATTATTTAATTATAAGATAACTTAAACAATCAAATTTTAAATTTATTTTTAAAACTGTGTTACAACGACATAAATAAAATTGCACTTAATTAATATAACCATGATTATTGTGATTTGCTTTTGGAACAAGCATGAACCTTTCGCTTGAAAGTCTACTAAAAGAGGAAGACAACAGGAAATTATTGGCATTATTATAATAAGATAGAATTCTTTGCAAAGTGACTTTGCTTCTAAACTTTATAATAAAAAGTTATATTAACATTATATTTAATTTACATTATGGCTCTAATTTATTCATGAAAATTAAAGGACAAGCATTTTTTCATCTTGTTTACGTTAAAGGCAAATTTATATAAAAATTTCCTCACGATAAATTAATTTACTTCATTGAATACGAGCAGAGGACAACTAATTATATTGGCTATTGTTCTTTGATACCTATTCGTTAATAACAACTACATTAAATTCAGGTAAAATTAAAAAATATATGTATAAAAGCATGAGAAAGATATGAATAATCAACAACTTATTTATATGGAATATTAAAAATATAAATATACATAATAAATTCAAATTCAAATTATTTTTTATATGTTTTAATCATAGTGGAAGGATCATTCATTTGATTATTTGTGAACAGAAGTTAATAGGGAAAAAAAACTCACAGCTCTAGTGTCGGTGGCGACAGCAGTTACAACGAACATGAGATTGAAGCCGATGATGAACTCTAAAGCAAAAGCTTGACCATATCCTCCGGAAGGAACGGTGACTCCACCGTCCATGAAAGGATGAAAAACCCCTTTGAGAGCAAATGCAGCACATGTAGAAGCAAAAACTTGTGCACCAATATACACAGGCACCTGGGATCGATTCATAATAATATTATCAATATATTTAATTTTACGCAGCTGATGAATCAAAGTTAACAATTAAGATATTATTTGATGATATACATGCTTCCATGGGAAGTGCTTTAATGCAGCAAAGGAAATGGTGACAGCAGGGTTGAGATGAGCGCCGGAAATGTGGCCGGTGGCGAGGATGACGATCATGACAGCGAGACCAGTGGAGGAAGCACACCCAATGAGGGTTTCAGAGCCTTGTGTCTTTTGATTGACAATAGCAGTGGCAGTGCCAGCAAACATGAGAATGAAGGTTCCGACGAACTCAGCTCCAACCTTTCTTGCAAGAGAGACAGGAGGAGGTGGCAGTGGCAATGAGCATGACACTGCTGGTAATGCTCCATCTTCTATGCTCCATTCTTCCACGCTGAAGCACTTACAACTCTTGAGGAGTGACTTTTTCTTATGTTTATGATTATTGCTATTCCCATTGTTCAAACCGCCAAAAAGAGGTGCACCAGGAGTGCCTGGCGTTGCAGGCATGGATGGGATTTCCTCATTGTTATCCATTCCTGGGCCTCAACACAAGAGTTCAGAGTTGCTATTATGTTGTTTGTCTCTACTCTCTTTGCAATGAGAGTGAGTGGTGTGGTATATATAGCAATAGCAGGTTACGTTGTTGACTTATAATTGAAAGGAGTAGCGGATGAATCATGAAACATGAAAATGGTGGGTCTGGGCGTGAGATTCATTAGAAGCTTTGGAAAGTGGGTGGTGGGACATATTGCGGCTGGAGACACTTCAATTTTATGTGGAACTTACAAAACACCCTTTAAATTAAACATTAGGCATCCATCAAATTCAATGATGTGCATGCTTTTAATTCCTCCATCTCTAGATCTTTCCTTAATTTTCAATATTTTGTTTGATCTTTCCTCGTATTTTCTTAATATTTTTCTTATTTTATTTAATAATATATTGAATAAAAATATATATGAGTATATTATTTTTATTTTTATATTCTTTTTTGGCCAGGGCATCACTCTCTTGAGTCCTCCGTCGTTAGAGCACAAGGTTTTGATTCGAAAGCTGCGTTCTCATTTCTCTAATGGTTATCATGCGTTCATTTACACATATAAGATGGCATACATATTAACGCATGCATGAAAAATAGTTCTTCGCTTCTACCGAAAAAGAGTCTTTCACTTGTTCTGTAAATGTGTGTTAGGAAGGGTAAAATAGACGTTACAACTTACAATATTATTGTTAGTTGATTTTATATCTATTTTAGAGGATATTTAAGAGAGTCTATAATTTATAATTTTTTAATTTATTTTATTAAATTTCTCAATATAACATATAAGAATAACCTTTTTGTAATTTATTTAAAAAAGATTCTGATCAAATTTATGATAAACATTTAATTAAGTTATCTTCTCAAAAATAGTATTCCTTCAAAAGTATTAGGAAAAAAGGTGGGAAGACACTAGGATTAGAAGCAATACTCGCCTTTATAAAACAAATCCATGGATAATGATTTTCTTTTATTTGGAATCAACAGTGAAGGGTTTTTACAATGAGTATTGCTGCTAGTAAAATTAATGAATAATTTCTTTATTAAAAATTATAATAACTAGATATTAGTACAATTAAATTTTGTAACTTTTCGTAAAACAAATTAATTTTAATCTTGATACATTTTTTAAGAGCATTTCTCCTTAATACAAAAACAAAACCACAAATATTTATTTGAAGGTGGAGGAAAAAATGAATAGAGGATTGTACCGGTAGTGATGAAATGCTACTCCATAACTGATGAATACAATCAACAGTGACGATGGGCAGCATGGTGTCTTAAGCTTACAGGGTGATCATTGTTGTGTTACTGTTCCTGAATCAGCATAATGACCGATGAGATTTATGTCTGAATTGAAGTCTGAATTATATTTTGTCAAGTGAAACATCAAATCATATAGGGATAGATGAGAAGACCCTAAAAGTGTCTCCAAGTAAGCGTGAGTAGGGGACACCAATTCTTATTTCTTTCAGTGATTTCATTGGAACATTTGTGGTTCTCTTCCTGCTTCATGTCCTTTTCCACTCTCATTATCAGTTATCATCAGGAAATGCCTCTCAGATTACTGTACTTTGTCATCTCAAAAGTTGAAATACCATTTTGGATTTACCTGTGAAGTTGATTTGTTCAGAGACTTTAGCAGCAGCTTAATTGGCTAACATCAAAATTACCTAATCGAATAGAATTAGAAGAAAATTTGGATGGACTGTTATTAATTATTTAATAATAAAAAATATTAACATTAGCCTTTGATAATGACTTTAAACAACCAAAACTCAAGATTTTATTTAAAAAAACAAATATTTATTATACTAAAAATATAAAAATAAAATAAAAAACTTATTGTAAATTTAAATGCTTAATATGGGTCTGGGACTGAACTGTAGTAATGTACTCAATTTATACTTTGTTCCACTAACAACTGGAGTGTGAAAAGCATTTTAGCCTGTATTGCTTTATAAGTATGTGAATGGAAGTGCTCCTTTGCAAGAGGACTTCAACTTCTAAGAGAATGCATGCATCAGAATGTTGAAAAGTGGGACTCCAACAAATAATGAAATTAAAGGGTCAAAATGAGTTGGCATTTTGTATCATTTTGTCCTCCACTTGATCCACTCTGCATCAATTGGTCAACTTACTTCAAATATAGAATTCTACTTGCTCACTTTATATTACTAGGTTGTTTTAATGTGCACCGCTCCTTTTCTTCTTTCATGACTTCAATAATGTACTCCCTTTCATTTTAGCTAATTAGTTCTAAATCTAAAAGCAGATTTGGTATAGAGAAGACATCTTAGATGTAGGAAACTGTACTTATAAAAAAAGTTGTAGATTCTGCTGGTGCAAATTAATGATAAATAAGAGACTAGTTTGATGACACAACATATACATGTCCGCTGTTATAAACCACAATTCCTAGAAATGGGATTTCATTTAACATGTTTGTAGTGCTAACAAAGTTAAGCAGGAAAGAAACCCTTCACATTTCATCATATCTGTTAAAATGGCCCATATAGAGTACTTAATTATTATCTCAGTTTTTGTTCTTGAAGGAAACCCTAGTGTCATTCCCTACTAATTATGAGTTTTACAGTGCGAAAAGACTCTTTTTCACTCACTTGGACAAAGAGAAAAAAGTATTCGCTCTGAATGCTCCACGCTTTGCTCTCACATTGGATCGCTTGGAACCATATGTAAGGAACATGGAAAGGTTAAGCAGATGCCATTGCCAACCATATGAGTCAGTTAAGATTCAATAGCTAGCATTAGTGGTTCAAGAGCCTGAAACTGAATAATATACAATTTTTTTTTTACAAAAGAATCAATCCTTTAAGATTAGTCATGAAAATTCTTCTGCCTTGGGTGTATTAGTGTTTGTAAATAATTATCGAAAAATAATAATAACCAACAATGTGGCAGATTAATCACTTCGCATATTTTTAGGATTATTGGGCAAAGTCTTTCTAAAACTTACGTTCTATCTTGATGCATAGTGATTAGCAGAGAATCATCCCTTCATTACCTAGTACTTATTTTTTATTGTCATTAAAAATCAAAGTGAAGCTTTTCCTCTCTTATGGTATTAATATTCTTCGTAGTATTTGAAAGAAAACATGGAAGATTCCAATTAAAGCAGAAGCTCACCTGTGTTGTTAGGAACATTAATTAAATGGGAGAAGGCATCACAAAAGAGAAAAGTTAGAAAATTAGTGTGAATTACGGAAGTGGAGAGCATATGATTAAGCGCAACTCTTATTGGTTTTGTTGGTAGCATCATAGAAAGTTGATTAATTATACAAAAGATAAGAGGTTAATGGTTGTTGTTTTATATTGAATTCGAATAATTGAAGCCTTCCCCGGCTGTGTACTTGACTAGTCTAATTGTTTTTGGGTTTTTCCACTAATCACAAAAAGAGAAGAACGAATAAAGGTGTTATTGGTTATTAATTGTTTACTGGACTTGAGAGAAAGATTCTACTAAGATAATGCACAATTGTTTGATACTAAAATAATTTAAATGTGTCACATTCGAACTTGATGGTTGACGCTTTATCTGAATATACACACACCATTAGCTCCTATGTTTTGTTTAATGTAGCTCCATGTCTTTGTGGTTCCTGAACTTGGGGGGTATTCTAGTGGCTCCACGAAACATCCTTAAGATACTCCGAAAGGTACGTACATATTACACTCATTAATTAATTATTTTATTTTTATTTGATGACTTTCATTATATTTTATTATTTAAATTTCTAGAATAAATTATCAAATTATATTTTCACTTTTACATATCCTCTGAAGGTTTAATCAGTGATTTTACCCGTCTTATTTTCTATAGTAAAATTCAAACTCTTTTCTTCGCTAAGCTGCTATAATGATAAAAGAGGTCATGAATATTTGTTAAAAATTAATTTGGCTATATCATTTTTAAAAATTAGTTTAAGTGGATTTCTCTTCCAATCTTATAAGAAGTATTACTATATTTTTGGTTAACATGAGAGATCTTAGTACATTTTCCCTCACTGAAAAAAGATGTATCAAATACATGAAATTTGTAAGATTAAGCATTTATAGATGGCCTTACACTAATATTGGATAAATTTAAAGACCAAAATAAAAAAGAAAGAGACCTAATTCACCCTAAAAATTTTACTTAAGAAATGAGGTTTGTTGAATTAATTTTATAAAGAGTATTATGACCATATTACTTTGCCAATATCAGATATCACAAAATTATGAAATCAAACAAATTATTATATAAATAGCTTTAGTCAATTTTAAGGTACAAATTACTCGTTAAAATTGTTTTTTTGTTTTACTGAAAGATAGATTTTATACATTTATTAGGGAAAAATCAATGTTTATCTAATTTATGTAAAAATATTATTGGAGAGAGGTAAACTGCAATTCTATATAAGTAACTATATCTAATATAAGCAACCATTGCTTAAATAAAAATTAAGCAAAAAGTGGTTCCATCTGCATAAATAGTAATAAAAAAAAGTAATGCATAATTATAGAACTCATATAAAAAATAATAAAACAAAAATTTAGTAACTTTTTTTTGTCAACAAAATTTAAACAACTTAAGTGCAGTATCATTAGAAATGCTCCAAGGACCAAAGGTACACAAAACGTTGCTGTATTGCCTTGGGCCTGGCTTCGTGTTGGGCCTTTGAAATATAAGGAGTCCATATATAAGGACTACACATTTAAATACGTAAAAATTATAAGTCCTAAACTTTTACAAGGAGAAGTATTTTGCTTCAAGACACGGATGTTAAAAATGAGTAAACTTTGTTGGGTTTTAAAAATTTTGGCTCAATCTCAAATTTAGACCAATTTTACCCAACTCAAAATCTGCCTAGTCCTGCTCCCCAAAAAATGTATAATCTCTGGCCTAATTTTTTCAAAAATCTAATACATTTTTTGACAATCTAAAATTATCATTAAATTAAAATATATTTAAAAATATTTTCCAATGTGATAATTTTTATAAATTTAAAATTAATAAATAATTAAATATTTTTAAAAATTAAAGAGATAACTTAAAAAAACAAATTATAAAAAAATAAAATATAAATGTAAGTTTAAGTCTATTTAAAAAATTTAAAAATACTTAAAAATGTTATTGTTTGATATAATTTAAAATAAAATTTTTAGTTGTTCACTCTAAATATTTAATACAGCTGAAATTTGAACTTAAAACTCTCTGCCACTAGATGATGTGCATAGTGATCATGACATTACAATTTAATTGCTCTATTTTTTTTACCTATAAAACTTATTCTGAAAAATACACGAATAAATTAAAAAAAAAAAAAACTCGCATTAATGATTTAAAAGAAAATCTGGCAAAGGGACACTTAGGACTTTTCAGGCTAAATTTGTTAGGGTTTATGGTTTCTAGTATAAATTTTAAAAATATTCTGCCATTTCGCATCGGAAACACGGTGTTAGGGATTTTGGCCATTTGCTACTGAAGAAGGTCTCTCTCTCCCCAATCTCTCTGTAGCATATATTCTTTCACTGGTCAAAGACTTTTCTTTTAAGTAGGAATGCTATATCTCTTTAGGTATTAATGTGTTGGCATAAGCTCTGATTTGTTTGATTCTACTTGTTTACGCAGGCAGGAGATCGTGTTTTTTGAAATCAACAACGGAAAATGTCAGGGTATGCTCTCTTCTTTTTTTCCCTTTCTTTTGTGATTGCAGCACGTAATCGGGTTACCGAAGGAGCTCTTGTTATTTTATTTTTTTATTCTTAAAATATAAAATTAGTAGAACTGCATATTCATAATCATGTTGCAGTTTCCTGAGAATGGTTCCTTTAGGATGAAATGTTCACATTTCGATTTGAACATATTGATGGCTCAAATTGAGATGGTTTTATGGAATCACTCGCATCTTATTGTCTGAATAAATTGTGATTGTATTTTGATGTTGAACTCTAATGGAGTGTTTATTCCAAATTTTTTGCTTCCGTCGTAGAGCCTGGTTGCTTTCATTACTTTACCCGTTAAATGTAGAATTACTTTGTGATTCATTCCTACCATGATTCCTCATTCCTAGCATTGAGGACGTACAGAATATGTACTGTAATGTATTATAATTCTGTGAAGTGTTAGTATTTTTTTGTTTCTTTGTCCTAGGAATTGTTTTTGCAAACTTTCAAATGTTAGACTAATGTGTTTTAAAGACTGCTTTTGAAAACACTGCTAGTCAATTTCTCTTGACTGGTATAGAATTGGATCTGATCACCCTACACTGTAGTAATACCTAGAAGAAATATGGAAAAGCGAGAAAAACTAATCAAATGCGTTAGATATTTTGTTTGGAAATAATTCTTGTATAAGCTGCTGATAAAAATTGTCTACATCCTTCGATTTGTGTGCATTGGTCCATTGGTATTTCCGAATAGCTTTTATCTGATGAGATTCTTGTATGAGTTCCTTCTGACTGTTTGGAATACTTTTATGGTGCAGTGAAGAAGGAGCTGTTGCAGCTGAGCCAGCTGCTTCAATTCCAGGTGAGCCAATGGACATCATGACTGCCTTACAGCTTGTTCTGAGGAAGTCACTGGCTTATGGTGGTCTTGCACGAGGTCTTCATGAAGGTGCAAAAGTGATTGAGAAGCATGCTGCGCAGCTGTGTGTTCTAGCAGAAGACTGTGACCAACCTGATTATGTAAAATTGGTGAAGGCACTCTGTGCAGAGCACAATGTTAGCCTTTTGACAGTTCCGAGTGCAAAGACCCTTGGAGAATGGGCTGGTGTAAGTTCCTTCGAGTCCTTGACTCAGAAGTCTTAACCATGTTACTTCTATTCCTTGTGCTACTGATTTACTCTCAATTCCCAAATTCATTTGGTGAATTAGGGGTTATTCTTTATTTACTCAAGCAAACATAGCTTTATCCTGGCATTTTCTTTTATTAATTTTTGTTGGTTTTTTTCTTGCAGTTATGCAAAATTGATTCAGAAGGTAAAGCTAGGAAGGTGACTGGTTGCGCCTGTGTTGTTGTCAAGGTATGACTTGTATTTGAAATGAAAATGTTTCTTGGAGTCTGTTGCTATGCTACATGCACATTTAAGTATTTGCTTTTTGCAGGATTTTGGGGAGGAGCATGAAGCCTATAATGTTGTTCTGCAGCATGTGAAATCACACTGAGTTGCAGTGTGCCTTGATTTCTGGGTTTCAGTTTTAATTTATTGTATGAATCTATAAGGATGATTTTTGCCTCTATCTGGAGTTTCTACCTAGGGATTTTGACGGTTTAGTACAATTATGTCCATTCTGATGGCTGCTGAGTGAATGGTTTTTTATTACACTATTAATTTCCTTATGTGACTGACATGTACTTCTTTTGGTGAAAAAAAAAAAGAGCATAATACTGGCTACAAATTACTACGTATTTAGTTACGATCCTCCCATCACATCGTGTATCAACAATTATGCTACAAGTGCACAGGAGAGCCCACTGGAAGTTGTCATATAGTAGCACTGATCATGATCTAAGCTTTTGCATCATTCTTCTCACTTGTCTATTGCCCATTCAATTTCCATTGTAACAAGGACACCATGGATTTGGAGTATAGTTCCAATTCGATCTTTTTTAAAAGCTAATATTCCTAGCTAGGTGCTACACCACCCCAATTAACAGCCTAGCTTACGGTTGTAATTTAATTTGCTACCGGCTAAGTTCATCGCTATCAGAATCCAATGCCCTGTATTACCTACAAAGTAATGCTCGCTCCATCTAAATTCATTTAAATAAACCAACTCTTCATGTGTTGCAAGAATGGCAATCTGGACCGCCTTGATCCTACTTGGAACGCTCAGCAACGTTGTTATGCCTTGACAAAATGAAAAAACGTTTTTAAGCTTCCCATGCTTTCAGTCAATTGTTACAGTTGGAGAGGTGGAGTACATTGTCGCGATGATGATATCAATTTAAATGAATACTTAATAAAAGGCTTAGTATGCAAAATATGGTGCATTGATAGGGGAAAAAACAGCTCAAATTAAGACCTTGGAATATAAACAAATATCAAATAAAGTTAAATGATAATATTTCATCCAAAAGTCAAAGATATCGCCATGCTTGATTCTACTGGTACGATTGACGGTGCCTCTCAGTCTTCTGGTGACAAATTGCAAGATTGAAAGAAATCTCATCTCTCAATACCTGATTTGAAAGTGGTGTTTTGGAAAATATGGTGATTGTCTGGTAGAATCGAAGTAACGTGATGATTTGGTCTCCAGTTACAAAAATAAATTCAGTTAGTTATCCAATTTTTAATCTTAAGATGGAGAAGAACAAGAAAGAGAATGATAATTTCTTATTTTTTTATTATTATCCAAGAAACAGATGATACTTGAATAAGGGCCTCACCAAATACATCATTATGTGCTTCTAAACTATATGAAATGTTTTTGTCTTTTCTTAATGATGGATGCAACACAAGTTGGTCTATTAGAGGGTTTAGATTAAATTTATATATACTAAAGAAATATATAAAAACTATTTTTCTAGTGTGAGACATCCAAATGGCAGAAAGAAAGATTCTTTCAATTGCATTTCTTGTGTCATCTTAAGTTGGGCTTGGGAGGCAAATTTGCCAAACCGTCTCCATAAAATCATATTCATCATGACTTTTGAGTTTTTTTAAAAAATATTTATATAAAATTATGATAAATGTCAGAAAATAAATGAAAAAAAGAAGAATTAATGGTGCATGATAGATATTCCTGAAAATAAAAGAAAAAGAAAAAAATGTCAATGTCTCCATTAGTTTGCTTGAATTGCAGTGCATATTTCATCCTTATGGCACATGGTTTTTTTAAAATCATTCCTAATTTAATTTTACTTGTCCTGTAAGAAGGCTTAGCTTTCACTCGTGGATTTTGAAATAGTGCAGAGTATTATTAAGTTTAAGACTTGTAGAACATGGATCTTTTCAATTTCTTAAGTATGCTCGGGTGATTCCTCCTGAAAAGCTTTAATCTAGATTAGAGGAGCTACAAGTCTAATACCTCCTGCTACGGTACAGTGATTAATTGCCAGTGCTAGTAATGAATTTTTAATATCATAAGTCAATATATATGCTTGTAATGACTTTTCATTAGACTGTGTATGATGACGACGATGTGGAGATAGAGATACTAAACCCCAAATCCCAACGCTGGGAGCTAATTGCTGACGACGATGTTTCACTCGATAAGGTGGCTTCAAAGCTACGATGGTCATTTCATTACTGTTATGCATATCACTATAAATGTAATTCATGTATAAAAAATGTTAGTTATATCTGGCTGAAGGGCACTAATGCTTAATAATATCGGACTTTTACTAATGATCCTTACGGTAACATGGTTAGACATTTCTTTGTGAAAAAAGGGTAACTACAGGTTGAAATAACTTTTGAATATGGTCTGGTCATAATTGGTATGCCAAACCTTTATCGATACTGGGTATGGTTGCAAGAACAAGGGTCAATGTGTTCCATTCATCGAGGTGTTGCATGTGCTGTGGGCTCTCAAATCTTGGGACACCCATTAGAGTGAAGGACTACTCTTGCCATGCGTGATTTGGAATTGTAGTCCAAAAGGTAAATGAATCTATTTCTTGTGCCTTTTATTTGCCCAAATGACTTATACTAATCACCACAAAACATGTAAGTTTTCTTTTGTAGATAAAAAAAAGTAATCTTCAAGGCCCAAATCTTCTGTCAAGTGCAGAAGGGTTTATTGAACATTTTTCATGTATTAATAATAATTTTGACACCCAATTTGTTGGAAAAGCAGGTATTTCTCGAATAATAAAGAGCGAATGAGTAATTATTCTGTAGGACAGCCTTTGTTTATGTCCACGTGTTCCAGAAGGTTTTTAGCTTTAGATAAATTAGAGTTCTGATAGTTGAACATTATATTTTCAACGATGTCTATTGTAGGTTTTTTTTTTTTCATGCGTTCATTCAAGAAATACTGTACAAAAATGAAATGTATCTCAAAATTATACCAAAAACAAACATTCTCGATAAATTTAGGTGGCAAACGGAGTCCAACAGTACAAGAGTTTTGTGCTAAACTTGTATCAGTACTTGTTTGGTGACGCATGATAGTCTCGGACCCCATCATAAACTGTTTGGTAACCATAATGTTTTAAGTTAATGTTAAATCATTGATTAGAAATTTTCAATTAAGGAAGAAATTGTGGAATTATTATGAGATCCGAAACTGAAATTCCCTAATAATAGTTATGAACAATTTGAGCAGTTTAGAGTATTAATTTTAAGCAGTGCCTAACCTCATTCTTCCCTTTCCTTTCGTTATATTTTCTTAATTATTCCTTTCCTTTCTTCTAATTTTCAGATTCTCAGGTGCAATTAACTGCCTTGAGAGATATTGAATGTTGACACTAGCGTCTTGAATGTGCCTTCTGTTAGCTATTGCTGTGAAGAGATAAAATATAAACAACTGCGTAACAACTGATTCCTAGTTAATCTATCTCGTTTATTTATTTTTAGAAAAACCTTACTAACTATGTTGTTTCATCTAGAATTTTGACAATATTGTATACTTATTAAGTAAACACAATTTTTTATTTTATTTTAAATATACTTTATTTTTTACCAATTTTTTTTAATAAAACATGAGAAAAATACAAATGAGTAAATTAGCAATGACTACTCAAGTGAGCACTGAGGCACAGAAGTTACATGAGAAGACGGGCATTGGGTGATGTGGTTGTTGACAAATTATGATTATTGAGTTAAAACTCTAATGGCCTAGAAATCACTCACCATCACCAACCTTCCTGATTCTTGAAAAATCCAAGAAAATTGTACTTTCCCTCTGCGTGGGGGTAATAATGATAATTTTGGGCTAACATGTATGTAGATGCTTGTATTTGAGTCTCTTCACTCACCAACCACAAGGACAAGGTCTTTCTTACCAGACGCAAATATAAGAGAATAAACAAATGAAACATCCAAATAAAATGTGGCTAATAATTTTGCCCAAACACATTTGGAAATCATATATGTTTGTCCAATTGCCCAAACGTGAAATATTAAGCAAATAAAATATGACTAGAGGTCGCACACTTAAATAAAACGGTAATCTGGGCAGTCCCCATAAACCTTCATTTCATTATATGTGAATCATTTTATATAGCAATCGAGTCTTCAAAACCTTTTCTCACTTTGAATTGTTCAAAGCAACACCCAATTGACAATGATTGAGCATGACTAGTATGTAGCCTATCCATGCAAAGCAAGTAAGTGTTTTGCTATTGTCCATGTTTTTGTTGTTATAAACTTTAGTTCTTATTTTTTTAAAAATAAAAAGTTCAGATAAGTTAAATTTGAAAATTCATATGTCACAAGACATAAAAAAAAGCATTTATAAACTTACCTACAAATTGCTTACTAACAAAGTTTTTATGTTAGTAATAAAATTTGAATGAGATACAAATTCTATTGTTATCAATTTGATTAATCTTTGTTTGGTAGCCTTTTTTTTTTCGTTCAATTAAAAGTAATTAATCATTTTAAAGAATTGGGGTTTTTTTAAAAAAAAGTTTAACATAAACATAGAAAAATTTAATAGCAAGTTATTTTTTAAAAAATCGTAAAAATAATAATGATATTATGTGTCTTAAAAAGGAAATGTTTTTAAATAAAAAATTCATATAATGATGTAAAAGTGAATAAATAATTTAATTTTATAAAAAATTAACTTTACTCAAAATATGTGATATAAAATATAATGGTTCCGGGTTAGGTGAGTGCGGTGGACATAATTTTTGGCTATAAAGCCACTTCCACCATTTAACTCATCACTCACCATTTCTCTCTCTCTCTCTCAATCACCATCTCACCAACTTTTTCCTAGTTGTCTTTCCCAAGTCTCGAAGATGCCTTCAGCTGAATCACCATCACCTTCTTCCCAAACCATATGCGTCACCGGCGCTGGTGGCTTCATCGCCTCTTGGATGGTCAAACTTCTCTTGGAGAAAGGCTACACTGTCCGAGGAACCCTTAGAAACCCAGGCATGTTTTCTTCTACGTATACAATATAGTTTAATGTTATTTAGCGAAAATTAAGGTTTTTGAGACGTGGGGTGGCATGCATGAATTATGCTTCAGATGATCCGAAGAACGGCCACTTGAAGGAGTTTGAAGGAGCTTCGGAGAGGCTAACTCTGCATAAGGTTGATCTTCTTGACCTTAACTCCGTTGAACAAGTCATCAACGGTTGTCATGGTGTCTTTCACACAGCTTCTCCCGTAACTGATAACCCCGTGAGCTCTCTTTTCATTTCTCTTTCTACCAAATTGACACAACCATAGGGTCACTAATGTTGGATACGATATATATATGTACTTATATCTATTTTATTATTGTTGGTTTATATATATAAGTTCTAGTATAAAAAAGCGTGCTCGAAGTCTGATTTAAATAATATTTGGAATACCAAATTTTCATACGAAGACAACTAACAGAGTTGCGTGCGTATGTTTACAAATACTAAACTCGTAAACTGTCTATTTTAATTTTTTGAAGTACCTGTACATCAAACCAGGGGGAGAAAATTTCTCAGACACGGTTATACCATGTCATCTTTTGAACCGCTGCAGATGCCAGGTGGTGGGAAAAAAAAATCTACCACCAACTTTTTTGGTGGGGGAAAAAGTTATGTGCTTTTGACACTTTATTGTTGTGCAATTTGAATTTTGGAAAAAACAAGAGCTTGTCCCTAAATAATTATATTTAAGATTATATTACGTGTTAATTATTTTAATTCAAATAATGAAACCGTAGTACCCAGAAAACTCTTTCTGGTTATTATTATTATTATTATTATTATTATTATTATTATTGGTAAGTGGTAAATGGTTTGTTTGGAAATTTGATTTCATAAGAAAATTATGACAAAGAATTACTGAGATGGAACTTTTGAGTGACGCAGGAAGAAATGGTGGAGCCAGCGGTGAATGGAGCGCAGAATGTGATAGTTGCAGCTGCAGAAGCAAAAGTGCGACGTGTGGTGTTCACCTCATCAATTGGCGCTGTCTATATGGACCCCAGTAGGAGTATGGATGTGGTGGTTGATGAGTCTTGTTGGAGTGATTTAGAATATTGCAAAAACACCAAGGTACTCAATAATGATACACAATAATAATGTTATTAATGATATCGATTAAAATATAGTTTTAATCACTTGAAGAAGGAGGAGAATATTAGTGTTTGGTAACAAATAGTATTTTTTTAATAATATTGCAGAACTGGTATTGCTACGGGAAAGCTGTGGCTGAACAAGCAGCATGGGATACAGCAAAAGAGAAAGGGGTGGACTTGGTTGTAGTGAACCCAGTTTTGGTTCTTGGACCATTACTACAACCCACCATCAATGCTAGCACAATTCACATCCTTAAGTACCTCACTGGTTCTGCTAAGACATATGCAAATGCCACACAAGCTTATGTGCATGTTAAGGATGTAGCATTAGCCCACATACTTGTTTATGAGAAGCCTTCTGCTTCTGGTCGTTACATATGTGCTGAAAGTTCGCTGCACCGTGGAGAGCTAGTTGAAATTCTTGCCAAGCATTTCCCAGGGTATCCAATTCCTTCCAAGTAAGTGACTCTTTATTTGTGTTGCTATGGCATGATAGTTGTGATGAATAAAAATAAGCAATTAAGACACAGTTCGGTGGGGAATTGGGGCAGTGGCTAAGTTGTGGACCACAACAACATAAGAATTGGGTTAGAATTTTCGCGGTCATACATGGTACTAATACCTACGCACATGAGATATGATTATTGGCAAATATCTATTAGTTTCTTTTGCTAGTTTATTGAATTGTTGATTCTATTCTTTCTTCGGCACATCATGACATGACCAAAATACATAGGAATCTTTTCTTTAAATAAATGGTGTTAATCGTAATCAATAGAAACTAGCCAGTGTGGTTACAACCTACATCTTTTATATTCTGCAAATTCATTGGAAAATGACATATTTATGTATTTTTTCGCCCTGAAACTCCGGATGATCTCAGGCTTTCGTATGGCCAGTTTGGTAAAATGTAAAATCCCATGCCATATCTTTAACTTTCTTCATAATTTGGAAAATCAGATTTTTTTTCATATTTTACTAAACATAGTTGATGAAAGAATACATTTTCTGGATTTGGGTATTAGGATGTAGGATAAAAATATTTAAACATTGAACATTTTGGAGATGGAGATAGGATGTGATTATGAATGCTAAGGTGCTTGTAGTAGGTATACCAAATTTGACTTGTTTATGTAATCCTTTGTCCACCACCTAAAGGATCGACACTGAAATTATTATACATGCCTAAGAACTTTTCAATGATTTTACGGAAACAAGTGGTGCTTGCAAGTCCTTACCAAACCCCCAAAGTCCTTGTCAGACTGTGACCCTGTAGCTCTGGTCTTTTACCAACCTCTTCCATTAATATATGCTTCTGCTAATTAAACAATTGTATTATTTGAATTTTATGGATGTTTCATAATTGGAGAATGGGTAGCGTAAACTTCTATTGTGAAATATTTTGTTTTGACATTCAGTTCACTTTCTTAGGGTCGAAGTTTACTTAATATTTTACACGTGCAGGTGTTCAGATGAAAAGAATCCAAGAGCAAAACCCTATACCTTTTCAAATCAAAAGCTGAAAGATTTGGGATTAGAATTCACTCCAGTGAGTCAGTGTTTATATGAAACCGTTAGGAGCCTTCAGGAGAAAGGCCACCTTGCTGTTCCTCCAAAGCAAGAAGATTCTACTACAGTGAAATCTTAAACAAGTTACCCTTTTCTTATTTACTTTGTCAAAAAGCTTAATCCAGGAGAAGCAGCTTCAGCTTTTAGCAATCTGAGGTCATGTTATATTATAGCGATTACTACAATAGAAAAAAGACACCTGCAAATTGTTGCCGTGTCTGAACCTAATAATATTGGATTTTCTTAACATTTTCCCATGCAATAACCTCCATCCTCTAGTCCACCAGGATGGGGGAAAAGGGTAGTTGGTGGAACAATATGATTGTCACTTGGTATCGGGTACATTATAGAAACAATTCATTACAAAAATTACGAGCTTAATGCACTTTCGATCTTTTAATTTAAACTATGTTTGACTTAATAAATTTTTCTATTTTTAAAATTAAATAAATATGATATATGGATTTTATTTTACCTAAGCTTTTACTCAATTTTTTATTTAAGATGAGTTGTTCAAGAAATGTACAAAAATAAACAGTACTTTTTCTTGTGATAAGATGTTAGAAATTTTGTCTAAATGTCAACTACAAGAATGTGAAGGATAGAAAGTCCTTCCATGCAAGTTCCCAACCACAAGAAAAAATCACACAAAATCAAAAGCTTTAGCAATACCAACCAATTGATAGCAGATATCAATTTGATACTAGTCCAATATTACCAACTCTAGAAATTAACAGAATGGTATTTATTTATCAGAGTCTATCTTGCTTTTCTACCATATTGAGACATATTTGTCAGTCAAGATCTGCAGGACTACTTCTTTGAGGCAATTGCATGCTTACTATGTCTTCTCTTGGAAGACAAATGATTGATCCATTGCCTTGTTCATTTGACATTTGTTGATTTTCTGGTGCTGTTAGAGCCAAAAGGTGTGTGGCCTCTTTATTTTTGCGAAGCACTAGATATGTTATACCAGCCAAATATACTGCCATACCTGAAAATCCTAACATCCCAAGAAACACTCTGGCCACAACTTTTAAATGACTATGAAGCAGCAGCTTGATGAAGCCAGTCATTAAGTAGTATATATTAATGACCATAATGAGGGTACCAATTATCCAAGTAACAGAGGAAATCTGCAATTAAGAATGTAAGGTAATTATTATGTTATACAAGACGCAGAATAGCAAGTTCTCTGATTCATTAACTTCTGAGTTATGGCTAATGGAAGTGCAGGGAAAACAGTAAGGAAAACGTAGTGTCTGGTTCAAATTTAAGTAAATAGTATGTCCACGTTTTATGTTTACAGTTTTTAACAGCTTATCTCACGCTGATTCCAAACTTTTTGAATGATTTTGTCAATGTAATCAATTTCCTATTCAGTCGCAATGTAGAACTACAAATTTTTGTTGCCAAAAAATTTACCGCAATGGAATTGACATGTGCCCCCATCTTGGTTTTGCTGCTTGTGAACTTGAGGAGTGGAACCAAAGCAAAAGGAAGCTCAAATGATAATATCATCTAATCAGCAGACAGAGAGTCAGAGATCAATTCTATTGTAAACGAAAATGTATGCATACACAAACAAAACAAATTAACAATGCCATGCAGACAATTATTTTCATTACCGAACAAGTGGTGCATAACATATGTTACTGTATATAACCACGTGTTAACCTCCTTATTCCTTTTTGAACTCAGCTGAAGCCAACAGTATAGTTATACATAGTTGTGAGCACAATGTAGTTGAATTAAAAATATGAGAAGCTTCCATTATATCATGGCATGACAGTGAAAACAAAATATCGACTTTCATACAAGTATAATCCTAGGTGAAAAAATTTGATAGCAAAGATATCTTACAGACGCAATTATTATGAGCTTCCCAGCCCCGGCAGAGCCACCAATGACTGCAACAATCAAACTAGGAACTATGGCCAAGCAACGGGTTAACATATTCCGAATCCATGGTGTCAGTCGTAAATCAAGAAATCCCTGGATGAAAAAAAGAATTTGTTGGGGAAAACAAAAACTAGAAACACCAAAACATCAAGTGAACCACAGCAAAATTAAGATGATTTTTAAGCCCAACATGACTGCATTCATACTTTAATTTGAGGAATTAATGAATCATGATTGATGTAGCTCAACATTTTTTTTAAAAGAAAACTCAAATTACAAAAGCATATGTATATAAAACTATTACTAGGAGCAACAATTATTGCCAATTGTTAGTTTCTTTCTAGTGAAGATATAAACATGTTGTACATTTTTTATGCGGAAAAATGTAAAAAATCCATAAAACATACTACCTGCATGACATACTGCCCTGCATAGGTTCCTGTTATAGTAGAACTTTGACCTGATGCAAGCAAAGCGATTCCAAACAGTTTTGAACTCCATTTCCCCAAGACATTCTGAGTATGAACCATGTCAGAAATTATCATCTAAATTTTTACAAGCACCTTACCAACAGCAATTGTATATGAAGTATACAGATAGGGGGAAATTGCAGAAGAATCAGTAACTAAGCACTACAATTTACACAAGGTAAGAAAGACATCTCCAGGTTTCACATACTCTAAGTAGGAAGGAGGCTTTGTTCAGATCCAAATCCTGACAACTTATTTGATCTTCTGCACTCAAATTTGAAGAATTGCAAACGGCACCGCTTACAGAAATAACAGAAACATTTATGAGGAAGGCCACCATGAGAGCAAAGGCACTCTCTACCATGTAAAACCTGCAAGCCTCCTGTCAAAGAAAATTGTTAAATAAAACACAAGATACTGCTTTACCATAAGTCACAGACTTATGACTTGCCTTTAACATAGACCATTTTGCATGAATGTTTAGAAAGTTAAAAACTTAACAGGACCTTCCAAGCATAATTCAAATTTCAATAAACTTTACTCTCTTAGAATATTCTAATCAAAGAAGAAGAAAAGGGAAAATTCAGTATTATTAAAGAAATGATTTTGAAAACTTCTCAAAAAAGAGAAAAGAGAGAGAGAGAGATAGCTGCAGAAAAAGAGATGTCTTTCATATTAATGATCAAATTGCATTGTGCAGACTTGTGCAACAATAAGTCAAGATGGGCTATTGGTAGACAAAGCTGAACCCTAATAAAATGATTGGAAGACATAAATCTTAACAGTTTATTAACCGAGATGTTTGCAAATGCATGGGCCCAGCCAGATAAGGACATTAATATCTACACAATTACATGAAAAAACACACTTAAAGAAGTAATATATAGTATTGTAAGGGTCAGACAGTTTAAAAGAAAAACATCATTCCTAACAAATTTACTCTTAAACGACAAATACATTAAGAAATTACTTGAATCAGAGAAAAATCTTGAAAGGAAAAAAAAAAAGCATGGCAAAAGTTTAAATGTTTACTTTGATTCCCCGCACTGATCGTGGTATTTTCCTAGAAAGCACCAGTGCTGAGTGCAGAAAGAGATTGTGCCTGAGGCAAAAGCATAGAGAAGCATGGAATGAAAATACATTTTAAGGAAGAAAAAAAAAAACCAAAATTAAATGGCTGAATAAGACATGAAGAACTCACGGCATAACCATAGCTCCAAGGAGTGAAATTGCAAGACCAGTAGCACCACTCCCTTTTAGCTCTGGAACAAAAAGACCTTTCAGAACTTCTTTAGCATCAGGCTTTGCATATCCAAGCTCAACCATAAAACATGTAGCAATTGTAAATACTAGAAATGCAATCAAGAATTCAAGTTTCCTAACCTGTACAACAACAATATAAAAGGCTCATACAGTTTTTATATAGATAGTACCTAATATAATATGTAATGACAACAATGATTTCTTTTCAGGATACAAACGGAATAGAGCAAACTACCCCATATTGCTGTAATGCTAAGAGGATCAATGTGCTGAGTCCTGTCAGAAGAACACCAATCCACACAGGTATGTTGAAGAGCATGTTCAATGCAAAGGCTGTTCCAATTACTGCATGTGTATAATAAAAAATCCAGGATAAAGATAAATAAAAAAAGAGAAAACCCCAAAAAAATGGAAACTGTTTATTTGTGTTTTAGAAACTAGTTAATTTACCCATTTTACTTTGACTGTTGTCCTCTAGTTGGATTTCTAGTAACCCTGACTACCATTTTGTGTGTGTGTGCGTGTGTGCAATATGTAGCTCAGATTGAAGGGAAAAAAAGGAAGGTGGAATTTCATTACCTCCTTAAACTATAAAACTTCACTGATCTTAATTTAGTCAGTCAGTTGGATAACAATGAACTGATTGAATATTTGAATCTATTCAATATCTTGGTTAATAGAAATGTTTTAATCACAGAACTTTATTTAAAATCCTAAACATACAAATAAATCCAAAAGATTCATATACTATTTACATAATTTGCAACAATTCAAAATGCTTAATTCATCTCAACACCTTCAGGAATGTCACAGGCCACTATGGCAATTTCAGCAATGATCCAAAGAATGAAGTTGGGCACCCGGGGATATTCAGTTCTACAATGCTCTGCTAAGTGTTTTCCTGCAGCAAGCAGCAAGCAGCAAATAGAATTTGATAAGAGCAGGAATGAGAAACGAAATTTACCACTCACATGCATATCATATTTATTCAATATAAATGAACTATTATCAAATCAAGTACCAGTGACTACCCCAAGATTGGCTGCCATTGATTGAATTACAAGAGCAGCACATGATGCCACCAATATGATCCAAAGTAACTGGAGAAAAAAAAAATGTGAAAAAGAGATGAAGGAAGAGTTCAGCATAGGTATTGATATTATAATACATCGTAGCACCTCATATTTATATTGTGCCCCAGACTGAAGATCTGTCTCAACTGCAAGTTATCATAAGAATACCATAAGTATGCTATGTCGGGAATATATTTCCTTCCTTTCGAGAAGTAAATCATGAAAAGTGTGATCTTACAGTTTCCTGGGTCTATATATGCAATGGAAACCAGAAACCCAGGTCCCATGTATGCAAATAAATTTTTCCAGCTTCTCCTCTGCAAAATAGAAACATACATAAATGGTGGTTATAAAAAAAATCAGACTCATCAGATGAATTATATTTATTACTGCCTTGTGCTGTGAAATCAGAGAACTTAGGTTGCTCCATTAATCAACTCTGTAATTAAAACAAATGTTAAAAAATACGGTTTTGTTAAGGGTTCAACAAACAGTGAAAGGCTTTTATTAGGAAAGAAAACATTTATTATATGGAAAATGAAAAATTACATGTTAAAAAAGAGAAATATAGGTTATAGTTAGTAATCTTAATATTCTTTTTGTTTCATAAAGTGCCAAATGAAATTGGATGGGGGTGTTCTTCATTTCATATCATTCACATATCTCTTTGTTTTACATTTCATCCATGAGCCAGTCCACTTTATTGGAGGTTTGGCACGGCTAAAAGCAAAAGCACATACGCAGACTACAAATCAGCTATTAATATAGACATAGAATCATGATCAGAGGACATATTTCTCTACAAAAAGCAAACATTAAGTTTTGGTCACTGGTTAAGACGTTCTACCTTACACTAACCAGTTCACTTGTGTACTACTCAATAGTCAATATTGTAACTCATACATGACATGAGAATACAACAAACACCTGGAGTATTCCTTAGGTATCTCAAACACCTGTTTCCAACCTAAAATTTCAGTCTCTAGTTATCTCTTTCTATTTTCCACGACATATTCCAATTCCTGGCACAGCATCTTGATTTTGCATACAAACAAATAATAACTATCCTATGCAATTATTCTGTAATCTTAAACATAAGTGGCATTGCAAAGCTAACCAAAAACTCAAATAGACTATTAAAATAAAATAAAATTGAGGGTTCAATGACAAGCCAAACTCACATCAGGCACAACAATTTGATTAGCATCTGAATTCTCAATGAGCGGTGCATTTGAAAGGCTTCGGTTTCCGGTGCTCGAAATGAATTGTGGCTGCCCAGAACCCGAACCTGTGACAGCCATATTCTGCACACAAAAAACGAAGACAAATCTTTCAGTGAAGCAAAATCACAAACTGGGATCCAATCAAAACGAAACTTAAAATCCAAGGAATCAATGAAACAACAACAACCCAGTTCTAGATTCGTGTAAAAAATTAATCTTTCTGAAGAATAATCAATTGGGCTGAAGAACGTGCAGAAATGTTTTAGTTGCATGAGTGCAAAAGTAAAAATAAAAAATGGAAGATTGCAATCGCATACGGATGAGGCGGAGAAATGAACACTGCACAGAGCACTCTTTCTAGTGTCTTTGGGAACTGAGCTAAATTGAACTTTGACCACGTCCCTTTATTTATAGTATGATATCATATGATATGACACTGTTCTTTCTTCTCTTTTCCCATCTCTCTCGCACTATCTCCTCAACTATATTGTTTTTTTTGTTTTTAATTGAAAAAGTCAGATTAAAACTACTTTTTACTCTTTTTCTTATTCTCAATTTTATAATAATATATGATATAATATTTTTTATTTCCTTAATAATTATAAATTCATTGTGTCAGTTATTTTTCTTTTTTTCACGTCTTTTTTATTTGTCTCTTTTCTTTACTTATTAAAATTCTAAAGTAGATCACTCTCTAGTATATATGACTATAAGTCATGCCTGTTACATACAAATCTATATAACAGATTGTATATCGTCATTGTGCAACAGAGAGTTACCTTGTTGGGTCTAGACGCAACAGGCGTTGCTCATAATTATATATACTGGATAATGATCTACTTTAAAATTTTAATTTCTTGTAATTTAGAATTTAAATTATTTATCTTTTAAAATATTATTTTTACATTGATATTATTTAATTATTATATGAAAATATTAATAAATTTAATTAAAATTATTTTTTTAATTTGAGTAAAAATTTTAAATAAATTATAAAATATTAAAAAATTTAATTAAAATTATATTTTTTTAAAATGAGAATATGTATTGCAGAAGTAGATTATAATTGAATTTAATTTAATACAGAAATAAATTATAATCGACTTTTATATATTCTAATTCAAGACATTTATGTACAAATTTTTTTTAAGACATATATATAATTTATTATTTAAAATATTTTATTTTTGTAAAAAATCCATGAAATAAACTTATATTTACTCAAAATTAAAAATATTTTTAAAATATTTTTAATCTTTATGTAAAACTTTAAATGATAAACATTATGACAACAAGGGAATAATTTAAGAGGACAAAAAGTTCTCTCATTTATGTTTTTTTTTTTTTCACAAAGTTAAATATTCTTAGAATCTATTTATAAAATGGTACGGGGAGAATAAATGAAGACCGTGGAATGTGTGGCGAGGAACAAAGCATAAACATTCTGCAGCAGAGAAAGATGAAAGAAAAGCATGCGAAGGCATGCTGCCACGTCAGAAGAAAAGTTCTAAGCTGGAATTCCGTTCTGATAATTATACAAACATGTATTAAGATTATATTATAGTTCTGCCTTGAGTTACTGAAAAGATTAATGGATCGATTGCATGAAAAAGAATTAAATAAATAACATAGACTTTATTTGTCTTTTAATCTAAATTAAAATTGTTCTTAATTTTTAGTTTATTTCTTCTGAAACAAAGAAGACATGAGGGTAAAAAATGCTTTTTTGGGTCAGAAATGAGAAGGGCAGGTCCTATGTGGTACTTTGCCCCACTGGGCCGGTTTGGATTCTGGTAAAGGGACAGCTCCACCATAACCCATTCAATGGCTCCTATTACTGCACACTTTTTGTTTTTGGTCAACTTTTTCCCTTTCTAATAGTGGGCCCATAAAGTGGACTACTCCATGGTTGTGGGCTAAAGACCGATCCATTTCCGGTACGTTCGTCTTTCAAAACAAATCCACATTGGAGTAAACGTTAACATCATATAAAAAATACTAGCTTTCTTATCAAAATGAACACTAGTACAGTACATCCCAAAAATAGAAAGCGTCTGGCATTAGAGAAAAATTTCCCCCCAAAATAGAATAAGTGAATAACTTTTTAAAATATTGATGTGAGAGTTTAAAGAAAATCAATCAGTGAATTACAATTTCAATGTCTGTAATTTGACTATTCATTTTAAGTTTTGCTGACTAGTATCACATATAAGGTGAGGTTTAAAGAATGAACAAATAGTTTTTTTTTAATGAAGTTATAATGTATTAAAGTAAATATTTTTTTATGCTTTTCAGTTAAAATTTTTGTTTTTAATTTCTTATTCAAATTTTTTAAAATAATATTTAAATACATTAAAGATTATAAAAACTAAAATATAAGTATTAGGTCCCTGTAGGTAGACTTAAAATAAGAAAAAAAATCCCGAAAAGAATGAGAGAGGTTGAGACACAAAAATAAGGAGAGAGGAATCACTTGGGAAAATCGTTCTGTAAATGTCCTTTCTCTCGAGATAAATTTTGCTTGATTGTGCAGTCTTAATATTTGTTTCCATTGAAAGAGACTCTATATTCTGATATTTTCCAAATATCCTCTCCATAAATAGTAGTCTTAAACTGACTTTTCAAAGTAACTATTTTTCATTCTTGTGATTTTGCAGTGGCAAAGTTGCAAACAGACTCAAGATATCTTGTAGTCATTGCTACATAGTTCCACGTCAATGTATATCAAAATTGTTGTCTGCTGATTACAGTTTGTTTTAGGCATCAAGTAGGTCCTTTAGCCTCATGAAATGTGTCCTGGAGTAGGGACTCCCAGTAGTTTCCATGGAACACTGTTTGAACATTTCATAAACCTCATCCTAAATATAATCACCCATGATCTCCTTCATGTTCTGCAACGTTTTATTGTCACATTTTTTAGAATTTAAGCCCTTAATCCAACACTATTATTTTCAACACGTAAAGATTACTAATGAAATTATTGACCAAGCATGCTCCTTTTTAGGAGTATGTCTTCATCACGTGAAAGGTGTAATGATGATTTCAGATAATCATATGCTCTTATTGTAACTATTAAGTACACTATTTGGGTCACATGTCCTAGAAATTTTGAGGATAATTTCATGTAAAATCCAAGTTTTAAATATCCTGTTTAGTAGTATGTTTGGAGCATGGCAGTATGAACAGTTTTTTACATTTTTAATGAGTTTCTTTGCGAAAACTATTGAAATGGAATATAAATAGGTTATAAAAAATTTATTAGCTATTTTTTATAAAATTAACTAAACGGAAGTGTTTTATATAATAAAATAATGTAGTTGTCTAGATATATTTTATAGAAGCTCTTCCAGATATTTTTCCAAGTCTCACTAAATCTATAAGTTTAATTCACTAAAAATAGATTGTCCAAATTATTATAAAAGCATTGAACACTTAACTAATGTTGCATATAATCACAATCAGTGAACCTATTTATGTGTACAAAGTTCTCTTCAATGAGGGTAGAAATGGAGCAAACTAAGCTTACAATAAGTTCAATATATGTTTCCAAATCCAGTTCTTAAACCTTAATTATTTGCCTGACATGCAGTTTCTTAAAAGTAAATTTTGACCTTTAGAAAATTAATATTACCTTCAAAAATTTATTTGAAAGTATATTTTGTAGCAATATTTTTTAAACAGGTCATCATACTTACCTTAGAAGAAGTTGTTGAGTCTAGATTTTTACAAGGGCTCAAACCTATATTTTAGTAAATTAGTAATATAATAATATTATTATTATTAATATCAATACTGTTATTACTATCATTACTATTAAGCTCTTACAAAATTCTAGCTAATTTTTTTAATAAATATTTTTAACATAATAAAGTCTAATATCACTTATATCATAAATATTTGGTGATTGTGAAGAATAGTTATATACCTAACTGGAAAAAACAAATAATACACAAATAATGGTCCGTTTAACATGGGCTTAGATTTCTTGAATTATTGAAGGAGACAAGCAAGCAAGACACAGTGATTGAAATTAAATTGAAAGGATTTGGCACCATCGAGGCAAGGCTGATTGGGGTGAGGAATACCCAATAACTTTGACCTGTTTGTCTTGTCTTTTACCCCCACTTCATTAGCACTAGCAGATTGCAGATAAGGATGCGTTTTATTCAATAAATTCACATGCCATTTTTAGAAAGAAAAAAAAAATACTAAAACAAATAATAAATTATAAATATAAGAGAAATCATTTACTTAAAAAAAATGGAAATAGTTTAAAATAAATTTTTATGAAGAAAGTAATTTCCAGTTGAATCCCCACCAACTATCCAAATGAAAATGATCGAGAGAAAGCAGTGGGTCATTGTCGACAAAAACATACGTAGGACAGGGCACCTTGAACCTTGATAGTACTAGACTTTGCTTCTTGTTCCAAGGACGACTCCTTTAACTTTAATGTCAATAGGAGCAAAAAAATCTCCTCAAGCCTTCCATGTTTTGTGTCGCCTTGCATCCTTCTAAATTTATCTGACAAAACTAATTTCATCTACCCCTCTTGCAAGTAATTACCAAAAAGATTCCATAGTTACAAAAATGACTCCCTTTGTAACTCGTCTTCTTAAAATGGATTAATTTGGTTTACTATTAACATCAATTGCTTATCAATATATTTGTTCACGTCACACATAAAGTGACATGTAAAATAGAATGTTAATTATATGATTGTTAAATTGCCATTTTCGTCCTTAAAAGTGTCAATTATTTTAGTTTTTTAAAAGAAAAAAAGTTGATAAAAATATGCCTCATCAATCATTTTGATTCACACACTAAAATTAGTAATTACTTAACGTAAACAAAGTTACTTCCATGTCATGTTAAATGTGCTACAAGATGCTTGTGGTTAACACTAGCTTGGACGGTCTCCTCTCTTTCAACGACTAAATTGATGGTGTGCATTAAAAAACTTACCTTTCCCATGTTCTTCTTTTGACTAGTCGTTATCAAATCAAGCTTAAAAATATATAATTATCAGTACATGTATTTCTATCTTTGTTTTATGTCCTATTTCAACTTAAAAACAAGAGTTTATGAAAAAAATTATTTAATTTAATTAAAAAATTATAATTACCACAATTTTTTCTTAATTCGTTTTAATTAAGTGTTTCTTTCACTGTAACAAATACATAGGCAACGCAAAAGAGGAAAAAAATGTTTTTATATATGTAAACTATCAATTTAGTCATTGAAAGAGAAAACGATTTTCTGAGTATTAACTACATAATTTAACATGACACTTAACAAATACTTGAACAGGTCCACTAATATTAAATAATTAACGTTAACATAAGATTTTAAAATGACTGACCGAATACAATTTTTAAAGATGTTTTTATCATCTCTTCCATTAAAATTTAAAACATCAACCCTAATATTTTTCAAGAACCAAAACAATGATACATTTGCTACATAAAAATATTCTGCATGGACTCCACATGCCACACGAGTAATATTGTTAATATTAAATAAATGATGTTAATGTAGGAATAAATATAACCTATAAAATATAATTTTAAGAATATTTTTATCAAACTTTTCTTTCGAAAGCTAAAATAATTGATCCTACCACTTTCAGGAACCAAAACAATGATTTACCACTTTCGAATATTTTACATTTTGACGTGTGATAATAATTTACTCAATTATTATTTATTGCCCCTTTCGAATATTATTTATATATTCATACTCTTCATTAAAACGGGTGGCAATTGGCTTTCGAATTTGATCGGTGGTCTCTTCTAGTCGTTCGTACCCATCAACCAATCTATTTTACGACAACAATCAAATTAAGACAGCCAACGAAGAAAACAAAAAAACATGGCCACGAAGGAGGGAAATTAATGTTGATTTGTGATCACCAGATAAAAGTCGGTTTTGAAAGAGCTTTTTCCAACAATGGACGCATCCAAGCAATAGGATCACAATTAATTTCGAATTAAGGACTCATTTGCCCAAGGAATTGCATGGTCATTCCCTAATTTCTCCTTTCTATATCTCTTTTTTTTTTTTTTTTTCTCTATGATAAGTACTTATTTTTGCTTCGAGCATCACGGCATATGGATACATCATGCATTAATATATGTTATGTAATATGACTTGGGTTCTTCACTCTTGTTTTTCTTTAATACCACGAATTCTTCCATTAATTGCTTTCACCCCCTCATTAATCAATGTTGAAAACTTAAGTATCAAGAACAATATCACTATCACCTAAACTTCTATATCACCGCACCATATGATTTAAAATGAGATCAATGATTGGCTCAAATAAATATAACAAAAAAAGGATTGGCTCAAAAAACCTAATATATGGGAAGACCTAAATTCAAAAAATTTGAGTACATCTTAATTTTGATCAGACAATCCGTCTTAAAAATTAAGTCGAGGTGAATTAGGTTCGTAGTGATCCTACGCTATCTCACATTTCCAATTGTTGTTATTATTTTTATTGATTTGTTTACCTTTGTTTGTTTAAAATGACTTTCATATTAGGCTGTGTCCTCAGTCTAGCTCCATATAAAAATTAAATAAAACACCATGATCTAGTCAAAGATAAAAAAAATAAAATATTTATAATAAATTTTATCAAGTTATGAATATATTGATGATTTTATAAAAATTGTAAAGGCTATTGAAAGAGAAAGTGTAGAGTTTTTTTCTTCCAAAAAAGATAAATTTATCAACCAGTACCTTCAGCCCACAATTCTTGAGGGCCAAGTGGATTAAATTGATAAAATTTTATCTTGTAATTTTATAAAACAAATATATTTATTATATTATAAATATACTGATTTTAGTAAAACATTACTATTATTAATTATTTAAACTCCACAATAAAAAAGGGGTTAGCAATTTTTTAAAAATGAATGAATTGAATTCAAATTCAAAAGTTTATTACTATAGGAGGGTGGCTTAACAAATTAAGGTGAGGCAAATTTACACCTTTGGCCAAAATGATTAATGGTTATTCATTAACGATAAGATAATCTTAATTAGTTGAGGGTGGAGCTGACGAAGGATGCGTCATATCACATGAACAAGTTGACAAAGGGAGATTGAGCTGAATTGGAAGATGCCAAGATGATAGATAATTTCTCAAAATTGAGTATGATCTGACTCAGCTTATGCTACCTTCTCTCTTAGAAGGTCCCATATGATTATTGCACAAAAGGAGACAGCTCACTGCTCATTATCATGAGCCGTAACTCATAATGCTACCTTCACTCACTTTAATTCCATCTCAAGTAAAGAAAAAGATAAAAATAGGGTAACAAAAAAAAATATAACACTTTTTTATTATTACATGTTTGTATTTTTTATATTATGTTACTCGTATTATATATTATGCTCTTATTAGTTGTAAGAAATGCTGTAAGTTATTATCCTTCAGTAATATTATAAGATATTTTTAAATAGGATATAATATCATCCAAAAACAATATTGTGTCCGCTCCGTTCAGTACTGCCTTGTGCTTGTCACCGTACGAAACCACGGAATTGCATAAAATGTATCACAAACTGCAGCTAAGGATAAATCACGCGTGGATTGCTTTTTTTGTTTTATTTCCATTTTTGTATACATTTATTTATAAAAATTCTAAATGTATATCATTTGTTAAAACATTGTGTTTTAATTCTTTTATTTATTTGTGGTAATTTATAACTATAATAATCATGTGTCTCTAATTATAAGACACATCAAAATAAATAAATTTTCTTTTTTATTTCTTATTTTGAAAATTGTGAAAAAATTATTGATTTCACGGGCAGTTCACCTTTTCTAAATAAAATACACATTAGAGAAAAGAGAGTAACTCAATCCTCGTTCATCTTTGAAAAGGAAAACCATGTTTTATTTAGTGACTTGAGATGGATACAACAAAATTAATAGTCTTTTTATATATTTTTTAAGTAATGAGCAATGATTTAAAATAGAGATAATTATACATAGACTTTATTTAATTCGAAAATCACAGTTACATTTCTTATTACACATTATTTACAATGCAGTAGCACTCTTTATTATTTAAGTATCACATTTGTTCGTTTTTTTAGAACAACAAAACAACTATAAAGGATGTGGAAGGAAGGTACTTGTAACTCTTAAAACAAATAAAACATAAATTTGGTTACTGTAAATTTGAGGAGAGATTTTATGGTTTTGTTTTCATGTCTAGTATTCTTTGGTTTTATTTGGATCTGAAGGGAAGACTGAAAGAAAGCGTAAAAGAAAAGAAAAGAAAAGAAAAGAAAAAGAGGAATGAATAATGGTGAATTAGTGTACTCATTAGCTAATCGATTTTTGACAATTCTCCTTATTACTAGCTAGGACCAACATCACAAACCCAAATATTAACAAAGTAATAAATCCTGTAATCTAACTCGAAGCGAAGTACAACGATAATAGAAACAGACACTCGTTATTATGGCTTTGATTTATTGGACAAATAGAGAAAGGAAAGTTCATTGGAGGAATCAGTGGTGACAATTGGTGTCACCCTGCCAACTCCACACAATGTCTTTCAGAGAAGGCCTCACTTCCTCCTCGCAGAACTTAAGGTATTCGAGGGTGTCTCCGGCGGACTTGGAGAACTCTACCACCGCCACCTCCGGCGCCACCTCGAACACCTCCACCGTCATCGCCAGCTTCCCTTTCCTCCCCTCCGTCGCCCCCTGCATCCGCACCATGAACTCTTTCTTCCCCGTCACCCTAAAATTCAGCTTCTTCGCCACCGCCTCCAGCTTCGCCAACACCGCCGAAGCAGAAAACTTGCTTATGAACATCGACGGAGACCTCTTTCTCGTCTCAAACAGGTTCCTAAGATCAAATCCGTGCGAAAGCGACGATATTATCTCGAAAGCATTGTAAGAGGGACGAGCCGGCTTAGTCCCCGCCGTTTCCCCACTATTCTCGTTACCGTTCCCGTTACCGCTACTGTTACCGTCATCGTCAACATCCCCGTTGAAATCAATGTTATCTTCCACGGCCGTTTCCTTCATTGAAAACGCAATGGGTCTCATGAATCCGATTTGAAACCATGGGTCCTTCATGATATCAGCAATGGAGTACCTCTTTTCGGGATTAACAACAAGCAAATTAGAGATCAAGGATTTGGCCCCAGGGGAAATCCAATCGGGAAGAGCATAATCAGCCTTGAAGGACTTGCTGTAGATCCTCATCACGTTCTCACCTTGAAATGGAAGGTACCCAGAAAGCAAAGCGAAGAGGATAACACCGCACGACCATATATCAGCCTTCGACCCGTCGTATCCTTTCTTCTTCAGCACCTCCGGCGCCACGTAAGCCGGCGTTCCGCACGGCGTGAGGAGCATCCCGTCGGATCTCCGCTGCTCCGGCAAGGCAGAGAGGCCAAAGTCAGAGACCTTGAGGTCCTCGTTCTCGTCAAGGAGGAGATTTTCCGGCTTCAAGTCACGGTGGGTGACGCCGCGGCTATGGCAGAAATCGACGGCGCTTATGAGTTGTTGGAAGTACTTTCTGGCGACGTCTTCCTTCATCTTGCCCTTTGCGACCTTGGCGAAGAGTTCCCCTCCTTTAACGTATTCTACGACCATGAAGATCTTGGCCTTGTTGGCCATGACTTCCTTGAGCTGGACGATGTGAGGGTGACGCACGAGGCGCATCACAGACACCTCGCGCTTTATTTGCTTCACCAGCCTCTCTTTTTGCAGCCTCTCTTTCTTAATAACTTTGATGGCCACGCTTTCGTTTGTGCTGAGGTTTCTTCCGTGGTAGACCTTGGCGAAGTTGCCCTGTCCCAGGAGCTTCCCTATCTCGTACTTGTTGAAGAGGATGTTCCTGTTGGGCTTGGATCCTGGATCCATGACGCGGGGGGTGGGAGATTTGGGATGTTGAAAGAAGCTAAGTTTTTTTTTTTTGTTTTGTTTACTCTACCTCTGGTCTATGGATTTATCAATTGTAGGCTCTGAACTGGAATTGGTTGAGGTGGGAAAGACCCAGATCGAAAGGTTTCATCCTCTTAATGAAGATGGTGTCGCAGGGACACACGACGTTCTGGAGAAAACATTTGGAGGGGTTAAAAATCTTCATGGCGCATGCAGGGTGGAGGGGGGAGGAAGGCGAGGGGGATGAGAAGCGCTGTGAGGGGGATGGGTTTATATTTTGATTAATTTGGGAGAACGGCTCAATTTTGTGGCAAAATTAGAATATTGGATGAGAGTGGGTTCAACTTGGACGAGAGATAACGCGGTTTTAATGGCACTGTGGCCTTCCAATGCGAAAAGAGAACCATAAAATATCTGGAAAACCCTAATTTTAGATAAATCAGGTGAATACGGGCGCGGAACAAGTGGAGCTATGTGGCCCCAACTCCAACTAACTTCTCTCCCCCCTATTCAAATCTAATAACACCCACCACCTTAGCCACTAAGTTTGAAAGTAAAAAACTTAATAATGCAACACAATTTCTTATTTTTATCCTTTTATTTCGATACTAATCATTGATGATCTTTTTCAGAATCATTGAAAGATCAGCTGCTGACGTGGTGGTGAGTCGAATACAGCTAAGGGGTTCCCTGTTATGGCCGAACCTAACAAACTTTCACCCAATGGAAGTGCGACACGTGGAATCTCGAAAGACATGTGAATTTGTGAACCCATATGCGCAAATACGAGACCGCCGATTTTTCAAAGCCTGCCCACCGGATTCTCTTCTTGACTAAATCAAATTCAATTATTATTATTATTATTATATTTAATATATTTGATTTAGGTAACAAATGTTGCCTTCATTATGCCCCTGCTTTTTTAAACATCTTAAATATGAGATTTATTATTTAATCTTGAGATTTACGTGTCAAGAATAAATAATTATTGCTCAAAATTCTCACGCCTTATCGTTTTTCAAATTCTTTAAGCATATAGTATTTTCTCCGCATTGATTTTTTTTTATAACTATGTTCACATGTAATTAATTCATTCAATATAATATCATTGTTATCCAAAGTTGGCTATTTTTTATATTTTGCATAGATCAAATTTATATGTTTTCATCTGACTTCCACTTGACAACTTGTATTTATCTGTAATTTAATTTATTCAATATTTAACCAAAGTTTAGTAAATCCTTAATTTTTGCATACATAGAATCTAGTTATATTAATTTGACAGCTCTTAGCAACCAAACAAATAATCGAGTAGATATTATGTAAAATGAAACCTTAACAATATCATTATTTTAATTAAAAAATTAGTTAGAAAATAAAACTGTGCCATTAAATAAAGAATCATACAATGACAGTAGTATTACGCAGTGTCGCTAACTCCAATAGTCGCGCATATTATTCCGAAAAGCACTGAAAAAAATGAAATTTTCTACAAAGGCAACAACTTCAATATTAAAGGAACGGATTAAGTGGTTAAGTAAAATTTTATATTTTAATTTAAGTAAGAATGTGTTGACTTAAGCAAAAATATAAAATAACATAACTGCACGGAGCAATTACTGCACTTAATCCAAATTCATATTATAAATTCAAGTAAATTTATTGTGATCATGATGCTTTAAAGGATCTCTTTCAGGAAAATAAGCAATTTTTTTTTATTGTCCTTCAGAGTTGATAGGTTTCTTAATCGAATATATGACAGGGATTATAGGGAATAACAATCCATTATCCACCAATCATGTATGATCTGTTCGCTTAAACTTCGTTGGCAGTTTCTGAGGTATCTCATTGTTTGAAAGCAATAAGAGGTTGACGTATAACACTGCTACCTTCATGCAAAGACTCATCTCTCTTGAGTGATATCATAAGAAAGCCACCACCAGTCCACCAGTAGAATTTTAAAGCGTTTTTTTGTTGAAGTCATAATAATAACTAATCAAATTTTTGAAGTGACGTGATATATTAAATAACTCGTACACTGGATGAATAATAATAACGTGATATATCAAGTCATGAGATTCCAACAAGGGAAAACTACTAGAATCAAATTTCAATAATAGCTGATAATGAATGTGATATTAGTTATGAAGCAAATGCAATGAGATTACGGAACCTCACTGGATGAAATCGTTGCTTTTAAGGTTAAGAACTTAAGATTTAGTTAATAGTTTTATCTTTTCAATAGTAGACATGAAGATCTAATTTTCTGTGTTTATATAAGGTTTTATATACAGTCATCACTTGCGTTTTCAATAATATTAGATTCCACTAAAATTTAAATTTTACATACAGCGATTACTTACGTTTTTAATAATATTAGGTTCTACTATTTTTTTTCTTTTTTTATTTTTCATTCAATGTAATATGATGGATAAATTTATTATTAAAATTTTTTTAGATATACAAAAATATTGAGTTGTTTGTCACTCAAACTAACTTATGAAATTTTTTTTTATTATTCTACAATATTTTCTTTAACATTTAATTCATATTAATTAAAATTTAGAAGCAACTCATCACATCGGATCATTATAAAAGAAAAAAAAATACAAACAAAACAATATAATAGACGAATAATCTTAAATCTTCTTACTTTTTATTTCTACAAAACTTCTTAATTACTACGGAAAGAAATTTTTTAATATATTTTATATTTTTAATAAAATAATATATAAATATTTATATTTTATTTTTTGAAAAACATAATCACGAGAATATAGCAAAGGTATTAAAAGAAAGCTTTGTGTACATAAGTTTTTGGTTTTTGTCCACCTCCTAGATATAAGTTTGGTTTTCACTTTGAGAAGCTTCTTGATTGCAGCACAATCAAGCCCAAACATAAACCCCAAGGGCTTTGGATGGACATGGGCAGTGCGTTGACAGATTTCTTGGGTTGCTCTGGCCCAGCAGGCTTGTGGCCTAGTTAAGCTCGATTCTTCTTTGATGGGCCTTGAAGGACCACGATAACACACACACATGTTTAAAATTAATGATAGAGGAATTTAAAATTAATTGTTATTCACAGTAATAATTATAAACAAACAAATTATCACTAAAAAGTACATTTATAATTATTCACTGCCGTTAAAAATTCTTGTATATTGAAAAATAATAAAATATGAATTATAGTTATTATTTAAAGAAAAATATATTTTTTCAAATAAAGAATTATTTAAATAACGCTAAGAATCATCAAATGATTGCTTTTATGGAATTTTACTCCCCTCCTTTTGTTAGACATTTCTTTTGGAGGAAAAGACGTGTATCATGATTATGTTCTCTAATTTAGGAGTGACAACAAATTAAACTATTTTAATCACATCAAGAACTTCTAACTTTACCCTATTACAATATTCAATAACATGAAAACCAAAATTGTACATTAAGCTTTTTAAATTTTATAATTATGAAAAAGAAAGATAAATAAATATTCGGTGACAAGCTTTGTTAAAAACAACATTCCACTTACTAAAAACTATTTATCGTGATCCATAATTCCAAGTGAGAAATCTGAAAGTTTGAGTAATGTGTTGATTGGACCGACAAAAGAAAGTGACAGAAAGAAAGAGTTGGAGGGAGTCATTTAGAAGTCAATCCTCGTGCCGAATCCTTGTTTGTTTGTTTTCAATTCTCTGGTTTTCTTGAATAGCTTTTCTTTGTGGTTGTTAAAATAAAACAGAAGAAGAAATGTCTGATTTGGAGTTCAGAAGTGGTCCCCACTGAGTTCAACTAGATCTAGTGGATGGACTTGTAATCAACTGTATTTGCATTGCACCAAACCAAAAATAATATACTTATTGACCAGAAAATTAAATAAGGAAGAATAATTCTACTACTTCATCCCAAGCATGTGCTGAGAATTTAGACCCAAGGAATTTGAATTCCACGCATTTTCTTGCCTCATTACCATTCGTCAGACTCAGATTAATTGAATGTGAAAGCCGTAGACCAATTTTCACTGCTTCATTACTCTCTATCCAATCTTAACACAAATCACACCCTTCGCCCTCATTTTGGTCAATATCCATTTCTACTTTTTCTTTTCAATAATTTACCCACCCACCCACCGTTTCTCTTCTCTTCTGTATCCATTTCCAATTTTTCTTCTAAGGAAAAGAGGGCTAGGAAGGTTTCTTACCCCTTTAAACGTGTATTCAAATAGTGATTCAATTCAATATTTATGGGTCACAGGTTTTATGCATATTTGCAGCGATTAGAAGTCCACTCAGAAATTTTTTTAAAATGGAAGTAAGTACTCAAAGAAGAAGGCGAATTTTAATTTGCAAACAAACTATTAAAAACCGATTCAATTTTAATTCATTGAAATTATAAAATGCTTTCCAAACATTACCTTTTTAAAGTTTGACCAATCATAACTTTTAAGTTTATTCTCAAAAACTTAAATTTGAAATTATTTGGAATAAGAAAATTTTTTGAAGTTATAAAACGATATTGGAGGATATACTTTTTGAAGTGTTTTGAGGAGTTTTCAAGTCTCTTACACCTAATACTGTTCGAAAAACAAGACTGGTAAGATAAGTTCACAAAACTAAAGGTTTTTTTGATGTATTTTGAGGAGTTTACAAGTTCCTTACACTTAAAACCGCTAAAAAAAAAGACTGGTAAAATAAGTCCACAAAACTGAAGGCTTTTTTGAGGAAGTAGCTAAAAATATGCTAAGTCCACATAGCTCCATATCTTCTTCAGAATTGTTTGAAAACCAAGAAGCGGGTAAAGAATATTCTAAGTTTACAAATCTGACAAAGCTCCAGATCTTCTCTATAAATGCTCGAAAACCAGAGAGCGGTTAGAAAATATTCTAAGTCCACAAATCTGAGATGAGCTTCATATTCCCTTCAGAGTTGCTCGAAAAACAAGAATAAGTAGAGAAAATATTCTAAATCCATATGACCAAAAAAGAGCTCTCAGTCCCCCAGACTTGGTCGAAAAAGAGAAACCAAAAGGGAAATTATCTCAAGTCTACAAAGTCAAATGAGTTTATTGATTTCTCTCAAAACTGCTTGAAAAACAAAAAAGGTCCGTAAGTGCCATGATAGGACTCAAAAGGTCAACACAAGGGTCGGAAGCAGTTACCAATAGTTATCTTCAGACGAAGATCCAACAACATGAAAAAATATCATAGGCGATAACAGTTACGGAAAGAGCCTAAACTGCCAGCACGATCAATAAGCAAACGTGGATAATGGGAGCAACGATTGAAAGTAAGCACACACGGAAGATAGTTACTACGAAAGTGTCCACAAAAGAAGGCGGACGGCGGTGATCTGCCTGCTTATAAATACCTCAGAATTTCATTCTACAGAGGAGGACTTTTGACCCAGACACTTGCACCAAAAACCTCTGCATACTGAAAATTTGCACCGCACCAGACACCAGCTACTAGGAGACTCACAGTGTTGCTGTTTATTACTGTGAGTCGTACGTTTCAGTTTCTGCACATTTATCTTTCTGCATTTTTATTTTCAGCTCATTTGCTTATTTTTCTTCTGCAATTTGGCTCTTGTTTTAGCACAAAATGATAATTTATCTCTATGCTGCAATTCAATTTTATATTATTCCTATTTAACAATTTATTTTACGACGTCTATCTAATCACAACACACTTAAAATAATCTAAAGATGATTTAAATTTAGTCCTTAAATTACTCTTGGATTATTTGTTTACAAATTATCATTTTGCACTGTAAACAAAAATTTATAATTAACTTGAAATAGTTCCTGTAAATTGATCTATACACTTATTAATAAAGTTTTGCGTGTCATATGTAATGCAGCTTATATAAATTAAACTTTAAAAAAGTAATTTTTGCAAGTGAAAAAAGCAGTTATTCTGTGATCCGTTATATAAATTTTATTTGTTTTATAATTAAAAAATTAATTTTCATGTTTTTAAGTAGAGCGTGTGTATTTTTAAAAACTTATAACTTGTTTGCATTTAATATTATAAATTTAGATATTAAACTTCTTAAGCAATCATTCAGATTTAGTGTCTTTCTGCTAAAATAATTTTTATACTCATTATATAATCCATTGAATTAACCGTTAAATTTAATGGTAGCTAGTTTCGTTTGACCCTGTGTGTGTTCTCTGTTATCCTGTCCATACAAGGATTTTTGGGGAGTGTAGGTCCTGCCTTTGGGCAATATATACTCATATTTTATCTTTCATCTTCGTATTTTTGAAGTTTGATTATACGATATATCAATAAAGTTATTCAACACATGGCAAGCATGCATATATATTCAAGGTATACATTGGCAAAAGTATCAACCATTTAGACTGGGTTCTAAAGATTAGGATGTTGAATTTGGCAATTTTATATTCGTGGGTTGGGGTGTGAATTGAATACACGAGAAGATTCTTCTTAGACGACGGTACCTTTGTTTTCACTCGACAACTATTCTTGATATGATTTGTTTTTCAAGTTGAAACTAAAATTAGCATATAGTTAGGCGAAAGGGCACCAGGAGAAGTCAAGAAACACAACCCCAAGTGTTGATGATATTTTTTCTGTCATATACAATAATGGATACAATATTGGTGGTCATGTCGAGTGCACGTAAACATGGAACGTGAGACACGCCCAAGTGCATGTACACGTGAGAGTAGGTCAGTTTCTCAAGTACTTTAGTATTTCGATGATGTTCAAACATGCTTGTATTCGTTTAAAATAGTTGTTGTTTAGTTTTCTTTTTTCAAAAGATTTATATAACAAATAAGATAATGATAAAAAGTGTTTCCAAAATCTAAACAGATCCTCAGTAGTATAATTGAAATGATGTAATTTTCTATATGTTTGTTTTTGTTTATAAGTGTTGTGATTTATTTAGAAAGAGACCAAACTACTTATTTTATCCAATAAATGTTAATTTGATATCAAATTTAAGTAAATTTTTCATATATTAAAAAGACTTGTGATATTAATATATCTGTGTTGTCATGATGAATGGGTATGTATCCTTTTATTAATTATAATATTAGTTAGTTGGGTATTATTCAAATTATAATATTATTTTAATAAAAAGTGTTATAATTGATTTGAAGAGTCTAAAGTAGATATTTTGTCTTTCAAGATTTACTTGATATTAATAATAATGAGAAAATAGTTGAAGAGTAAACTGATTAAGTAAAGCATAAAGAATAGAAGATGCAATAAAATAGAATTGACTGAGCTGAAAAAAAGTCGTGATTAATATGCATAATAAAATGTTGGTAGGCATCACGAGATGGCGTTGGCGTTGCTTATCTCATGCATTGCGTCACTTTGCAATCACTCGTTTTTTCCAACTTTTGACATAAAGTACTTAGAAAAGCGCGTAGATTCGGCCATTCTTGTTATCAGCACGGTTGGGTTATAAGAAGGCTTCTGTCTCATAGGATATCCAATCAAAATCTTCGTCACTTCATCGTATATACTTGCAAGGCAACCCAAACAATCTCAACACATTCATATCATTAATTTTAAATGTTTTAATTTATCAACTCATGTTATATAAATTTAAGCATTTTTAAAAAATGATAATATTTTTATTTTTCTCATAATATGTGATATCATCATCATTTAATTTTTTATATTCATATTTTTTTCTTATTTATTTTGTATTGTACCTGCTATCACACTTTTTTATCACTCATCTTCGCGTTCACCTCATACTTCATACTACCTATAAGAATATTGTGACTCTTTTAGAATTATAGCTGTGTACGTGCTACGAACGTATGTTAATTTGACGACAAGAATCCTGCAGTCGTCTCCATGCTTAATTGTTATTATTATATTTTTTATGTTACTGTTTGGTACAGGTCCCGGTACTTAGTAACAAAAAATATAATGTTAAAGTACCAAGAAAAAAATAATTGACCAGTTGCACGACATATCAAATCATCATCGGTTGAAAATACAAAATATATATGTAAAAATAAAGAACCTAAGCATGAATATTCTAAAAGGTGAAATGTTGAGACGTGTGTTGAGAAGTGAGAGAAGGGGATTTGAATTCTAAGGAGTAATTGTCGATATTAATTGGATGTGTCGATGGAAGAAAAAATAAACCCGTTCATGAATGTGAACTTGCCGTATCCAAATTCAGGTTTTTCTTCTTATGCCTTCAATTCAGTGGCCCTCACTTTTTGTACTTTTTTCCATTTCGTTTCTGACTTTTCCCCTTTAACAATTCCATTTACCCGATAAGGTCAATATTTAGTTTCATCTACATATTTTCCAAATTAATAAAAATTATAGTGTAACTAACCTATTGACTCCTTTTTCATTACTCTCAGTTTAGTGTTAAATATGTGTTTTTTCTTTTTGCAAAATTAATGTTTATTTTAAAGCAACTTTGTTATTTAAATGGAATAAAATAAAGACAGGCAATGTACTGAGAGTGAAAATGACATATTTGCATCGAAAGGATCACCCAAGTGATCGACGTACGTGGAACTCACTAATTCGTTTCACCCAAACGCAAATGCATATGAACCCAACTTACTTTTTTCACTTATTATGCAAAAAGCTTAATGACGTGTTAGTTTCCAGGCAAAAATAAACCTTGAAGAATCATCTATCGAGGGTACTGTTCCATCTTAATTTCAATAAAAGTTTAAAAAAAAAGGCCAATTGTCTTCCCAATATTGCTTGCATAGTTTAGAGAATTGACATAGCCGCACCTATTTTCAAGTATACGTCTACACGACTCTTTAAATCAAACATTTAGTTTACATACACTGCATTCAGTCTTCCCAGAGTGTGTGTGAAGCGCGTAGAAGATAGAGGGACAAGTTACAAACAAGGTCTGCCGTCACTACAGATCCACATGCTTTTAATTCATTACTTTCACCCACATATATATTACCCTTATTTTCCGTTGTTAAACCTCTTTATACTTTTTTAAAATATCATTAAAACACCCCCCCCCCCCCCCTTTGTCTTCTAATCACCATTGAAACTGATAATATAAACAAGAATAATAATTTAATGATAGATGATGCAACGTGGAAAATGTTTGAAATAGTAATGGTGACGACAAAAGAACAAGGACCCACTAATAAACAAAGTATGACCAGGACAAATTGGGATGACTTCGGGTCAATATAAAACTTGTATCCACTGTTCTCTCTCTCTCTTTTCCCTTAAATCATAAAAAAAAATGGTGGGGAGTGAGGAAGGAAACACGTCGACATAACTGAATCCATAAGTTTAATGTAATTTAGTGGGGAATTTTCAAGGCGGGCTTGACTTTGAAAATTGAATTCCATTCCATGTACCAACATTTCACCGACATATTTCACGTCAGCTATATTCTTTTAATATTACTGCTAACACATTCATTCATCTTTTCAACCTTTTTTTCTCTCACTATCATATAATTTCATATAAACAATTCTAATTCTCAGTTTTAAAAGAAAAGAAAAGCAATTACGCTTCCAAAAATGAATAACTGGATAGACACGTTCTTCTTATCTTGTGGAGTCCAGTCCAGTCCAGTCCTATACTAGTATAGTATACAACGATGTCTGTTGAAATTGAAATGATAAATAAATTAAGAAATCAATAAATATAAAACGCCAGCTCTGGAACATATTCGCATGTGTCTTTTTCCTCACTCTCTTTCCTCTCACTTTCCTTGTTCAACTTGTGCTCCTCTTCAAACTTCAAGCGCTACCCCCTCCCCCTCTCCTCTCTCTATATATGCTTCCTTCACTCCGTTTACTACGAACTTCACAAAGTTTGAAGCTTTCAGCTTGTTCCTTACTTTCTTTATCTGGGTTTTCCCTTCAACGAGAGCTTTTCATAATAATACCTTTTTGCAAGAGACCCTGCCACCCGGAAACTGCTGCTTCTTCTTTGAATTTATTTGGAAGATATGGATTATTCATCATGGATTAACACTTCTTTGGATCTCAACATTAATCCTCACAGGGTTCATGACGATATTCCCGTAAGTATAAACGATCAAGAGATATATATCATCCGCGTCCAAGATCTTATGTGAAATGTTCCCCTCAGAATAATGTTGATATGGGAAATAACTCCATCTTGTGTGTTCATTGCAGAAAAAGGAGGTGGAAAACAATTTTTTCACATTGGGCGTGAAGAAATCTTCTGTAAAAGAAGAGGTTAGTTGGGCCACTGCCAATTCTCTTCTTGTTTTCGTCCCTTCTTTTAATTGTGTTATTTTGTCATTAATCTAAATTGATTTATAGAAAATATGGTTCAGCAAGACTTAAAAACATTCTGTTAATCCAGGAAACAGACCCTTGTGGTCAGGGATTACTCTAGATTTGATCTTGCTGTCTATCACCATTTGGTCTAATGATTTTCTTGTTAATATGTCCATGATGAATACTAGATATAAGGCTTATTTTCCCTTAGTAAAAGCTGCATAAGTGATCGTATATGTTCTGCCATTTCAGTCCGCTGTTGCCTTGGTGGAGGAGCTGAAACGGGTGAGTACAGAAAACAAGAAGTTGACCGAAATGCTCACAGAGATGTGTGAGAACTACAACGCTTTGCGAAGCAATTTGATGGAATATATGAGGAAGAATCCTGATAAGGAGCTCAGCTCATCTAAGAAAAGGAAGTCTGAAAGCAGCAACAACAATAGTGCTCTAGTTGGAGTCAATGGAAACTCCGAGAGCAGCTCAACTGATGAAGAATCATGCAAGAAACCAAAGGAAGAGACCATCAAGGCAAAAGTTTCAAGAGTTTATGTCAGGACCGAAGCATCTGATACAAGCCTTGTAAGAATTCTTTACAGCAATTGAGCATATAACCTCATTAAGTCATAACCATTTAAGTGTAATTGTTTGACAAGCTTTTCACTTTTTTGTTATTCCAGATTGTGAAAGATGGATATCAGTGGAGGAAATATGGACAAAAGGTGACCAGGGATAACCCTTCTCCAAGAGCATACTTCAAGTGCTCTTTTGCTCCAAGCTGCCCGGTCAAAAAGAAGGTAAATCTAAGAGCTAATTAGGAAATAGGGACTAGTCATTCAAACCTTTTTATGGAACTGGATCACAAGCTAACTTGTGTTTGTTATTCAGGTGCAAAGAAGTGTGGATGATCAATCCGTTTTGGTTGCAACTTATGAAGGAGAGCACAATCATCCCCACCCTACTCAAATGGAGGTAACGACAGGCTCCAACCGTTGTATGACCGTAGGTTCAGTACCCTGTTCTGCATCTCTTAGCTCTTCTGCACCAACAGTTACCCTTGATTGGACCAAATCCAAGTCCACCAGCGAGGCTAAGAATATAAATCCCAAAATTGATTCACCAGAAGTACCGCAGATTTTGGTAGAACAGATGGCTTCTTCCTTGACCAAAGATCCTAATTTCAGAGCAGCACTTCTTGCCGCCATCTCAGGAAAAATGTTGCACAAGGATTAAGTGAACTGTATTTAACTCGGTTTCAAGTATTCTACAAGCGGATCTTTTTTAGAGCATATGATCTCTATGTAAATACAACATAGAAAATTGAGACATTCCTCAATTTGATTGGAGTCGAGTTCCAATCAGGATAGCATGTCCAGCTGATTATGCGTTTGGTAATCAAGATCAGCTCAGTCTTCTCTACTCTTTTTGCGTCAATGTAAACTAGTATAGTTCAAATGAGATTTCCAATTAAGTTCTAGCAAAGTTTCTGTCGCAAACCAAAGCAAAGAAAAACTTCGTTTCGAAGAGTGCAACTCTATTGACGATACAATGTCTCCTTTTCCAACTCTGTTTGGGACATTGCTTCTCTTTTTACAGATCATAGGAGATTAATAACAGTGATGCAACGACCATAAGTTCACAAACTGTAAAACATCATATAGATTCATACTTTTATCATGAGAGTTATTACTCTATAAACTAAATTCAACGTTAATCTTAAATTCAACTAATTATCTATACGATGATGTGAACTTTTACTTCTAAGATATTTCCTGTAGTGGATACCAATTAAAGTTAATTTGAAAGTCATAAAATTGACGCAGTTTTTAGTTGTACCAATTGAGCAAAGTTTAACATAACCACCCCATCAAGAAACATGGAAATTTAATTATAGACTGACTTGTTAGTGAATTGTGAATGGTATATAGCATAGGGAATCTTGAACCTTCCAAGTAAAGTAGCAAGTTTAGTCTATCAAGCTTCACTAAGCTTTACTCTCCTTTATCCTTGATCCAGAATGAAACAAAATAGTCTCATACTTTTAGTATTTTTGCATCCTCTTTGTCTCTATTGGAGGTAACTCCTAGTCTAATGATAAACCAAACTGGTCAGAATACCTAGAACTCCTAACTGCGATGTTTTAACCCTGATTAGCTGAAGGTAGGTAGTAGGTAGAAAGTATAAAGCAGTAAAAGCACCATAACCCTGAGGCGTTCAACCAATACTGCTAACGAAACCAGCAGCATTGGTACCTGCATGATGACTACTGACCAGGTAGGTAATGCAGCTAATGTTGTACTTAGTTGACCGTGAGACAGTTCGGAATACTTAATTAACCCAAAGAATAGAAAACCGAGTGGCAGAGGGAATAAAATACCTCCTGGGAGAACTGGTCCCCATCCTAGAGTAGAGTAATAGGAGTTGCTCATGACCGCATCAAGGGATTAAAACAAACGGTAGGTGACAGGCAACAGCGGATTATGGCCATTTCAATATGCTTAATACACAAGAACTTTAAGAATTGGTGAAGGTCACTTTGTTACATTCCATCTTCCCTCAAAGTTGTGCCAACTGCTCCATGACCATTGACATTGACCTCATACTTGTTTCAGGTGAAGCTCAATTACATCAGCTGGCTCCTTATTTGCTTTCTATTTTTAGAGTTGAGGGAGGTATCTGATTTTGCATTGCCAAGAGACTCCTTGAATCTGAAGCAACAACCGAGAGATTGTGGGTCCACACTCTGATTCCTCTCCTTTCAAGGTCTTTGATTTGTTTATGGCCTCTTCTGCTTAGGAGATGGGACAGCAACCCGGCTGACTGCAGGCTTATGGTTCATAAAGTTCCAATTAAATGTGTCAAAGGACCAAACTCGTCAATCACACAGCAATTGGAAAAATTGCAGTTAGAGACATAGCCACGCTGTTTGTTTATTATTATTGTAAACTAAGAAATCCATACATCTCACCCTCAAACAAGTTGGACCGGTTTGATTTTTCTCAGCCCCAAATTTTCTTTTTTATATTCTTCAGTGGGTCAGGAAGCGGGTTTATTTCATTTTTCATAATAATATTCTCATCGGTAGGTAGCAGAAAAGTTTGAAAAAAAGAATTAATCGTTTAAGACTGCCTCACTTCATTGTTTTATTTTCACGTGTGCTACACATACGATTAGAAAATGAAAAAAAGGGAGTATTTACTTTACACATCTGATGTGCATTTTCAATCATGGCACTGATATGTCATTCATGGTTCATCTATCTTTACCTCATTCATTCCACAAACAGTACTTGGATCAAAATCCCCCAACACTTTCCCGATATGTCACAGACTCACTCAGCAATTAATCCAGAGCTGGCTCCAATACTTAGTAGGGCACTGGAAATATGGTGTGGCATTTGTTGGATCAGTAATATCTGAAGAATGAAAGCAAAACAGTAATATAAAGAGGGATAAAATTCATTTAACAAATAAACATTATTCAGACGTAGGATTTTAGTAGCAACCAGCATTGTCCTCACTCCCAGTAACCGTCTATGACTATGAGCATGAAACGTTGTCAATGAGTTGAAGGATCATATAAAGATAGATAGATATACCATTACCACCTGTATCTGCTGCAACCCTTAACTCACGTATTGTCACTTTGGATTCCATTTCCCATCATTCTTCTTCTCTTCCTTCACTTCAGGTTACGCCTGTTTGCCGTTAGATTTAGTTTAATTTTTACCCAAAAAAAATCTGTGGAAGATTACTTCATTGTTAATGAAGAGAATGTTATTATATTATAAAAGAATAAATTAAATAAATTTAAATATGATTTTAGTAAGAATAAAATCCTGGAATTACAAAAGTTACGTAATTTCTTAAAAACAGAATGAATTGCCGGCCTTAAAAACACTCGTTGGTTCAATAATAAGTACTTATTAGACTGTGCTTGTAGAGTTTAAACTATTGATGCTTCCTTGGCAATGTACGCTGATACATTCTGATATTTGCATTTGGTCCGCGAAAGACAAAGGATTTGGGTGTCCCTGATGGTTGAGACCTCTAACCTCTTGTTTGGAGAGGTTGCTCTGTTACTGTTTAGTGTCGTTGGTTATGGTATATATATTGCTGTAGGCATGCACTCATAAAACTCTCGCTCCGCTTTTTGATTGTTAGATACTTTTTTTTAACTAATAACGTATTTTGATCTACGTTCATATTAATCTCAACTCACGTCAGTTCCAACACAATAATGAATAACTTTCATATTATAGTCGTATTTTTCATACTTTTTATCGCAAATCCAAACATGCATAAAATGATGAACATACGTTCGTTTTAGACTCATGGGAATACTTTTTGTATGGATACAGATATGCAGAATGTCTATTTTAGCTGATGGATCTTGTTCATGTGATGCCAAACTCCACACAAGTCAAATGAAAGCCAACCTTAATTTTTCTAATTACAATATAATTATATAAATAATTAGATGCATACGTAGCTATTAGAATGTTGCTTTTGAGTTTAGAGACGTGGCACATTCTTAGAGCACGCTTCTTTTTCTCAGTAGAATTTTGTTTCGAAAGATTTGTTTTGATTCACTCTCAATTGGGTAAAAATATATTTTTTGTTTTTAGTATTTTTGTAGAAGTGGAATAAAGATTTTGTTGTCGTTGTTGTTGGTATTGTTACTGTCGCTGTAATTTGTTTTAGAAAAATTGTAAATATTTATTCTGTTTTCTGTTCAAAGGTTCAAACACTAAAACTTGATTATGTATATTTATATTCTGAAGGAAGTTTGCGTGAGTGCTGCTTAAGAGTTTTATGTTGAGTAAAAGAAAATTCAATATAATATTTGAATCGCAAAATTTATATTAAGCTCTCTTAATGTGTTTAAGATATAATAATTAATGTTTTCATTAGACGTTAGGTTTTGAAAACCACTACTTATAAAATAAAATTAAGGTATAATATAATGAATATTGACATATAATTGATGACATGAAGCTGCTGTAAACGTCGATTTTTAAAGGAATAATAATGTTATGAGTTTAACATCGGTTAAAATAAACTTATATGAACATAACAATTGCCTATGCGAATCGCTACTTCAACACTACCCTCATCATGCGTTAAGGTTTTTCTTCGTTTTAGATTTAGAAAGACAATAATAATATGGTCAATATAGCTCTATCAGTGATGTCGGAAATCATAATCTAACATCTATTTGCTATTTTAATCATTTACGTTTAGTTAGTGACGACCAAATAAAAATGACTCACTAAACTGTGAAACCCGTAGCAATAGAGGGTCAGTGAGATCCGTATAAATCTGTATTATCGGACGAATTGAGTTAGGAAAATAATGGCACCACAGCTTTTACTTCACTTGTTATTCCAGTATTGATCCTATCCTAGTGAATAGCTAGGAACATGGAAAATTCTAATTTTTCTAGCAGAAGAGCAATAAGACTTTAAATACATGAAATGATTCCTCTTATAGAATATTAATTTAATCTTTCCGGATAAAATTGATTAATGTCAATTTACTTTTCCTATTTCGCGCTTTGTTTAAGTAGTAAACTCAGTACCAAAAGCTTGGCATGCAGGTGATATGCAAAATCTCCTAACCTCAATAATTGCAGTCACATCAATTTCCTTTTGTTTTCTAGACATCAAAAGTCTGCAAAACATTTGGCCTTAAGACTCTTAAGGTTACGTGTTGAGTTAGATGTTTTTCATATCACGACTTTTATGTTTCCCCGATTGCGATTGACCCTGTTGTTTCTACCAGAAAATTCATGTAAACTAAAGTCATATAAATTAAAATTAAAATAAGAAGAAAATATTGGTTCAAATAGTTGGTCAGAAGAAAGAAAAGAAACCAAAGAAACCGTTAACCATGCGACTATTATTTACCAAAATATCCAACGCTAATTATTTACATGGTACATGGTCTACGAAAATATCACAGTTTGGCAACCTTATAAAGCTTTGTATTGATTTTTAATATGGTGTTATGGCAAATCAGATTTAGCAAATCCATCTTGACCCTCTTTCACAGTTTTATGATAGTCCACCCTGCAATCCTGATCAGAACTTTGTTCCATACAAAGTCTTCCTTTGCTACCAGACGAGTTCTTTTTTATTTTTGTACCATTGATATGTTTTGTAGCATGTAGTCAAGTATCCCCAATAATAGGACTCAACGTGTACAAAATTCTAGATTATAGATTTCATTTCATAAAAGGAGAGGTTCTAGTACATTGGACCACCAGCCACCATATATAAAAATGTGTGTATATGATGATGGTGACACAAACCTCTGGAGCTAAATAATCGCCAAAAACGCAGTGATAGGAATGCTTTTCATCCCCTCCCTGTAATTGGGGAAAGCAATGTGATAAGAGATTTTTGGTTTCCTAACACCTTAGTGGGCAAGAGAAAAATTGCCAATCATCATGATTTGAAAGAATACTAATTGATTCACTAATTGCTTTCACTTTAATTGAATAAGAAAATAATATAGCTAAAAATGATAAATAGTATAATGTAGACGGTTGAATTAGTGAACTCAGTGTGTTTTCTTAAAGAAAATCAAAATGTGAAACCTTGAGATATGTCAACTCTTGAAATTCTAGATTAGGATAACTACACTTACACAAGGAAGAAAGGACAATTGTTTAACCGTTGGACCACTTCAATGACCGCAGATAATCCTCACCTTAAACTGGCTACTATTGATAATTGTTATCATCATGAAGTCATCATTAATATCTTCTTGTGGGTATAGGAAGGCCATGTGGCGTACCTCTAATTTATGTTGGTTTCTTTCCCTTTTACCCACTTAATGTGAATGTGAAGATTAAATAAACTCGAATGTCAACAATAATAGAAAATAATATTTAGTAAATCATTATCTTTTAAAGGAAGGTATAAAGACGCAAGTACACTAAATTGGATATGTACAAGATGTATCGGATTGGATCACGCACTACAAACAAAGAAAGATATAAAAAACAACAGAATGAATTTGTTTTATTCATATTCACAAAAGAAAAATCAAATGTGCTCAATGTTGGGGAAGTGCCACGTCACCTTATTCTTGAGGTGTGTATACATACGAGTATGAAGAAAAAATAGCACAACCCGGAAGACGCAAGGGCCATTATTAATTGTTGTTTCTATATGCTATGTCTCTGAAGGCATTGGTGGTGGTAAGAGAGTATGATGAAGAGAGGCACAAGGTGGCAATTGAGAAGATGGAGAGGCTTTGTGAAGTTGGGCAGAGAGGAAAGTCATCTCTTGTTGTAGACCTCATGGGCGATCCCTTATGCCGTATCCGTCACTTTCCTTTGCATGTCATGCTGGTTACTACCAACAACTCTAGCTTTAATTTCCCACTATTTCCGGTTTAATGTTATCTAGAAATATGTAACAAGAAAACATTATAATTAGATCACTATATTGGTAAAACGTACTTCTTCGATTGCTGAATCATTATATATTTATGGTTTTATAAGTTGAAATTTAAGACAATTAGTATAACGCCTGAACTTTTAGGCTAATTAATGTAATGTTTGTTCTGAACAGGTTGCAGAATATGGAGGACAAGTTGTTGGGGTGATAAGAGGGTGTATAAAAATAGTTACAAGAGGGAATTCGGTTGATTTAAAGCTGGCATATCTGTTGGGGCTCAGGGTTTCACCGCCACACAGGTTTAATATTGATATATTTCATTCTGCTTGCATGTTTCTGCATTCTGCACATTGCCTAAAAGCATCAAGAAAACGATATAATAGACAAGTGACCGTATAGTTCCTTGATATGCATGCACTTTAGATAAAAACAAAAGCATGAAATGAACAGTCATAACAGTTCTTCTCTTTTCATATTCCACAACAGTTAGGGGTTGACAAATTGTTTAGCTTCAAGTTCTGTATGCCACTGTTGATTCCTGTCTTCCTCCATTTCTCTCCCTACATTTTGTTTCAAATCTTATTCTCATATTTTTAACAAGGGAAATAGAAAAATATAAAAAAGGGGTGGTGAGGACTGAGGAGCATTAGATTCTAAGAAAAATAAAAAAGGAAAGGTAATGTTTCTCTCGTATATCATGGCAAGGGTGAAAACTGAAAAGCCATAGGAAAAGCTAGCGTGCCATTTGACACGTGTATCCACTGAAGGTACTTTATTAAGAAACTAGCAGTTTTGGACACGATATTTTATTCTCAAGTTCAGCTATTTCACTGAATTTGGTATTAAATTCTAGATAGCATGATCCACATGCGTCTACTTTTCTATTCACTTGCAAAATTCTAATTCCTATTAGATCACTTTTAATCAATATCTATTGTTTTTTTAGAGTGTGAGAAAACAAAACCCAATAGCTATAAAATATCTCAATACAGGAAAAGACAAAAAAGAGGTTAAAATCTTGGGTTGACAATTGACATATATATGCAGGAGACTTGGCATTGGGACAAAACTAATTGAACATTTAGAAGAGTGGTGCAAGCAAAAGGGTGCTAATTATGCATACATGGCAACTGAATGTACCAATGAGGCTTCCATAAATTTGTTCACAAAAAAATGTGGGTACTCAAGAGCCAAGAGTCTAAACATGCTAGTGCAACCTGTTCATGCCCACTACAAACCAATGAGCTCTGGCATTGCGGTGGTTGGTCTTCCCCCACGCCTAGCGGGGACCATGTATAAGCACATGTTTGTCAATTCAGAATTTTTTCCTAAGGACATAGAATTAATTTTGTCTAACAAGCTAAATTTGGGCACATTCATGGCCATCCCCAAAAAGTACCTACCCAAATGGGACCCAAAAAGGGGCATAATTCCTCCAAGCTTGGCCATATTAAGTGTATGGAACACCAAGCACGTGTTTAAATTGGAAGTGAAGGGGGTGTCCCCACTGGCACGTGCGGGCTGCCTAGTGACAAGGTTACTGGACCAATTGATGCCATGTCTAAGGCTACCTTCTTTCCCTGATGTGTTTAGGCCCTTTGGGCTATATTTTTTGTACGGTCTCCATATGAAAGGAAAGAGTGGTGCGGGCCTCATGAGGGCCCTGTGCGGATTCGTTCATAACATGGCCAGAGATGATGCTGGTTGTGGGGCCATTGTGGCTGAAGTGGCCCAATTGGACCCAGTTAGAGATACGGTCCCACATTGGACTCAATTCTCATGGGCCCAAGACATCTGGTGCGTTAAGAATCTTCACAAATCTGCCCCCTCTCATTGCTTCTTCTCTTCTTCGCCAGTGATTTTTGTTGATCCGCGCGATTTTTGACACTCCCTTTTTTTTCTCTCTGCCATGATGCCACTGTAAGCTGTAAACAACTATCTCATGAAACAAGCATTAAACAAAAATTATTTGAGTTGTTTACTAAATTTGATCACAAAATCTATTAAATAAAGTTTAAATTTTAATTTTTTTTATAAAAGTCATAAATTATTTTCAGAAATTAAATTCTAGCAAAGCAGTACTCTGTTTCTTAAAGATTATAATCTTTACACGAAGTAACTCTCCTTTATCTTAACTTTTTTGTTTCAGAAAAAAGGGATAAAATTTAGCATTTAATTTAGTTTTGTGTCTGTTAAAATTTCTTTGAAAAAAAAGTGGCTGACTGTTGTAAGGTTTAAATCGGAAAGACCTGTAATTTCGGTCATTCTCAAATCTGAAGGTAGTATTTTTCATTTTCTATATGAAAATAACATATAAAGTTAAAATCTTTAAAAAGAACAATTTTTCATAAAAAAACTGTAAACAGTTAAGATTTGAAAAAAATTAACATAAAAAATTAAATTAATCATAACAAAATATTATTTTACTCTCAAATGAATGAGTTTTTATAAATTACTTATTTATTTAAAAAATATATTCATTAAAATTATTTTGTATAATATATTACATATTCTATAGTCTTAAAAGAAGCAGAGTGCAAGTAATGAGGTAGACAATCAATGTAGATATCTCTTGTATCATAAGCTACCGATCTTGAAATAGATTAAAATAAAAAGAAGGACGTTAAATAATAAATTGGACATGGTTACTTTACATTGGTATCCAAGTTTATTAAATTTTATGAGTAAACTATATTCTGAAAATTGTCCTCCAAACGAAATGAAAATAAAAAAGAATACGTGCATTCTGCAATTCCATCGTAGTTATGTTCCAAAAGCAAATACGATGTGGATGTGTTGCACTTTGTATTCAAAAGCTGGCTTCCTCAGTTGTAGGTCGCCTCAAGAAATATCTCAAGCTGTTAACAAGAACCTACCAGAACCAGAACAAGAATCACTTCAATGTTCACATACTCAAGCTCTTGGTTTTCCATGGTTCAACAAAAATGTTCATTGTTCAAGTTACCTGCTGCAGAGGCTTGATGATGGCTTTACCCTTGTAGCTCACATGAAACTTTGCCTTAGCCAAGAGCCCCTACGTTTGAATGATTATTGATTAGTACTAAAAAAAATAAATTTGCACACTTTGGCTATTATATATATTTAAGGAAAATGATAATCTCACGAGTTTAAACAACTAATAATAATAAAATTTTATTAAAAAAGTAACTATTTATTATAATTTTAATACAATGAATGTGATTTTTCTCAGTAAAAGCTTCATATTGTTGTATGCTTAAAATCAATCATAAGGTTTGAGTTTAACAAAACTTTATATTTAATTACCTCGGTGTCAAATTCTCCAGATTCAACAGAAATGTTAATGTCAGTAGTAATCTTTACAAGATCCACCAGTAATCCAGGTCGATCAGCTGTTTCCACATACAGTAAACTGCTACAGCAAAAAATGGTAAGCAACAGCTTACATTTGTGGCCTATAAGCACCATATATATATTATTAATTCCAAGGGAATTCTTGCATTACCTTCGATCTGGGCCGTCATCAGAGATGGTTATGTGGGTTGCTATGTCCACATCAACCTAACAAAATATAAACCAGATTCCACCAGTAAAAATATCAGATACCATTAAATGAACACATAAAGAAAATGAATGTAGAGCCCTCACATATTCGATTTTTATGACGTCCATTATGATACAATAAATATAGACTAGAGACATTTTCCTTTTCCTTTCAACATAAAAAAAAAAGTTTGTGTCTAGGATAACTTTTTCTTATTTGTATGAGCCTATGATAGCTATTAACTTTCTGAAATTGATCACCTGCTGCTGCGGAGGCAGAAGCCCAAAAGCTGCTCCCAAAGCTAATTGGGCGCTTGATTCCTTGATAACCAGTTTGAAACAAAGTAACTCTAATTAAAAGCACAGAACTCCCTGAACCAAATCATGCTCCAAGATTAGATAAAGAATGAGAGTTGAGAAGCATACCGGGTGATACTGAATCATATTATTTAAAATTGTCAAACGGATTGCCTCTAACAACTCTGGATCTTCCACTTTTCTACCTGTATCGCTGCAAACAAAGCTCCACCAGCATATCCAATGAATTCATAGAGATTCTAGGTAAAAACTTACTTGAAAGGTGAAATCCAAACAAGTTTCATTGTGCTAGACTAATTTATGGTATGTAATTAGAGTCCAATTCTAAAGTCTATTCGAATGTAAATACTTCTCAAGCCCAAGTAGAACCTCTCTGTAGTGCCTACTGTATTGATTTTGCAATGTATGATAGCTAAAATCAGCAATAGTAATTGCAATTTGAATAATTCCAAATTCTTGTACACGATATATTCCTACTAATCTACATATTTACAGAATGAAAAACAGAAAAAGTATTATTATGAAGATAGTTTAAGAGGACATAGCATTCGTCTTAAAAATTAATTATTCATTTTTCCTCCTTTGTTTAGACATTAACTCGAAACTGAACCGTTAATTGTTGCCACTATACAATTATTGAATGATAGAGGAGGGGTCAACACGGCTTAGTACTAGAAGTTATTATTCCCAACGATAAAATATGTCTATTATTAATGACCGTTTATGGCAATAATAATACATGAGCAATGGTACGAATGTAGGGGATTGAAATTGGGACTGGTGATGTGGTTTTGGAACGTCGCATATGACAATAACAAAGTATTGTCACTAACACACTTACGCTTTTGTGATGGAGAACTTGTTGTGCTTCCCAGAGGAATCCAGAAAGACATTTGCCTTAACAACATTGAGACCTAAGTTCTTTAATGCATTCATCTGCAACCAAGTAAAGAGTCAATTTTAAAATCTTTTTTTAGTAATTCTTATTATCAACAATAGGAATACTAACAACTTAACGTTTTTTAACACAAACTTCTTGTAATTGATCATATATTTAAAAAGTCAAAATAATTGGTAAAAAGTGATCAATTAAAGAAGTAAGAAGCACTTTGACTTCTTAAAAAATAAATCAATCACAAAAATTGTGTCAAATAGTATGACACTAGCATTTATCTGATGACAATCTCTGGATGAAATACGAGGAAAAAGTCCTGATAAAAGATTACGGCATACAGTGTCCAGAAGAGCCCCGAGGCGATCACCAAATGTTATCTCCACCACAGTTGCATCAGGATCAGAGTCTTGATCAATTATAACAACAGGAGTTGGAATTGTATCGGCCTCACCTTGATTTCCATCCTGTTCTCCACAGACAAGTTGAAATCAAATGTTTTAGTGATGGCAATCACAAGCATGAGAAAAATGAATGAAGAACTGCCTATCCACATGCAATAAATGACAACCATATTGGTTGAATTTGCTAAATACCTCCACACCAGTAACAGTTGTTGCTCGAGGGATCATTGTTATTCCTGAAGATGGTAATCTGAGAAAATGGTACATACAATTAACAGAGATTGGACACATCATTTTGGTGCAGTTCTAGCAGGTTACACTCACTTCTCAAGTTTTAAATCAACGGATATTTTTAAGTACTCATCCTGCCTATTAACTTAATTAATGAGACCACAGTAAGACCTCCAAGTGCTCTAAATACACATACATAAAACACAAGCAAGAGGGCCGAATAAACAAAAACAAATTACTTGCCAGAATTAATGTTTTTAAGCATCTCAAATCTAATAGTTACCTACACTAGATGCTTTTAATTAATTAAGTATATTGTGAAGTGAACACACTAGAGCTGAAATCAAAGATATTAGAGAAGCTCGAGTTATTGAATGAACGAGTAATAAAAAATCCCGTTTAGTATACCTTGTTTTGTGAGTAATGTAACATAGTTTAGTAGCATCAGAGATAGAGGAAGTCTTCAAGAAAGGGGCACTGCAAATGGGTTTTTCCAAGGCTCTCAAGCTGAGATCAGGACCCAAGTGAAGTCCGAGACTGCATGCAGCCATGGCCACAGCCATTCTGATCTCTCTTCAAAGAAAAAACTTGAGCAGAGATAAGGGAATTTGAGAAAGAGAGAAAATTTAAATGTCCAGAGAAGAAATGAAATAACGTGACATGACTCGGGAGAGAAAAAATGGGCAATAGAAGAATGAAGATAGAAGAATGGAGAAAGCAAAGAGTGCATTCGTCTCTTTATCTCTCTGACGTCCACTCATAATCTTGTTGGGGCCTTTATACATTTGGACAACAACAAAAACAGAAACAGCGACGCGTTTGGTGGAGATTTTAGATCTTTGTGAATCAATTGTGCCATGCTATGTAATATAGGTAGGAGCAGATAAAAGCGGTCCCTCCTTCCTTTAATGTTATATATCCACAAAAGCCACCAACAAACTTATCGCCAACTTTTTTCTATTTTCTATTTTCTAGAAAAATATTACAATAACTTTCAAAACTTTTTGTTGAGAGCAAAATAAGTCTTTGACACCCTTTGAATGCAAGAGAGAACCATGAAAGAAAATGCAAACACTGATCTTGAGTGGTGTCACAAAATCAAAAAGAAAAAGAGCTGAAAAAGTGTAAAAAGTAAAATTTGAAAAAACCAAAATTCTCTTTCATATAACTTTCGAAGTTATCGAGGTATTAACATTTATTTGTGAAAAATAAGAATAAAAAATTTAATTTCGTATATGTATGTATTTTTGTATAAAACTCATACGAATATTCACAAATTACTGTCTTTATTTTTCATTTTATAACCTTCAAAAACTGCCTACATAACGTGGATAAAGTTAAGAGAAGTGCTAGTTGTATACTAAATTTATCCATTTTTTTTCTACAAATTAAAAAGAGATAGACAGAAAAATAAAATAAAATGGGTGATACATATTATTATAAAGAATAATTGTAAAAATAATATAATTCAAGTTATATACACGGAACAAAAGAGATTCACATCTTTCCACACAATTCACGGCTTGGCCATGCTTCCATGGACCAGTTTCTTTCATCCAACAACCACCTTAGTCTCACTCTCACCCGCAATTGACTTCTATCTCTCTGAGAACAAGTGCTGCTTCGTTTCTTTGTTGCTCAAGGTAACCCAAAAAGAGAAAAAAAGCACTTACACGTTCTATATCTACAAACTACAATCTAGCTTTTATGATTTTTTTCATACAATGATCATATTAATTTATTGGCTTATTGTGAGTGTTAATGTTCTGCTCCGCAACTATTTGTTGCTTAAGATATAATTGGGAGGTGGGAGGTAGGTTTGAAATAGAAGAAAAGAGAGAATAAAAAAAATTATTTTTTAAATTAAGAGGGTTATGTGTTATGAAAAAAAAATTTTATACATACTAAATTTGTGTTAATTTATTATTTTATTTTCAAAAATTAGAAAAAAAATTAAAAATTTACCTTCTTCCCTAAAAAAATCTATCGACTACACGTGTATGCCGACAATTGTTAGTTCCAGCAGTTCAGACTCAAACATGGGTTATACGGAAACAACTTATGTTAGTGTATCAAACTGGTACGAGAATAGCTCTATCGCTTAGATCCTGTTTGGAATTGTATATATGGTAAACCTTCTTTTTACAATTTCGGAGACTCTCTTAGCATGATTTTTAAAAAGCAAATTTATTTTTCACTTTTTATAAAACAGAGGTTCAACGGAATCATAAACAGGCTCTTATGACTTGGAATTCCAATGAAAAAGTTTCTCTCCTTCCATTGAACGTCTTCAGCTGAGACTAATCCCAGCCCCGTTTTCTATCTCGGCACCTTTTGAAAGGTAAAAAAAACGAATAAATAATGTATTTCGGATTAAAAAAAATTGTTCATTGACAGAAAAAATGTTCGACTCAGTTTAATCTTAAACCTTAAAAAGTTATTGAATTTAGAAATGTGAAATAATTCAGTTCTTCCATTCCATGAAAGAAAGGGTTATTCTCATTTATAATCTTGAGGGATTAATGAGAATCAAGTGTTCTTAGTGAATTTTCTTTTCAAGTATTTACCTATGAAAAAACTGTAAAACAAACATTAATATAATAAATTGATTTATTTAATTTTTTTTTTTTTGCATTACATTTAAATAAAAACCTACATATAAATAAACAAAAGCTCATGTGTTAGATTTAAGAAATAAGAGACTTCTAGAAAGTAAATAACTGCATAAGATAAAGGTTAACTTGACCTAACCAATTTCCATCTATAGGATCAACTGTGTCATCAACTTCGACGATGTAATTGTACAGCATCATTTTTGCCTTCGTCTGTACGTTTCAACGCTAACTTTTATATAGAATTTGTTGCGCTATTATGAAGTCATGTTCTGATGTAACTTAATTGCTGAATGAATCCATGCAGAAATTGGTTAGGCATTCGGAAGCTGTTAGCTGATCAGCAGAGTTTCCTGAATTTGGCACATGTATGGTGCTAATGTAAGGTTGTCTCTGAAAATTGAAAATCCTATGCTTCCCATTTTTGAAATAATAATAATAAAAAAAGTAGTTGAAATTAAGTCGTCTCTTGTTGTTGTGAAGGTTGTTTAGAGTACAAGAAGCAGACACTTGGCATGCTGCATTTTTATTTACAAGTACCATTGAGAAACATAAATAGTAAGAGCCTCGTTTAAAATAAATCTGAATGACAACTACATGCCTCGGAAAAAAGAGAATATGGTACTTGAGAAAGAAGACTAAGGATAATGTAAACCCAAGACAAAAAGAAAGGGACAAGCCGAGGGAGTTGTTATCCTTCTGCAAACTCCCCAAATCCATTCTTCTACAAATGTGTGAGAAAGTGGGGTTTTTGGACAGCTGCACTTGCACCTCAAATTCTTCTCTATTTGCTATCCTGCTGTGAAAGAAGCACTCAGCCCCAACGAACAATTGCTGAACCCCACGTGAGACCCGCGCCAAAACCAGCAGTTGCAATAGTTTGGCCTGCTTTAACCTTACCGCTTCGAACTGCTTCATCTAAAGCCAAGGGAATGGAAGCTGCACTTGTGTTTCCATAATTAGCCAAATTTGATATCACCCGTTCTGAGGGAAGTTCTAACCGAGTGGCAACTGCATCAATAATCCTTTGGTTTGCCTGCACTTATTAAGAGGTAAGGCATCCTAAGTGTATGAAATCTTCCTTTCTCCAAGATATTATCAAGTATACCGTGCAATTCCCATGTTAACTAAAATGATTTTCTGTTTTCAATCATAATTTGATCTTATCACTAGGCAAAGTGATAATATGACAAACGTTTGATCAGGTTTTCCACCTCTTAATTTCTATTTACTGGAAAACGGACGTTCAACTGAACTTTATACCAGCTAGTTTAGCAAGTAAAAGACAAAACAAAGTTAACAGCTACTTCTGTCAACCTAGGATGCCAAAAATAAAATATGCACAACAAATCCACTTTGTCTACCCATTTGAAGAAATCTTAGCAAGTTGCAATAGCAATTCAACCAATAGATATTATCTATCCCTATAAATATATATGAGATGGCATGCTTGCGTTCAGTTTTATAGATAATTTCTGTGTACCTGATGGAGAAGTAACCAATCAATGCTAGATGCAGGGAGACCAGCCTTTTGAAGGGCAGATTCAATTGACTGTGGCACACATCGTACAGCAAAGCGGAAAACTTCTTTGCCATTCATTTGAATGCAGGAATATGAGGACTGCTTAGGAGGAAAGCCAAACACAGAACCATTTGAATCCAATGCACTATTTGACTCATCTTCTTTAATGACAGCATTCAAATGCCTGCATGAAGTGAGAGCAGATGTCTAATTAAAAAGCTTACAGGAAGAGGAGAGCACGTCTTTTCAGTAATATGTGAACACAAACCTTTGACCACTGCCATCGCTATGTAAATCAAAACCAAATAAACCATCTTCCTCACTGTTGCAGGCCTGCAATGTAATCATAGTACCAGAGCAACGGCATCAATTTGTATCCCTTAACTATAAATGACTTCTCGTTGATTAAAAAAACATAAGTTCATTGTCATTTGTAACCAATAGTAAAATCTTGAGAAAACCTTGGGACTATAGTCTTCATCTCAGAACATATGTAATATTTTATTCACAATTTTGAACAATTATTTCAAGGATGAGAACAACATTTTTCCAAATATTATAATCTTTAATTTTAAACAGATTTTCAAAACCTTGCCTTCATCATCTTAAACAAAGATAATAGAAATATCCAAGAAACAAGATTCGAATTGCTAACCGACATTTGCTACAAATGTAGGACAATACCAGGAACAAATACAATTACCTGTACTAGTACAGCACCAGCGGCATCCCCAAAGAGAATACAGGTGCCTCTGTCCGTCCAATCAACATATCGTGAAAGAGCATCAGCCCCAATAACTAGAACATTATGAAATCCACCCCCTGCATTCACACAATAAAGGGTAATGATTTTCACCATATCTAGCAAGTATTAAATCAACAAAAATGAACCAAATCATACCCCTAATATGACAGGAAGCTGATATTAAACCCAACACAAATCCACTACATGCAGCTGTAATGTCATAAGACAATGGATTTGTTTTGCAGCCAAGTTGTCTTTGAATCTGCAAGTTGTAAAGACAATTAAAATTATACGAGAGGATAAAGAAATGAAAAGAAGATACCCAGTTTAGGAGAGATAAGAGCACAGTAATAAGCTCTAATTATTTCCAAGAGGGAGTTTGCAACATCATAATATCTCAAATACCCAATTAATCCCTTAAAACGTGTTAATGAATAAATACAGATTGCTTGGCAGAAGTTAAAGACAACAACATAATTTAAAGAATTATTCTCAGTATGATACATCCTGAACGCATACCTGCGGAGCACTACCAAAAAGATCCTCTGGTGTAGATGTGCACATCAATATTAGGTCAAGATCATCAGGCTCTACCTTTGCCATCTCAAGAGCTTTCCTAGCTGCCTCTACTGCTAAAGTTGTCAAGTTATCTCTGCCTGCAAGCACAACACCAAGCAATAGAAAGCAGATCCATCACTACACTAAAACTTCCAAAATGATTTTAAACAAGTTTGGATACATATTTATTTACAATTTACAGGATTAACTTGTGAAAACAAGAACCGGGGGGGGGGGGGGGGGGGGTTCATAAAGCATGCAATGCTCCACAAATGGAAACTTCACCCCACAACAAACAATCCTTGAGATGCCCAATTTCAGATTTATATCCTAGCCAATTCATCATCAAGTTGCTAACCTGAGAGCAGATAGCAGACAGTGCAACAAAATAAAATCTAACAATTGTACCTATTTCTGTTCATGGCACTAGCATGGGAGATGGGACTAACACCAATGGCTAACCTGAAAGAACTCGTCGTCTACGAATCCCAGTGCGAACAGATATCCATTCATCAGAAGTATCAACCATTTTTGAAAGGTCATCATTAGAAATCTGAAGAGTTGGCACAGCAGAGCCACATCCAACTAACTTGCAGCCTTTACTAACAAGCCTGTGGAGTGCAGACAATAGAATTATATGAATGAAAGAAAATCAAACAGAAGCATTGAGATAGTGATCCCAAATAACATTAATATCATTATCATAAGAAAAGTCTGATTCATAACCTAAAACTACAGAACGGTTACAAGTATTGACGTTAGAGATGGAAAAATTGTTGGGTGTGATTCAAAATCAAAGCTTTAACATATTTGGATCGAGCAGGGGAGAAAAAACTGACCTGGGTGCGCGAGATTGGGAAGGGGAAACAGTGGAAGCATGTTTTTCAGCTCCTTCGATGGTTCCAAAGCAAACAACTTTGGCGGAGAATGCTTCAAATCGATGAATGGAAGTGAAAGGGCGAACCCTTACTCTAAAGTAGGGAACCGAAGGAGTGAAGAAACCAGATGCATTCGCCATTTACAACAACAAGGTATGTATTGTATTGTATGGAACGAACGCAGGAACGGAATATGATAATAAATATGTTGAGATTATTTATATATTATTATTAAACGGTAGACGAGAATGAAGAAGTGAATGCAGCGCAGAGAGACAGAAGCCAAGCCATGAGAGAGAGAGAGGAGAGAGGACAGAGAAGAGAGGAAATGCAAGAGAGAAAAACAATGATCTTAGGCAGCTCCGAAACAAGACAGCCAGCGATTATGGCAATCCAATTTGAGGAAACTCCAATGTTGTTATTCCTGTGTTGTCTGCCAGTCTTCTTATTACAAATTGATTTTTCTTTACTAAATAATATAAGCTTTTGCATATAATCTACAAACGAATATAATACATGCATAATCAGTACTAAATTTTCTCCATATTCTAACGGTATTATTAATTAAAATAAGTTTTATATTAAAATTTTAAATATATTATATAATTATTTTCAAAATTTATAAATTTAAATTAATATTAAATTTTAAAAATAAATACTCGATATAAAAAAATATCCAGTGTATAAAAAGGTAATTTAAAAAAAAATTCTAATTTAAGATAATTTTTTTAAAAATTATTCAAAATAAAAATTATATTTAATAATCAGAGACTGATTGAGAGTTAAATTATGTATATATAATAACAATATGGATTCAAATTTCGTTGCTAATATAAGATTTTGTTAGTGAATAATAACTTTATAAATATTTTTTGAGCTTTAAAACGTATCTAATACTAATGAACAATGAACTCCCAGACTTAATTTCCCTAAACTTTCTAAAAAAAAAAAATGAATGTTGAATACAAAAATCCTAAAGTAGTTGATCGGGTCGAACAGTTGAGGATTGGACAACGTGGAATTTACTATTGGGCGGTGAACCAACTAAGAAAACACAATTGACTTTATAAAAAACAAAAAAACAATAACAAAGAAGATAATTAAGCAGTGGTCGTGTCTGTGACTGTGAGGCACTATTGATTTAACGGTTCTGTTAAGTTAAGAGTTTAATTTTGATAAGCTGCCAATATAATTTTTATATTATTAAATTACAAAAATTTATTTTTAATTATGGGACAATTCATAATTAAACAACAATATAAAAAAATATATTGTGAATATACCCCAATTAAATTTATAATTAACTCTTAAAGTTCATTTAATTAACTAAAGATAATTTTTTAAATGTAATAAATATTTCATTTTTAATAAAATTATTTTCTTTAATTATTTAAAGAAAATCCTAAAAATAATATCAATAAACTAATTAATTTAATTAAGGTTTACAATAGAGTAGAGTCGAATATGAGTTTTGGAGGCATATTTGAGATATATATATATATATATATATATATATATTATTTTTCATAAATAATTATAAAAATATGAGGTTTTTTATTTTATTTTATAAATTTTAACATTTATACAGAAAAATAAAAATTATTTTTTCTACTATTTCTTATACATAATCCTCAAAATATATAATTAACTTAAAATCATAATTTATATGTATTTATAAAACAATATTGTTAAAATCGAACAAGTCTTAATTTTTAAAAAATACTTTTTACTATTTAACTTACATCACACGTTGAAAAATTCTGAATGTTCACCAACGTATAAACCATGCAAGTGCAGGAAGTAAGCCAGCAACACTGTCAAATCTTATTGTACGAAACAGGTTAACGACAGTTGACAATTCGACATGATTTGGGCAGCTGATTTTAAAAATTAGTCAATATTAACCTCAGTTTTAAATAACTATTTAAAACATAAGTATTTAATAAATATATTTTTTAATAAAAATTCCTTCCTTTTACATGCTTTAAAAGGCCATCTAACAAAAAAATAAATCTACCCTTTGGGAGGTTAACAAGATCCTATTAGGTATAAAATTAGCGGATTTGACATGGTAATTGAAAATTCTTATCAATTTCTGTCACTTGTTAGCTAAAAGTGGATCTACGAACATGGATTATATAGATTTGTTACTTTGATGAAAAGTCAAACATCCTTCTGGATGGAACTTGCGCAACATCAGCAAAGAGGGTTTGATATTTTACAAGAAGCTGACCGACAAGAAAAGATTCAAAACGCTTAATATGATATCACTGGGCACTGTAGAGAATCTTCTCTGGCCTCTTTACTGGTGAAGTTTCACGTAAAATAGTGGCGTCAACAATTTCAAATTCGCATGACAAGTGACCAAGAACAAACCAAACATGGGAGTTTGGTTGATCTCATAATCAAATGTAAGCAGTCACCTTCCATTGTTACAGTGTTGAAGCTTTGACAAAACTAGAGAATATAGAGGTGTCATCTTTCAAAAGAACCTGCGGATTTCCCTGTTCAATCTGCATGGACGAGAGAGAGAGAGAGAGCTTAATAGCTGATGTTATTTTATTTCATCTGGGTTAATAACGAGAACATCTGGTCAGGGAAAATGAAATAGAGCCAATTTTCTTTAATTGAATAATTGAATAAACGAACCTGACAAGAAAGAGTAACCCTGAGCTAGTTCTTACCTCTGTGACAAGTGAAAAGTTAAGGAAAATAAAACATACCAGGTTCCCATGGTCAAGAATCAGAATGCCATCCATATTGACAACGGTTGAAATCCGGTGAGCAATTGTGACCACTGTCATTCCTTTGCATTCACTGGATATGGTACTTTGCAGTAATGAAGCAGTTTGAATGTCTACATTAGCCGTGCATTCATCCAAACACAAAACCTAAACGGGCAAGAGGAACATCTCATAACCCAGATAAGATTTGGCAAAGGCTTGTAATATTATGTTGAAATACTGACATTGATAATGTCTACAGTCTAGAAACGCATATTTTTCCTTTTTGGTATGATATACAAGAAGCTATAATGTAGTCGTTACTTAAGAAGATACTATCATATCATCAATAACAAAGTTGAAGACAGACGAAAATTTACAGCACGACCACTTCTCTTAAATTATCATTCTTACCTTTGAAAATTTCAAAAGTGCACGTGCAAGGCATAGAAGCTGCCGCTGGCCAACAGAAAATGACATTCCCGCTTCCTTTACACGAATATCGAGCCCTCCAGCTTCTTCTACTTCCTTTTTGACATGACACTTCTCCAATGCATTCCAAATTTTTAAGTCATCATTCATTTTGAATGGATCTAGGTTATCCCTAGAAATTTGAAGATGTTCAAAATACAGGGTATTAAGTAGACAAGAATTGTAGGTGCAATCAAAATAAATGCTAATGCATTTCTTTCCCTAAAAGAAAAATAGAATATAATTGAAACGGCGCTAAATCAGTATAAATATAAACCGAAAAAACATTCAAATAGGAGTACCTTAATGATCCTTCAAACAAAAATGGACTCTGAGGAACAATAGCCAAATGTGTACGTAGTTCTCTGACGGGAATATTTTTAATATCCACCCCATCAATTGTGATGCAGCCTGTACATATTGGGGTAAGGCGGAAAAGGGCATTTAACACACTAGACTTTCCAGCACCTGTTCTTCCTATTATTCCAACCTGATTACACACCATTTGAAAAAGTATTAAACATATGGGTGTTAGAAGAAAACTTCAATACAAATTCAAGTATAGTGCACGGACCTGTGTCCCTCCCGCAATTCTAAAACTAAGATTGCAGAGAGCAGCTGGCAAAGATGGCATATATTTTAAAGTAACATACTGGAATTCAATAACTCCTTGATTTGGCCAATCTGGATTCAAGTATAGGCATCCCGTTTGTTCTTCTTGAGGAATGTCCATGTACTAGAAAATATTAAATGAATGTTAGATGTCTGCTTATATACATCCAAACACATTCTTACTCAGCAAAATAAGTCCTATTCATACTTGAAGGGCTCTTTCAACTGAAACCATTTCCTTTTCTGTTTCAGTGAAACTTGTTAAAAAACTCCCCAATAGGGACACAATCGGAGCTGCATATGAGAGGGCCAGTCCTACCTGTTGGAAAAAAATGTTCCATGTTCAATTTCTGTATTAATCAGTTGATCAAATCAGAGATTTTATAAAAGGATAATAAACAAACCAGTCCTGGGGTACCAAAGCTGATAGGCAGACTGCCATGAGATCCAACAACAGCCATCACAGCTATAAATGAGATGATAAATGCAGCTAATAACTGGAAGAAAGTCATTATAGCAACAACTGATATTCTAGATTTCAAAAATTCAAATCTAACCTTAAATATGTACTTTGAGTGTAAACCTTTAGGTGGATTTCTGTAAGTTCTTTGCTTGAATCCTCTTGGCAATGAGAGAAATGCTAGCAATGCACTCTCTAATACACTCTTTTTAACACACTTTTAGTTGTCAGTTAAATTTTTTGGACAACTACAAAAATCATGTGAATCTCATTCTTTCTCACTTTTAATTTAATGATTCTATCTCATATTTTTGTATTTTTCAATAAAATTTGTCAATAATTAATAGTGTATTTAAAAGAGTGTGTTGCTAGCACTCCGTTTGTAAGTAAATATACTTGACTCAAGGACATACCTGAAGACGCAAAGAAAGCCACAAACTTGCCACTATCTCTGTGTAGGAAGTCTTCTGATACACCGTTACATGTTCATTGAATTTGGAAAAGAAAAAGTCCTGTCCAAAATAACCATTGGATCATAGTTTAGTTGCACAAACTCACAAGATTACTATAAAAAACACAGTACACAAGGCAAGCAACTAAATCCTGTAGAAAACCAGAAGAAAAACTTTCCAAAAGTACAATAAAAGTCATGTTACAAGAAAGATCACCCTAATCCAATTAAGGAAAACAAATTTTATTAAAAATTTAATTTGACATGTTCATGATTGAAGTCTCACCAAAAAGTAAAGTGATGGATTAATATATTCAAATTAAACAAACCAAACTAGGAAGTAAAATATTATAAACATATGATATGTCAAATTGCAAGTGTCCTTGTTCAGTTGAGTTCTCCTTCAACAATCAACATGGTACAAAAGCATCTATGATCTAAAGTTCAATGATTGTTGCTTCTTCTGTATAAACTAGCTTTTAAAATCATAGCAGTGGTAGAAATTGAAAGCCATTTCTATGATCTTCCTCACCTATAACTGCTACACTCTGAATTATATAGACAGAATTTTCTATTCATGATTATTACTTTAAAATGACATATATTTACCTCAGATTTAAATGCCCTAATTGTTGATGATCCATCAAGTGTTTCAGTGAAAGATGTATATATTGGAGAACGAGAAA